ACGTGTTTTCTGCAGTAATGTACCTGGCTGTAGATCACCAAGTCTTGATTGTAGCGACAGACAAGTGGCTTGTTACTGATTTTTTAAACTCATGATTGAAATGCCTTTGCCACTAGATGGTCTTTGTGAAAGAATTAAGATTTGCTAGCCCTTCAGTGTTTTCTGATGCAGGAAGTTTGCCAATAGCAACACAGAGATGCAACATTAACCAAATTGTTAAGTATTTAGTTGGCATGGGGTGGTGGAATAGTTTGAGTGCTGGACTTGGTCTGGGAAGATCTGGTTTCAAATTCTCATTCACCCAAAAAGCAGATTGGGTGACCCTGGACAGGTCACTAGCTATCTCTCAACTTGACTGACCCCCAGGGTTGTTGTGAAAATAAAATGTGTGGGGAGGGGCCCTGAGCAACTTGGAAGGATAGAATAAAAGTGTCAAAAGCAATTATCACATGGAACTAGATCCTAATGAAAAGGAATGTAATGAAATTAATATGACACACCTAGTTTGAACAAATGAGATTATTTTGAAAATAGTGTGTTTTGGAAGACCGATTTAATTCTAGAGATAGTAAATGTAAGGGCAGATTTCAGACAAGTTATTTCACAAATGTATTGTGTACTGTGCCTTGCCTTGCTTTTTCATTTGCTTCACACAAGACTAGGTACCTGGATCTGTATTGATCGATCAAATCCTTTATTCTCCCACAAGACTAACATAATTCAAAGAGATCCTCATAAACTCTGAGCCCATTTTTCCCATCCCACCAGTCATTATCCACACATTTACCCCTTAGTGAAACCAGGCACCTCCTCAATTGCTTTTTACGACAGAAGCAGAACCTTGCTTTCATATTCAACTAGGGCAGTTCATTATTCCTCTCTCATGTTCCTGGCGGAGGTACAACAATTAAAATTTTCACAAATTCTAGTTCTCTTCATAATTTATTATAGAAATCTCTTCCCACCATTCCTTTCCTACAAAATCTCTTTATAGAAGTTTGAGATGTGTCATTACATGACTATAATTTGATTGCTGCTTTAATGGAATACATCAGGTTCTACATTATATGCCATTAGGAAAGTAATTTCAACAATCATTACCGCTATTCATTTTTTGTCTTGTCACACCAGCACCCTCATGAGGCTGGCAAAATTATTGCACACAACGTTCTCTATAAAGCAGGGGGAGCCCTCCAGGTGTTGTTGGACTATGACTCCCATCAGCCCCCACCAGCAGAGGCAATGATCAAGAATCATGGGAGCTGTAGTTCAACAACATCATGAGAACCACCCCTGCCATAAAGAGATACGGAGATGGAATTTTAGCCATAGCATCCAAGATGGTCTCTGAAAGTCTCTCTCCTGATGAAACAACAATGACTGAGAAAATGAAATGAAAGGTGTGGCTCAAAGTCCTCTTTTTATTTGCAAGGCCCCCTGTCATGAGCTCTTTGTGTAAAAGGTTATCTCCAACAACTTTGACTTACAGCTACTAACACAGAGAACCAGAAGATGTCAGGGAAAAGCATCTCTGAGCACTTGTGAGCAGCATGGTATGTGCGAGAAGACAGACCAAATAAAAGGGACTAGAAAAAGCAGGACTTACCTGAGACAGGGATCAGTTCTGGAGTCTTTTTTCCAGTCCTAGGCTGAGCCTTGGAACATGTGGCTAAAACACAAAATGAGTGCTGGACCTGCAGGATAATTTCTCTCATCACCCTGAGCTGAGATATAAACAAGACTTCCAGCTCAGAATGTGCAGCTTCCACAGTTCATGTTCACACTAACAAACATGTTTTAGCTACCGCATGAACCACTTTGCTTTATGGCTATAAGGTGCGGCATATTGCGTACCCACGAGAAATGCAGAGGAAGAAAAGTAGGTAATAAATAGCAGAAAGTCTCTGGGCGGCCCTAGAATTTGGAACTCCCTTACAAGTAAGACCCATCTTGCCTCCTTTCCAGTGGCCTCTAACCACTAGGGGAAGACTTCCTTTCTAGCATTTGGCCTGCTGTGCTCTTCATTTCCAGGTTAACTGGACTCAAAGCCTGTATGGTTGCCACATCTCCAGAACAACTTCTAGAAGTAATTGTTGTCAAAAATGGGCAGATTCAGTGTCAAGACTAGTAATATTTGAGAACACCAGTTAGTCAAGTCACCTGAAGGCCACTCCCGCCATTTCCTTAACTTACAGGGGTCTCTCCAAGACTTATTGCCTTGATATAAGAGCAGCCCTCATGCAAGTGGGCTGTGACAATTATTGCACTCCTGTTTTTGGGACATCGTTGCTACCAATGCTAATTATTGTTTACATGGCAATACAAGCAAAAAAGGCATAGATTTGCTCATGTCCTGCTGGGTTCAGAAAGACAGAGTACATTTTTCAAAATATGACTCCATTCCAGCCATTGGTTGCTGATTCGACATGGTGGCCAACAACATATGCAAGTGTGGAGGTGGAATTTACATATGCCCTTGAAAGGTAGGTTAAAAGCATTCATAGTAGCTGCAAAATACTTGGATTTCCGCCACCTTTAGTTCTGATATTGTCAAGTCAGAGGACACACAACACCTCCCCCTTCCAATATGGCTTTATTCCAGCCTTTAAAGCCATCCAGAGTTCCATATTGCAGCACATTATTGGTTACAACGGAAGCCTATTTTGGTTGTAGCTTCTGGGATTTGTTATTTGGTCCTACCAAGGGCCTTCACGGTTGTTTGGGTAATTGACTGTAGCAGTCTCCCAGCCCAGAGAAAGTATTTATTTGTAATCTTGATTCTTAGTTTATTTCCTACGGCAAAAGGAAAGATCCCACCACTTGGGTGGCTCAGGAAACTGGCTTCAACTGCAGGTACGTGGACTTGAGATGGTTATTGTCCTGGAACCCTCAGAGACTCTTATTACAATAGCTTTCCTAACAGATGCTGCAGAATGTGCCAGCTATTCCCCCACCGCATTCTAGCCATCGTTTACACAAAATGGATCAAATTCCACACACATGTGACAAATTTGTGGGAATTTGGTTACTGTTCCATGTAGAATCTCTAAGCCAGAGACCCTGTTTGTACTCACTGTTACACTTTCTCCCTCTCTCTCCCTCTCTGTTCCTTTACTTGGAGAAATTCATTATCCCTCCTCAGGGAAAGAGTGGGATAATTTACTGCTTATTAGGCTAACTTTCCACTTGCTGTTGCCAAGTATGTCTGGCATATTTCTCCATAGTGTCAAACACTGTAGTTTTACTGCAATAAACTCATGCCTCTTTGGAGAGGACTTGGTTCTCAAGGGTTTTTCCTGATTGCCTTGGCTCCCGGAAGGGGGCAGGAAGGATTCAAAAGGAAGTACACTGGGCATTGCATTGCTTCTCTTCAACTCCATTTGATTTTCCTTTGCATGGAGCCCACCAAACCCTTTCCCTGGCCCGACAAGAGAGGGAGGCATAATAGTCCTGTCCTGCTTTATTGATAGAGATGCCAAGGAGTTGTCTTCTCTGTATTTATGGCTAGCTAGAAGGTGGTCCTGGGATGGGAGTCATTAATAACTGCTACAGGGCTATTGCGTTTCATCTGCATTAGGAACTGCATTACAGCATGTCATCGGGTTGGTGTGTGGGCCCCATTTTGCTTGGCTTAAAGAATCTGGAGCAGTTTGCATCAAGTGAAGGCAAAGGAGAAAATAAATCACAGGGCCCCATCTGCTAAAACTGGCCAAACCAAGAATGAGAATAGCAATCCTTTGCTCCATCACCTCTCATGTCACAATCCCTTCACCTACCAGCTGATCAGGCTAAGGTGTGTAGACAGGAAATCACAAGGCATGGATGAGCAAATAGCTCCCTCTTGTGGCTCTGTAGCAGAAGTTTTTTCCTCTCTTTCCCAAGAATAAAGTACTGTTTGCTTAGATTTTAATATCGGAGAAAGGGAATTGGCAGACAAGTATCAGGTCCTTCCACCAGTTATAGACAGACACTTGCATGCATGGGAAGGCAACCAGGTTTCACATCCTATCATCACTGTTGCCGTGACCTTTCAAACTGTCACGAAATTTCATTTTCCAGGAAAAATAGCTTTGGGACCTTTCCCAAGGCCAGTCTCCAGGGAAGTAGTTTGAGTTCAGGATCTCGGATTCCCTCAGTTTTCAATGTCAGCACGTGGCAACAAATAACTTCTCTGGGTTTTAGCAATGTTAATGCTTCAGAAGTAGCATTGCCTACATGGGTTGGCAGAAGGTAGTTATTGGTAGCTTGCTGGATGATTGCAAGGTATAGCCTCTTCCCCATCACTTTGTTCTGAAATAACTTGGATGTAGAGCTGCCTTGAGCCAGAGAAATGGTGCAGCTAGTCCAGCATTGTCTAGGCTGACTGGCAGTGGCTCTCCAGGGGTTTTCAACAGGGGTCAATGCCAGCAGGAAGCCTAACTATGCCTTCCCCTCTAATTAAGCCTTGTGGAGAAGTGGGGTGGATTCTGACTGCATTGTTGTCTTGGTTCTCTACTCTATTAACTCAGTCCATGAACCTTCTTTCCATAGTGATCATCTAACACAGGCTCCCTCTTTCCCCAAATGTCTTTTCATAAGCCCTTCTACAGCAGAGATGGGGAACCAGTGATCCTCTAGCTGTTAGTGGACCACCATGCCCATCATCCCTGACCACTGGCTGTGCTGGCTAGAGCAGATGAGAGTTGTCCTCCAATAACAGAAGGGAGGACCATAAGTTTGCCCTTCTGTTTTACAATGTCTATGAGGACTAGTGTGATGCGATGCCCACTTTCTATACCATTGTGGAATGCTGGGCCAGTAATGGAAAGAATATAGAATCATGGGAAAGAGCAAGAGGAAAAGAAGTGGGTTGCTGATAGTTGGAAGGGAACAGGCACAGGAGTCCCCTGGTCAAGCCCAGCTCCAGAAGCACACACTTTTAAAGTCATACTTATGGTCACAGACTCTCCGTCTCTTAAATCCGATCTCCATTCTACATAAAAAAATAAAATTAAGCAAGAGCCTGTTAAGAAGGCACCAATAACCACCAGTATTTAATGTAGGATTTTCACATTAACAGAGGGCAATACACCACAAGAAACATATTATTTTACTTACATTACTACATTGCATAAATAAGTAAAGGTTGTCCACACAAGGATAAGTTAAGAGAACAGTAAAACATGAAAAACAATGGGGGCAGTCAGAGAACCTGCACAAGCAACACTGACGCAACAATTGGGGCAGTCCTGCTTTCACCTACATTGCTGCTAAGATCTGAATGACCCAAGCTTAAGATCTAGAGTAGCTGAAACTGGTTTTGCCCACTATGATTGCTTCCCCTGACTTTTTTTTTTTTTTTTTGGCACTTTTCAGTCTTGCCTATGACCTCCCAAGTGTTAGCAGCTTTCTGCTTCTTTGGCTGAAGCTACATACCAGCTTGGGGGTTGGGGAGATGAGGAACATAGAAGCAGCTAACCTGTGAGTCTCTGGGTGTGGTCGGACCCCAAACTCTTTATCAGCTCCAGACCATATGGCTACTTGTTGTGGGTGACAAGAGGTTGAGTTGAACAACACCTGGAAGGCCACAGGTTCCCCATCCCTGCTTTAACAGGGGTGTATACATCTCTACACATCAGAAGACCATTTGACAGGGTCCCTGACACGGATTTAGGACTGTTTTTAGAATAAAAAGAAGCTCAATCCTCTCATATTTAGGAAATTCAAATATACAGTGCCTTTGCAAAAGCCTTTGAACCAAATCTCTCTGAGACTAAGGCAGAAGCCAGTTATCAGGAATAGTAAGTGACCCTCCAGATGTTGTTCAACTCAGCCACATTAGCTGGTGCTGATGACAGTGTACTGGTAATAGGTGGGAGTTTTGATAGGCGTTTTGTCCAACACAACTTGGAGGGCCACAGGTTCACCACACCTGACCCAGACAGACACTTGTTCCTTTAGGTGCAGGGGAAAGCTTAGCAAATACAGAGCTGCAAATAGCAGTATTGCTATAGCATTGCACCACCCTCCCACCTGCCCTCTTCTCGTTGACGGAAGGAAACAGGAACATTTCTTTTATTCATCTTGACAGCCTCTCCTCCTCTCCAGGGAGCAAGTCAGTTAGCCTTCTGTATTTGCAAGTTCCTCTCTTTCAGTGCATTTTCAGCAGATTGTTAGTCATTAAACTGTCAGCCCCCTGTCCTGCCTGAGCAACGTAGATCAGAGCCTGGGCCACAGACAATGGGAATGTGACAGGTAGGGGGCAGTGAAACAGACTCCATCAGGCAGAGCCTCAGCCAAAACGCTGTCTTGGCAATCAGCGCTGATGGAAGAATAATCGTAGCAGGCGGAAGGCAAGTGTCTGTGGCAACAGAACTGGCGGCCTTTTGAGGGGAGAAAGATGTAATCACATTGCAGGTGATTCACCAGACATGCTAGCATTCAGCCAAGGAGCCCTTGGGCTCTATTTTTTTAAAGGGGCAGTTTGCAGAAATTATTTCCTGCTACCGCTGCTCTTAAATGAGGGATATTGCTGGACTACAATTCCCAATCATCCCCAATAATAGGACATGCTGGCTGGGCTAACTGGAGACTGAATCCAACAACATCTGGAGTGCCACAGGCTCCCCGCATCCCTGGTTTAAGATGTCCAAGTTCGGATACGTCCGACGCTGGGATTTGTGACAGATGAGCCACAGGCCTGAGGGAGATCCCTGCAATCTGGGAGAGGCAGCTAAGAGCACAGCTACTTCTCAAATCCCATCAGTAACCACAACAGAGAGACTTCCATACAAAGAGAGGCCAAGATGAGCCTAGCTGCCAAGGGGATCTGAAAGCTTGACTCTACTGTGGATGCTAATGGGAATTGCAGGGGTAAAAGAAACAGTGTGCGTACACACTAAAAGCCAAAATCAAAAAACAAACAAACAAACACCAGCCACAAAACAGGACAGTGTAAGCCAAGTCCCAAAGAACTGTTAGAAAGATGGACAGCTCAGAGAACAAGGCATACAAAGCAACCTCTCCAAAGAGAGGCTATACTGCAGATACTGTCCAGTCCATTCCCAGGCTAGACAAGTGGTTGAATAGTGGTTTCCTCATGTTCAGTGGAAGAGTCTGTTATTCTGGCAGACACACAGTTGTAGGCCAGGCTCCAATAAGTGAGGTTAGAGGGATAAGCGAGTCCTGACTCACAGCTTGGGAGTAGCAGACATTATCCACAGAGCTGCAAGTCTTTGCTGTGTGTAGATATATATTGATATAAAGAGAGAGACCGACCATTGAGTGGATCTTCAAATGGAAGACTCCTTTGTCGAGGAACCATGGAATCGAGTATATTTACGGGAGTCCTGTACCAGAAGGAGAATAATTAGTACATTTGTACTGAGCTGTGCTTGCAAGCATTAGGAAAGGATAGGAAGCCACGGAAACATTTCACCACATTACACCTCTACTTCCTGTTGAGAAGAGCAGATTTAAGGCTAAGGACCATTTTAACCCACTCTTCTAGCTTGGTTGCTTCTCTGCACATCTTCCTTTCATTCACGGATGCTGCCAACAGAAATAGCCTACTCAAGGCAGTTTGAGGACTAACATTAACACTTTAAATCTATTCACTAGTTTTATCTGTCAGATAAAAGTTAACCATCCTGACAGCAGCTTCTTGGTCAATTCTTGGCAATGAGTTTAGGCATCAAGCTACAGACACACATCACACACTTAAAAAGAATCTTTGCAGCCTCTGTGGTGCAATGGGTCAATGTGTCTGGATGTTAACCAGAGGTTGATGGTTCAGACCCACCCAGGGGTGGCTGTGGGCAGGATGCCTGCATTGTATGGAGCTGGACCAGATGACCCTTAGGATTCCTTCCCACTCTACAATTCTATGATTCTATTATTCCAAAAGGCAGTTCTGTAAGTCCATAGGCTTCATACCAAAAAGGAGAACATGAGATTGCAAGCTGCTGCTGCTTATACATGGTAATGTATACATACAGAATTGAACTCCCCTTTCCTGTCCTCAGGGGACCTAAGACTTGCTCAGATCACATTGATGGCTGGAGAGGAAGCAGGTTTCTGTAACTAGGGAAGATGAGAAAACTCTAACCTCTGAACCTTGCTGTCACTCTCTAAGATAGGATGGTTCAGTTGCCAGCAACTGGCCTACCTAAATTCAAGTCAACTTCTAACATGATCTTACTCATGCTGCATAGATTTACTAGCCTGCCGTGTCACACACTTGTCTGCCAAACTTCTCGAAATTAAGCTGCTCCAGAAAAAAATATGGAGCCTTAATTCAGAAGGAAGGAGCATCCAAATGCAAAAATGGCCATCAGCCAATAGGAGCAGAGGCATCAAGTTCAATTCCCCAAATTTGGAAAGGAAAAAACCAGCCTTTTGTTACACTGGGAAAGAAAGAGTTCAACTACCTAAGAGCAGCAGGGCAGATGGGCTTAGGGCTCCCTCCTACACTGGATCAGGGGTTACAGGATTCAGTGGAAACCCTGCTGCACTGGAAGAATGCCACATGTGTCACTGCCATAACAGATATGCTGGCAGAACGCTCAGCCAGTGACATACGTATCTGGAAAGCGTCACAGCTATAGGCAACAGAGACAAGCAGCACTTATGCTGGATCCCGTACCCCTTCAATACACATCCATGTCAACATCAACAGTAAATCTTTATACCAAACATGGCACAGAAAATTTCCCTTCCAGTTGCTCCTCTGTAGGGTTAGCCACTCAGCACAAAAACTCTGCTGGGATGATTGGTCAGTAACCATGTACATGCCTCTTTATCTTTTCAGATCCACTCTATCAGGTGCCATTCAATAAAAAAAATCAATGTTCCATAAGTGTTGAATCAGGTTCAAGTGGCTTTAGGATGCAACTCTTGGAAGGAGGGTGGTAGGGAGGTTGGATGTGACTTGGGTTCCCCCACTTCCTGTTTCCTCTGGCTCCACAGATGGGTTACTGAGAATGCACCAGGGGGCTGAGTGTTGCTGCCAGGGGATATGAGGCAGTCAGTGAGGGATGGGATGCTACCCAGAAAGCAGACGCCATCAGGCACAGGGTGGTTGGTTCTATGGGCTGCCAGGGATCTGAGGCTGGTGTGCAACTATGTGGGGTGGGGTATTTGAGGTGCTGGATCCCTTCCTACAAGGCTGCCTGGGGCCTCTTGGGAGCCGCGCTACTGAGGCTCACATGTTGGGATGCTGTGTATTGAGGAAGCATGGTGGTAGCTAGCATGGCTCCACTCACAAGCCAGCCAGTGTGGTTTGGCTCCCTTTTTTCTGGGCAGAGTGGGAGGTATCATTTCTACTACATTCTGAAACTGGTGGACAATAGCAGTGTTTCCAAGGAAGTTGGGGTCATGGCTGGTGTGTCTTCCCTCCATTCCCCACTCATGTCCAGGGCTGAGCAGGTACTGCATTTAGTAGCCATTCCAGTCACATAGCAGTGGCATATTCCAGGCCCCAGCACCAACACAGCTTAGGGCTGCTCCGTTAGTCATGTGAGTGATGCATCTAGAGCTCTAGGCTTATTCCCAGACTTCCTGTTGTACTCAGGATAATTTAGGGCGCCACATCAGTGCAGACAGATATGAAATGCAGGCAATAGCTAGCAGCAACCCCCTTCATGAACCAACCCCATTATGAGTGCACAGTGATTGTTCTTCCAGCTGGCCTTACCATGCTAACATTCTCCTTGCTGCCGTGCTTCTGCTCTTTCATGCCTGCTGATTCCAAAACTGCATCCTTCCCTTTTTTATCCAAAGACCCTTGACTCCCCAGCACCTTACGCTGCATGAAGAAAAGGAAAACACTGGGATTGTGACTGGGGAACAGAAAGAAAAAGGCAACAGAACAGAATAGGGCTTATTTATGGAAGCCTGAATATGTACACCCCATACCATCAGAAAGCTTATGCATCTGGACAGCAGACAATATGCCCGATATGTACACCAGCGAGAAGTAACTTGAGCAGCACCACTGCAGCTGAAGTTATTGTTAATGGTAGAAAGAGCCATACCTTGATTAAGCCACTGAAGGAACGAGTGCGAGCCCGCTTCTGGGTCCGGGGTGTGGGTACACCTGCCTGAGGCGTGAGAGCTTCAGGGTGCTTCTGAAACTAGAACACACACTTTATAGCATGATTAGTTCTGCAGCATTGCCCACCTGTCCCAAAGATTGATCCTGGTTCCCATTCCAAGCACAAAGCCCCATTCATGCCTCTTTGCTCCAGTCAATTACCCAAGTCTCCCTTCTACCTGTTGAATGAGCTTCTTTTTCTTGGCAGAGTCTGGCATATTATGAACATGGTGGAAGAGCTCTTTCAGTGCTTCTTCTGTATGTTGCTGGGTGTCTTCTTGGTGGGCAGAGGGATCCACCAGTCCTCGCTTCTTGAATTTCCGAAGCTGGAAGTCTTTGAAATTTCGGGGCACAGGCAAGTCCAAGTCATCCTGCAAAAATTCAAAAGAACACTCTGCACTTCAGGCTGTTTTGTCCTATAAAGACCATCAGCACCCCACTCCCAATGATAGCTATCTTGCCTTTCATCACACTAATAAAGGTAGTCTGAGCTTCATAACCAGTAGCAAAGTCAGACCTGGGTGAACAGCTGAGGGCCCAATCTTTTCCTCTCTCCCCAAAATATGCATATGCTATACTAAATGTTGTCCTGTTTTTGATAGTTAAATGAGAATTTGTTCCGTTCTCTAGAATTTTAGCTTAACGAACACATTTTATTAGAGGGGATATGTAGCAGTCCAAGTGGCAAAACTGGGGTCTAACTACATCTTTTCTGCCTTCCTAAGGAATAGATTTCCCCCAAAGAATCCCTTATTGGAAATTCTCATGAACTAGACTGTTTTAGTCATCAGTTTGCTGACCTGCTGGTGCCCATGTTGGGTGCTCCCTTTCATGACCAATGTCATGGACTGCTCTTACCTTTGAGGCATGTGTTCTGGAGTCCAAGTAATGCAGCCTTGCACATTCCCGGATATATGAGGGAGCCTTGGAAGGAGAGTGAAACAGAAGGAGTCAGACACAATTAAGCTAAAGTCTCCCTAACTCTGAGGTTCCATCCTATAGCAGTTGCTCCAAGCACTCACCCCGCCAGACCAGCAACTTCATCTTTGAATGAAATCCATGCAAAATCTTCTGAAGCATGCTTCCTTTATAGGTAGGAGGGTCACCCAGGGCAAACATTCAGTCCTTTATCATCTCAGATATGTTGCATGCTACCAGATGCTTTAGGAGTCTTACTTTTTGACAATTAAATGTGAACCTGCCTAGTTTTCTAGAGATTTTAGCCATTAATAGGGATATTTATTAAGCTAAATGGCAAAGAGGGACAGATGAGGACCCAGAGAGCAGCCTCAGAGGCCATGATAGTAACTGATCAGGAAAGGGGCACTGCCTGGTTAAGGCAGAGTTTGGTATGGTAACTACAAGGACACTCACATGTGCAGGATATCCTGCCATTTAGAATAGGAGGCCTTGTTTTCACATATCAGTGCCACTTGTGATCTACCCAGCAAAGGGAGCAGGCACAGTACACAGCACCTCCAAGGAAGTAATAGATAAAAAGATGTCAGGCTTGACAGTGTCAGGACTGTGCACAGAACATATTTTCCCCCAGGAGGGGACAGCCTGAGACATTTGCTAAGCAGATACTGAAAGAGAGATAGAGATTGTCCCTTCCTTTTGAAGCACCTACCTTGAAGAGCTTCTGTGAGTGCTTGATCATAAAAGCCATCCCGTTATTTAGCTTGGGAATGTTTTCCTGTAGGTCACTGGCAGTCACCTGGCAACAGTGGGAAACACCAAAGCAGAATCGTTAGGAGAGTGTAAGTAAGATGCAAGCTCCCTGGTACAGGTAGGTGTATTTTCAGGAGTTAGGACACAGCAGCCAAGCTGGGATAGGACAGATGAACTCCTTCCCAGCCTGGTTTTTTGTACTGCTGCCTAAAAATCTAACACCACTTACATTTCGAGGCCACAAAATGTGAGGTGAAAACATAAGAGCCAGGTTATGAGCTGACATCTTGTTCCTGTCCTGCTTTTTGGCTGTCTGATAAAGCAGATCCAACAGCAATTTGAGCAGGCTGCGATTGGGGGCTGGCAGGATCAAGAAGAGGAGCTGCAGTGCTTCAATCTGACGCTGCTTATCAGGTATGTTGGTCTTGTTGCCCTTGTCATCAAACTGCATCAGATCTATTAACAGGAAAACATCTCAAGAAACTTCAGCTGCACACACATTTCAGGAAACTATACACTATTTTATCAACTGCCCATTCCCAACTTGCCATCACACTCCTTTGCACTCTTCTTTTCCTCAGCATAAATCAGAAATCCCAAAGGTTTCATGCTTATATATTCCTATTATGACATGGGCAGAGAAAGTAGGCCTTTCTCTGATCCTAACCCAACAGCTTTAGCACTGAACAAGGCAAACCCCAAATTATTGATGCTAACAACCTGTGGGCTGGTTCCCACTTCCCTCCAAGGCTGACTCACCTGAAATTTTGAGGTGTGCATGGAAATGTTTATGGGTCAACAAAGGCTCTGGTAATTCTCCCAAGAACATCTTCAGCAGAGTGGCCACATCATTGGAGTGAAACTCCCCTGAATCCAAGTCAATTTCTGTCCCACTGTTCAAGGCTTCTTTCAGGTTCTGCTGCCTGGTACTGTTTCCTGGCACTCGGAACAAGCCTTCAACCCGCAGATCTGCACCATGAGAAGAAAGACAAAAGGCGTATCAAGAATATGTTAGATAAAATGTTGTCCTCTTCTAGGATATTGACAAAGCTTCTTAACCTTTTATACTTTCCTTATCTTCCTGCCACATTATGTGAACATCCTACAGAGGTCTAGTACAAAAAAATCACTAAACATTTGATATGGGGGGGGCAGGAAAAGGTTAGTGTCTAGAATCACATAGCTCCTAGGACTTCTTCAGCTCAGAAGTGAGTTAAATCTGTGCCCCCAGACCAGTCCACTATCCTTGACTAAACAAGATAGAAAGGAAACCACAAACCACTTACTCTTATGCAGATACTCTATCAGTTGAGATATTTGAGCAATACCTTCTTCAGTCAGTGGAGCTCCAAAAACCACCCCTTTCTCTAGAGATGAAAAGGAGGAGATAATGAGTAACCAACATCATCAACTGTTGTGAGACCCAGAATTAAAAAGCCCCAGTTCACTGTGTTCACTTCGACCTTTTCTCTTGCAAAGGCTACTCCTCATCTCCTCAGGTTTTAAAGAAAAGCAAACAAAAAACTCTTACTGTGATCTGGAAAGGAAAGTATGCTGTAAAACAGATACTTGGGTTTTCTAAACTTGGATCTGTTTCAAAATGACCCAAAGGAACAGATTCCACAGAAGGATAGGCAATATATAAAAACAAACTTCCTGGAGCAAACCCAAAGTCCATCTTGACAAGCATTCTGTTTCCAGCAGGCCAAATTGAACATTTCATAGCAATGATGGTCTTCCCTATTTGTCTCCATCATCTGAAATTCATAGGTACACAGCCTCAGCACATGGAACTCCATTTAGATACCCGTAGGCTGATGTTTCTCTTCTCTCCTCACATGCCCCAAATTCTGTTCAATGTGTTCCCTCAATTCTCTGGAGCAGTTCTGGGGAGGGTGTGGGGAGCACATGGCGGAGGAGGGGTGGGAGGAAGCATTAGCAGAACACTGCCATATACATTTAGCAGCTTTAAAGGGGAATAGAAAGTCCCTGTCTCAGGGCAACCGCTGAGCTCCTTTGTTAATATTAAGCAACAGCATTCGGAGCCCTACCATCAGTTTATAGATAGATTGAAAGAATCAGTCACTAGGCAGATTGATAACACTACAGCTCAAAATGAATTGATGAAAAAATTGGCTTTTGAAAATGCAAACACCGATTGCAAGAAAGCGTTGCAGTCAATCATACATCGCCCTAAATATGACCTGGCCGATATGATTCAAGCTTGTGCGGATGTTGGTAGCCAGAGCCATGCAATGTCTTTGCTTGCCGGCGCAATCCAGGCTAGCAATAAGCCTACCGGCAACTGCTACAATTGCAAGCGCCCAGGCCATTTCGCTAAACAATGCAGAGCCCCTGGCGGGGGGGGGGGGCAAACAGGAATGGTGCTGCCAACAAGGCTAAGCCTTCCAAAAAATGCCCGAAATGCGGGAAAGGCTATCATTGGGCTAATCAGTGCAGGAGTCCGGGAAACTCCATAGCGGCCCCACTCTCGGGCCAGGACAAATAGAGAGCTTTCTGCCTTTAGTTTCTGCTGCTGAAAAATTTTCTAAAAATACACCCTCTGAATTTGCCATTGATTTGATCAATCAAGAGACCAAAGACACTGTTTTACCTGGTGAAATTGTGCTTATGCCCACCCAATTGGCAGGCCCACTACCTCCTAAAGTCGCAGGCTTAATTTTACCCAAATTTTCTGCGGCCAAAGAAGGAATCCAGGTTATTCCAGGAGTACTGGATCCTGACTATGTGGGCACAATAATGGTTCAAATTTGGAGCCATATGCCCATGCAGTTAAAGAAGGGTGAGTCCTGGGCGCATTTGGTGGTGCTCCCTTCTCACCCTACTGCTTCTATTATGGATAGTAATTTGCACAAGCTCTCTCCTTTTCCCCCACAGCTGTTAGCTGTAATCCAGCGGATTGGTGAACAGAAGCTTCTTCGTAAGTATATAATCAATGGCAAGGTTCTGGAAGGCTTGATTGACACGGGCGCGGACATTTCTGTAATTCCCAGTAGTTGCTGGGACCCCACGTGGCCCCTTGAGTCTGCCTCAGCAGTTTGGGGTGTAGGTGGACCTCAAACCTCTTCCAAAACCGTACAGTGGCTGCCTGTTTCTCTGCCTCATAGCTCTGAAACCATTGCATATATCCAGCCCTGTGTTCTGAAAATCCACCTCAATCTGTGGGGCAGAGACTTACTACAACAATTACAGGCTACCATTCAATTTAATGAGTAAGCTTGCACTCCCCCTCAACTGGAAATCAACCACCCCGGTATGGCGTGGGGCCAGATAAAATCACTCTCATTTCAGGCTGAACAGCTTAGAAAGGAAAAGCAGCTTGAAGCAACCCCTGAGAATTTGCTTCTGTGCCTCATCTCCTGCCTTATTCCTGTTTGCCATGACCCTTTTGATATACAAAATGATACCTGGTTTTTCTCATCCCTACCCCAAAATGATTCTCTCCGCACCCTTGGTTATTCCGGTTACTATGTCTGGGGTAACCAAGTGCGCCGACGCCCACCTCTGGCCATTGACTTATTGACCCCATACGTGGCTTCTTTTAATGTCACTTGCGCCCGTATGGTAAATTGCACAAAAACCAACTGTGTAAAAATGGGCAAGGATAATTTCCACTGCTCTAATTATGTGAATATTTCTTATGTATATAAATATACACAGAACTACCTGCAGGCTGGTTCTGGTCGTGTCCTGGCTATACATTTAATTACATTCCAGCAAACATCAGCCATGGAACACCCTGTTGCTTAAGCCATTTGTCCATCGTATTACCCAAAAAGCATCATTTGACCCGCTCTCGATATCGCCGCTCTATTGAATTGACTAACGATTGTGACGATTCAATTTCTCTTCCCAGTAGGTCTGAATATATCTCTTTAGCTGTTTCTCTCCTAGGAGTCCCTGGATTGGCTGTACGCAATAGTAGGAACATTAATTCTTTAGCTTGTTCTGCAGCAAAAGCCCTGAATTATACTTCTCAAGCTCTTCACCTTTTGAATAAAGAACAGAGTGAACTCCAGCATGGCCTTCTGCAAAACCGCGCTGCTATCGATTATTTATTGATGCTTCATCATTATGGCTGTGAACAAGTGGCTGACATGTGTTGCTTCAATATTACTGATAATTCTAAAGCCATTCAAAGCCAAATCTCTCATTTGCAAAATCTTACACACCACATTAAACAGGACGTTGGATTTTCTGGCCTCTGGGATTCTTTCACCCAGTGGCTTACCGCTTGGTTGCCAAACCTGACTTGGCTTCGTAATCTCTTTCAATATGCCATTGTCATAATATGTATATTAATTTTGCTATGTTGCTTCCTCCAATGCATTCCTGGACTCATAAGTCTTTTGTCTCGGCTTCTCTCTCCCCCTCAGCCACCCAATAAAATCATTGCTGCCTACTTTGCGAAATGGCAGCACCAACAGTAAACATTAGGGGAGATGTGGACGGACTTATTTCAGGCATGTGCTGGCATACCACGTATCCCGAAGTATTTTTGTCCCGTCAACCCTGGCGAACTTATTTCGGGCATGCGCTGGCATACCACGTATCCCGAAGTATTTTTGTCTTATTCACCCAGAACACCTCGCAAACAAGAAAAGAAAGGGGGAGATGAAGGGAAGCTCTGCTTCTGCACATGACTATGGCATGATGGGAAGTCTTGCTTCTAAGCTTTTCTCTGCTTCTGCACATGCTACACAACCCGTTCTAAATACCAAGACATTCCCTCATCTCCCTAGGATGTTCAGTTCATATTAAGTTCATGAAAACATTATACTCTGACCTGTTCTTAATGCATAGTTGACCACATCTACAGAACGCGATTATTATATTCTTTCATGTTATGATCAATCATTAGTAATTGTTTTAGTCTTGCTATATCAATCACCAGTTATAATTTAATTAGGAGGTTTCATGCCTGTCTAGTTCTGTGCTCCCTTTCCCAGCCTTTAATCTATTGGTGATTAATGCCTATATGTAACCTTTGCTTTGTACTTGTGTTAACCAATCAGCAACAAGTTGCTTTGTGTTTGTGTCAACCAATCAGCAACGAGCGCACCTGTGGCAATGTTGTAATATTCAATAAAAGAGTCTCCTCGGGGCTGGCTCGAGAGATGCCTCTCACATGACACTTGCTACTCGTCTGTCGTTATTTCAACCCAACAAGCTAAGGTCTCTCCCCAGCTCTCCTATTCCAGATGAAACAAGAGGCGCAGTCCGTTACTATTGCAGCTGTATGTAGTAAACTACCCCCAAAAGTGGATCTCATGTTGTGGGCAGGCATCTTTGCACACCACACCCTCCTCACTCTCTGCTGCTTTCCACCTCCTCTTCCAACCTTCCATAGGAGCACACACCCATGCAGTTTTTCCCTTTCTGTTTCGGTACTTTTTTTAAAACCTGCTTTAAAAAAAATTAAGATGCATATACTACCTTCTAGCATGGGTGGCACCATTATGGCTGCCGAAACAAGAGCTTTGTCCTCCATAAGAATGGAATTGAAAGGGATGATAAAGAAAACCATGGGTGGAGAACCTGTGGCCTTCCAAATATTGATGACTACAATTCCCATCATCCCTGATCATCATTGGCCGTGCTGGCTGGGACTGATGCGACTTTGAGTCCAGCAGTATCTTAGGGCTACAGGTTTCCCACCCCTTGTGTAAATCAAGTATTTAAATAAACATTGTCATTGTCTTACAGGCAATGACCGATTTAGCAGTGTCCGAATGACGCATAATCATGCACACAGCGCCAAACCCAGAAGTAGCCCTGAAGCATCATAAAGATGTCCTGGAAAGGGGCAGAACGGGGGTGGTACAGGGTGGGAGTAGAATGGGCTTGCGCACGCCCCGCCAACACATGCAGGGGTCCAGAACTGAACCCCCATGTAAAATGAGAATTGCCTGTACTGCCCTTCTTATTTTCTTTTAATAAGGAGCTGGTCTGCACTGTACTTGGACCAGAAAAGTTTTCACAGACTTCCCTGGAGTTGTTGCCACATATGTGGGACACTTAGCAGAGGCTGTACCCAGGATACCAAGGCTTAACATCAAAAAATTAAGGGGAAAATCTTAGCCAACACATCAGGCTCACCTTTGCGTTTCAGAGACATCAGGGAACGGAAAAACCCTGAGGATGTGCCAGGCAACTGAGGGTCCTCCTGTCCCATCAGCTGGGCTAGCTCTGCTCCAGGCAGGTCAATCAGCCGGGTGATGTTACTGACCACAAGCTCTGTGAATGCCTCAGGTTTCTCATGTCGCAGCTTCTCCACAAAGAAGTCTGGATTGAAGATGATCTGATGCCGCTGAAGGGAGGAGTCATTGCAGATAACTAAACTGCAAATGGCATCACTTGGGAGAGAAACAAAGATACATTACTTTGGGAGACATACCTGAACACAAACTAAAATACTCAGCTACGCAGGAGCCACCTGCAGATCTGGGGTAGGGAATCTATTTCAGCCTAAGGACAGCATTCCCTCATGGACAGTCTTCCTGGGAGCCACATACCAGTGGAGGGTAGAGCCAGAGGCAGGTATGTGAGTTTTTATACAATAAGGTACATCCACCACGTAAAAGTTTCTAAAACACACACACAAAGCCCTGCAGCAAGGCAAGAAAGTGATGTTACAATAATTAAGAATAGATTCAACCCAGATAAAAGCACTTAAGGATGCAGGGCTGGTGACGGGCTTTGGCAGAGTCCTGAGAGCTGAATAGAGAGGCTTGGAGGGCCACATTTGGTCCCCGGGGCCTGAGGCTTCTTATCCTTGCTGTAGATACAAGCACAACATGTATAAATCAAGTCAGGTGGGGCTGACCAGATAGCACATCATTTAGCAATCAATCAAGTACAACCTGCAGATAGTCCTTCAGCATGGTCTCTAACTGTTTGAGGGATGCACTCACCTGTCATATTACACATCAGACCCTACAGAGGGCAAGACCTTACAACTGGCCAAAGTTTGGTATTGAGATCCTAATCAAAATATTTAACAAAAAGACCAACAATTTAACTTACATTCCAAATTACTAAGCATGTATGAAAATAATCTAGAACAGATTTGAGGTAGAGATTGCATCATCTTCTGAGACGTGACATTCTGTGCAAGGTTTCTCTCTATGCAAAGAGAGCAAATTCCTGTTTTATGAGGGGGTTCAGTTGGACTCAACAAATATAATTATCTGTTTTCTTAGAGGTGAAGTATTATGAAAAATTTGTTGCAAGTCAAACATTTAAAGACACACAGGAAGAAAGGCTGTCACATGAATTTAACCAAATTATCTCTTATGCACTTGAATGCCGTGATGCAGTGGGATATTTTTACGAAGATTACCTGAAAGCCTGTAGGTAATACCCTGCTGCAGTGCCAGCCTAGGGGTGAGTTGTAACTGGACAGTAGGTTCTTAATTGGAGCAATTAAGTTGGCAAAATCACTCCAAAAGCAGCAAAGCATGGAGAAGTACTGCTTTCTCCAACCACTTGGTGAGTTGGCTGCCAAGTGCAGTCTGATTCCAGTACTGCTCGGTAGACTACCCTGCAGTTTGACGTGCTTAACAAGCCAAGGACAAGATGGAGCAGTTCAGCTCAAGCAGCTGGGAATGATTGTCGATTGACCTCCCACTTGCAGCACATTCTGCTGTCTTATACATGTCAGCCCAGGCCAGCTCCACCACTAAGTACGTTTTGTCCAAAACACATTGTAATCTAATTAGATCCAACTTTTCTCTACTTGCTTAATGCAGTAGTTAGTGTCTTCACCCAATAAAACTGATCACTCCACAGAATAGCTATGCCAGTTATTCACCCTTCCCTCCCCTGTGTCCCAGTCATGATCTAAACATTAAAGAAAATCCACTGAACTAAATTTGACTGTCATTCATGCAATACCTATTTGTGGGGTTTCAAATCTAAACTTCTAGGAAATCTGATAGCCCCTATTACTTAATAAACACAGAAAGTCAGATTGCTTACACAAGTGCAGAAAGCTTCTGATGAGGCATTGGAAAGCAGAGACACAGCGAGAAGAACTTGCTCCTTGTTTTCAGAAACAGATCTGCCTGCTCCAGCACAGCCTATGCAAATTCCATGCACACTAAACAACACAAAGACTCATTTATTAGCCCTCTTGGCACAAATGCATCAACCTTGATATGGAGCCAAAGCAGAACTCAGGCTAACCAACTTCTTCTCCACTTTTCCTACCCCACAGAAAGTGACAGATGGAACGCTAGGCATGTCACCTGCATCAGACTTGAACACTGAATAGAGAAAAGTGTCCTTGTCATATTCATTGAGACTCTGCCAATGATTTTAAACAATTACTTTTAAGAATTCATCAACTTTAAGCAAACCCTCACAATAGTTTAGACATCGCAGTTGAAAATAGCTCTTGGACTCATGCTGGTACATTCCCCTCATTCATGTCCAGTATATTATGTGTATATGCATGTGTGTGTGTGTGTGTGTGTGTATGTGTGTGTGTGTGTGTGTGTGTGCGTATTCACACAATATATACTCTTATCTCTACTGACTTTCCTTCCACATCTTCTGCATAAAATTCTTGTTTTTGCCTTAGTGCCTCATGACTGTGCCCTACCTGGTGGATCTGATGTCACTCACTGCTGGAGACTTCCAAAAGCTTGCAACCTTAGCACTTAACCCCCAAATTTTTACTTCTTTCACTGACATCACCATTCCCAGTTACTAGAAACCTTTCATGCATCATCTCCATCTAGACTTACTACACTCCTACTTTTCTTTATGCAGGCCTTTGGTTGAGTGGATATCCTCCCTCCTCTTCAATTACTATCCTGGGCTGTTGTTTTGTCAGTTGCATTACGGATGAATTTTGTGGTTAGATTTTTTGAGGTTTTATTACAATTGTACTCTTTTAGTTGTGATATTTTTCTAACCTGCCCTGGTTAGAAGGGCTGGCAAAAGGCTGGCTACAAGTAAAGAACAAAATAATTAATAAAAAGAAATCTTTTTAAAATCTCCCCTTTTCATTTTTTTCACTCCCCAGTGTGTAACTACATTTGATGTACATTGTATAAGATCATGGGACAGCCTGCCTCCATCATTTGCTGTCTCCCCCCACCCAATTTATTTTTAAATTTTATTTTAGGTACTCTCAAAAACCTAACAATCAAAAGAAAACAATACCATAAATAATTAGAGGTTACATTCCATCTCTTCTTGTTGCCTTTTTCTCATCTGAAACCAGCCTGAAGGATCTTTGGAGTACAGCTTTCCCCTTGTTTTAATTCTTTAATCCTCCATGCATTTGGGGCATACCGTAACAAAGAAATGGGCTTGCAGTCCATTTATTGTCTTGCCCTGACAACTAAAATCCAACCCAATTTTATGATTAGAGACCTCACAGCTGGAAACAGCCCTAAACCCCCTTATTCCGTGCTAAATTTTACTGGTCTTTGTAATTTTGAAAGGTCACTTTATCAGCAACACTCCCCCACACAAAAATATGCCTGCCTATTATTAACGCTAATTAAATGGAAATGCGAGACAGCACATACAATCAGAACCCTTCTCAGACAGCCCAGTCATACACAATAGAAAAAGCCCTGTACTGCAGCCATGTTAAAGGAGGAGGAGGATGTGTACAGCCCACTCCCCCAGTTTGCATAATATTAGAAAAGAGCAGTTACTGGTGTGGGCAGGGGGAGCAATCTTGTTTGCTTTGCAGCTTGGATTCTCTTCTTTTATCACCGAAGTATTGCAATCACCAGTGCAATAACCTTCAGTGTTGCTGCTTTACCCCCTCTCTATTCTTTGTGTCCAGTTAGATAGCGGGTGTCCAGGAGAAGGAAGAAAAGATTATTTGGTTTTTGTCACCAAGGTTGAAAAAAACCAAATTAGCAAGGGCAATGTTTTGCTCATGAAGGGGTTGGGTGGGGGGAAGGATGAGCGACAATGACATGAATGAGAAGACTTTTGTGAATGGAATAAAATCCTCAAGGACTTTGATCTAGTGCCATAGCAAAACAAAGGGGAGCTGGGCTCATTAGAAAGACAGACTAATGGAATTATGTGATCGCTTTAACTGAAGCAACATCTAGGCTTCTTATAGTAGCATATATTTTTTCAGTCATGCACAAGGCTGAGCCTCTGACAGCTTCCAGAACTTTTAACTTGGTGCTTAGGACCCTGTGCTTAAGTACCTAATACTTGGAGCTGAAATATCTGAAGAGCACCTCTAATATGTACTGACTCGCCTGGGTGTTAAGGTCGGCAGTGTAGATCCTACAGGTGGTTTGGGCCATGACAGAGTGTGGGAGGGCCTTCTTTGATGTGGCCCCTAGCTTGTGCCATGCTTTTCCTCTAAGATGCATCTGGCTGTATTATTGTAACTACATTGTCAGTGGGTCAAGACACACTTCTTTGCATAGGTCTTTGGGCGTACAGGATTAATTAAGAATATGCATTCCACTGCAGTTTTGTTACTGATGCTGCTTGCTTTGATATGCTTCAATATATGGCAAGGCATGTTAATTGTATGTAATTCAACATGGGATTACAGGGTGGAGTAGGCTATAAAATACATATAAATAAATATAAAGAAGGTGAAGAACACCCACAAGCATTCGAGGTAAGGCCACAGTAGAAGATGATTGTTCAGTCACGGCAGGTACAGAGGGATATTAATAAGTAGAACAGTTAATTTAACAATAAAAGATATTGCAAGGAGCAATTGGCCCGGGGGGAAATATTGATAAGAATTGATTAAGCACAGAACAGTGTCTGCTTAACATATAAAATATTGACAATGTAATCTGTGGTTTGAACCATGGTATATTTGTATCAGTGATAGGATGCTTGTGCTATCATCAACTACTGTTTGGAGAATGAAAAGCTAATAATTATTATTGTTCATACTTTTTGCATTTCATTTTCCTCTGATTTTAATCCTCACCAATGATGTGTACATATACCTGCAACTCAGGACAACACTTCATGCATCTGAAAGATTGCAGCCCTTTAAGGTTATGTCATAAAATAAGTGTTAAGAAAACTTTCCTCCTGTAATCTCCAACTTCCAGAGGGTCAGTATCAGAGCCTTGCAGCACCATATTTCAAGGAATAAAGGCATTAAAAGTGATTGCAAAGAAAGGCCTTTTAACAGTGAAGGGTGGTCAGAAAATAAACTATGGAAGAACCAACTGCTTAATAAAACATGCCTGTTGTGGAGAAATGAATACTGAGCATTCATTTTGGCATTTCTTACAAACAGTCATGCTGTCTGTATCAAAGGCCTAAGCTAATGGATGACTTCGAAGATTACATTGTAAGATCAAACACAATTGCTCCAACTGCAGCTCCTAAAAAAACTGGTGCTCCCTGAAAAATATAGCAGAAAATAAACTATTAACTCTACAGCAGACTCCATCAAGCTTGAGCAAAGAAGCCATTTAACCTACAGGATGAGAAGAATAAACATGCTGAAGCTCTGGAAAAAAATCAAAAGGTCACAAAGCAAGGAGGATGTTTCTAGAATAGAAATTTTATTTTATTACACAAGGAACTTGCCACCTTTCTTCTAGTAGTGGCACAACTATTCATAGCAAATGGTTGTATTAGCAACGGTTGTAGCAAAGTAGCAACAGTTGTATTATTAACCCGTTAACACATTGCATTTATTTCTTGATATATTTACATCCAACAATTTCTGCAAGGAGCTAAAGATGGCTACATACTTCTTCCTCTCCCCATTTTATCCTCACAACAAGCCTATGAGTAGGTTAGTGCTGAGAGAGGTTGACTGGCCCACAGTCACCCAGTGGGTCAAGCAGAGATATGAAGCCTGGTCTCCCAGATTCTAGTCCTACACTAACCAGTACACCACATTAGCACCATTCCTTTGAAATTAGGGCAGAAAACCACACTTTGTACTTTAGGCGGGCACACTGGCACATGGAAAGACAGTGTGGCATAGTGGCTAGTGCCAGACTAGAACCTAGGAAACCAAGGGTTCAGTTCCTCACTCGGCCATTAACATCACTGGGTGACATTGGTCCAGTCACTGTCTCTCAGCACTAACCTACTTATAGGCTTCTTGTGAGGATAAAATGAGGAAGGGGAAGAACCATGTACATCACCCTGAGCTCCTTGGAGAAAAAACTGGTACTGTATATAAATGCAATAAATAAAACAAATATCTAGAAGAACCACATGTCAACTAGATTGGAACTTTGACATCCTCTGTATCTCTCCTTCATCCCACCCAACAACCACCCTAAAACCTTTCCCAGTCCCGAATCACTAGGATTTCCCTTCATAAGAACATAAGACGAGCCAGCTGGATCTAGTCCAGCAACCTGTTCTCACAGTGGGAAACGACCGTGAGGCTGCTCTCCCCTGCTGAAGTTTCCAGCAACTGCTATTGGGAACCCTTGCTGCCTCCAACTGTGGAGGTATTGCACAACCACATCTTGGCTGGCAGTCATTGACAGCTCTCTCCTCCATGAATTTGTCTAATCCTCTTTTCGAGCCGTCCAGGTTAGTGTCAATCACTGCCTCCTGGCAGGGTGAGTTCCATAATTTGACCAATTATGACCTCGTCTTTCATCTATCCTAAATCTTCCAACATCCAGCTATATTGGATGCCCACGCGTCCTAGTGTTATGAGAGAGGGAGAAAACCTTCCTCTATTATGCCACGAGTAATGTTATCAGATTCTTCTGTCGTGTCGCCCCATACTCACTCCCATCTCTGCTCCACCCCAGTCTTCCTCCTCGCCCAGGCGCGTCTAGAGGGAGAAGGGAGATCTGCCTCCTTCGCTCTCCTCAGCCCCTGGGCAAAGAGCAAGAGCAGACGGGGTGCTTCAGACCATTGCACCTCCGCTCTATGAAACAGCTTGCCCTGGAGGCAGGACCACAGGCCCCACGTCCCAAGGCCACACAAATGCTTGAGGCACCACCGCGAAAGGCTCGTATGCCCTATGCCTTGTTTCTGTCTCAACCCGCCCTCACCTGACCCACTTCAGCTTCTCAAAGATTTCTCGCCACGCTACCTCGGCCCGCCCGGCCGACAGACCAGCCGACCTACCTGCCCGCTCGTTTCTCTCCTCCTCTCCCCCTCAGAGCCGACTCCGCCGCCATCTCATATCTGCCGCCTTGCCTTCCGATTGGTCGCTTCAACTGCAAAAGCCGATTGGTCGTTTGCAAAATAGTCCCACCCGCCGCCGCCTCGTGGCCGCGCAGCCATTGGCCTGTTCGAACACGGCAAACGCCTAACGACCATCAGGCCTGGAAGCGCCGTTGAAAACCGAGGAGAGGGGAGGAGGAGAAATAACCCACAAAGACAAGTGGGCGGGCGGGAGAGCAAACCCAGAATGGGGCTTTAAGCTTTCTGGGGCTTGTAGTCTTCTCGGCGACATTTCCAACGCCTTCTTGACAGCTACGGTGTTATGCTGTGACCCGGTAGGCGAAAGGAAGCGTTTTCAGCCCTTAGAAGCGACAGCTCTCCCCATGTCCCTCGTATATTTCCTGCGCCCTTAACGATATAGGTAGTAGTTGTCGCAGAGATGCAGAGCTGGTGTGGCAAAAGGTCCACTTGTGTGAGCTCTCTGCCCTTCCAAGTTGGTAGGTGTCCTAATAAGGTTGCCAACTAACCATTAAAATAAGCAGGCCAGGACTGCTCTTGCGCCTTCCCTAGAAAGTCGAGACACAGAAATCAGCTGAAAAAGCACAGCTACAGGGACCAGTTCAACAAATGTGTATTCTACTAGAGTTACGGTCTTTCCCCCAAAAGTTGAACATATTTTAAAACACCGTGCAGTGCAAACCTATTGCTACTTGCACTATAAAAAGGGAGAGAGGTTCCCCGCCCCCAAGGTATTTACAACTGCACATCAGCTAGCAGTGTATTTGAAAAAATAACAAAATAGCACAAATTAATTTGATTTCAAATGCCTGGGGAAGGGAAAATTTGTGTTTGTTGAATGCATTTGCATAAGATGTAACTGTTAAATGGCAAAAAATATACTATGTGCTGCTAGTCAAGGCCTACTGAAGGCTCATCTTTTACCAAAATATTAGAATTAAAATAGTGTAAACTGATATGCTTGTTTCTGTAATGCCAGTGTTAGTAGTTTTATATTTATAGTACAGTGGTACCTCGGGTTAAGAACTTAATTTGTTCTGGAGGTCCGTTCTTAACCTGAAACTCTTCTTAACCTGAGGTACCACTTTAGCTAATGGGACCGCCGTGGTGCGATTTCTGTTCTCATCCTGAAGCAAAGTTCTTAACCCGAAATACTATTTCTGGGTTAGTGGAGTCTGTAACCTGAAGTATCTGTAACCTGAAGCATCTGTAACCCGAGGTACCACTGTATAGCTTTTAGGATTAAGTCTTCATAAAATCATAGAATTATAGAGTTGGAAGGGACCCAGAAAATCATCTAGTTCAACCCCCTGCAATACAGAGATCTCAATTAAAGCATCCATTACAAGCATCTACAAAAGGAGGGATTCTCTCCTCAGCCTTCACACCAAATCTGCCTGGCTCTGCTTTGCTTTGAAAAATGTATTGTCTCAAATGAAATGTCACTGTTGCAAACTAGATATTAAATGGCAACCCCATCACTGACTCACATGCATCAAAACAGTTTGGTGCATTATGGCTTTTGTAGATCTTGTCAACCTTTGAAATAAGAAAGGGTTGGGTATTATTGCTCTGGTCAGTGACTCATGAACTGCCATGCAAACTTTTGCTGAGGTTTTCCCCCCCTGACATCTGCCTTGCGAGTGTACTCACAGTCCACCCCCAGCTTGTATTGACAGCTTGTAGATAAGGAGATAATGGCTCCTGTTGCTTTGTCCCTGCTGCTGCCAATCCAGCAGTTCGAAAGCATACCAGCTCGAGTAGATAAATAGGTACCGATGTGGCCACATGACCCGGAAAAACTGTCTGCGGACAAACGCTGGCTCTCTTGTCCCAAAAGAGATGAGCGTCTAATTCGACTGGACTCAACTGTCCAGGGGTCCTTTACCTTACCTTTACCTAATCAATGAAGGAAGTTAAGGATGCTCTGTGCTTTGTTGATTAATAAGACTTGTGAGCAGCGGGGGGGGGGGGGGGTTCAAACTCACTGTGTGAAGGGGTGTGTGTTGTTGCTGCCTGAGCAACTGGGACTGATTGCAGGAACTATGGCATGATTTTGCATGTGTGTGGCGTGGACATTCTCCTCATTTGTGGATTCACTGGCTCTGTCCCTGTGCATGTGTTGTGACTGGTACTCCTTGACTGGGATGTATGTAGCAAGAGAACATATAAAATGGGCACATGGAATTTGGTTCAGAATTTCTCATAGCTTTCTGCCTCTGACTATAATACTACTATTTTCTAATTTTCACAAGTACCAACCAGTCACTTTCCTCATAGAATAAATCCTGAAATGCAGAGAAATGTTAAACTTCCTAGAAAGTTTAGCATAGTTCCCAACAGCACAACTATGTTGCTAGTTCTGGCACTTTTCAAGCCAGAAAAAGTAGACAGATGTGGACAGCAGCTTTTACACAACCAACTTCCATTGGTTACATTTATTGCTCAGAAGTTCATTACACTTCTCTCTCTTGCACAAAGTTCAAGGCTAGATGAAGCACACATAGTTGTGCAAAAAACAACAACCATGGCAGTAGCATCTGGTGAGAAGAGCCCTACTGCGTAGCTCCATAAATAGTAGAAGGGAGCCTGGGCTACAATACACATCTTCACCGTTTTTTGGCTGAGAAAAGTATACACTGCAACTGTGTGGAATTAGTGATCTCATTCCACTTCCAAAGAGCAGCTCAGGTTGTGAGGTGGCAGCAACCAGATCCAGAGTCAGGTTGCCTTGACAGGAACTGCACCCTAGAGGAGGGGATCTGTCTTCTTCAGACTTGGGGCTGCTTCTTACGATGCCTCTTGCCTGCTTGGGCACCACGTTGGGCCCCCTTCATCAGGCCCTTATACTGTCCCTGAAGTTTTGCGTTTTTCCTGCCAGAAAGAGAGAGGAGAGATTAGAATGAGTACTGCCACAAGCACAGCAGGTACATGTGTAGTTCTCCCATGGAGGCTTTAGGTGCCCTGCTTCTGCAGCAAAAGCAGGCCTGGGATACCAGTGAAAAAGGAAGCTTCAAATCTGAGGAATATCCAGCAGAGTGCTTGAGATAAGAGAACATAGCTGGTTTCAAGCACACACAACTCCATGGCAGCATTTTACAGATAGAGAGAAATCCTGAACAGTGACACTGAGTTGCATCGAGTTAAGTTCTACTCTTAGTAGACCTATTGAAATTAAGGGCCTAAGTTAGTCAAGGCCATTAATTTCAATGTGTCCAAGCAGAACTAACAATGCTCTCCTATGCTCTCCCCACAGCATCCCCATATCATACCTTCTGTTAAGTTTGGCTCTGTTCAGTGGGATGTAAGCATAAGGATCCAGGCGGCCCTTCTTGATATCACCTTTGCCTTTCTGTAGAAACAGAAGGGAATCAGTGCTTAGTGACTGGAAGCAAGACATGGAAAAATGTAGACTTCCACCAAAATGGGCATTCAAATCAGCTTTCACAACGTCTATCAATGCCTCACATTCAGATCAATTATTCAAAACAGGATCTAGCTTAGAGATACAGAGATTCGTCTTTAAAAGGGAGCCAGCCTGCAGCCCTGTGTTTAGGGTGAGAGTTAATAGATACTATGAATCTGTACTTGAGTTGCTTGGTAAGTCCAATAAACAAGGCTTCCTATGATGTGGGGGAAAGTGGCTCTATATAAATAATCAACTTCTGGGAGTTATGACAATGCCAGGTCCTAACTAATCACATCACAATCTTACCTTTGCCTTGTATGCTTGCCTAGGTGCTGCATTCTTGCCAATAGGCCGATGGATTCCAACACCTCCAGCTGTGAAGAACAAACAATAATGGAATAGTTTCTAGGCTTCTCAGCTGTACAAAAATGTTTCTGCCCAGTCCACCACTGGACCGTCACAGGCTTGAAGTGCAAACACTTCCCCCACCACATTATTGTGCTTCAGCAGCACGAGAAAGCATACTGCAGATGGGCTATCTGTGTTAAGGTTTAACTGAGAGCAAGGCACAGCACTGAGTGGTTTTGTAGGATAATCACAACACATTATCCCCTGTTTCAGAGGTCCAACTGGACTTGAGCAGAAGTTGGCCATGGTGTGGAACACTCTTCCAGCAGAGATTTGGCAGGTATCCTTGCTTTTGACTTTCAGGCATCTCTCATATGTGTGGTGTAGTGGTTAAGAGCGGTAGTCTCGTAATCTGGGGAACCGGGTTCGGGTCTCCGCTCCTCCACATGCAGCTGCTGGGTGACCTTGGGCCAGTCACACTTCTTTGAAGTCTCTCAGCCCCACTCACCTCACGGAGTGTTTGTTGTGGGGGAAGAAGGGAAAGGAGAATGTTAGCCGCTTTGAGACTCCTTAAAGGGAGTGAAAGGCGGGATATGAAATCCAAACTCTTCTTCTTCTTCTTCATATGCCAGCAGGCCTATACAGCTGATTGAAATGATTATTTCGTACTCTAATGGTGTTTTATGTAAACATTTCATTGTATACCATCCTGAAATTTTCTGAGATGGTGGTATATAAATAACCTTAAGCAGTAGCATCTCATTCTCTTTCCCTTCCCTATTACAGGGATATGTATCCAATGTGATAAGGCAGCTAAGCCTACACCACCAGCCCAGAAAAAAGCACTTACCCTTATACTGTGGTTTTGCATCAGTGCCCAGTTCCTCATCATCTGCTTCTTCCCGGAATCTGCGCTTTTGAGCCTTTTTCTGCAACAGAGTTTCCAAGCATCAGCACTTGCTACATGAATTAGGCTTCTCACTAGGGTCCAAGGCCTTCTCCCTTTCCTGCATTATCTGCTTGGTAAATAAGAACTGTATTTGACAGTCAAGCTCAGTTCCCCTTTGATTTCAGCAAGCAATTCACCTTGGCAACTGCGTGGGCCTTTAAAGAAAATGCTTGAAATTCCTATTTCCCCCCTCCTGCCCATGTCTCAGTACTTACACTTCGGATCCCGACTTCCTGCATAAGATCTGCCATCTCTTCATCCACTCCTGTAACAGAGAACAAAATTCAGCTTGAGAACAATACATAAAACATCTTTGTAAAATCTTTTGCATTTATAGTTAAAAGTATGCATTTCAGCTGTTCAATATGTTTTTACACATTGAAATGATAAAACTTTAATCAGAAGCAAACACCAAAGTGTTCAAAGGAGCTTACTCCCAGAAGAGTATGGACAGGACTGCAATCATGCCACAAGCACACCAGAACACTCTTTGAAAAACTGCTAGTGCTTCATTTTTGTAATAATCCACACACATTTTGGTTGCTGTTTTTTATTACCAGGAAACAATGTAAGTTGGGTTAACATTTAACAGCTGGTAAGCCCTGAGCAACATATTTTAGATGTTCCCTAAGATATTTGGAGGAGGCGCTGCTGATTTGCGTTGCATCCTATGGCACTAACTCCATTTGTGATTACATGGAAGAGTGCTTTCTCTGTGGTGGCACCTACATTGTATTGTATGTTTTATTGGACTGCTTTATGTTTCCAGTAAATTATTATATTATTACATTATAATTATTTAATTATTTTAATGGAAGGGCAGTATAAAAATAGTTTGAAGTAAATACATATTTAAGCACATTATACTTTTACGTGAAGACAGTGAACAGTCTTAATTTGAAAGGGCTAAAAGTGTCAAAAGCCCTGGAGTGAATCACATGTTGAAAGTAAAACAAATAAATCACATGTTTACCAGCCTACATAAAGCCCAAGTTATCCAACTTCAAACAATTCCATCAAACAGTATCGGGATCATAAACGTATACAATATTGATACTATCATAGTGGAACTGGACTTCACAGCTGGTTAACATAAACTACTGCTTGGATACCAAGCCCAGTCATAGTTTGTAGACCACTGATGGCCAGTTTTCAGCTGAATACATTAGACTATCCACCAGTACCTTTAGCCCCTTCTTCTTCTTCCTCCTCCTCTTCACATATAATGAGACGGCCATCAGCTGATACCTTGAAGTCATGGCTGATTTTAGCAGCCTGGCCCGTGCCTGGTTTGGTAGCTGCATAAAAGAAGATCACAAAAGACTTACAAGGAGATAGGACAACTCCTTTATCTCAGCATAAATGATCTCCCACTTTCCCCAAACTGAAAAGGCAGATTGTGCCACTGTCAAACTGCTCCTTACCCAGAACCCTTTGGGCCACATTAGGGTCCAAGAAGTTGAGGGGCTCATCGCCTTCTCCCTCCTTAAGCCAGGCCTGGCTTTGTTGCCGTAGCACTTTCCTGGTTTCTTTTCCTTTGTGCTGCTTGATGTCATCTTCAAGATCAGAGTCCGAGTCTGCCAGGACCTCCTCCATACTGTAAACAAGAAGGCAAGAGGCAATGCAAGTAGTATTTACTGAGGGTGCAGAGGAACATAAAGAAGACTTCACCTTCTAACGCACTTGCCATGGCAGACATCCCTCCTGCTCTAGCCTTAAAAAACTGTAGCTTTTAGGTTCAACAATGGCATGACATGAAGACAAAAGACCAGCACTACATCAATACCTCTCCCCCATGGGACGCTGTGATGGTCCTCCTTCTTCTACAGAAGTGGCTGCTGCCCGTTTCACAGCTTGCCGCTTGCGGTTCCTTGCCTCAGCCTTGCGGATATTCAACAGCACCTTGCGATATGACTCAGGAAGCAAAGCCTGCAACGGCTCAAACCTGGGAAGTAAAGATGGAAGACCAGTGTCACAGAAATCAGTCTCTCACGTATCCCCCACTACCAGTCATAGAAGTCAGACAGACATTAGACCAGTGCTTAACCTGTGGCCTTCCAACTGTTGGAACTAAAATTCCAGTTAATCCCAGACCTTTGGCCATATTGGTTAGAGCTAATGTCAGTTGGAGTCCAGCAACATCTGGACTACTATCAAGTGCTTGGTCATCACTCTCAAGGTTTTGTGTGCATGAAGCTGTATCCAAGATGGCACAGTTCAAGACAAGCACATCTAGGAAGCAAGTGCTTTGGAATGAGCAGTGTTTGAGCAATGTGATATAGATCTTAGAACTTTTCCTTCCTGAGCATCACAACACAGGATCTCCCCGGTCCTCCCTCTAATCCCAGAACTTACCCAAATTTGCGGATCATTTTGGAGAGGAGGTTTCGTAGCTTCATGCGGAAATGGCGTCTCATGTCGTCTGTCAATCCTCCTATGGCTTCTAACTGTAAGCAGAGCACAAGCTTTAGAATTTTGATGCCCCCCCAACCACACCTTGCATGAAATAAATTCCCTTGGTTCTCTCTCTCATGCATGTGTGCAAACCTGCCCCTCTCCCCGGGCTTCTACTGCTTCCCAACAGCACGATAAGTGGGACAACACCTCAGCAAAGCTGGGGAAAGAGTGGATCATTAATTCCAATATATACCCATGAACTCTTGAGTCAGGAACTAGACAAGACAACGGGCAGAAATAGGTTCCAACAATTCAGGCACCTTTCTGCGTCACTCCCTTTAAGTTACGCAAACTAAGCTACTCTTATTCCCAGAACCTTCCTTCCTACAGGCTGCCCTAGTGTATTCCCTCTTCTCACCATGGTCTCCAAGTGCCGACTCAACAGTGCCGTGTCCAGGAGCAAGAGTGCGACCTTGAGGAAGCCCAAAGCTGACTTGACGACATCCCGCGTCCGTGAGCCTACCATGAGGCAGACATGCTGCATGAGCTGCTCCAGGGCATCTGACCCAACGTGTTCTGCAGTAGAGTAAAGCTAATCTTAGACATACTTCAATTCTTCAGATTCTACTGAGAGCCAGACAACACAGGGCTCAGGTTACTTTCAGCAAGTTTTCTGCTCAGCAGCAACCCAGCACAGGCCTCACAGTGCTTACAACTGGTGTGGTGCTTGGAACCCCAAGGGCACAGAGCTCTCTGCTCAGGATAGTGAATACAACCATTCATGTTACCCTTGGACATATCCATTAGCATGTCCATCCATGCAATAAGCTCAGTTCAAATAGCCGTCTCCAAACTCTGTTTGGTGCCTGCCAATTGCAGAAGAATTCTGTACTAAACTACTGAGGCTATAAGCATTATCCAGCAAGTTTTTGGCATTCAGATCTCTCACCTTTGAACTCAAAGAGCAAACGGGCAAGAGCGAGCACCGTGCAACTGATCATGGTGACTGAACCGGTCAAGCCCGCATAAACCAGGAGGAGATAACGCTGCATTCCATCTAGAGGGAATAAATGCTGGGGGTTATTGCACTGAAACTGCTAAAAGTAAGATACCAACTATACCACACAGGTGGCATTGGGGCTGAAGAGGCTCCCCCAGAAAATGGCTACAATGATGCAGAAAACCCAGTGTGAATGAAAGGTTTTCAAAAGAGGAACCCAGGCACTATGGAGACAATGCTAACATCCAGGTCTCTGAGTAAGCTGGAATATCAGAGACCAAAAAGACAAGAGTACAGATATCAATAGTAGATAGGCAATATTGGGAAGGGAACAGGCAACAGTTATAAGACACTGAATTAGGAAGGGCAGAAAAGTCCCCATGTTCTGACTACTGAAAACCCTTCTTCTGAAAGCAGGAACCAATCTGAAATGTTAAATATGTTCTGCTTTATACAGCGCAAGGGTGGAAGACTGGGATATTCAAAGCCTCAGGCTAGGCTAAGTGAATCCTGCATTTCTTTAATTACTGTGGAATTTAATATCAGATGCCAAATTTAAAATTCTAGTACTTATGATTCAAGGATAATCTGAAAAATGTGTAGGCACTGTCTGATGAGATCTCTGAAACAGGAGATTAAGGAGGATTTCTAGTAGTCAAGTGGTTAGACTTCAGTACCCTGCATAGATTGCCCTTTGCTAAACAGAATTACACAAAAAAATCAATATGTACAGATTTTCAGTTTGAACAAAGTTCATCCAGGTCCCAATTCAGCAATTAAATGCAAAATTTGGCTAATTTGGAAAAACTCAGAAGAGGTTATATGGACCAGTGATAAGAGGAGAGTTGACTAAAATCACTGGAATAAATGAAGCAGAGATGGAAAGCAATGTAAGGTAGTCAAAAATAGAAGGGGTGTACATAGGAGCCAGCACAGCTTTTGACAGGACAAAAAAGTCCATCTCTTTTTGGTAACAGCCCAATGTAGGCAAACCAGGACTCACCTTTTGGTGTGGGGCCAAAGCGCAGGAAAGCATGACCGATCTCTACAAGTAAGTTGTAAGCGTTCTTGCGGGCACCCACCGACACCTCCTTGGTGCAGAGTATGACCTAAATACAAAGGTACCTGTCATCACCCCATACCACCTCTGCCTCCCAGTTTTCAACATCACTGTATTATCAGCATCAGCTTTCAGAGAGAACTGAAATATAAGCCATTGGTCTAAAATGTATTACCAGAGCTCCAGCCAATCTATGACTTTCCCAAGCACAAAAACTACAGCCATCAAGTTGACCTATTTTTTTTAAACGTGTGACAACAGACAAAACACTTTCAGCAGTAGGGAACTTCTTGTTCTGAGGATTTCACAAAGGCAGTCGCTATCTAATCCAGATTCAAGGAGGGAGAAAACATTTCTAGTTCGTTGCTTTTAGAAAAGAGAGCAAATCAGGTAAACCTGAAGATGGAGCACTGCAGAGCAGGCAAGTCAGAAACTGGCAGTAACTTCTAACTTTCAAGGACTAAGGCAAAACTGCTTAAGCCCTGCCTGTCCAAGTAAGTGGGAGCAGCAACCAACTACAGGGTATCATCTTCCACTGATGGGAGAATATATTTATTCCCTCATCGCAAAGTAGGAGAAGCAAAATTCCTAATTCTGAATTACAACAGCTTATTCACAGCATGAGAACAAGATGTTTGTAATGAAAAAGAAACAAGGCAAGCAAGGAATGAGAGAGGATTTCCATGCTGCATAGCTACACTTGCCAAAGGGCTTGAGTTTGTTTGCAGCATGCAGGAGAGGAGAAAATTTCATTTATGGGCCAGAAAGATGTGGGGATTCAGAATATAGCAGAATTTGTACCATAACATGGCTCTGTTTGGAGATGAAGATTTAGTTCCATGCATGCTCCCACCTCTAGCCCCAGAAGTACTATTTCTCCCCATCTTCTGCGGACACAAATGCCCACCTACTTTCCCCATTCCTTCAGCACCCTGCCTGCCACTCCCTTTTCTGCTCACCTCTGGCACCAGGGCAGTAACGAAGTCCTCATGCTCCACTGCGAGCTGCTTGACAACATGGAAGAGGCACTTCAAACGGGGCTGGGAACAAAGAGTGGGAGTGTGGAGTTAGAGGCAGGCAGGGACAGCAATCTCTTATTTCTATCACCACCCGTGCTTCAGCACCCTACCCACCACAGGGGGGAAAGCAACAAGTGTCTTCTCCCCAGACACCTTCCTTACCCTCTTGGCAGGTGAAGTGGCACTGGGCAAAGAGCCTAGCAGGGCACTCTGTAGCTCCTCCAGATGACTTCTAACAAAGTTTTGACAGGCAGGCCTGTCAGAGGCACATATTTCCTCCAGCACCCGATAAGCCTTCTTCTGTATCCTGTGGTCTTTGTTCTAGGATGATTATACCAGACAAATTAGTTAGCAAAAACAAACTGCATGCACACAAGAACAGAGGCTCTCAGCCTGCACAATATGGAAGTTGGGGGAAGAGTATTCCAGAAACCAGGTAGAGGCCACATCTATAGAATCATAGAATTACAAAGTTAGAAGGGACCTGAGGACCATCTAGTCCCTTTTAGATATTTTAGTTGCATAGGAGCTGAATATCTGTCAGTGGTTTCCATGTGGTTGAGAGACTGTTTAAATGTCACAAGCGTATGGAATGTGAGGGTCAATTACATGAGTATTTTGCACAGAATCAGCATCAGTTGGATCATCTGAACATTCTCCTTGCTACACAGAAAATGTTCAAGGATAAGCAGCTCCCACACAGCTGGGAAAACACCTAGGAGGTTACCCCTGTGGCCAAGAAGATGCAAGGATAGGCACTCAACATGAAACAAGGACCATTGGGTTGCCCAAAGCAGACAGCTAGGTTATTATCTGATTATGCCTGACCAGGATAGCAATGGATCATAGACAAACATGCCCTACTGATTCCACACAACTTTGGGAGCAGAAGCCAAGTAATATGGATAAGGTCAAACAACTCTGCAGCCTCCTTCTGAACAGATTAAGACACTGTCTCCCTAAATATAATAGCTAAACTGATTTTAAGGATGTCAATATGGCACTCTCAGGAAGAGCAGGGATCATGGTGGTCAAAGCTAGCAGGCCTGGAGCTTGCAATGTTTCACAGCATACACTCCAACAGCCAACTGAAAGGCAGCTCACCTGTAAGGAGGATTGGATGGTGCTATAGAGATCATGCAGAGATGGCTCATCTGCATAAGGGGCCATGGCTACAACAAGGTCCAACACAGAAAGCCTGCAACAGGGAAGGCACAGTTAGCAAGCGTGAACACAAAAGCTAATCTTTAGGACTCTGCTTCTCCCTGGGAATAGTACAAAGCCAACTACTTATTAATGCAAACCTACCAGATTCCACAATTACTAGGGCCAGGTGCATCCCACTCTCTCTGCCTTTTCTGACTTGCAGGGAGAGGGGAGCACCTGGGAGGAACAGAGGAAAAAATCCGGCCTCCAATGAGGTGCTCTGGAGCTTAACAGGAGTGGGGCAGAGAGGGGCTAACTCCACAGAAAGATGAAAACAATACTGATTTACATAGGCCTATGAACATAGGGTTAAACCACTGAGCCTAGGACTTGCTGATCAGAAGGTCGGCAGTGCGAATCCCCGTGACAGGGTGAGCTCCCATTGCTCGGTCCCTGCTCCTGCCAACCTAGCAGTTCGAAAGCACGTCAAAGTGCAAGTAGATAAATAGGTACTGCTCCGGCGGGAAGGTAAACGGCGTTTCCGTACGCTGCTCTGGTTCACCAGAAGCGGCTTAGTCATGCTGGCCACATGACCCGGAAGCTGGACCAATAAAGCGAGATGAGTGCCACAACCCCAGAATCGCTCACGACTGGACCTAATGGTCAGGGGTCCCTTTAGCTTTATGTAACAGAAAAGTGGGTAACCCATCTGAGGATACTCTTCTCCACTGTATGGAAAAAGATGGATCCAAACTCTGAGGTGTCCTTACCTAGTGAACTCTGAACTATCAGAGCTGGTCAGTTTTTCACTAGCTTTCTCTAGGAAAGCATGCACCATCTGCAATAGAGATAAAGAGAGTGTCATCCCCAGAGCTTTCCTTTTGCACCACACATACATTGTTATATTTGTATGCTGTCTTTCCATAGTTCAAAACATGCGCAAGGCAGCTCACAGCATGGGAAAACACATAATTACAAACATAACCAAACGCAGTCATAAACAATAAATAAAACATCAAAAAGTACACAAATTGAACAATTTCCACATAAATGCTATTATAAAATCTTTAAAAGGATACAAAAAAATCAGTATCAATAACAGTAGCACCCTGCCCCAACAAAAACCACTGAACTGAGCAGCCTCAGTTTTTGTAGGTGTCAGCAGTCATAGCCCCATTCTCCTAGCCCTAATGGGGAAAGGCCTCCCCCCCCCATGTTTGAGATCCACCCAGCTACAGACACCTGCCCCTCTCTCTCGCCTAGCACTGGCAGACCTTAGAGATGTGACCAGCTTGTATCCAGTTGGTCTGAAGCAAGAAGAAGTGCAACCATATTGGATCTGACAAGGCCTAAGAGAACTCAACTATAAAACCTCCTGCGTGAACACTTCAGGGTTAAACAATATTTTGATTTGTGCTTTTGGAAGCCATACTAGCAAACACTGCAGTCTTTCAGTTCTCTGCTATGACCTTGAAGAGTGAACATTCCAAAGCGGCAGATGAGAAGCCTTTCTAGCAAAGGGCTTTTCATTTTGAGCTGATAGTCAGTGTTCTGCACATCCACCCATCTGCTTTTATATTAATATGTGGGACTTACAACAGAAAAAGAAAATGTATCTTATGTGTATAGACTGTTGCCCATTGATCCATCCTGTTTTATCACTACAAAAATATATTAATTATATTAAGAGGCTAAAATAAGGAGAATGGCCCTTGTCTGAGGTCCAGCTTCGAGGGCCTTCTGGCAGTTCCCTCCCTGCAAGAAGTGAAGTTGCAGGGAACCAGCAGAGGGCCTTCTTGGTAGTGGTGCCAGCCCTGTAGAATACCCTCTCATCAGATATCAAGGAAATAAACAACTATTTGACGTTTAGAAGACATTTGAAAGCAGCCCAGTATAGGGAAGTTTTTAAGGATTGATGTTTTACTGTGGTTTTATAATTTGTTGGAAGCTGTCCAGAGTGGCTGGGGCACCCCAGTCAGATGGGCGGCATACAAATGATTATTATTTATTATTATTATTATTATTATTATTATTATTCCTAGCAATGTTGTTCACTTATAGAGCTGGCCCACATGAGGTGATTGATATTGCTATTACAATCTATTACTCACCCTTCATTCCAAGGTCCCAGGGCAGGTTACAACAATTAAAACACAATATTAAAAAAAGTTTAAAATAAGCCCTGAAAACCAAGTCTTGAGAATTTGGAAACTAGTAACCCTGCTGGCTTCCCACTTTCTAGAGGAAAGGTGGAATGACAAAGCAAGTGGTGATGATCTCAGAAGTCTGGTCTTGTTCACAGAGCTTTGCTCACCCCTGGCTCCGTCACAGTCAGGTAGGCCCTTATAGTGTCCAACACAGAACGCCGCTGTACAGGGCTTTCGCTGGCACCACCCTCCTGGCTATAGGCATTGAATAGAATGGGCAGGAAGTTCTTTGCAAAACGCCCAACTTCAGCACGCTCGGCCTCTGCAAAGAGAAGCAAATATAGAGAATGGAGAGAAAGAAAGAAAGAAAGAAAGAAAGAAAGAAAGAAAGAAAGAAAGAAAGAAAGATGCTGCTGGTAAAGCATGCTTCAAAATGTTGGAATCGGCAGAAGACTCCTGCCAGGCACTCTACCCTTCTTTCTCCCCTCTTGCATCCTCAGCAAGAAGCAGAACTAGCACAGAAACAGCTCCAGCCACAGTGACTTAGCTACAGTAAACTGAGCAAGGGTCACTTCCACGGACAGATCTTACCTGTTTGACAGCCTTTGTTAATTAGCCTGCGCAAAGCTTGGCACACAACGAGCCGCAGATCAGGGCGATCGCTGATGGCCATGCCCAAAGTACGTGCCAGTCCTTTGAAGGAGGATACCACATCGGTAGGCTGGCTGCAGAAACCAGGCAGAAGGGTCCAGATCTGAAAGACAGAGAAAGGAGCATTGTTACAAACCACAGTTACTCTTCAAACCTTTTAAGCACAGGGTGCCAGACCTAGATGCAGAAAACACGCAAAGCAAAACTGTTGGGGTGCTGCCTCACCTGCCACTGCAGTGTATCATAGATCTTGGCTTCTAAGTTCCGTTTAGCCTCGTCAAGCTCTGTGGCTGGAGAAAGGGAAGAGAGAGGTCTGTGACTGTAGCTTAGTATATATGAAGAAGTTAACCTAAGGGGAAAATCAATGCACTCTGCCTGTAGGACACCTGGAGTTTGCACATTATATAAAATCTCATGAAATTTACAGGCAACTGCTGTCTTGATGCACTCCATACAATAGATGACCCATATATTTGTGCAGATCTAACACGTATCCAAAGCCACAATTGGTGCAGACACAAAGGATGAATTTCTGCTTGCTGAATGCAAACAGTACTGGTATGCAACAATAGACTATAACTAAATCCCAAGATGGAGACTTCAAATTTGGGGCTTTAATATTTGTATTTTTTTTCATTCTGTATTCCCAAATACCCCAAATCTGGTACTTGCTGAAGGGTAGGGGAAATCTCATTAGAAGCTGGATTTTGTTTTGGGATGTCTGGTATGGTAGATTTTCTGATGGATTCTCCAGGCGGAATGTACCACAGCTCTACTGCAATCTTAAACACTAGAGATGGAGCTGTTGTCGTGCTCTTCTAAGGTCCAACACTCAGGTCTGCTGGTCTTGCCCATCTACACTGTCAGTTACCTCTGTGTTTTAGAGTGGCAGCCAGTGGCAGGAAGTAACTGGAGAAGAAGGCAAGGGGTGCATCTCGGATACTGTCTCGGAGTACAGGAAGGAGCCAGCTACGGGGGAAATCCAGTGTCTCCCTTGTGGAGGAAGCAGAAGAGAGAACAAATGACAAAATTAAGAGGATTGGGGAAGCAATGTACCTGGGTATGTTGGATTTTGGTGCCGATGTTCCTTTGGGAGTACTTTCAGCTACAACAATGCCGTAAGATAGTGGAGGTGTGAAAGCCCCAAGTAGCAAACAGCCTACAATCCTGTCCAAGAATTTCTGGTCTTGGAGCATCCAACTAAATGGCAAAGGCAGATTCAAATGCGATTTTGCTAACCCATTCTAAACAAGAGTTTGCAACATGCAACAGTATTCCTAATTAATGGAAGAGTATGGGATCCCAACTATTCTTTTCATATGAACCCTGGTGCAGATGTCCATTCAGACAGTCACATTTCTATCCTATTCAGGTGGTAGCGAAATCCGATTTGAATCTGCCTATGGCCACAGTTAGAATAGGATGTTAAACTAGATGGCTTGATCCAGCTGGGCTTGTCTTATGGGAAGGTATAGAAACATCAGAAACCCAGAAAGGCAGAGATTATACTCACTCTGTGCCATCAATATCTAGGGGCACAGCCTGTAGAACCACCTCGGGGCCCATAGTGGTCACTGCAGCCCCTAGAGTCTGGTCGAGCAGCACGGTGTGAGGAAAGTGTGGGGAGCCACGCAGGTCAGCTAAGGACTGTAAGCACTGCAGAAAAAAGAAAATGAAAGAGAGCATCACACAAGTAAGCATGTGTTATAAAACAGCCTACCCTCTTATAATGACTCCTATCACTGACTTCTTTATATCCACTGTATAACACACATTTATGCATCCACGAATCTCCAGCTCACGATCCTAAGAGCTCTAGAAAAGTTTAGCAACAATGAATCTCAGAAGTTTGCAGGGCCTCAGTGTCCAAATGTTCTTTTGCCATGGGGATCCCTTCTTGTCTCTGGTGGAACAGGGCTGTCACCACAGAAACTCATTTACCTTACACATGGCGAGATGGCACTGATGCCCACACACTTCAAAGAAAGTCTTCAGAACCTGCAACACGGAGGCCCATGCCGCATGGAATCGGTATGTCAAGCCCTCTTCCACTGCCCTGCAAGGAGAAAAGCAAATAGCTATTCAACACGCAGCCTTTCAAAACCAGGATTTTGACCTCTTTCCCTCAACCCGCTGGGCCACTTCTTCTACCTGAACATCTTGCAGATGTGAGCAGCTGGTCCAGAGGGGGTGGCAGAGGAAACCAGCCCCAGCTCTGCCATGTGGGGGGCCACGCATTCATTGAGCAAGACCTACAACAAGAGGCAAACACACACACATACCTTTAGCACTAGCCCACTCTCCTTACAGCAGGGGTGGGCAAAGTCCAGCATGTGTCCCAATTGGGCCCACAAGGCAGTTTTCCTCAAACCATGCCCTCTTACCCACATGGTGACATAGATGCCAAACAATCAGGAGCATGAAAGTGCTCCAGTTATTCCTTGCCAAGAGAAACTTGTGCTGCCAGCTGACTGGCTATACAGCAAGCCTGCAGTGATGGACTGTGCTAAGGAGTTCCCCACCAGCACAGCTGATGCCTCCTTAAAGCAGGCTTTCGGTGAGTGCCAATCAGTGCTTGCAGCAAGCTGGCTGTAGGTCCAAGTATCCTGTTACATCACGGGGTTGAACTGAAGCGGGCAATGCAAAAGTTCTCTGTAGGTGTCTATTCACAAAGAGGACTTTTGGGGAGAGTGGGGTCGCTTACTTTCACTGAAATGCCAAACAAATCTTTATTTCAGCAGCACACAATTCTTGACAGCCCTACATGGTACACTTGGGAGAAAAGATGGGACAGTACCTTTAGGGTTTGAGCAGCAGCCGCCGCCACCTGTGTGTGAGGAGAAAGGAAGCAGTTCATTGCCGCACTGAAGAGGCGGGAAAGGTGAGCCCAGCACAGATCCCACTGCAGCCTAGAGAACGGAGAGACCTTTTGTTATGGACCAGCTGGGGAGTAGACCCACCACCACCCATCCATCTTCCCCACTGCTCTCCTCCTTACTTTGCCAGATTGACATGTGCCCGCTCCATGACAGATAGCCAGGCCAGCAGAGGCTGCAGGTCATTTTCACTGGGTAAATAGTCATATAGGGCCTGGTAAAGCAGAATAGATAGCATTATTGGTTGTTTACTGAATCTGCATTGTTTTAAAGTTGTATTGATACTAGCTCGTGAACTGCTTTGAGAAGGGTTTTTGCCTTGGAAAGTAGGATATATATGTACCAAAACGAATAACGAAATATTTGAGCCCCCAGGGCTGGTTATGCACCTCCCACTCATCTAGCCTGACTCTTACAGTACTCACCATGATGATCTGGGCATTGAGTTCAGCTGGCAGGCAGGATGGGGGCGGCTGCGCAACGAAGAGGCTGTGGAAAGCTTTCATAGCACATGCTGTCACTAGCTGGGGGGTGGAGAGAAGATGTGTAAAAATAAGTTCTTTTAAAAGCACCAGATACATTGGCTCCCCCACAAAAGCCAGTGTGCCAAATATGGTAATGGAGTGTCCCCCTTAAAGTGACAGGGCAATTATTTCCCATCCTTAAGAGGGACTTTAGGTACATAGGTAATTCATACCAAGCCCCCATTGGTAACAAACAAAAACTATTCATGCTTTCATTCTTACTGAAGCACGTTGGCTCTCCCCACTGGGCGGTGTGGCATCCCCTGAGCAGAGGCAGCACCACAAAGCCACTGTTAACCAACAGAAGAGAGCTCACCACATGGCTAAGGGTCATAACTCGAAGGAGGGTCTCGCAGCAAGATTTGACAGATGGGGCAGGCAGGCAGGGCAGCAAGTCACGCAGCAGAGTGAGTACATGAAGAGTGGTTGTGGCCTCTTTGGCACCTGGAAAACCAAAGAGGTCTAGCACTGCTACCTTCTCCAACAGAGTTTATTATTATAAAACTCACACCCCACCCTTCAGGGAGATTTGTTCCAGAGCAGCTTGCAAATATGAATAAAACACAACTCATGAATCTCCCGTCTCCAGTACCTCCAGCTTTCTCAATCTCTTGCACGCAGAACTTGGCAGCAGAAGATGCAGCTGGGTGATGCGAGGGAGCCCCATCCCCAAAGAGGAATTCGCTACCTCTCAGGATGGAGCAAACACCATGCTGAGCAGCCTTGCGAACCTGCAACCGAGGAAAGGGGAGGGAGAGAGGGTGGTGAGCTGGGCTGTTTACTTCATGCCCAACTCCAAGCAGTTACATACTGGAAATGGGCTGCATCTCTTATTACACTTTATTGTTAGCCCCCATAGGCATTCCACGTGGAAAGGTGGGACATACAGTTAACAGATGAAACAAAAGTGAAAGTTACTGTGGCAGCGTTGGGGTGCATGCTGCCAAGTGCAGTGAAACTGACTGGTTTGTGCTGAGCAGGGTAGGTGATGTGAACTCACCTTGGGCTTGACATGGACAGTAAAGCTCAGAATGCCATGAAAAACTTGCATTGTCACAGGGTAATTCCAAGCTACCAGGTTCTGTCTTCGCAGCAATGTAGCTAGGCAGGAGAGTACCTGAAAGGAGACAGATTAAGGATGGACATAGAGTGCTATCACTATGCCAAGAAACATCCTTCCATATACACGAGTAAGCCCTTAAGCCAGGGGTTCAGTTTTAAATTTCTGATGCATCTGACACCACTACCTACGCCCTTTATCTTTGGGCCTATCAACAGGATTCATTCAACCCAGCACTGCTCCACACACCTTGCTTGTGGGGGTGGTGGGGTGAAAAGCAATAAACCAAGAAGCTATGCAGAATGGCCCCTGACTCCGGGACATGCATTTTTAATTTATTTATATTTCATTTCTGCATTATTTCCCATGAAACATCACAAAGGGATTTCACAATACAATCACAAGGGCACATCACACTACATAAAGGATTCTATTAATCACAACAGCTGCCTACACCCAATATCCAGATGTCCCTCCTGCCCCACAGTTAGTCCTCCCCTGAAACACTTACCCAGCGCAGGGCCGAGGTGGAGTCTCCACAGGCTTGGGAGCCTAAGATCCCCATAAAGGCCTTTGATGTATCAGAGAACTTCTTGATCAGCACAGGACCTGGTACCCTATTTGGGAGTTAAGAGATAGGAGGAGGCATCAATGTTAGGCGAAACCAATAGCAAGTACAGTCATACCTTGGAAGTCGAACGGAATCCATTACAGAAGTCTGTTCAACTTCCAAAATGTTCAGAAACCAAAGTGCGGCTTCTGATTGGCTGCAGGAAGCTCCTGCAGCCAATCGGAAGCCACGGAATCCCGGAATGTTTGAAAACCAGAACACTCACTTCCGGGTTTCAGTCATTCAGGAGCCAATTTGTTCGGGAGCCAAGGCATTCAAGATCCAAGGTATGACTATATTCCACTACCCTTTGCTTCCAAGGAACTTTACTATCTTGCAGCTAGGCTTAGTTTGGTAGCACCCTATACTTCTAAACTCCCAGTACATGAATCACCCACTCTATTTCAAAAGACAAGAGAGTCACCAAAGGCCCAGACCAGCTCTTGCACTTCATCACTTGTACAGTTATCCACTGTCAAATGTAAGAGCAACAACATCCACACTTGGGTCATGGTGGGGAATTCTGGTCATCTTATCTAAACAGAGATATCGTGAAGTGGTAAATGTACACAGAAGTGCTTGAGTGATGAGGGCTGCAGAAAAGATACCAGAAAATGAATGTCTAATAGATTCAAGTTTTTTTATCATGAAGGACAGTTTAAAAGGTCAGGGACAAAAAATTGCTAGGGGACTTTTATTTCAGTAACACATCATATTAATGTGTCAATCAATTAAAAAGCAACAGCAACACAAAGTGGAAGGATAATTTATCTTGGGGACTCATTGCCAAAATACAAGAAAAAAGAGGTCAAGAGTGTAAATGGATTCACAACAGGGCCCAACGCATTCAATAGCTACATCCAGATCAGCCTTTGTCCAGGAAATAGTCAAGATAGCACTGAAGGTTATGCTTGCATCCTCAACTCTTCTAATCCTTTTCTAAAGCATCCTGATGTGGGCCACTGCTTTGGTCCAGAAGTACTTTTCTCATGTTCTTCGAACTCACCTCTTCAACACCAGATTCAGCAGGTAAGCAACAGCAGCCAGGGACTCTGGAGATTCCACAGCTTCCAGAGTAGTCATCTGAGGAGACATAGTATGGTGCAGGAAGTAATTAGAAAGGATGTTGGACTCCCTGGGATTGCATCTTGAAGTCTAACGGAGCACCTTTAGGTTATTGGTTTGTTTTTGCTCTTATTATGTTTATATTACCGTATTTTTCGCTCGATAACACGCATCCGACCATAACACGCACGTAGTTTTTAGAAGAGGAAAACAAGAAAAAAATATTCTAAATGAAACAGTGGATGTCTGATTTTTGTGGTTCATGCTGTGGCCACAGACATGTGATCTGACGGTGAGTTTGGGGTAGCCCAATGCAAAAATCCTGAGGATCCATGTGGATCCATGTTTGTAACCACGTTTTTGCACCACTGCGGCCCCAGGCAACAGTGGGTGCGTGATTTTTTTGGTGCAAACTGTAGCCATGGACATGCTATGTGATCTGATGGTGAATTTGCGGTGACCCAGTGCATAAATCCTGATGATCCATGTGGATCTGTGCTTTGTAAAAACGTTTTAAATGGGGAGGGAAGGAAAACCACTCCAAGGACAAGGAGCACGTGTTGAGTGTGTGGAGAAGGATGCTGCTAATAATGCAGAAGAGGGGTATAAGGGGAGAAGGCTCCTCTCCTCTCCCGCTTTGCTCCTTTAAAGCAAGCAGTTTCTGCTTCTCTCCTCCTCCCCCCCGCCCCCCAGCGAGCTGAAAATCTTTCCTGCTATTTCCAGCAAAGCGGGAGAAGAGCCACTGAGTGGGGAGGAGAGAGATACAGAGAGCCTGCTTGCTTTAAAGGAGCCAACCGGACAGGAGCCGCTTACACTCGTGTAAGCAGCTCCTCTCCTCTCCTGCTTTGCTCCTTTAAAGAAGTAGGCTCTCTGTCCCTCTCTCCTCCCCATTCAGTGGCTCTTCTCCCGCTTTGCTGTTTCAAAGCGAGCCACGGAGGAGGGAAGCAATCGCTCCGTAACACACACAGACATTTCCCCTTACTTTCTAGGAGGAAAAAAATGTGTGTTATGGAGCGAAAACTACGGTATGTACTTTGTGGTTTTATTCTGTATTTTTACGCTATGAAACCACCCTGAGATCTTCAGATGAAGGGCAGTATCCAAATTTAAATAATAATAATGGCAACAACAACCTGGCCATATGCTGGCTCATGTGACAATCTTCCCCCACCTCCCATATTGTTATGATAAAATGCAGGATATGCTGCAGGGAGCACCCAATCATAGCATGCCACCACCAGTATATGAGTGTCAGAAATATAGATGAGGGCTGTGCTGTGGGGCTCAATTGTTATCATGAGTTCATTGGCTCCCTCTGCAGTTGCTACCATGGATGCACCATTTTGCAATTTTCTTAGTGGTATATTTCCCTGTTCCCTAGGCTGAGTGCATATCAAGTGGAGCCTTATCTCACCACCACCACCACCACTCCGACTGGTGTTTGGAATTGTTTCATCCAGTGGGATTGGTGTTGGTTGTGCTTACTGAATTTTATTTAAGCTTCCCTGAAAATTTTCCTTGAAGGGCAAGATGTAAACATAGTAATAAAATAAATAAGTAATAAGCATGAAGGGAAGCAAGATAAGCTGTTCATGCAAATGCTACAAGGTCTTCCCATTACTTCCTGTCTGCTATTTGCCCTATGACGGTCAAGTCTGTTTGTTTATTGGGATTATTGATGGGTACTGCGATCACAGCAGTAACCACACTCAACTGTACATATTAACCACACTCTGTACATATTAACTGTACATATTAACCACACATAGTAACCACACTCAACTGTACATATTAGTGACCTGAAACTTCCAGGTAGCTCCTGCCTGCCTCATTTCACAGTACTGGTACTTACCAATGCACCAAAATACTCTGTCTCACTCTCTACGCCACCCTGTGCTCGGATCACCTCGGTGACAGCAGCCAATACCGCACATATCTATCAAAGAATACAAGTGCGAGAGTTCAGATTAAAGCCCAAATTAATTTAACATTCCCTCACAACATGCCACCCCAACACCTACAAGTATTGTTGTCCATCCCTATGAATGCTTCCCGGAGAGACTTAAAACTTCACCACTGATTACTGGTCAGCATGATTTTGACATAGATAAGCAAATAGCTGGAAGAGCAGATCAGCTATCTATAACCACTGTGCTGGGCTCTTGAGCTGACATGAGAGTAGGAAGGTTGTGTCTGAACTACAGGTCCAGGGAGATGAGTGGTAGATTGACATTCATTTCACTTGCTCCTTCAATCTGGAGATGGAGGCACAATGCCCACTTTTCTAATTCTTGCAATCTAAGTATGAATTCAAGTTCTGCTTTAAATTTCCAAAATGGCATAGCAATTCTTTCTCCATTTCCCTCAGAACAATGAAGTGCCCCCAATACGTAGCAGGAAGCCAGTGCATTCATAATGTGCCTCTGAGGGTCCATCTCTTACATTATTACCAGACAGCCATCAACTACAAACTGTTCAATCCGGAATAACAAATATAGTGCACACAGTTCTCAGTTACGAACGGAGAGAGGCAGACTGGCAACTCTTATGAATATGATTACAGTGGTACCTCAGGTTAAGAACTTAATTCGTTCCGGAGGGCCGTTCTTAACCTGAGGTACCACTTTAGATAATTGGGCCTTCCACCGCTGCACAATTTCTGTTCTCATCCTGAAGCAAAGTTCTTAACCTGAGGTACTATTTCTGGGTTAGCGGAGTCTGTAACCTGAAGCGTCTGTAACCCGAGGTACCACTGTATTACTTATTAATATTGTAGCTTTAGGGCAGTTAACAATGAGCTAACAACATAACTGCTGCTTGTGTGACACACTGTCAGTTGACTGCTGTAACTTCTTTTAGTCTATCACTTTGGTTGCTTGGTATCCACTTTTCTGCATTCCTTCTAATGTATTGTTTACCCACTTTCTTCTCTGCTGGCCTCTCTTCCACTCCATCTCCTCTTACAGTCAAAAACTGACTTTTTCCTCTGCGTGCTTTCCCCCAATATTCTTTGCCCCTCCCTTTCACTGCCCTTGTGACTTCCTAGGAGTTGGCATTCAATTACCTCCTTGTGAGCCGCAGAGTTGGACTCCCAGAAACGCTGCACTTTATTGAAGGTGAGGCTGGTGCAGTCACTCAGTCCACTCAGGAAGGTGGCTGAAGATTTGTGGGTCTTAGCAGTTTCGGCATTGTCATCCTCCTCCATGCACAGCTGACTCCCTTCCCCATCCCGTGAGGCAGGCAGGGGTCCTGATGACTGTAGTTCATTGTGCAGTTTCAGAGCATCCACAGTCAGGTTACTGTTTTCTGTAAGGGAAAGACAAACCTTCAATCAACACTGGGAAGGGAACACACTTCATAACAGATTGCTATGAGGTTTCTGTCCATATAAGGCCTACCAAGAGAGTCGCAAATGACAAGCCAAGTTGTTTCCAGGCAATCCAGAAAGGAGATTAATCCACAACAGGCTGGCCACGGCTTTAGATAGCTACTCACTGGCTTGGTATCAAAGTTTGCACAAGTATCCTTCCACAACTATTATTCCAACTTAACCATCAATGAACAAGCACTACAGACAGCGGTACTTCACCCATAGCAACAAGGGTGGCTGCGGAAAATGAAATGTCACACTTAATAGGAGAAAATATACACTTCTTGTCTTTTGTATTGTGTTATGGGGCACATAAGATGCTGACACCAGCTATATCACACAGGGTGGGTACAGGAATTCATTCAGCTCGGAAAGTTCCACGGTTTTAACGTTCAATAACGTAGGATAACTAAACAAAGTACATTTCTCCGGGTGAAAAATGCTTTTCTTCAACCCCATGATGCTATAGGCCCTCGTAGCAGATTTCTCTCTCTCTGAAGCCCTTCTATTCCGATCCCCCCTCCTTCTATAAGTGCTTCCTATTCCCCCACTTATCCTGGCCGCACATACCGGATCGGGGAGCGAGCAAGCGACCCCGGGCAGCCAGGCGGTAGCGTCTCCCCTCCGGGTTACTGTCGCTGCTATGCCCCTTGCGCCAGCGCTTGAGTTTACTGGCAGAGCCGGAGCGCAACTTGCCCGAACGCCCCATTCTGAACGGCGCAGGCCACGAGAAACCCCACGTGCGGCTCCTCAGTTCCGCCTTGTTTTCCAAGCACTTCCGGTTATCCGCCTCCGTGCGGAGAATCAACTTCCGCTTTCCCTCTAACGTTTTCCGCCCCTATCCAAAGAGGTAAAGGGGGAAAAAATACAACATCCACTTCCGACCCCGTTAATAACCCTCCATATGCGACGAAAGGGTAGTGGGCGTAAAAGGCCGGGAGTAGAATCTTAATGCTGCCACAAGTCCTTGACTCATTAGATGAGTCTGTTTGTCTGTTATGGCAGCAGAAGGTGTTTTCTTTTTTTAAAAAAAGGTGGTTAAATTGTTCACGAGCGTGGTGAGGATTGATAGCAAAAAGTAGATATAAAGCGGATTTCGAACTTGTTTTTTTTTAATTAACTAAAAGTTAAGAACTAGTGTTTCATGCCATACTCGTTGATCCCATTCCTTCTTGACAATTATTTGCAGAAAGGCATGGGTTCCAACTCCATCTCTGCCCCGTATTGGTGTATTGACTACAAACTCCCAAATTTAGAATCCCCTCCATACCAGTGACAACGTTTTGCAATCGTTTTGCAGAGTTTTTCAGCCCAAACCTTGTTTTGCAGTGGCCCCCGAACTGAGAAATTGATACATCAAATCGGGGGTCACGGATATCACCCCCAAACCCAATGTTGTTCGATACTCTCCAAACCAGTGCCAAAGTTTTGCAGTTGTTTTGCAGCAGAAACCCCAAGCTTTGCAGCACTTCCCGAAAAGCACAGTAAGAGATACACCAAACTGTGGTTTCTAGTTAACAGCACTCAAAATCCCACCTTGTCCAATTTACTCCAAATGGATAGTTTGATGTATCTGTTTCACAGTTTGGGCGATGTGGCAAAATGCCTAAATAACTTAGGCACCGGTTTGGAGGGGATCCCAAGTTTTGGGGTTCATGGTTAATGAAGCTAGATGTAGCACTCAAAAGTGCTACATTTTGTTTTCAAGAGCAAGGCTGGTGGGAAATATAACACCAGTTTGTCTTGTATGTAAATTGGGTAACCTGGAGGCACAGTGCCTTAGGCAGCATTGATTAGTGTCAGCACTGTGACCAGGTGCCTTGGAGGCCATTTATGGAAGAGTGTGCCTTTGGGGGTAAAGTCAAACCATTGGAGAGTTACAGCACCTGCTGTGTCTGTAGATACCAATACAGGAAATACCGTATTTTTCGCTCTATAACACGCACCGGACCATAACATGCACATAGTTTTTAGAGGAGGAAAACAAGAAAAAAAATATTATAAACGAAACAGTGGGTGTATGATTTTTGTGGCTCATGCTGTGGCCACAGACATGTGATCTGACGGTGAGTTTGGGGTAGCCCAATGCAAAAATCCTGAGGATCCATGTGGATCCATGCTTTGTAACCACATTTTTGCACCACTGCGGCCCCAGGCAACAGTGGGTGCGTGATTTTTTTGGTGCAAGCTGTAGCCATGGACATGCTATGTGATCTGATGGTGAATTTGGGGTGACCCAGTGAAAAACTCCTGAGGATCCATGTGGATCCGTGCTTTGTAACCACGTTTTAAGTGGGGAGGGAAGGAAATGCACTCAAGGAACAAGGAGCACACGTGGGGTGTGTGGAGAAAGGATGCTGCTAATAATGCAGAAGAGGGGTATAAGAGGAGAAGGCTCCTCTCCTCTCCCGCTTTGCTCCTTTAAAGAAAGCAGGCTCTGCTTCTCTCCCACTTCCCCGGCTTAGCGAGCTGAAAAACTTTGCTGCTATTTAGCGAGCTGAGTGGGGAGGAGAGAGGGACAGAGAGCCTGCTTGCTTTAAAGGAGCCAACTGGACAGGAGCCGCTTACACTCATGTAAGCGGCTCCTCTCCTCTCCTGCTTTGCTCCTTCAAAGCAAGCAGGCTTTCTGTCCCTCTCTCCTCCCCACTCAGTGGCTCTTCTCCCGCTTTGCTGTTTCAAAGCGAGCCACGGAGGAGGGAAGGAAGGGGAACCATGGATCCTCTGCTCACGACTGCAGCAGATCCCCCCGCCATCCGTAGGCATTCGCTCCATAACACGCATAGACATTTCCCCTTACTTTCTAGGAGAAAAAAAGTGAGTGTTTTGGAGCGAAAAATACGGTATATGTTTTAATGCAGGTGGGGCACTGGAAGCAGGAGTGCCAACTCGGACCTGTCACCATGGGTGCCCGGGCCCATGGTGCCATGCAGTGTGCATGGCTCAGGCACCAACATTTGTGGGTGCCAAGCCCCTTCATGCGGAATTTTGTGGGTGCTCATGTTGGAGTTGGCACTTATGAGGGGAAGACATCCATTACAGGTGCACCGTGATGTTGCTTCTCTCTGTGCTCCTCCCAGCGGTCATTCCTCCTCTGGTCCATGCTGTGGATACACAACCTGTCTGTCTCCAGGCACTGTGAACATCTGCAAGGGATGCCCACACTGCAAGATTAATGTTGTCAACCCTTCATATCGTGTTTGTGGACATCTTTGTAACACAGAGTTGGTGTAGTGTAGAGATCCTTGGGAATCCTGCCTGGCTGGTCATGTGTACATGACCAAGGTTGCTAAGACAGAAGTGCAAATAGGCTGCGAATGTGGGCTTGGGAGAGCACATCTTTGTTTGAGACTGTGTCCTGCCATGTGATGCCCAAAATCTTCCTGACGCAGCACATATGGCATTGGGGTGTCACTCCTGCCCATGACTCACTTCCACAAAGCAGCATGCTCAGCACGCAAGCCTAGAAGACCTTCATTATGGTATTGGTTGTTAGCCTCACATTCTCTCAAAGACTTTTGTGAAGATTTTTTCAGGCCAGTATCACTTTAGCTGGGGTGGGGGTCAGATATCTGCCCTGTTTTGAGCACGACAGGAAGAAAATAAGGTGGGACTTTCATTCCTTTACACTCTAGCTTTCTAGAGGCAGAATTCCCTGCCACACAAGAGGAACATTCAAGCATGCAAAGTTGCAACCCCCTGATGCCTGGACTGGCTATGAGCCTGTGCTATAGGTGTTAAGTGTCTACTGTTCACTAGCATGTGGCTGTTCCAAGGCATTCATCCTATGGAAGCTGGTGCTCATTTTGAAGGCCCCCATCTGGATTTTATGGCTCCCCTTATGATACAACTCTAACCTGCCCAGTCTGGCTCCTTAGGGATCTATCCTCCTTGCTGTGTTAAATAACATCTTGAATTAAGGGTGAAATTTAAAAACAGAGCAGGCCGCGGGAATGAAGGGGTAGCACCTGATGAAACGGGGGAGAGGGGCAGAGAAGGAGCAAAGTATATTTCTGGATGAGCAAGTTGTATCCTCACGTTAAGATCTCTGGCAGAAAAATTACCGTAATGTTAATGACAGGTGTCTAGCAGCTGAAGGGGGTGGAGTGAGGGCGAGCTCATTAATTTTGGGGGGGCACTCCCCCCCCCGCGCCCCTTGTAGCACCGCCTGTGTGGGATGCCCAGGCACATTGCAATGGTGACCATCCCAGCGGATGAAGGTCACGTTGCCCTTCGCGTGCGCTTCGTGAGCGGCGTGCCGGAGGGAGCAACCAGGCGCCTCCTTCTGGACGCATGCGCCAAACCTTCATAGTTCCTCCTAAAAAACGCACGTATGAATTCCAGTCTGAGACACCAGACGGCAGGACCGAAAACCAGAGCATGCGCAATACTGAATCCGGAGGGAGGGATTGAGTGGGGCTAGAATGCTCATAGAGATTGTAAAGGTGCAGAGTAACAATTCAACTATCTGGAGGCAAACTTCCTGGTTCCTTTAAAAGCTGTTTTAGTTTCTCCTGGGACGGAAGAACTGCTCAGAGAAGTCAGTGAATGGAGATATTAAGAATTTTTATGTAGCGTGCTCCTTTGTAATCCAGATCTTATTTTGTGCGGCAGATGCTATTTAACACAGTTTCAATACACTGACAAATTGCTCGGCCACTAGCCAGTTATTTCATATGGAGCCCACTTGCAAACTAGAGATGGGCCTGAGCCTTGCTTCCAACAACAAAAAGCCCCATAGAAAACACTCTTAAGGTTGCCACAAATATACTTTAATTATCCTCTCCTCGGACTTGTTCACAGCCGAAATTGGCGATCAACTCTGTTGACTTACATAAAGATGCGCTGGGCTTAGCGTTTAGAAACATGTCTTAAAAATGATTTTCACACGAAAAGTTCTGCACACCTATCTTGGCTGCTGCGTTTGGCGAGGGGGAAGCTCTGCTGCCCAATCACAACTAAGCCGAAACCTTAGATTTCTTTCTTTCTTGATGGGCAGCTCTCATTTCTCTTGGGTAGAAAAACGTTATGCGAAAAGCGAGCCCGGAATTTGTCCGCTGCCTGTCTGAAGGGGATGCCTGAGATGCGCCACCACGGAGGGCTGGTCTTTGGGCGCACGCCCCTTGCCTGGCCGAGAGTCTCCCGGCCGGTGGCGTCGCAGTGTGCAGAGTGCATCCGCGGCGCTTGCATCGCATCCCAGCTTCTCGGTTCCCGCCATGGCTGCTGCTTACAGGCTAGTTTTGGTTCGGCACGGCGAGAGCGCCTGGAACCTCGAGAACCGCTTCAGCGGCTGGTACGACGCAGACCTGAGCCCGGCAGGGCAGGAGGAGGCGCGGCGCGGCGGAGAAGCGCTGAGAGGTGAAGGAGCCCGGGGCGCGGCGCGAGGGCTGGGGAGCCGGGAGGCTGCAGCAGGCGGAGCGCGATGGGGATGCTTGGAGGCTCTCATCCCGGGGGGAAGGGGGAGGCGGGCCGGAACTCAGCGCAGGGGTCGGGAAGGTATCCGAGCAAGGCCAGAAGATCTTGCGGGTCCTCTTTGGACCACGGAGGGTCCCAGTAACTGGCGATGAAGGAGGTTTGGGCACGCGGGTGTTCCTTTTCCCCGGCTTTAGCCACGTGGTGAGCTTCCGCGTTCTCTCCGCGCAAGAATTGGGTGCCTTGCATTTTTCTGGGACGGGTCTCCCGCTAGATGCCTAACCACGTCTACAGTACAGTGGTACTTCGGGTTACATACGCTTCAGGTTACAGACTCCGCTAACCCAGAAATAGTACCTCGGGTTAAGAACTTTGCTTCAGAATGAGAACAGAAATCGTGCTCCGGTGGTGCGGCAGCTGCAGGAGGCCCCATTAGCTAAAGTGGTGCTTCAGGTTAAGAACAGTTTCAGGTTAAGAACGGACCTCCGAAACGAATTAAGTACTTAACCCAAGGTACCACTGTACTCGGAAGTAAGCCCCGCTGAATTCCGTTTCACTGGCTCTCCAGTAAGCATGCATGGAATTGGCAAGGATGCTCTCCCGGGGGGGGGGGAGGGAAATGGAAAGCCAGAATGGGTTTCTGGGGTTTCGAAGCGAAACGGAGAGTTAGACACGTTTCTGGAGGCACAGGCGTGTTCTCGGGCATTTGAACGGCAAGCCTCTAGCTCGGAAAGATGTAAAGTAGGACAAAGGAGAGGTTTCCTGAAGCTCGTGCATCGGCCTCTCTGCTGAAGAATCGAAGCGCAGCTCCCTGCAGCCGGCACTGGGGTGGGGGCGCCCTAGGCTAGCCGGAACTCCGGCCTTACTACTTTCAGAGATTGTGACGCCTCTTGGCCCCGAATAGCCTCGGGCTAAATCTGTGCCAAGCATAACGGGGATTGCATCTCACTCCTCTGGGCGGCAGGATGAATTGACTGAAAACGTGCCGCTTGTTCACTCGCCAAAGGCGTCACGGCCTACATAGAGAGGGTGGCATAGGCTGCTCTCCCGCTGTGAAAAGGGGCAGCTACCTCTCTAGCTATGTCCCCCCCACCCACCCCGATCCAGCTGCGCGACCTTGGCTAGGTCACTTTTGCGCATTTTGGGGTCACTGTTTTGGTCTGAATCGAAACATTGCCTCTCAAGGAATTGCCTCTCAAGGAAATCTCCACAGCAGCGTAATGTTATTTATTGAATTTCATCTAATAATTGCTTCTCATGGAACATCTCAAAGCTCTTTTGGAATAAAAACAACAGCAATAATAAAGCAATAAAACTACAGCAATTTAAAAGGCCAATAAAAAAAATTACTGTCCGATACAGAGTGAGATAAAGATGAAAGGCTTGCTGGAAATAGGAGAAGCCTTAATATGGCATGAGAGTATCTCTTCCCTGCATTCCTTACACATGCACCCTGCGTGGCCATCCTGCGGGATTGCATTGGCAGTCTTGCTGGGCCTTTGATATGGAAATTTAGCAGGAGCTGCTGAGTCATTCTGTCTTGCTGAGAGAGAGAGCCGGAGAGCAGGCTTGTGCCCATTATTGTTACAGGAAATGGGGGGAGGGAAGAGCTCCAGGAAGCAACTAGGGACCGCATGTCTTCTGCAGGCTCAAGAAACAGCCTGCCCAGTTCCAGTTTTTGTGCATTATCTCTCTGGCTGTAAGGAAAGAGAACAGAGTTCTACCCTTCTCTGAGAATTGCGTAGAGCGTTTGATGTAAGCAGAATAAAAGCCCTGCATTTAAAAGTGTCTGTTATTATTCATTTCTAATGCTGTTATTGTTAATTTCTGATGCCCTCTTAAGGGGTCATCCTGGGTTGGGTGGGTGTTGTTTGCATAAAACACATTTGCATGCACTGGTGCATGACTTGCCCTTTGCTTGCCTTTGTCCGGTTTCATCTTCTGTGGTGCACAATTACTGCTTTCCCCACCCTGACATTGGTTGGCATTATTGCACAGAACCTCTCTTCCTTTCTACAGAATGGGACAATCAGGCACATGGGAGCAGGCAAATGATTGTAAGGACGTGTTGTTAAGGCTACACTACAACATAACCTAATTTAGATAGAGGTGACTGGTTGTTTCCTCTCCTCTTGCTGAGCAGAGAGAGCGGCTGCTGTTCAGATTCCTCCCCCGCCCCAATGATTACATAAGCATTTCATCTTTCCACTATACTGGGTTTCAATGTAGCTGGCCAAACCGAGCCAGCTACATTATAAAGTGGAAGATGCGATACGCTCAGTTTGCTGCTAATTTCAACACTGGAACTTGGTAATGGTAACCTCAGGGCTTGCAGCATATGATTAGTTAACCTACCTATTTGTTTGCTACCCCTGCTATTCCATCTTCACTTTGTTGGGGGAGTATTTGCTGGATTATCCCCCCACCGCCTGGATTTAGTGGGTGACTACCTATGTCAGTGAAAGATTGAGGGGCTTCCACACTAAGGTGTTAATGTTTTACAGAGCGTTTGGGATAAAGCATGCTTCAGATAAGTTAAGCACTGTACAGTGGTACCTCTGGATCCGTTCCGGAGGCCCATTCGCAACATGAAAGGAACGCAACCTGCAGCGGCGTGTCTGTGCACGCGAGGGTTGCGATTCGCCACTTCTGCGCACGCACGTGACATCATTTTGCATGTCTGCGTATGTGCAAGCGGTGAAACCCGGAAGTAACCCTTTCCAGTACTTCCGGGTCACTGCAGGACACAACCTGAAAAAACGTAACATGAAGCAAACGTAACATGAGGTATGACTGTACTCTCTGGGCCCTTCCAGATGCTGGTTATGAGTTCGACATCTGCTTCACATCTGTGCAGAAGAGGGCAATCCGCACCCTCTGGACTGTGCTGGATGTCATCGATCAGATGTGGCTACCCGTAGTGAGGACCTGGCGCCTCAATGAGAGGCACTACGGTGGCCTGACAGGCCTTAACAAGGCTGAGACGGCGGCTAAACACGGTGAGGCCCAGGTGAAGATCTGGAGGCGTTCCTTTGACATTCCGCCACCTCCAATGGAGCCTGATCACCCTTTCTACAGTACCATCAGCAAGGTGAGCTGGGAAACTCTAGTCCATTAGTGGTGTGTGGGGCAGGGGGGGGATGGATCATTTGGAAGTTGTCATGACTATAATACCTTCCTGTTTCTGCCCATTGTTGCCCCAGAACCATGGATTCATTGGACTCCCATTTTCATTCATCTTCTCCATCCATTGCTTGGACTTTTGCCCTTACGTTACTCTCCCTTTGTCCAGTTATTTTGGGAGTCCTACAGTTGTCTTTGCTAATTGCTGGTTTTATACGGGATGTCACTCCTGAGCTGTTTTGACAATTTAATAGAACTTGCCCCTTTCATGTAATTAATCATTTACATTGTGCCCTTTCATGGATGTTTGTACTGCATGGTGACAACAGTCAAGGTTATTCGTGGAGGGGCTGGAATCTTCCATCTATACAACAACATGTTTGTTAATGGTTTTACCACGCAAGATGGTCAGATTGCAGGCTCTAGAACTTGTTTCATCTGATCACAGTTGTGTGGATTATAATACCATCTGCAGGCATTGAAAAGCTAAAACAGCTGTGTACAATAGGCAATGAAATTGAAAATAGGCAATGAAATTAAACAGGTCAATCAGGTTAAGAACAATAGGCAATTAAATTGTGATTATGGCTGTAAAAGAGGCAACTTCTGTAGAACACATTGCTGAAGAGCCAAAGCAATGTGCAGAAACTGCAGAGAAGCGGACTTTGGCTAAATGTTAGGAGAAACCTTCACACAGCACAAGCCGTTTGACATTGCAACAGATTGCTATGGGGAAGTGCTGGATTTGCACACCCTGGAGGCATTTAAGCAGAGGCCAGATGGCCATCTGCCAGAGATACTGCAGTGAGTAGGAACTAGATTATCTTTAGGGTACCCTTCAGCTCTGTGCTTCTCCAAACATTAATAGTTTCATACCACATTTGGGGGGACGAATAGAAAATGTTGGTTTGGGCAAACAATCATTATTTAAGGCCTAGCATGCTGTTGATATGAGAGGTAAGGAAGGGCCACTGACCAGAGACCAGAGGAAAAACAAATGCTTAGATGGGCTCCTGTAAAGTGCCTATTTTAAAATGTCCAGTAACACAGGCAACCAGCGAGCATGGTTCACAGCTGGAGCATGTGGTAGCACAGGCCAAAGAACCAATTCTTCCAAACAGAAGGTGCTTCATAGATCTCCCTGAGCATCTCCAGGATGAAGCAGAAATCGTGTCTTAAATGCTACTCCATATTCTTCCGCAGGATCGTCGCTATGCCGACCTCACTGAAGATCAGTTGCCTACCTGTGAGAGCCTGAAAGATACCATTGCTCGGGCCCTGCCCTTCTGGAATGAGGAAATTGTTCCTCAGATCAAGGAAGGCAAGCGTGTGCTCATTGCTGCCCATGGCAACAGTCTCCGAGGCATAGTCAAGCATCTAGAAGGTGAGTCTGCTTGTGACTTAAGACACCCAAGGCCGCACAAGCCTGGTCAAGTCTAAAGGCAAACTCCAAGAGGGTTGCCGACTAACAGTCTTTGGGATGGGCACTATAACCAAGCTCCTGGTGTGATTCACTCCTTGCTCTTTGCAGGAATGTCTGAGGCAGCAATCATGGAACTGAACCTGCCCACTGGAATCCCCATTGTCTATGAGCTGGACAAAAATCTGAAGCCCATCAAGCCCATGCAGTTCCTTGGGGATGAGGAGACTGTCCGCAAGGCCATGGAAGCTGTGGCTGCCCAGGGCAAGGTCAAGAAGTGAAGGCAAACCCAAGTACTCCGTAGAAGATCTCCCCCTCCCTCATCCCTTTCCTTCCCAGCACATACCTGCCACAGCCTGAGGGACTGGGCAGACGAGCCAAAGGAGGTGAAGCTTCCTGGGGCCACCACGTTCTTTCCTTCAAGACCAACGTCCTTCCACATTCACTTTCCCCCCAGCAGGATATGGCTAGATACACTAGGGATGTGGACCACAGTCCAGCACAGGGGTCTGGCAGATGAGCAAGCCCTAGCGCCATGGAATGTGATGCTGCTAAAGTGAAGGGGGGAATCCCCAAGCATTCTGAAGAGAGAACCCCTCCTGCCTTCTTTCCATTTTATGTGGCAGCTGTAGTAGTATTGCTCGATTTGGTTTGGTCACTGGTGATTAAGGCTAGCTAGGGGTGCTTCAGACAGCACAACAGGGATGCTCAAGGATCATTTATTTTTTATGGGTCTTTTTAAAGAGAGCATGTAATTTTGCTAAAGAGTCTTTTTTATTTTTAGTTGTCCCTGGAGTTACATCTGATTCTGTGTTAGGTAACAATAGCCAGCTCGTTATTTCATTGCCTTCAAAATGATTGTAGGAAGGAGTGAAGTTAGGGGAAGAGAAAAGGGAACAGCACCCACCCTGGAATCTCCAGCTGCGATCCCGTAACTTTGCTGTGTAGTGCCAGTAAGCCCAGATACTGTGTATCATCATGTGTTGCTTTTCTGCCCCACAGTCTGTGTGGTATCCCTGCCTGATTTAGGGCAGGTTTACACTGGAGCTCACTTCACTGTACAATGGCTGCATTTGCCCTAATCTCAGTAAAATAAAGGAATTATGTGCAATAGCTCCTGTGTCTGTACAATCTTATTGATTCCAAGAAATAGTGTTGCCCCCCCTATGCTGACTCTTCATCTCTCCTTTCCCATTTAGTCACAGTATCTATCCACTGCAAGCAGGTCTGAAAAGGACCCAGGACATCTTTTGTTCCATCTTAAAACTACTGGCTGTGGAGCCCATGTAGGTAAAGTCCATATAAGGACAAGTCTTATGTTCTACTCTAGCTGATCCCCAAACCACTCCCAAGGTGAGCACTGCAGGTGGTTGGTGTCCCTGTTGGCTTACACACACACAACTGCTACTGATCAACAGGGAAGTACAGTTCCCAAGTACGGGATTCCCCTTCCACGTGGCCCTGCTGGCAAAGAGAGCGATTCAAACCATTATGTTTTCCTTTCCTTCTTTTTTCAGATTTGGCTACTAGTTTACATGGGAATGTCAAAACATTTCAATACTGTGGATACTGAACATAAGCCAGTACTGTATACAGAAAATGTGAACACAAGAGTAATAGGAGGGAACACAAAGGTCAATCCTGGTTTACTTACATTCAAACATTAATGTTTAGATAGGAACAATATCAAATTTCCTTTGTTTGTGAGTAGGCATTCATTCCTTTGGTTCTCCCCCTCGAGTGCCTTGGAGCTATCTACTTCAGAACTTGGGCACTGCCTGGGATCCTGCACACCTAATCACTACCCTTGCTTCTCCAATAACATATCCTCCAACAAGGGCAGGGGGTTCACTAGATCAAACTATCTAGGACTGAATGTAAAAAAGGTAAAGGGGCCCCTGACCGTTAAGTCCAGTCGTGGACTACTCTGGGCTTTATTGGCCGAGGGAGCTGGCGTACAGCTTCTGGGTCATGTGGCCAGCATGACTAAGCCGCTTCTGGCAAACCAGAGCAGCACACATTTATCTTCCCGCTGGAGCAGTACCTGTTTATCTACTTGCACTTTGACGTGCTTTTGAACTGCTAGGTGGGCAGGAGCTGGGACTGAGCAACGGGAGCTCACTCTGTCACGGGGATTCGAACTGCTGACCTTCCGATCGGCAAGCCTTCGGCTCAGTGGTTTAGACCACAGCGCCACCCGCGTCCCAGGACTGAATGTATCCAAGTTCAAAGGAGGAAGTTAACCACCTCTAGAGAAAAGCTTTTATACTGCCTATAGGTGGTATTTATTAAAAATAAAAAACAGTACTGCTTATGGCTCAGAAAGGAAGAATGGAAGACAGTTTTATTTGTCCTTTACCAGGTGTTAAGATTAAAATCAGGCAGAAAAGACAGGGACAACAGGTAAGAGTTGGTTGGTTTATAAAACAGTAAGAGGAATCCGGAGTTGTCATCAACTTTTCTTTCTCAGACCATTCTAGAAGCCAAAGTAGCCCAGCTCTGTTTTGCACACTCATAAGGTCCATTCACAGCAACAGCAAAGGAGGCTGCTTCCATGCCCCTCTAAGCTTGCAAGCTGCAGCAAAGCCTTTCATGTACTTGCTGTGCATCTTTGGGCATACACCAGTCACTACGTCTGCAGAAACTGGGGCTGTACTCTGGCTACCTTGCGCAGTTCCTTGCTATGTGTACTGGGGCACTGCATTTCACACCAGCTGATTGGCACCATCTGTACTCCTGAAATCAGAACATCCATAGTTACACAGACACCCTTCCCAGGGAAAGAAAGATTCCTCCACTCATTAAAGGTGCCTTGCGACCACACTGAGACCCCCAGATATAGGGTGGTATATAAATAAAATAAAATACCACTACCTGGCTCTCTGAAATTTAGTTACTGCATCCATAAACTGCCCTTTTCACTTTACACAGTTATGGTAGAATAACACCTAAGTGGATATTCTATATTACAGAATGTCTTCCCTCAGTAGTGATGTTACTAAGGCTTCTTCCTTAACCATACATTTAAGCGGTCCAGAATATGTTGGCATGTTCAGTAGATTTCAGCATTATGTACAACCGGCTTGGAACAAGACTGGTCTTACCTGCTTCACTGTGAGCCACCACTACCCCCAGCTCATTTTCCGCTGTTGTCAGCAAATAGTTGGACTGTGCATCACCCAGAGAGATCTAGCCCCACAGGTTGAGTTAAGGTGCAATGCCTAAAGATTTCTCTTCCCGCTAGCACATACATACACAGCACATAAAGGCAGACACAAGAAAAGGATACAACTTTGGCCAAAACAATATCTCCTGGGCGGAAACTCTTGTAAACCTCTACCTGTCACCATGCATGAGGTGGGAAGGAAAGAGAAAGTGTGAAAAGCAAAATACTGAGACAACTTCGAGGGAAAGTGTGCAGTGAAACATGGCCGATTTGAACATGAAGAGGACATCCATCAGATCTTGTGCTAAGATGTCCTTTATCCAGAAATCACAAGCCTTTTCTTCAACAAATGTACAAAAAGAGGCATTGCTAAATGTCCTCTTGCCCCCACAAGGTTTTGCTTTTCCTCAGGTAAGTTTCCCCAAGAGCAGTAGTGATTTTATTATTTTTTTATCACACGGTTTTCTCCAGTGAGCTCAAGGTGGCAAACCCACTTGTCCCCCTCTCAATACTGTCTTCACGGCAACCCTGTGAGGTAGGTTAGGCAGAGAGATGGTGACTAGCCCAAGGTCACCCAGTGGGCTTCAAAGTCTCCCATGTCCTAGTCCATCACACACATGTATGTATTCGTGCCAGGAAGAAATGCTCCTGGCTATGCGCATTAGGTATACTACCTATTCCCATCACATGTAACCAAAATGTTTATTCCACTGACCTTGTCTTTCTCTGTAGCTCTGACATCTTCTCTCCTGCAGCAGGAGAAAAGAATGTAAGAGTTCACCATAGTCCTCCTCTCCCTCCCCTAAAAGAAAACTGACTATACTGACTTGGCTATGAGCGATTGCCAAAGAAGAAGCAGCCTTTGGAGGAAGGGTTAGCTAGTTTAGTTGAAAAACCAAAAAGTCTGAACATGAGGCCAAGCACCTTACTGAATGAAGTAGATCTGGGTCTTGCTAGTACCTAGATGGATGACTGCCAGGGATCCAAACACTGCCTTGGGTTCCACAACAAAATTATATAAATGAAAGGAACATAAATATAATAAAACAATTCCCACTAGCACTCAAGTGCTAATGATGAGAGTAAAACAAAATATTTATAATGGTTGGCCTTCTCTCCTCTCTAAAAGTGCAGACATCCAACACCTCAGAAGAAGCCCCCACAAGAAAGTTGTCTTCCTACCGGATAGTTCCACGGAATGGGGATTTTAATGGTGTAGAGCCGACATACAAGATGTGCACCTTGGCAAAACGAGAGTTAATGCTGCAAACCTGGGTGGGAATATTGGGGGTGGGAAAAAGGGGAGAGAAAACCATAACTGAATTTCAGATTAAACAAATCGAACAGAGTACAGTGGTACCTCGGGTTAAGTACTTAATTCGTTCCGGAGGTCCGTTCTTAACCTGAAACTGTTCTTAACCTGAAGCACCACTTTAGCTAATGGGGCCTCCTGCTGCTGCTGCACCGCCGGAGCACGATTTCTGTTCTCATCCTGAAGCAAAGTTCTTAACCTGAAGCACTATTTCTGGGTTAGCGGAGTCTGTAACCTGAAGCATATGTAATCTGTAGCATCTGTAACCTGAGGTACCACTGTAATCACAGGGAACAGTAACTTCAATGCCTCACCAATTCCCCCTCCCACTTTTCTAAGTAACAAAAGTAATTTTAGGATTGCAGTTGATGATGCTTTCTGCTCTGTGGAGAAAAAAAATGAAAGCTAGTTTTTGAGATGAAGTACGTGTTTCTTCCTTTCCATCAACAACACTGTTCTGGCGAGAGCAATGCTTGCAAGGTTTATACTGGACTCGCTAATGAAGGAACTTGGGCTTCTGGTATTCGGGGGCTGAACAGACCAAGAGCCCTGATATTTATTACTAGGGGCTGAGCTCCTGCTCACTGCACTTGCCAGCTGCACCCACCCACTTGTCAACCCCCCTCCTCTTATGCCTCACCAAGTCAACCCCTCCCATTAGAGCACATCAAACCACCACTACCTGCTCCCATTAGTTTGCCCTCAGCTCACCTAGGCTTCCCCGCCTCCAATTCTCTTATCCTCTGATGTTGCTAAGGCCGAAATGGTGTTACTGGAGAGACAGGCAGCAGCAGAGCAGGATGGTTGCTGGGCTGCTGCCTAGCCCTTCCTGGCCATTCTTCCATGGTTCGACTGGGCCAGACACCTGCCTCCATCTCTCTCCTCCTACCAGCTTTGTCTCATCTCCCAACACTGCTGTGATGGGCAAGTAGCTCTCAGAAGTCTGTTGTCACACTGTAGTTTGCAGTGCCACAAGCCAAGCAAACTGCTGTGTGAAAACATCCATGCCATTTTATTATATATCAAGACATTTATATCCCACATTTCCCTGCAAAGCTAGTCAAGGTGGCAAACATGATTCTCCTCTCCATATTATCCTCATAACAACCCAGTGAGATAAGGGAGGCGAAGAGTTGGTGACTAGCTCAAGATCACCCAGTGAACTTCATGCCTGAGTAGGGATTTGAACCCTGGTCTCTCAGGCCCTAATCAGACACCACATAAAAAGATGTAGAAAGCATTGCTCAGCTGCAATTGTCAGGCTTGTGGCAAACAGCTTCTATATCTGGTTCACAGCCAAACCTGTTGCTTTCCTTGGCCCACCAGTAGATGAATGAAAGACAATTCTACTGTGCCAAGATAGAAATGAGGTTACCTTGCACGTCACTGTAGCTCCCACATCAGGAAGAAGCTGAGATTCCACGTCCCTCATCACAGAAACCACTGGGAGCTAAAGAGAAGCAAAGAAGACTAGTAATGATTTGACGCATTGCTTTAGAGCAGTGCTCATCAACCACAGGTCCTCAGGTGTGGATGGACTAAAACTCCCATCAACCCCATCCAGTTTAGCCAATGGCCAGGGATAATAGGTGTAGTTCAACAAATCTGGGGGACTCATGGTTGAAAACTACTGACTTACAAGTGTTAGGATGACACTATAAGATAACCATGTCTCAACACTTCTTCTGGATTACCAGCTGATCATACACTTGTTGTTGTTGTTAATATTTATTAAATTTGTATATCGCCCTATATCCACAGGTCTCAGGGCGATTCACAGGAAAACATAAATGTAGGCATCTAATCACTACAGGTGCCACAGGATACATTTCAGGCTTTATAGAGTGTCATGATTATGCACCATCCAGTTCACATGACATGAAGCTCACCCGCCTTCTTGCACAGACCCACCTCCAGTCAAGAATCTGTGAGACCCAGAACAGCTCCACAGCTATTCACAGAATCATACTGTAGAGTTGGAAAAGACCCTGAGGATCATCTAGTCCAACCCACTGCAATGCAGGAATATGCAGCTGTCCCATATGGAGATTGAACCTGTAACTTTGCCATTATCAGACCATGCTCTAACCAACTGAGCTATGTTGACTCATCCAAGGTCACAGTTATGCACTCCCCACCTCCCCAACTTGGTTCCTCTCTTGGTCCTACACTATGAACTAGCACTGCTCACATCAAAGCATTCAGTCCTTGCAATTCCCACTACACCACCCCCTCATACTGTTGCCCAGAGGTTGCTTCAATCTCACCATGCCATTCTCACTTTTCTTCATGAGACAACCAGCCAGGGAGGCATAGATCGAACCATGACGGGTGTAGGTGCCGCTTCCAGGGGTTCCTTCCTCTAAGCTGCAGAGTCTCTCTCCTGCAGGACAGAACGCAAGTCAGACATCTCATTGCCTAGAGTTGACTGTCCTTTCAGACAGTAATAGACACAGCAGGAGAAGCTGTCATAGTGAAAAGCAGGACCAATTCATGTACCCCCAGCCCTATTTATTGACTCTCATCATGCTGTTAACAGGTGTGTATCAAACATTAAAAACTTTCCTATGGTTTAAAAAGGGGGCAGGAGGGAGAGGAGGCACAAATCCTAATATTACCCGGCTGCACAACTGCGTTGCAGTTTGCCACTGTTGCCATCCTGAACACGGACTGTCCTGATACCTCTCCCATTGAGCTATCTGGAGTTATAAACATGGACCACTTATAAACGCCATCTCCAACTCCTCGAAAGATTCCATCAATGGTGTCTCTGAAAATTGTTACACATCATTTGAGAAGACAGGCGAACTAATGCCAGTGTACTGGAAGAAGCAAAGATCACCAGTGTCGAAGCAATGATTCTTCAACATCAACTTCGTTGGACTGGTCATGTTGTTCGGATGCCTGATTATCTTCCAAAGCAACTGCTCTATTGCAAACTTAAAAATGGAAAGCATAATGCTGGTGGTCAACAAAAGAGGTTTAAAGACTCTCTCAAGGCAAATCTTTAAAAATGTAGTATAAACACCCGGGGTGCAAATATCTGCCCAGCGCCCCCACATTACCACTGATGGGGGGCAGGCGAAGCTGAGCACTGCCAGCCATGGGGGGGGGGAGCGCAACTCTCCCCCAAGCTGCTGCAAGAGAGCAATCCCCACAGAGGCTTGGGAGGGAAGCTGTGCACCCGTCAGCCATATGGTTGGCGGGGCACAGCTTCCATCCTAAGCCTCTGCAGGGATCGCTCTCCTCCCGCTGAGGTTCGGGAAGCAGGCTGCACGCCCGCCAGCCATATGGTTGGCGGGGTGTAGCCGTCAGGCGTGCAGGGAAAGGGGAGGCCGCTGGCAAAGCCGCACAGCTCCCCAACTCGCTGGGGCACCCAAGAGGCCGGCACCCTGGCACAATGCACCACTAAGCCCTATGGGAAAGATGGACAACTGGGAAACACTTTCCTGCCAGCGCTTCAATTGGAGAACAGCCTTTACCAAAGGCGTCATGGGCTTTGAAGACACTCGAACTCAGAACGCAAGGGAGAAACTTGCTAAGAGGAAGGCACGCTTGGCAAACCCTCACCGTATCAACTCCCGTCCGGAAACCAATGTCCCCACTGTGGAAGGACGTGCGGATCCAGAATTGGCCTCCACAGTCACTTACGGACTCACTGTTAAAACCGTGTTCATGGAAGACAATCACACTCGGCTACGAGTGATCACCAAAGAAGAAGAACTTCAATAGCGCGACCTCGTTTTTGCACCCAGCCAGGACGCCTCCCTCCTCCCGCCCCGGCTTTCCCAGTCACCCACCAGGGACGCAATACCGCGCGGGAGCCATCCTGCCCCGGCCGAGTCTGAGCAGCGGCCTCCCTCGCCTTCCGAAGCAAGTCTCCCCCACCGAAAAGGGGGGCTGAGCCGCTTTCTCATTGGCCGGCTCTGCTGTCACATGACTTCCTCTCCGCGCGCATGCTTTCCTCCCTGGGCGGAAGAGCTATTAGAAAACGGGGCGTGCGGGGCACAGAAAGGGAGAACCATCGGCTGACGGCCCGAGGAGACCCTGCGAAGCGACGCGCAGTGGATGACGGGAATCGTAGTTCCGCTTGGCGCTCGCGGCGTGGAGTCGCGCATGCGCAAGGGTGAGGGTGGTCAAAGACAGGGAGCAGGATGCCTTGGTGGATGCGGTAACGCGGGGAGCGGGTTGTAGTCTCGGTTTGACTACACCCTGATCATGGCAGCACCAGGTAAGGCGAGGGGGATCCCTCTGACGCGCGGTGGTCCTGCGGTGCATGCTGAGGCAGACCTCGTTTCCCCTGCACGCTTCGGGAGAGCCGGCGCTCTTTCGCCGCCGGGTAGCTCCTCTTCTCCATTGCTGCTTAAGGGCTTCGCCTGTTTGCTAAGGCTGCCGTGCCCGGTCTGGGCAACAAAGCTGGGGCTCGGTGCTCTTCGCTTTCCCAGATATTGCTTAGCAGCGTCCCGAATGACTGCATCCTTGGAATGCACGTTGGAACAGACCCCCCCGGGAGGCATGGCTAGAGAGAGCCGTGAGCCGCTGAACTCGGTAGACACGCGCCTTCAGGTCCCCACGCCTCTACAGAGCTTTCGTGGGATGCATACGAATGGTGCTTCTTTTCCTGTCCCCACTCCTCTCTGGGGTTTGTTCCCGTGACCGCCTCTGGGGCCGTTATGCCTAGAGCAGGCGAGCTGGGGCTCACGCGGAGGTGGAGCTTTAACCTCAGCTGATCTCTTTTTTTCTTAGAAAATATAGTGGAGACAAAATCCCTTCCCCCACCCCACTGGGAGCCCATTGACTCACCCACGCAGGTCTCGCTGTCTCATAACCATCTCAGTGGTTAATCTTCCCTTGTGTGACTTCTGCTGTTGCTGCCATCTGCTAGAGGGGCAATGCTGCCTTCAGAAATCACCCTTAATCCGCGCTCAGGAAGGATGCCAGCTCTGCTCAACTGGCAGAGAATGGGCCGAGCTCTGGGTGCATGTGACTACCGGCAGAGACAATGTCTCTCTATCTCTCTTTCTGTGTGTGTGTTATTTTCTGCTGTAATGTCAACACAGACGGGCTGCTGTGTGTGAACACTTTTATCATCTAGCTGCATATGAGCTGGTATACTTTGCCTGAAAGCTCTAATTTTGACTCTAAATGTATTGCCTCATGAAAACTAATTATGTGATATTATTATTAAATAAATCTCAAAGTGGTTTACAACAACGCATTCTGTTGTGAACCAAGTAAAATAATCTGTTTGCCTTGGGGGTGGGGGAGAGACTTGGAGGTGTGTTTGCTATTTATTTGGCTACTGGGCAGAGCACTGCAGGAATTCTGCAACATGTTGCTCAATTTTACCAAAGTTTCTACAGAAGCAGAATTAAGAAGATCCAGAACTATGCTGATCCTCTCCCCTCCCATCCATGTGAAAATACATTCATTTGTGAGAGGCTGCGAGGTATTGTCCCTGTTTAATGTGCAGCTATAACTTACCCTAGGTAAAGGTAAAGGAGCCCCTGACCATTAGGTCCAGTCGTGGCCGACTCTGGGGTTGCGGCGCTCATCTCGCTTTATTGGCTGAGGGAGCCGGCGTACAGCTTCTGGGTCATGTGGCCAGCGTGACTAAGCCGCTTCTGGCGAACCAGAGCAGCGCACGGAAACGCTGTTTACCTTCCGCCGGAGCGGTACCTATTTATCTACTTGCACTTTGACGTGCTTTCGAATTGCTAGGTTGGCAGGAGCAGGGACCGAGCAACAGGAGCTCACCCCGTCACGGGGATTCAAACCGCCAACCTTCTGATCGGCAAGTCCTAGGCTCTGTGGTTTAACCCACAGCGCCACCCGTGTCCCATACCCTAAGATGAACCAAAATAAGGTCACTTGTGTTCAGACTAACTACAAGGAATGTACTCTGTTGAGAGCACCAGAACACCTTTTTGAGGCAAGTAGAATTTGACTGGAGTGAGAGGTTGCTAGTAGAGCAAGATGTAAGTGGAGATTGGGCATAATGGTTGCTGCAGAGTATAGGCCTACTTCCCTAAGTTTCCATACGCTAAAAATAATAATTTGATCTCTTGACGGTGGTGCCAAATTCCTTTTTAGGTCTCTTTGTTTCATTTCTGCACTGTGACCCCCTTACTAAGTTCCACCTTGCTGGTACTGTCACCACCCCTGAGGGGTTCGTAGGGTCACATTCTCGGTTAATATTAATTGGCCAAGATCAGCTTTCTCCAGAGCTGGCCTAGCTCAGGTTCCCTCTTGCTCTTAGATTAGCTGCAGCTTGATGCTAGAGTTCTGCGAGCAGGTAAGTGCCATCATTTCGTTCGTCCTCTTTTATCATTTTGGCCTCCTTAGCCCTGCTAGCTTTAGTAGACAGGTCTAAATTGGATATTTTCCCCAACTGAGGCAGAGATGTCAAGTGGATATGCTGAACTCTCTCAAGACCAGGACTGGGTTTGGCAAGGTATCCCTGTTGGCTCCCTTTCACCAGTCAATTCTTTCCCAACCCAGAAATATTTTGCAGAGATGAAAGGATGCATGGCAGCAAGGATTCAGTCCTCTCCCTCCCTGCATGTCAGCTCTCTAAATCTCTGTCTTTTTTTTAATATAATTTTTACTAATTTCTTTTTTAAAACAATATTTCAGCATACCAATAACAAAACAAATAAATTCTTTGCTCTACTGAGCTCGTGACTTCCCTCCATCCCTTCAACCAGTTTTTAATTTTCAAATCTTTGTGTTGCACTTTATATCCTCTACTTCAGACCTTTATATCCTCATGATCAACTCTGTCTCAATGGTCTATAAAGTTTTGAGATTTACAGTTTTTTTGATGCAGAATTTATATCAATCCCGCTAGTGTCTTCACATTTTTACAATAATTATTCATATACTCAATAAATTTACTCTCTTTGAAACTTTTGGTCGTCTTGGTTCCGGATCCTGCCTATCAGCTTGGCCAGTTCTGCATAGTCCATCATCTTTGTCTGCCACCCCTCAATCATTGGTAGTTCCTGCAATTTCCATCTCAGCTCTCTAAATCTCATAGGTGCTCAGCTCTATATGGGCTTGTCTTCTGTTTTGGAAGGGTCCATCCCTAACTCAAAAATTCTGGACTACACCACAGCAAACAACTTTGGGGAAAAGGCACTGTATCCCCGCCACTCATGAGATACCTGGTTTCCTCAGTCATTCTCTCCCTTTGCTATGAGAGCTGAAGAAGAGCCTGCTGGATCAGGCAATGACCTGTCTAGTCCACCATCCTGTTCTTACAGAGGCCAACCAGATGTCTGGGAGGAACCTGCAAGCAGGACCTGAGCGCAGAAACACTCTCCCCTTCTGCCCTTCTGCAGTTTCCAGCAACTGGGATTCAGAACTGGGGGCAGAGCATAGCCATCATGGCTAGTAGCCACTGATAGCTGTTTTCTCCATTATGCTGGGAAAGGAAATCCAAATGCAAACTTCATAGATGTGCCTCTTTGGCCTTTGGGGTGCTGTGTGTGCTCTGGGCAATCTCTTGCCCTTTGAACTCAGTGTATATGCATTCACGCAAGGAGCCTGGGTATTCCATCTCGGAAGATAGGCAGGAGAATTGGCAGAGCCACAGAGGGGACACGTTCAACTCTGGGTGCATTCTACTAGCTGTCATTACTCACACGGACAGCAGTGGGTGAGCAAAACCTTTCCACCAATGCTGCACTGGAGTCATCTGAAGTGAGAGTGACTCCTCACCCTCAGCACTGTCCTATGATCAGCCGTGACTCTTCCACCATCCTACATCCCTTAGCATCCTGATGCTGGAGCAGCAGACTCAACCGCTGAGTATTTGGCACCAAGCCTTTGCCTTCCATCTAAACCCAATGTCCAGTATCTACTTAACACTGCTTCCTCTCTCCACAGGCTCTGAGTGGCAGGGATGAGGAGCCGCCAGAGGATGTATTCTGCTGTCATGCGCTTCTTCCTGAAATGCCTGCGGATAGGTCAGCGGCGTCGGTTCTGGCTGACTAAGCATGTGGGGCAGCTCTGGCTGTATGGGCGCCTCTGTTTGCGCTCCCTGGTGTACAACTCCTTTGCTAATGGGGACACTGCTCTCGACGCCCTCTTTGAGCCCATCTACTGGCTGGTGGATCACGTCACCCGCTGGTTTGGGGTGGTGAGTATCTCGGGAGGAAAGGCAGCAGAGTGCAGCTTCAGGCCCGCTGGAGACATGTTCAGCTCTAGGAAATAAAGAGTTTGAGCCCCGGGCTTCAAGCCACCATCAAACATCTAAGCTGGGCAAGGAGATACATGACCTTGCAGATGTGGGAGGAGATGGCGCTGATGCTTCGCTGAATTCTTTTGTGGTCCCCCAGCGCTGCTGTTTTCTTCGGACTATGGGGAGACCAAGTTGGGTTTAGCATGGGGATCCATCCACTGGAAACATTCCTCCATCGAAAGGGCTGAGACTTGTCTGCAGTGTGTTGGTGGCTCAGACCCTTCCCTCTTCCCCCTCAACAGGTGTTTGTGGCCCTGGTGATCACTCTGACCAGCTCAGTGGTGGTCATAGTGTACGTCTGCCTCTTGCCACTCGTCTTGCAAACCTACCCCCTTCTTTGGATCTTCTGGCATTTCATCTATGGTCACTGGAACCTCGTCATGATTGTCTTCCACTACTATATGGCCATCACTACTCAGCCTGGTTTTCCTCCGCAGGTAGGTAGAGGCACCAATATCTCTGATTTCACTTTTATGAAGTTTATTTTTTAACACTGAGATCCATGGTAGGACATGATTTCCTACCACTTCTTCTTTCACTGGTGACTCTTATGCAAAACGTTATGGACAAAGGGCTGATCTCGAGTTGCAGCTGTGTGCATGCTCCAGAGGGCCCATGTCCAAATATGCTTGACCCAGTGTGTTTTGGGTTAGTGTAAGGGCAATGGCACTCTTGCAACCACGCTAAAGGCTACCAATGTTCCTTCCAGCAGCAGTTGAAGAGCGATGTCGCTGCTGTCTCCATCTGCAGGAAATGTATTGCCCCGAAGCCTGCCCGGACCCACCACTGCAGCATCTGCAACAGGTGGGCATTTCCCTTGTATCAGACCAGTGTCACGTGTGAAAACCCGAACCCTTTAAAGATGCTTTATGGGCAAGCAGATAACCAGGGTCATTTATCTTTCACATTGTATGTGAGCATGAAATGTCTTGTGGTAGCTGGTGTAGAATCCTGTGTCTGGCAAAGATTCCTGAGAATTTTAGAAGGCTTTGTGAACCCCACATTCCCCTCTTGGCATATACTTCTTGTGATTCTTTCTTATATTTTCCCCAAATATCCAAATACTTGTTTCAGAATAAAACACGAGAATGCAGGAAGCATAACTACTTGACTTATTGCACACTTGTGATCTTCATAATTTTGGATATGGAGTGAGAGTTTCTTCTGATGCAGAATTGCGATGACAATAATAATCTGGACATAGATGAATTGTTGTCTGTTTCTCATGCTGAAGTCTTGGAATCCCTCTAACTCTTTCAGCTGAGATATAACCTGTAAGAACATCAACATAGTTTCTCTGCACTGAAAAAGAAAGTACAGTAAATAGAAGAAGGGCGGCATGGGAGGGAGGGAAAATAAAATTGTGTGGTTTTAATAAATCAGCCAAATATGTTCAGTCTGCAATGTCTGTTTTGCATAATGTCTGCTAACCTGTGGGATTAGGGATAAAGGACTATGAGGAACATCAGAGCTTGGGAAATGCTGCTTAGTCCTCCTCCTCTTTGAATTTTCTTTGCTTTCCCCACTCACTTTAAACCTTTGGTTTTATTTCCCAAGCCATAAAGGTTAGAAACTTGCCTTTTTTAATGAAAGGAAACATGCTCAAGAAGCTAAATTCTGCCAAATGCTGTGTAGCCTTGGGGGTGCATCTGTGTATCTATAGACTATATGCATCTCTACCTTTAGGAACACCTGCAAGTTTGTGCAGAAGTCTCCTTACACTAAGGTAACATTGCCAAAGACTGCAGAGGGCTTTGCATTGAGGCCAGTGAGCAGCCAGTACCCAGCTCTCGCCAAGCAGCCTTCAGCCGGTCTCTTGCTTGCATGCACATTAAGGGATCGAGTGGTGACTTGTTCTTGTTTTTCTTGCCTTGTGTTGCTGCACCGTGTCATGTTCCATAGCTGCATCATTTCCTTACTATTTAAGCTGCGCTGCGCTGTCAGCACCCCCTTCTCCTTCTGTCTCACCTCCAGTGTGCAATAGTGCCCTAATACAAATGCTGTTTCCCTTCCACAGGTGTGTGTTGAAGATGGACCATCACTGCCGTATCCTTCTGCAGGCCCATAGCTGGACTGACTTGGGGGTCTCCTGTAAGGTCACTTGTCCCAGGAACGCGATGATATATGCAAAGTGATAATATATCTCCCCAGGGAAAGTAAAGGATGTCTTGAGATTAACTGGTCCAAGGGGGTAAACTCGCAACATTGAAGAGGAAAAGGAAAATTATTTGTGCCGATCTCCTGTGAGGCATGTCTCAGTAAATGATTTGGGAACAATCAGCTGCATTTCAGAGGGGGCATTCCTGTTTCAGCACCAAGGCGAAATGGTTCTTAGGCCAGAACTGCTGTTCCTCCTATGTGAAGCATCATCCCCTGTTCTTCTTGCCTGCTGGGTTATGGCTTTATTAAAGTGTGTCCTGAGTAAGCAGATCTCCTCACTCCCCCAAATTGAAAGGAGCAGCAAAATTGGAAGGAGTCCCACCAGGTGGCACGATATTAGGTGGATCAATTAAATCACCAGTACGGTTTGGGTGGAGATCCAGAATTGGCTATCCCCTGTTACACGATGAGGAGGGTTGGGGATTTTTGCCTGCCTTTACAGACCTTTAACCCCAAGGGACAGCATGGCTGAACAACTGCGTGGGGCACTTCAACCACCGCTACTTCTTCTCCTTCATGCTGTTCATGACCATGGGCTGCATCTACAGCAGCGTCAGCGGCTGGGACCTGTTCTGGGAGGCCTATGCTGCCATTGAGGTGAGGTTTCTGGGGTCTGTCTGGGCACATGGTGGCATGGGAGGGGGGGTGCTTTCTCAGTGGAGGGGGAGGGGGCTCTTCCTCCTGGCCTGGATAACTGCACAAGGAGTTACATAGGCCGAGGAGAACTGAGTGTGTGTAACTGGCAGCCTCTTTTCCATCCGATAGAAAATGAAACTGCTTGACAAGGGGAGACTGCACGTGACAGCCAATCAGGTGGGGTACCTGCTGCTCCGCTGCTCAAGTCAGGGACAGGGCAGAGCATGGCAGGGGAGCTTGCTGCTCTGCCCCAGCAATTGACTCTACAGCCGTGGCTGTGACTGCTCAGATTCCCTTTCCTGGGCAGAATCACTCCTTCCCTTCTTCCTCCTAAGGGAGCCCGAGCCCATTCAGCTGCAGTTGGTTGTGCCATCGAGGGGAGGAACTGTTTGCACAGCTGGCTAAGTGACGCTGTATTCCAAAAGATAATGTATGAATGGGGAGTAAGGGAAGTGAGTATTGAACCCCAGTACCCATGCTCTGCCCCATCGCTGATTCATGATCAAGATCCTTGCCTCTCAAGAGGTGTCTGTCTTGTGCTGTGCTGTCCATCCACCCATTTGTCCTTGAAAGACCTCCTACATCTCATTGGTTTGGGGTCACAGCATCCTCCGCTGCATCCTCACATCTCTGGCCACCGCAACATCTGCTTTTTCCTTGCAGACTTACTCTCAGACACCACCACCCACCTTCTCCTTTCGCCAGCGAGCTTTCCACAAGAGTATAGTGTATGCCTGGGTCCTCTGCAGGTAACTGATCTGGTTGTTTGGTGCTCATGGGGTAGAGGAGGGGCAAGTCTCTCTGGAATGCTTTGAGAAAGCTGCCAAGTCAGCCTCCGGAGCACAGAGCTTTCTAGCTGTCTTATTCTCTGCTCTCTGCAAAAGCCTCATCCAGCTGTCAGTGAGAGATAATAAGCGGCTTGCTCCGGCTATTTCAGCTACGTGGTGTTTGCCCACCCGCTGCAACATTCCTCTGTTCATTTCCCTGCAGTTCAGTAGCCTTGGCCCTGGGCGCTCTCATGCTCTGGCATTCTGTCCTCATCACTCGTGGTGAGACCAGCATTGAAAGGCACATAAACCGCAAAGAAAGAAAGAGACTCCGATTGAAGGGCAAGGTGAGGAGGGCAAGGCTCAACCTTCAATTGGGGGGGGGGGGGAGAAAATGGAGGCAGAACAGCTGAGCTCACCTATTTGCTTGATGTGTGTGTCACGCTAGAGTTCCATCAGTTCAGGGTGTTTAGTTAGAAAAATCGCTAAAACAGGGCCTTTTCTCCTGCAGCCCCTTCCTCGAGTTGACCCTGTTATTCTCCGGCTTCCAGAAAACACAAAACTATTTTTAATCAGGCATGCATTTGAATATTTTTTTCTTTTAATATTTTATTTGAATTAATTTTAATACATTATATAGAACTCAGCTACATAAACAGGGAGACTTTTTTAAAAAAGGGTATAGTTCTGTCGCAGTTATTTTTGACCATTTGAATAATTCTGAAGTTTGACCATAGCCAGATTTTCCCAAGAGGGGTTGCTATGCAGAATGGAAGAATGAATAAATATGCTAGAACCACCTAGCAGAATATAATTTCATGCTACTTTTCCATTGGCTCTAGGTCTTCCAAAACCCATACAACTATGGTCCTTTGGGAAATTGGAAGGTTTTCCTGGGTGTGGAGACACAGAGGTGAGAACGGGAAATGTGCAACTGGTATACTCTACATCTGCCCTGTCTTATGGATAATAGGGTGGCTGGGATTGGCTGGATCTTGACGAAGCAAGGTACTATTAGCACAGCTGAAGCTGCTTATTTTGCATTCCACAGTAATGCTGTAGCCCTCTAGGTCCTCTGTAATCTGGAAAATGCTTGGGTGGAATATACTAGCAAGCCTGTAAATGTCTTCCTGTGTTCCATTTATTCATTGAAAGGTGTTCTCTTTTCTAGGCACTGGGTCACCCGAGTTCTACTACCCTCCACACACACACCCTATGGATCTGGCCTGAGTTGGGACACACCACCCTGCATTGTGGAACAGAAGACTCCTCTCTTGACAATTTGAGTTTGATAAAGGGCAGAGTTGACCAGCTGCCGGAAGACGGGAAACCACAGGCTGCTTTCAAGGGGCAGCATAATGGACAGCACAGTTCCCCGAGGTGCTGGTGACGTCACATGCCACAATTGCACCAGCTGCAGCAAACTGCTCCAGCAGTTTTAGGATGAAGGTGGAAGAGCCCCCCCCCCCAGCTGCAGGCAGCTGTAGTGAGACAGCAATGTCTTGCCCACATAATCCAGCCTATGTAGGATGAAGTCTTGGTATTCCTGGTAGTGGAGGAAGGCGCAATATGCCCCCTGCCCCACCTCAGGACCCTGGCTGGTATGCCAGGGTCTTGTTACTCTTCCACTACATAGGCAGGGATTTTTTAAACAAAAATAAAAATCATTTTAATATGGTGTGGCATCTGTTCCTCTTTATCAGAAGAGAAGGCACAATGCTGGCAATATCTTAAGAAACTGATTGATCTCCTTGTAGCTCACAACTGTCTTTTCAGAACAGATCCAGGCAGTGCTGCTTTTACAGATAGTTGTAGGTCTTAAGAGATTTTGTTGGTCCCGGCCATTAGGTGTAAGGCCTTGGGTTGAGGTCTAAAAATATCTTTCAAAAGCCACAGATTGTCCCTACTCTTGTATATGTACCACTGTCTATTTTCCACTCTGTTGACCTCTCACCAAACTGCAGATTTCTGTAGCCCTTTCAAAGCAGCAACATGAGAAGCTGACACTACCTCTCAGTGTTCTGCCCTTCCATGTTTGTACAAATAATTTATGAGTAGTCCAGAGCTAGTGGTACATAGTAGGATTAAAGGGGGTGGGGTGCTATGCAGGACTGGTTTTGTTTGACTACCTGAAACTCAGCTATGGAGCATGTATGAAAAGCAGCCCTGAGAAGTGTATGTTGAGGGGTTCCATTATAATAGCCATGGGACATATGCCATTAAGCACTGCTTTCTTTGCAACCATCTACTTCATAAGAGTAATTAGGCCTTCAGCACAGCCCCAGGCCCCACCATTAATTCAAGTTAAGGTGTGGTCAATGGCTAGACCAGTGTTTCTCAAACCTGGATCCCAACTGTTGGTGGACTACAATTCCCATCGCCCCTGACCACTGATCCTGCTACCTAGGGATGATGGGAGTTGTAGTCCAACAACAGCTGGGGACCCAAGTTTGAGAAACGCTATTCAAGAGTAGGCACCTTGCCAGCAGAAGTCTTACACCTAGGAAGGGTAAAGCATGGACTCTCTACTACTGAGGCTCAGCTGTTTCCCAGCACGTACAACGTTCTATGTCATGGCCAGTCACGTACTTTCATCGATTTTCAAATGCAGTTCTACTATGGTCATTAATGAGGGTTGTCACTGGAAAGACACAGCAGAGGAACTAGGGAGCTGTAACCTTTAATGCCATGTATAAATTTCAGATGGGCAGTAGTGGCACTCTTTAAAAACTTTATTTGTAGAACACTTTCCAAACAAGCAAACTACCACCTCATTGCAGAATGCCACACAGGGGCTCAGGTAGATTTCTGAACTCATTTTACAGCCAAAGGCAGCTGCAGCTTCACCAATTTAATACCAGTGGCTGATAATCAAGAAAGTAAACAACCAGCAGCCTGCACTTACAGAAAAAGGCATAGCAGATCAGTCAGTATCTTCCTATGCTAGTTTGCTAGATTTCTCCAGCAGGTATCACATCAGACAGAACGTTCCTAGACACCTAGGCTCAGCTCTTGCAACTTGTATTCAGAAATATTCTGTATTAAAGTAATTCACTGTTTGATCTTTGCATGAGAGGTGCTAAGTTCATGCAGTAGGCTTTAGTTCTATTAGCATATGAAAAACCTCTCTGTACGCAGACACCATTATGGCAGGAAGGTGGGGAAGCTGGACTTAATAGAAGGTGAAGGCAAGACCCTTATTTCTACTACTTCCCCACAAGAAGCACTTTTGCCAGAGGCTGTTAGCAAACAAGTTTTTATTCTTCTGGCCCCATACATACATAATATATGGGGGTCCTGCCACCTCCACTCCCTACCGCGCTGCAGCAGGAACAGGGGCCGGCTGTTCCTTCCTACTGAACGCTGATGTTGTGATTAGGAAAGGGCAGTCCACAAAAAAGTCCTCTTCTGCCCAGAGCCTTGCTGCTCTGCATGGAAATCTAGGCCCCAGGACATCAAGGCCGACAGCTTACCAGGTGAGTGGGGGCAGGTGAGATTGTCAGTCAGGATTTGCAGTGTGAACCTTCACCTGGCAGGTGTCCCAAGCAGAAACCTGAAGAAAAAGACCACCACAGCAGGCTTTAGAAGCAGCAAAGCATGAACAAAATGAACCCTTTTAAAAATGTATTTATAAATAATTAATTACCATTTTCATTTTTTTTACAAATTTAAACACAACTTTACATCCAAATATCCTTGACTTCCCTTCCCCCTCCTCCCCTCCCTGGTTCATTTTATTAACTCTTTTATGCTACATATTCTATCCACCCCCCCCTTCTCGTTTTCCCAGTTTTATATCAAAATATTTCTTACTGCTGAATTTATTCTATTACTGTTAATATTTGAATGTGTTTACAATAATTCAGATATTCTACATTTCTTTTCAAGTCTTCCTTATACTTTTTTTTCATCCTGATTGCTTAATCAGAACCCAAGTTATTAATCCAAACCTCTACGCTCAATCAAAATGGCTTCATCACATCTGTACAAGGATATGTTAACCTACCTCCAATTTAATTACAGTGAGTCTCAAGGACAGCCAAGTCGAGCAACTACAGTGTATTTACCGTATTTTTCGTTCTATAGGACGCACTTTTCCCACTCCAAAAATGAAGGGGAAATGTGTGTGCGTCCTATGGAGTGAATGCAGGCTTTCGCTGAAGCCTGGAGAGTGAGAGGGGTCGGTGCGCACTGACCCCTCTTGTTCTCCAGGCTTCAGGAAGCTATCCGCAAGCCTTCGGAGCCCGCGGGAGTTCCCGCTGGGCTCCCAAGGCTTGCAGATAGCAGCCTGCAGCCCGAAGCCGGGGAGCGCCACGCACCCCGGGATTTGGGCAGCTATCCGCAAGCCTTCGGACCCGCCAGGCTCAGAAGTCTTTCGGATAGCAGCAAGCTCTGGGAGCGAAGGCGAGGTTGTGCGCAACCTCGCCCCCGCTCCCGTTCTGGGGGCTGGAGTCGGGGGAAGCTTGGGCTTCCCCTGCCCCAGCCCCACGGCTAAAAACGCTTGCTGTCTTGGCTTCTGCCAAAGCCGCGTGCAGCCTGGAGAGGTTGTGCGTGGCTAAAGAGGAAGCCAAGACAGCCAGCAGGATGGATCCCGCTGTCTGTCTTAGCTTCTTTGCTCTTTGGGGCTGGGGGGGGGAATAATTTCCCCCCCTTTATTTCCCCCCTAAAAACTAGGTGCGCCCTATGGTCCGGTGCACCCTATGGAGCGAAAAATACGGTAAGTTGGTACTGTTTTTTTCTACGCTTTCCCCCAAGAGAAAGAGTCCTGCTCACCATTCTCCTCGTGCTGCCACAGCTTCCTTCCGCACCAGCCGCTTCTTGTCATCCAAGGGTTTGGCCAGGGCTCGAATCACTCGTGGCTTGTAAGGTATCACCTGGTAGCAAGCAGAAGCCACCATCAATGAGGTTCCCACAGTTCCCATGGAGGTCTTAATACCGGTTTGTGCTAGCAACAGGAGACAAGTAGATCTTGGCACAAGTAAGGCAAATGTTGGAGCATCTGGCAAGCTATCAGGCAGATCCATTACTTACCACTGGAGTGGGGAGGGAGGCAAGTGCATGGAGGCACTGTAGCGCAGCAATGCGGATTGCCTGCAATATAAACGGTACATTTAGTCTTCTGCTGACCATCCAGGAGGAAACCGGGAGTACCCAGCTGCATAAAGAGGCTACCCAGTACTCACCATAGCAGGGTTGTCTGTCAAGCTGATAAATTTGCCCACGAGTGTGTCAACGTGCAGGCTCATGACGTGTGGCGCCTCGAGCAACAGGGGCTGTAGGCAGTGCAAAGTTGAGAGCTGCACCGCAAGGTCAGGACAGGACAGAGCTTCCAGCAGGAGAGGTAGCAACTGGGGGATAAGAGGGTAGAGTCATGAAATCAACAGAATTATAGAGTTGAAAGTGACCCTAAGGATCATTTAGTCCAACTCCCTGCAAAGCAGCTGTCCCACACAAGGGTTGAGCCTGCAACCTTGGCATCATCAGCACCATGCTCTAACCAACTGAGCTATCCTATCTGAAAGAGGGGGGCATCATTCTTCTCCATAATACGCCCCACCCACAAAATAATTCCCAAGAGTTCTTAGGGCACACTCACCGTAGGCAGCTCTGTCACTAGCACTGGTTTGGGCAGGTGGTTCAGTATGTGAGACAGGCCTTTCAGGTAATTCGCCTTCACATCTAGGAAGAACAGAAGGGCAAGGCTTAATCCTGTGGCTCCAAGGAGACTCATCCGACCTACAGTGAAGACCACCTCTTGCCAGTAAAGAAAAGCCATTTGTTTGTCCCATGTAACAGGCAGGGCAGGCGAGCTCACAGTTCTGAGCTCTCCTACCCAAAATCATCTCCAGAAACTCCGAGGGGTCCGGGAAGAGGAAGAAAAAGGCGAGAGGCTCGGACTGCTCCTCTTGTTGTCGAGGGTTCAGAAGCTCCTACTATCCAAAGAGGGCTACAAAAGGCAGGTCATGCAAGGAGTCCACAATTTCTGCAGACAAAAAAAATGCTAAAATGCTGCAGTAGCGTCCTCATTTCAATTTGACCATTATTCCAACTGTGCTCCTCCTGTTAATTCAGATGCTTTCCGTAAGGAATGGGACAGAGGAAATTCTTACCAGGAGCCGCTGTGTGGAAACCCTGCACCAACTGCGGCACACACTCTGTGAAGAAGCGCTGGCGGAACATGAGGCGCACCTCAGCGTGGCAGCTCTTGCCCAGCACATCTGGGGAGTCGGCCATGAGCAAGGCAAGGCCATCACCCACCGCAGGGCCAAGGACCGTGTCCCCCAAAAGCACGAGGAGCTGTAGGGTAAAAGACAGGAGCCATTGAATGTGGTAAGGGCACAGTGGCCTCCCTGAGGGTCCCAGGCCTTTCCCAGAAGCTCACCTTGTCCGTCAGGTGTGTGGTTAGCGGGTGGTAGCGTAGCAACAAAGCCTTGCTCACCTGCAGGGCAAAAAGAAAGGAATACTGAGCTCTGTTTCTGGCAGAGACGGGAGGGATGGCGGATGGCGGAAACTCACCCACAGCAGCAGAGTGAGGGCTTGGCTTTGATGAGGACCCTCATTCAGGCCATGCTCCAACTTGTTCATGGCCAGCTCCAACAGCTCATCTAATTGAGGCCCTGGAAAGGGTAAAGAGACTGGCTGTTGTTCCGGGCAACTTCTTGCATCAGTCAAGCAGGGCATCACTTAACACAGCCCAGCTCTGAGGTTTCACGAGCCTCTGAACAACATCCCCAGCCCTTTAGTCCTAGGACAGACACAAGCTATTACTCTACTGGTTACCTGCTGGGTGCTTGTTAACCAGTCCTGCAAAGCATTTGGCAGCAGCTGTGGCAGTGAAAGGGCAGTCACAGGAGCAGCTCAGGGCTAGCAGTTCACGTAGCAGGCGGTCTTGCTGAGGAATTGGAACCTGAAAGGAAGCCAGAGCGTGGGGAGGCATGGAGGCAACAGCAGAGCTTCAAGCTGCCGGTTCCCAGCATCACTTGCCTAGGGATCAGGCACACAAGGCAGGATGGGTAGATCCATTCTCTCAGCCATGAGGCAACCTCCCCCCGCCCCCAAATCTTCCCCAGGACTCACATTCCTTGGCAGGGAGCAGACAAAGGCCATGAGGAGAGCAACAAGCCTTCTCTGGGCTGCCATCAGACACTGCCCATCCTGTAAAGGAAAAGAAATATTGTTTCCACTACCAAAGTCTCTGGCCACATTTCCCCAAACGTAGCAGCAGCAGCAGCAGCGCCTCACTCGTACAAGATACCTGGAAGGGCTGGAAAGTGCTGGGAAAGGTGATTCCAGGTTGGAAGGAAAGCTCTCCATCCAAGAAGAGGGGAACCACTTTGGAGACACTCTGGGCAGCCTGCCTGCCAGGAAGAAGAAACAAGAACACTGGTTTACAGCACATAATAATATAACAATTCATTATTTATATGCTGCTCATCTGACTGCGTTGCCCCAGCCACTCTGGGCAGCTTCCAACAAATTAAAACATCAAACATTAAAAACTTCCCTATAAAGGGCCTCCTTCAGATGTCTTCTAAAAGTCAAGATAGTTGTTTCATTTCCTTGACATCTGACAGTAGTATAAAAACACCAAGGAGGGGAAGGGGAGATTGCCTGCACTTCTGTTCGCAGCGTCATGCTAGAACCTGACCTTATTCAAAAGCACAAAGATTGTGCCTCCCTACTTGTCACTCTGCAGGGACAGAGATCACAGGATGACAGCAGCTGCTACTCACTCTGGTCTTAAGTGCGTACACGCACTGCTGATGACCGATACCATGGCTGATAAGGCTTCTTCCTTCAGCAGCACACTGCTTGGCAATGTATGGGAATTCTCTGAAAATAGTCATGAAAAGGGGGGGGGGGAATAAATGTGAGGGGATGGAGACAGTTCCTGGAATCCCATCAGCTGCCTTTCAGTTTGCCACCTGCATAATGGACACCTGACAGGGACACTGAGATTGGCCCCAAGTGGGTAAAGGCCAGCCCAGCACAAGGGAAAGGTCCCTCCCTTTCTCTCAAGGTTCGAAAGTATACAGAACCGCACCTGAGCTATGGGTGCTGGCCTGGTTTGGGGAGCACAGGGTCTGTGCTCATCTCCCCACCTTACCTTGCATTGCAGCCTTGACTGCTAAGCCCACCAAGCAGGGCACCACAGCCTGGTGGAAGTACCAGTAACTCTGAGCATCTTGCTGGCACTGGAATGCTACCTGCTGCAGACTCTGGCACACAGACACCACAGAGTGGGTATCTGCAGGTATACTCTCTGCAAAAAAAAAAAAAATCAAAAGAGCATTCAGGGTGGAGACTACCAGTTCTAAGGTGTTTTTCTTTTTAAAAAAATTACTAATACATTATCACCAGGGCCATTTAAAGGCATCAGATTGTGTCAGAAATAGGTTATGGGCCAAAACAGTCAAAGACCGATGGTCCTAGGCTTCCAACAAGCTGTACTTCTCCCACTAATGACAGAATTATGGGATTGTAGGCTCCTAAAGGTTACCAAGGCTCAGTGTACAAACAGCTCTCTACTAACCCCTTCCATAGAAACAAGGAAGCTCTGCCTTACAAGGAGTCAGGCCCCTGGGTCCACCTAACTCAGAGCTGTCTTCACTGACTGGCAGTGGCTCTTCAGTGTTTCAGACAGGAAGTCATGGAAATATAAATTGTAGGGTTGGAAGGGACCCTGGGGATCATCTAGTTCAACCCCCTGCAATGCTGGAATACGCAGCTGTCCCATACAGGGATCGAACCTGCAACCTTGCCATTATCAGCACCACACTTTAACCAACTGAGCTACCCAGTCTTTTCTGAAGATGGCAGGGATTGAACCTGAGGCCTTCTCCATGTTTAGCAGATGCTCTACTACTGAGCTCCAACCCTTCCCAATCTTACACATCCTATTAATGACACACAGATGCTGAGCCCTTTTGTTACTGCTGTCCCAAGCACTGGACTAGGTTCCCCGCTTCGATAGTTTATCACATACAATTCTTACACTACCTTGCTGACTCTGCTGGAAGTGCTGCAGGAGGACTGGAACTGTTTCCCTCACTATACTAGGGTGCGTGGACACAGCTGCTAGAGCCTGCAGGCGACGTTCCTGCTGGGATGGATTGCTGTCCTCCTGAAGCTCTGAAACAGCACACAGAACACAACAGCCAGTCAATGAATTTGTCCCTAGGGACAGGGCCATGGAGGTACCAACCTCTACCCCTCCACATGAACATGGATTTGGGAATGGTTGATTCTTGGACCTGGAGCTAACCTATCTGTCTGCCCATTTGGCCTTACTCATGTTCCTCAAGGCACAGAGACCACGCAGATTCAAGTCAAAGCCCCCTGCAAGTCAAAGCCCCTCTGACTACAATGCAGCTAGCACTCAGGTACAGACACTGTGAACTTCTGCACAAATGCTTAGTAAAGGCAGCATAAGAGAGGACACCCACTTCCCCACAACCCGCCCAACTTGCATGCTGTACCTGATTGCAGCCCTTCTGAGAACTTCTGAACCAAGCACTTGCTGAAGGCTTGTGGATAGAGGGGAGCCAGGCGTCCGGCCGCCTCCATAGCTACCATGCTGCAGGGATAAAGGAGTGTGCAAGGATGGATGAACTTGTTGATCACTCAATACCGTAAAGCAACTCACAGTTCTTTCCGTGGTAATCTAATTTTATAATTGTAATATTGAGCTGTGTGTGCACTACATTTTATAAAAATGTTCCCTTGATTACAAGAGCTCTTTGGACAAGAACACAGCTTAGACAGCGATGCAGACTGCCCAGGTTTTGTTAAGCTCACTCCGCCCGGGTTCATCTAAGAACTTATCAGAAGAGGGTGGAATTCTCACATCACTATAGAAACTATGAAAAGGTATCACTGGATTTGTTTGGGAACTGTCCTGTGACTCGCAGGTTTGGATGCACTGCGCACTGAATAGGAAATGCAGGAAGGCCAGAGGAAAAGATACAGCACTTGAAATCTTAAAACAAGCAACAGGATGTTACCAAGCTAGACATTATTTTTTTTAAAAAAAGGATTTAAAGAATATTACACTATGAGGGACATTTTTATGGAAGAATGTTTAACTACACTATTGGGTTCAGACTGAAATGAATCTGTGCTAAGAGAATGAGGATATGAGCTCTATTCACACATTAGAACAAAGCATGATAAACCAAAGGATGTTTTAGTACAAAACTTAAGCTTGAACAAAGATCATAAAAGCAGTATTAGTAAAGCCCTTTTCTTAATTAAAACACATGCAAACCTTAACAGATCACTGTAAGACAACACCAAACAGAAGCAGAATTTTGGATGAAGAAATGAGTAATTCATGAGACTGTATTAGAAACTTTGTCATTTGCCATTTACAGGTAGTGGACTAAAAGAATGTAAACATTTTCAATATTTAGAAAGAGATAAGCCCAAAGACAATTCTGGGAAGTTCAACAATGCCTACTGTTTCCCTTGCACCCACAGGGTCCAGCCTTGTCTCCACCCCTCACCTGGTCTGGGAATCGTCCTCATGCAAGATTAACTTTGTAAGGTGATCCACAAACATCTCCACATCTGAGAGGGTCAGGAGCCCTGAAACGGAAGAGAGACTGAAGTCCAAAGCCTTTCCTTTCCCTGGTAGTAACACTCTGCTATCAGTGCCAGTTTTACTATATTGCATTCCACTTCCTAGAGGCTGCCTGCAGCCCATATAGTCCAAGTTATGCAAGGTGGGGTGGGACAGTACCTAATCTGATTCAAGTCCAGCTGTCTGGCTGCACACACATGATGGAAACAGGTCTGTGTGCACGCTAGATGGATCTGTAAAGGAATGCACACCAAGGGGAAAATCTCTAAACAAGCCGTAATTCCTCCATGACTCCTGGGAGTAACCCACAGGTCAACACATACCTTGCAGTGATCCTAGAAAGGTCAGAACCCGGATGCCAACCAACTGAAGTTGCACACTGGACTCAGAAAGTGCAGAGAACACCACGGAACACAGGGCGTCTTTGAAGCAAAGCAGTGGACTCTTGTCTGCAAGGGAGGGAAACAGGCACACAGGCAGTGTCATGAGACTGACTATCCTGGGCACGAATCACTAGAAATTACAAGGTCCCTGGTAGGGGCGCTTTAACTTTCTAACCCGGAGTCTGAGAGGATTGTGATCAGAATTTAGATAGTGAAGAATGAGAAACCTCCTAAAATTCTGAGTGGTCAGCAATGGTACCTGGATAAGAAAAAAACACAGATGGATTGCTCATTAAGAGCAGTCATCCACCAAGGTTACTCAACTGCAGTCACCATGTCATCCTGCAAAAAGCATTTCTACTTGGTCACTGAAAGCCATGCTCAAAGAAACTTTGGTTCTGGAATATTTGGCTGAGGTCCCAATTGCATTGCATTTAAAGCACTCTCATGCCACTTTAAACAGTCATGGCTTTCCCCAAAGAATCCTGGGAACTGTAGTTTGTTAAGGGTGCTGAGAATTGTTAGAACAGGGATTGCTTGTTAAACTACTCTGGGAATTGCGGCTCTGTTGTTTAAGGTGATATGATACTGCTTTAAATGTGTGCTGTAGTTGGAACCCAACTCTTGTGCATACATTTTCTAAGACTTCTCTCACCAACCACAAGGGCTAGAATTTCTTCTGGGAAGCTATCCTGTCAAACTCTTTGTTTTTCAATTCTGTTGTCTCCGCATTTCTCTTCTCCCTATTACTGCACCCATCTCACTGCCCGCCCCCCTTCCCAGACAGGCCATTGCTAAATCCTATAGATTAAGGCGACTCTTCTCTGCAAACAACTGCTCTGGGCAAGACAGGAACATTGGAAGCCCAGGATGCTGCAGAAGGGCAGCCTTGCTAGCAGGAAACAAGAAGAATGGAAAACCATCTCACCGTCTTCCTCAGGCCCCCACTGTTGCCGCAGCTCCAAGAAACCAAGCAGCACTTCCAAGATTGTCCTGTGCTGGCTACTCTACAAGAGATCAAAAAGGGCAGAGGATGGGTTGAAGGGACTAAGACACAGAAGGAGAGACAAGATCTGCAGGCCATTGTCCTACATGGAATTTGAGCCCAAGCGTATGCCTGGGGCAGGTATATGCCACTAAACGTCCCTTAATATGAGATTGCAGTCACCTAAGCCCCTTTCACTACTCTCCACCACAAGCATATTCCGCTCCCATTTGTCCTCACCTGCTCATGCTTGGTGTACTGTTCCACCAGCAAGGGAAGTACACTGTATGTGATCCGGTAATAGGCTCGCAAAGAGGCCCCTGCAGCCGCCTGCAAGAGTTTGGCACTCGGCCACACCAGCTTCATGTCAGGCTCACAAAGATGGTGTCTGCAATCTGAAACAGGTAAGAGCGCTTGGGAGAAACAGTATCACTCCCAATGTCACTGCAGAAATCCCAGCAAGAAATAGCACTACATAATTCCACCAGCTTGCAAACTGCAAACAGTTTCAGAGCTTAGTGGAGAACTTGCTGCCTTCCCACAAGTCAGCTCCAGTTCCCACCCCTTCCCTCCAGTCCTGTAAGCCAAATCATGGCTGCAACAGCATGACGAGGTATTTTCCCCTTGGGGAAGTGGTCATTTCCTCCAAGCAGCAGTTTATGAATGAGAAATGGAAGGTCTTTCACAGGACTGGAAAGATGCTAGGAAAGGGATGTTGCTCCAAAGGTTACCTCGCAGAATGCCTGTAAGGAAGGAATCTAAAAGATCCTCATCATCGGAACTGAGCACCAAGCGGGACAGACATGTTGACAGAGCACGCAAAGCAGACAGACCTTCTGCTTCAATCTTCTCGCTTGCTGTCTGGAACACCTGTTGAGGAGCAGGAGGAGAATCAGACAATCAGTGCAGTGCAGACAATCCTGCAAATAATCCAGTCAGTGATCCCGCAATCCAGCAAGTAATCCAGTGAGCCAGCCAGTGATCATAATGAAGGGGGGGAAAGGGGGGTTATTTGCTTCTTTACAGATCCATCAAATATTACAACAGCCTGATAATTCACTGTAATGAAACTACTCTATTGGCCCGAATATAAGCCGCGCCTTTAAAATTCAAGGGGGGGAAGGGGGGGATATCCAAATATAAGCCGCTTCCTTAAAATTCTGCATGCACTCACACCCGTTCCGTTTTACCGTATATCTGTTTCAGCAGCAATATCGTAAAAGCCCATTTTTGAAGGTCACAAATGTAAATTTAAACCACACTTTAACTTTTCACGGTCACAAAAAAAGTGAGGCTTATATTCAGGCCAATGCAGTATACAGTGGTACCTCGGGTTAAGAACTTAATTTGTTCTGGAGGCCCGTTCTTAACATGAAACTGTTCTTAACCTGAAGCACCACTTTAGCTAAGGGGGCCTCCTGCTGCCGCTGCGCCGCCGCTGCACAATTTCTGTTCTCATCCTGACGCAAAGTTTTAACCCAAGGTAATATTTCTGGGTTAGCAGAGTCTGTAACCTGAAGTGTATGTAACCCGAGGTACCACTGTATAATGTTTCAAGCAGTCCCCAGACACAGAGAGCAGGAACAATGTAATGGATGCACTTTCACAGGACACCAGAACCACCTCGCTTTGGGAATCCTTGATCCTCTCACCTCCCTACGCAGGGATGACCAAAGGCTGGGTAGGAATTCCTTCAGCTCCTTCTCCCCATAGATCATGCAGGCAGCATTCTGCAAAAGAAAGGAAGGTGGGGGGGGGAGAGAGAGTCAGACAGGAGTCATCTGGGGTGTGCTGTTAATTTGCAGTCAAGATGCTGCATTACCTAGAAGCAGCACCAGAGCCGCCGCCCCCCCTTAAATCAGCTTGAAGGGCACATAAATCCCAGTGCAGGGGAAAGAGAAAAGTGCATGCTTGCTTTGAGGAAAGCTGCAGGAGCAGAGAGGGCTGCATGGCAACCTACTGCGGAGCCTTGATACCTTTGCTCAGTGCTCTTACCAAGGTTTGCAGGGAGTCCAGCTTGGCACTTTGTACGTCAGAGTCCATTTTCTCAATGAGCAACGGGATCAGGAACTGTAAGGAGAGAAGATCCTGGAAATCTCAATATACTTTGCTCAGCATAATTTGGGGTTATAATATACCTCAGAAGATCAGACCAGCAGGCCTCACAAAACAATGTAAAACCCATATAAAGAGCACAATGCAATACTCCCCACTGACGCCACCTTGGTGATGACTGGGTATTTGTGTTAGAATACTGCACAGTCTGCTATCATCTTAGCCAAGAGGGGAGTGTCCATCATTGTAGAGGGCCTAGATTCACTCATGCAGGCAGGAAGCTACCACTGGTGGTTTTGCTGGCAGTAGCCACTGGAAAGCTCTGAGAGGATCATCAGGCTCTCAGCTGCACCTGCCTGGAGCTAGTATAGCAAAAAATGAGGAAAAAACACTCCCCACCTTTTGCCTGGCAGGGCTTTGGATATGATGCTCAGGTGCTTCAGCTCTGCCCACTGCTGCCTGGCCAGGGTTAAGATTGCTCCAGCAGTTTCATAAATTTCTGACTTTATTCTAATTCTATGAGGGGCAAAATATACCTACCACGGCAGCAATTTGTGTAGCATATGGGCCATTTCAGAGAGCCATTAATCCCAGCTTTTTTAAATAAAAAAAGCAAATATTTATTTATATCTATAAATCAAGCTCTCTGTCCAAAGTCTGGTGATAGTAGCAGTTTAAAAGATCAGTGTTGGGAAATGCAAAAGGACCGAGAGTAAATTTACTCCCCAACTCTGGTGACGGAAGAATTTAAGATAGAAAAAGGGACACGACAGGGGTGCCCAATCTCCCCACTGCTTTTTATATCGGTCCTGGAAGTTCTGCTGAATATGATTAGAAGGGACCGGTTGGTTAAAGGCATACAGGTCGGAGCCAAACAGTACAAACTGAGAGCATTTGCAGATGACTTAGTATTGACGTTACAGGAGCCAGAATCTAGTACTAAAAGGGTTTTAGAACTAATTCAAGAATTTGGTCAAGTGGCAGGATTTAAACTGAACAAGTTAAAAACTAAGGTTTTAGAGAAAAATTTAACACCGATTGAAAGAGAGAGCTTTCAGAATGAGACAGGTTTGACTGTGGTTAAGAAAGTGAAATACCTGGGGATTAATATGACAGCCAAAAATGGGAACTTATTTAAAGATAATTATGAAAAATGTTGGACGGAAGTGAAAGAAGATTTAGAAATCTGGTCAAATTTGAAGCTTTCACTGTTGGGTCGTATTGCTGTGATAAAAATGAATGTATTGCCTAGAATGCTGTTTTTGTTTCAAACATTGCAAATTGTGGACAAGATGGATTGTTTCAAGAAGTGGCAGAGAGATATTTCTAGATTTGTCTGGCAGGGCAAGAAGCCCAGAATAAAATTTAAGATATTAACTGATGCAAAGGAAAGGGGTGGATTTGCCCTGCCAGACTTTAAACTTTACTATGAATCCGCAGCTTTTGTCTGCTTGACAGAAGGGCTACTTCTTGAAAACACAGACATTTTGGACCTAGAAGGTTTTAACAATGTATTTGGATGGCATGCATATCTGTGGTATGACAAGGTCAAAGCGCATAAAGCATTTAAAAACCATATTGTCAGGAAAGCATTGTTTAATGTTTGGATAAGATACAAGGATTTATTGGAAAACAAAACCCCAAGGTGGCTGTCACCGATGGAAGCGAAAGCTCTGAAAAGGCTCAATATGGAGGCCAATTGGCCGAAATATTGGGAAATTTTGGAACAAGATGGAGATAGACTGAAACTGCAGAGTTTTGAGAAACTAAAAATAAAGTGCGAGACTGGCTTCATTATTATCAGATAATGGAGGCATATAATTTGGACAAGAAAATTGGCTTCCAGGTGGAAAAATCAAAATTAGAAACAGAACTGTTAGAACCCAAAACTAAGATTTTGTCAAAGATGTATAACTTGCTGTTGAAATGGAATACTCAGGATGAAACGGTGAAATCTGCTATGATTAAATGGGCACAAGATTTTGGACATAACATTATGTTTGCTGACTGGGAACAGTTGTGGACCACAGGTATGAAGTTTACGGCATGTAATGCTTTAAGAGAGAATATTATGAAAATGATATACAGGTGGTACATGACCCCAGTCAAGCTTGCAAAAATTTATCATTTGCCCGATAACAAATGTTGGAAATGTAAAGAAACTGAAGGTACATTCTTTCACCTTTGGTGGACGTGCCCAAGGATTAAGGCTTTCTGGGAAATGATATATAATGAACTGAAATAGGTATTTAAATATACCTTCTTGAAGAAACCAGAGGCCTTTCTCCTGGGCATAGTCGGCCAATTGGTGCCAAAGAAGGATAGAACCTTTTTTATGTATGCCACAACAGCAGCAAGAATACTCATTGCAAAGTATTGGAAGACACAAGATCTACCCACTCTGGAAGAATGGCAGATGAAGCTGATGGACTATATGGAACTGGCAGAAATGACTGGCAGAATCTGAGACCAGGGAGAAGAGTCGGTGGAAGAAGATTGGAAGAAATTCAAAGACTATCTACAGAATTATTGTAAAATTAATGAATGTTAGAATGATGTTGGATAGAAATTAAGTGGTTTCCAGCTGTAATGCTTTAAGGGATTATGAAAAATGGGTTGTTAATAGGTAAAAATTTAACGTTACTATTTTAAGACTAAAGATTAGGATAAATAAAGAGGGTAAGGATTTGCTGAACCAACAAATTGAACTGGACTAGAAAAAGGGAGGTATGAGGAGGTCCGGGAAACAAGCTAAAGGAAAACAAGCAATGGAAAATCTGTGTGTTTTTAACTATTTTTATTTTGTATTTTTGTTATTTTTTTCATTTTTATTGTAATACTTTAAAAAAGCTTAATAAATATATGTATTAAAAAAATTTACTCCCCAACTCATATATCTGCAATAGACTGAAGTCTCAAAATTAAGGGCAAAATTATCTCTACAATATGCTTGTTCTGGGATTAAATGCATTGGCTTATCCTAATGAAGGCTCTGACAATGTGATGCTCCCATCAAGAGAAGAAGGAATTTTCACCTTGAAACGGCTTTGCCCTTCAAAAATCTTGTCCAGAGCAGCATGAGAGGTGGTGCAAGGGGGAGGGAAGATCTGCAATCAACGTTCCCTTCCCCAACACCTATATATTCATGGAGGGCTTTTTAGGATCCAAATTGTTGTGCACCACTACAGCAACATCTTCTGCTGATGAGGATAAACTATTACAAATGGCTGCGTTATGGGCCCCAGTAAGGGAAGTTTTTAATGTTTGATGTTTTATTGTGCTTTTAATTCTGTTGGGAGCTGCTCAGAGTGGCTGAGGAAACTCAGCCAGCTGGGCAGTGTATGTATGTATAAATATTATTATTATTATTATTATTATTATTATTATTATGTGTCCACCCCAACACTGTCAATGTATTATTGCTCAACATGGTGTATCAGGGTGGGAACCAACTCTGCTACAGGGTCTCAGGAAGAACCCACAGGGCACAGAAAACGGACCAGCCATGATACACAATGGCCCTACCTCAGCAAAAATGGGCGTGGAGGTCAGCACTGCCCGCAGGCTGATGATCAAGTCTTCTCTCTGGATTCCATGAGGATCATTGGAGGGCTGGAACAGAAGCAAAATCGAATGATTTGGACATGAATGTGCTGAATAAACCCATCTCCATATGGACACCCCCGGTTCCAGGCATTACACAAACTATCCTGCTCCAACACCCATATCCAAGCATTATGAAGGAGGGACAAAGCACCAGATTTACTCACTCACAGGGGTAAAGTCGATGGGGAAGTAGCAGGAAGTCACCTCAAACAACTCCTCTGCGAAGGGCCCTGAGAGGTGAAGACAGCAATATGAGTTCTTTGGGTGACCAAAACAGTCAGTCGCAAGTCTGGACATGGACTATTCATTTGCATCCTATTTAGTGCTACCATTCTCACAGGCCACAAAGAGAGAGAGAGAGAGAGAGAGAGAGAGAGAGAGAGAGAGAGAGAGAGTTCCATGGCCTCAACAGCAGATATAACCTGTGGTTCTATGTTCAATGATTCCAAAGCTAGGCACGCTTTAACAAGCTCCCCATACAGCCTGCATCCTCACACACTGCAGGCATGATAAGAAGTTTAACCAACCAACCAACCGCTGCCAACATAGGCTTCCCCACACTGACAAGGACTTGGACATACCCAATGAATAGCCCTTCACAATGATGTCTCGTACAATCTGGAAGGCTATTAACAGGTTGCGTGGGTCCTTCTCTCCATCCATCACCTGGATGAACCCGAAGGTGAAATCGGCACCCAGACCTTTCAGTTCTGCAGGAAAAAGCATCAGGTAAGGAAATTCCCAGGATTTTCCAGCAGGGTGTCCGACTCGGCCCCTTCCACAGCCATCCATCTCACCTGCCTCTCGGCTGCTCATGAAGTTAGTAATGATACTGTAGATTGTATGGCGATCCGCTTGCAGCAAAGACTGGAAGATAAGAAAAGCATAGCTGGGAAATAAAGCAGTAATACGTGAACCTGTTCCAAGCCTTAGAGATTTATGTTTTTGTTATGATCCTCTCCAGTTCATGCTATCATACTCTGGTCCATAGATCTGGGTGCCTAATTTGCCAGAAAGACAATTAAGATACTGCAGGCAAGTCAGAAATTTACACACACCCAGCTGAAGGCCAGAACCTTCCATAACATCCTCTCTACCTTTATTTTTAGTCTTGCTGAGAGTAGCTCCAATTCCCTTAATGTCCCATGTGAAAATCAAGATATTCACACCGGAGCTAGAGGCATTTCACAGCAGAATTTGCATACATTACCACACACAAAGGATACATGTGTCTACTCCTTTTATATTTAATTACTCAAGGCTCAGAGAAGTTGCCACAATCTCATCTTGTCCACCCACCCAACTACTCTTTCAAATAAGGTTATTAATAAAGGCAGTGGGGAGTTGGTAAAGAATGGCAGCTAATATAGTTACTTGCCAAAGGCAACTTAACAAGTCATGATAAATTTGAACCTATATCCAACTCTGGTGCACTATTCCCCCAGGCTGTGTTTCATAGTTTTATTTATTTATTTATTAAAGAACTATTTCTAGCCTGCCTTTCTGGGCAATGGCCATCCAAGATGACTTACAACAATGGCCCATTACAAAATATCAGTAATACAGCCATAAAACCAAGTCTCAGATTTTCTAATATCGTTTAGACAGTGTCAAAGAGCAGGCGATATGATTCTCAGAACTTCTGCCATGACCCAGTGCTTCAATTCTCTTGACAGAAAGAAAATTTTGATGAGCAGGTCTTAGCCAAGAGAACTACTGTCTATTGTCCACCAAGAGGGACCACAGGAGGTACAGGATACTTCAGGAACTAGTTTAATAATAATAATGAGAACAGAAAGACTGAAGCATGAACGTGGGACGCAAAAGCAAAATTAGAGAGTCTATCAGGGCTTCTCTGACTTACCTGGACATGAACCTCCTGGAAAATGGCCTTGAGAACAGACACTGCCAGACCTGGAGCCAACGCCACACACATACTCTAGAGACAAGGAAAGTAATGGTAACAACTCAGTACCCATCTAGATGTAACGATGGCTACTGGTTAGCATGCTTAAGGCCTCAGACTGCCCTGTATGGCATATTATCAGTCAGTGCAATGGAAACAAACAAAAGGAGCCCATCATTTAATCAGTGTGACAGTGACCCAATCATTAAGAGAGAAAGGGAGGAAATTCACTGTTAACTAATCCCTATAAATCCCAAGTAGATTCAGAAAAGATTCTTTCTACACCAGCACCTACTACCTTAATCAGCCTGTCTTGTAGCAGCTTTCACTGGTCTCAGTTAAATGAACCAGAGCTGTCAATCTGCTATCCTTTGGGCACCCCAATTTTACACCACTGAGCAGACGAATAGAGAGTGTCCCCAGTTTTGCCACAGACTGCTATCACTTGATTATTTTTGCAAGGCTTCTTATGAAAATAATTTGCTTTTTTGTAATAATCGTATCAGGTGATCCATTCTGTATTTCTGTTTCTTTAATATATTTTGCTCCGATTTTATTGTGTTATGATGTTTTGGTTTTAACCAAGATCTAGGGCACCACATACATACACTTTTATATTAAGTTGCAACACAGAAATAAATAAACAAACGAGAATGACTACCATGAAACCATTCTCACCAGAGCTTTGAGTCCCTGCAGCACAGAAGAAATGACCAGGTGATGATCTTTCAGCCGGTTCTCATAGAACAAGACCAGGTGGGACACTGGAACAGACAAGCATTATCAGAAACTAGGGCTATGGTGGTAGATGGGCTTAGCTACCACAAATAGAGATATCCATGGGGCAAATTGGCATCCACGTGAGCCTCAGTAGATTTGAAAGGATGAAGGAAAATGCAGAATCATTAGAGGTCACTTGGCAATACAGGCATTCTCCCCCTACTCTTGGCTCTTCAGACCTATTTTATAAAATTCATCTGACGACTGATAAGTGGTTGCACACAAGCATAAAATGCCTAACACTATGACCAAAGAAACAGCAAGAGGACATTCTGAAAGGGAAACCGCAAGGTAACTGAACACTTAAGATCTCCAATCTCATAGGACATTCTGTGGTGCAGAACCATAGATCAGACCACCACTAATCATGTGTTCTTGGGATTGCAGATATTACTATGATTATTGAAAGTTAACAATGAATATGCTACCCACATAGCTCTGGACCACAGCCTGGTAAGGAGGTTCCTGTGAAGCCACTCAGTGATGGGCACTGCTAAGGCTCTGAAACTAGCTTATACTGTACACATTTGGGAAAACTCAGGCAGGAGTCTCAGTATTCCAGGAGAGTCATACCATTAAGTCAAACCCTCCCTCTATGTGTTACCCTAAAATCCATAATCCTCTTCAAAGTACAAAATACATTACTCCTTACTGCTTTGATAAGGCATTGCCTTCCATCTTCACTCTCTTCCAAACATTTAACCGCTTTCTAACAGAAAGTTAGAGCTTTCAATAAATCTGAGTTCACCCCAGTTACTCAGCAAAGAAGCATATGGCGTGTCAAAAACCACTGAGTCATTGAATCCTGCCTGCCTAACCTCCTGCTGCTAATCACTACCTTGGGCATGATCCCTTGAATGCTGAGGCCAGCTCCTGAAGCAGCACTCTCCATGGTTGCAAAAGAGTCAGGACTGAGCCCATATGTCCTACCTTCCCGCTCTTGAAGGAGGGAGTAGCACTGCAGGAGGACTTCAGAAAGCGTTTGGATGCCCTGTGCACGCATTCGAGGATCTGCATTCTTAAGAGGAGACCTGTATTTATAGACACAAAATGAAGATTTTACAGGCCATAGAAGGAAGAGAAGACAGTGAAATATGTTGTTTTAGCGAGTTTGTTGGGAGGGGGGCAAAGAGAGACAATATTCTGATTTAATTTGACAATTCAGTTAAGTGATCAGTTTCCCTTCCTTTTGCTCAGGGCTTCATAAATTATGGGCCAACATAAAAGTGATTAGGAGAAAGGCTGTAGCTCAGTGGAAGAGCACTTGCTGTGCAAGCAGAAGGTCCCAGGTTCAATCCCCAGCTTCTCCAGGTAAGGCTGGGGAAAACTCCCTGCCTGAAACCCCAGAAAGCCAATGCCAGTCACTGTCAACACAACTGGGCTAGATGGACCAATGATCTGACTCTGCCCAAGGCAGATTCCTATGTCCCTACATTATATGTTTGGCTTCCTCCCTTTTGTCCAGGACATCATGATTTATTGGCTTGTTTGGGCTTGTGTAGCTTTAGGGAAATGGAGCCTAGGCCCCACCAGGCTCACATGCTCCATCATCTGACCATTGTCTGGGCAACAGGAGTTCAGAAGCTTTGGCTTCTCTTCTTGATTAACTACAAGCTTGCTGCATCACTTAAACCTTGACAAACTGTGGTTAATCTTCACTGTGAGAAGTGGAAACAAGCCAGCTTCAAATCACAGTTAATGAAGTTGGCTTGTTTTCACTAACTATTAAGATTAACTACAGTTTTGGGTTCACATGACATACTAAACCATGATTAATCTAAAACTGAAGTGAAAGTTTTCAATGAAGTGGTGACCGTGCCGAATGAGGCGTGGGGGGCAGGTAGTGTGAAGTCTGTGGGGAGGCTAGGCTCAATCTAAATTGATTTGCTTATTTATTTTTAATTTGTACTTACAGCCCACTCTTCACCGAATGGCCCCAAAAGTATCGCAATTAAAGCAATATCTGAATGCAACCTATGACTTGGATTTTGTAGCCAACCACTTTGTCATGGTAGCTTGTGCTGATGTCTAACCCTGCCGCAATATGCTCAGCATCAGCTACTGGCACATTACTGCCGATGGAAGACTGCTATACAGTTTAAGGTAGGGATCAGGAACCTGCGGCCTTCTAGTTGTTCTAAGACCTCAGCGCCTACCAGTCTCAGCCAGGATGGGCCATGGTCAGGGATGATGAAGGCTGCTGTGGTCCAACAACACTGGAGAGCCAAAGGCTCCCTATGCCTGGTTTAAATTCCAAGGAATTAAAGGTTGGTGGGAACCACAGTAATGAACCCAAAGCACAAATTAGATTAATGGTTAAAATGCTTCTTCACTATCTGAGATACATACACAAAGAACAATGTTTGCAGTTGTTTAAAGAACACTGACGTGTCAAGATATTCTTCTTTGCTCTCCCAGATTGCAAGGGAAATACTGGGAAGACCTGAAAGCATGTAGTCCAAAACCTTGAGTTATGCAATGCAGCTGAAATTGATCCCAATGTCAGGGTAGCAAAATGCTACACATTATCACCACCAAACCCATAATGCTATTCCAAAGTTTCAGGATACCCTAATCATGTAAGTCATTTTATCTGAATGGAATTTTGCCCAGCATGGACAAAGGACATCCATCAGGCAGGCATTAAGCACTGAACAACAAAATTCTAATGCTGTTGCAGTGGTGCAAAGAGTCATCCTCGACACTGGCATACATACATCCCAGAGCAGTAAGCTGTTGCACAATCTTCTACTTACCCCAAGTTTTCAACAACATCTAAGATGGTGCAGGTTCCAGCTTTTACTCCTAAGAAAAAGGAAGTATCAAAAGGTTAAATCACGACAGGTAGTTAGTTACACCAAACTAACCAGCACTTCTTAAAACAAATTTAGACATGGGAATCCATGTTTCAGGTACAGTGCAACTTGCCTTTCTTGTTTGCACAGCTCAGAGGCAGAGCACATGATCTGCATACAGAAGGTCCCAAATTTCCTTCCAGGCATATCCAGTTAAATGGACCTTTTCCTTGTATGGAACAATGGCTCAATTGGTATAAGGCAGTTTCTTATACTTCTTATCACAAATTGAAAAGCATTTAATCTACAGGAAAAGGAGTGGGAAGATGCATTTGCCTCCACATCTCTGCTTCCCCACTACTGTGCTCTTCCCCCACCACACCCAAGAAACACCGTGCTAGTCTGTCTGTCCTAGTCTTTTGAAAATGGAAGGGTTAGCTAAGATTCCTTGCAGTGCTTCTTCCAGCCAGGAAAATGATAGCCAAGAAGCATACTGCCTCTCTTGGCTAGCGGTAGATAACCACGTGGTCTCCAAATGTTCTAGACTAAAATTCCCATCACCCCTAACCATTAGGCATGATGGATGGGACAGATGGAATCCAGAAATTTTAGGAAGTGTCAGGGTGCCCACCCCTGCTCTAGGCCCTTAGTGAGACAGGCAACCTTTCCCAACTATTTGTAAAGCGATCTAATTGCAAAAGTGAATGTCAAAGGAACATCAGTTCTCAAGCTAGTACTGACACATCTCTGAGATACTGTGCAGTTAATTTAATTAATATGCCTTGGACCAAGTAAGACTTAATTAAGCAGGTGCTCATACAGCTACTTAAAAGCTTATCGAGTGCTACAGAAATCACAAAGACAGCATACAGAAGCACAGCAACAACTGCTGGCAGTGAGCAAGGCACAGTTGACTTAGTTAGCTTTTCGTCTGGGGACAGTGCATTCTCCAGGGAAAGTAGCCTGCCAGATCACTATTCAAACAACCTCTTACACAAGCAAAAATGCACGTGTTTGTATACACCTGTTTGAAAGACTGGGATACACAGGTGACTCAAGGCAAACATTGCTTAACCCTGTCCCCAACCCTAAACAGTAGCATAATACACTTTCTTTTTACACCAGAGGAAAAAGCCCCGGTCAGCTTCTGTCCTAATCAACCTTGTGATTAGCAGTTTATGGGTAGCTGCCCTCCTTTGCTCAATTCAGTTGAGCACTCACCTGCATTCCCAGTGACAAAGAGGAAAGGGCACCTGTCATTATACTGCACTGTGTTGCTGCATCCCTGCTGGCAACTCCAAACATGAGGACTTTGCATCCCTGCAGGAGTCCAGGAGCAGTGAGTTGGCTGCATCGGGAGAGCCCTTATCGCAAAGGGCTGTAATGAGCCTGAAAAGGCAGTGGCTGCTTGGGTCTATGGAGCTGTATGTCTTTGTCACTTGAGTGCTCACTTAAGGACAACAGCTGCTTGACCTCAGATTATGGCTGTGATGATAAACACACTTATTAGGAAGTAAACCCCAAAGAGTCCAATGAGACTTATTTCTGAGTAAGTTTGCTTAAAATTACACTATATAGCCAATACATTTTATATCTAAAGCTTCCCAAAATTTCAAATGACTTTAGTCATCTGCTCTCCTAGTGACATTATGTATGTATGTATGTATCTCTGGACCATTTGCCTATGTTGCACAGACAGCTTAATTTGTAGAGTTGCACAATACATTTTAAATGATGCAAAATTTCATCCAGATGCAGATGATTTATTTATTTCATAACATTTATATACCACTTGATGGCAGAAAAATCTCAAAGTGGTTTACAAAAAGAAGTTCTACCACGGAAATTTAAACTGCCACCCACATTTCACAAATTTCGATGTTTAAATTTAATTTTGAAAACTTATTTTAAGTTATTCCAAAGTTTAAGTTCAGAAACTGCAAATCAAGAAGTCAGTGGCAACCATCCCATCCCTGCTGAGCAGTTCTCAAATCACCTCATTAGCAGTGGGGAGAGCTGTCCAGCAGCCTCCTTCATTTTCGCTAGATAAAGGCATGAAACAACCTGTCGCTTGAAAATACTATCTCTCTTAGAATTAGAATGGGGAGGTGGGAGGAGACAGCATGGGAGTACAGAATATCTTCAATCAAGTTTGGCACAATTTGTTAAAACAGCTGATGGAGTACTGAAAGAGCAGCGTGAATGAACCAATTATAAATCCTGCATTCTATTCTTTTTATCAGCATCTCACTCTCAAAAGTACAAGGCGTACTAATTAAAGAGCTGCAAGATTTATTTTCTTAGGAAGCCGTTCAGAAAGCCAGGAGAACCATATTTCCAAGAACACCTCTATACTTGAAGGCTGGTCCAGAACCTAATTTGGAGAGCCTGTGTTGCTTAAAAGGAAGGTTGTTTAAAAGTTACTGCACTCCTGTCCTCTTCTCAGAAGTATCTGGGGCAAGTTCAGATGTGTTAACTATGTTCAGTATATCATTATTCCCATTAGTAAAGGTGGTGTCCCGTATGCATACACATTGGATGCCAAAATGAGCCCAAAGAGAAGGCAGTGACAGGTTCTTATATACTGGGGGACCCTGAGATGTGCAAGACAATATTGGGTTTGTCTTTAAAGATCCTCAGCTCTTCCAAAACACAAGCAGGGTTCAAGGGCTGCACATGCACAATGCCCCCATGCTGCTCTGCAACACTGGCAACAGAAAGCAGCACACAGAAACACAATGCCCATAGCCTCTGGAGTTGGGAGTTAACTGAAGATCTATCTGTGCAAGCATAATTTCTTGGTTCATGAAGTTGGAATAAATAGTACAAACATCTAAATGCAGATGACATCTACATGTGGATGTCATCTCATTCACACAGTCCCTGATCCAGTGAGAGTTAGAGATATCCATGTGGATCATTGTTTCCATACACAGATCTCCTTAGTTAGGTCAGGATGAGGAAGCATGGATGATTGACAAGAGAAAAGTTTAAAACTTCACTCTTTGTTCTTCCATCTTCTTCCATTTCCATGAATGTTTTTCAGAAGGCCACAGTGAGTATTTAAATGAAAACAATGTGTTTAGTTTGTTTTTTGGTCCCTATTTATATTACATGCCTTACCATAAATTATCAAATTTTGTTGCAGGTCTACACTTGCAATACCTATTATGAACTTCACTAATGCTGCTAAAGTTTGCAGCATTGGCAAAAGCTGTAGCTGTGCTACAAACAGCCTTACAAGTACCACTCACCCCTCAGAAATCTAGGAGTCCTGAAATCTAGGAGTCTCCTCAGAGAGTTATATGGGTTAACTTGCCTTCATGTGGAAACATGGTAAAGCAGCTTTTCATACAGCTGCAGCTACATCATGATGAATTCCTAAGTGGCTATCACACCACAAATAGTCATCTGAATTATGATAAACCACCCATATTTTCTTATAAAACGTTAAGTAAACAAGCCAGTGTTTCCAGGAAGTATGCCTCTTCATGATGATGGAAACTCAAGAACATTCAAAATCCTTTAACAGACTTTAAATGATTCGTTCTTCTCTTGTATTTTTAAGGTGATTAAGGTTAGGTTTCCCTATCTTTTCATAGTTTTACAGTACAGGCAAAGGAAATAGATTAATGAATGGTAGAAAAGAACAGGTCAAGGAAACAGGAAATTATATTGAGTATGCCCAGGTCGGGCTCTCTGCTGATCTGATCCCCTGGAAAAGTACATTCCTGCAAACAAACATATGCTTTTATCTCTAGTCAGCCTTGCCCACAGCAGCCTCCTCATACCCAACCTCAACACACGCGTCCAGCTCATTATCGTCTCTGAAATAATCTTCAGGAGGCGAAACAGCTCGTTACTTTGCCCCTAATTAATGCCGTGCGTCACACTGCCTCGCCCGATCAACACCCTGCATGCGCCCACCGTTACCGCATGCCCGACTAGCCCTAATTAATGCCAGTACGCATGATCCCGATGTGGGTGGATGGAATGAAGTTAGGCAGAGGCACTCTGCACACGCCCAGAGAATCTCGTTTGCATTCCTTTACACACTCTCTCGAATGAATTCCGACAGTGAATTCCGATCCTGAGCACAGATCCAACTGGGCGATCTTTCTCCCTGACACCTAAGCTCACCTCCTCCTCCGTCCCCGCAGACCACCCCTCGAACCGCCGTTTCGGTTCCCCTCCCGCCCCGCCCGTGGCACTGCCGGAGCCCGCCGCCTGCTCCCCGGCCCCGGCCTCTGCCCTCCGCCCCATCCCCACACGCACCTTCCGCCGCCTCTCTGGCCGCGCCTTCCCGCTCCCAGCCCGGCAACAGGGACGCGTCCGCCCCCACGTCCACCTCAGCCCCTCCGGCCGCCATGATAAAGCGGAGAATAGCAAGGCAGGCGAGAAGAGCACAGCGCGCGTGCGCGTCCCCTCTGTCACGTGTGAAAACGACAGGGGCAAAGTGGGCATCACGTGGCAAGAGGCCACTCCAGCAACGGGCGCAGTTCGCGGGGAGGGCCGTGGAAAGGCAGGGGCGCAGCCCGAAGGGAGGCCTGTCAAAGGTCAGGGCGGGCGCCTTAGGCCGGGTCACGGAAGGGGTGGGTGTTGCTTTGCGTTAAGAGGGCGCGCAACACGCGGGAAGCGCAGAAGTGAAGCTCAATGCGGCTTCACACAACCATCCCTCCGATGCGAACAGGCTTCCACGCGCTCGAAGGAGGGGGAGGAGAGCGCTGCGTTGCGTCTGCTGGAGACGTAGAGGCTCTTCATTCTCGGAATGCCATCCCCGGATATACAAAGAATGCCGCACGCACTTTTATGATTTTGTTATTAGAAACGGCGGCTTAGTGCCAAGATGCAGAATTGTTTTCCATTTGCTTTAGGAGGCCTAAAAATACCAGGCAAGCGGGCAAAACACGTGCATCCAAGGAAGGAAACACTCAGACCTCTGGTTTCTGTGAGGAAATCGTTTTAGCGATCCACGCTCCAAGTATAAATTATGGCAGCGGTTCTCACACGTATCCGCCCACCTACCCGCGAACTGCAATGCACTTGGAGGAGGAGGAGGAATGCAGTGATCAGGACAGGGATCATTGTGGTTTGGTGTTAGTGGTGGAATGGATAGATCTCAGCATCCCGCTCCACCTATTTATCTTTCAGAAGTCTGCTGTCTTTGCTGGTTATCATTGCCACCTTCATAAAGAAGTCCCATCTCCAGTGCTAAAGAATGAACAATTACAGTACATTTCCAGGACGTTTAATGCTTACAGTGTGCAAATGATTAGGGTGTTTTTCAGTAGGATAAATATGCACATCTAATCTTTTCCCCTGAGCAAAGGTCAGAGAAAGCTTGCCCTCTGAACTAATGGAAAGCACCAACACTAATGTTGTCTCGGCATTTACTAAAAACTAATTAATTTTCTCAGACCTTTGCTGGTTATTTATATATGTTGGTTTTATTTTTTTAAGTTATGTCTGCCCTGGCCTATCAACTGCTGCTTTATTTTATACTGTAATGTATTTTTCATGTATTTTTAAAAAATACACCATCGTGGTTTCAAATTAAAAACAGCATGTAAAGATTTTAAATAAATAAGGACATTTGTTGCTTTTAAAATACATTATCCTTTTCTACAACAAAACTGCTTATTTCCTAGCAAATGCATTCTGCATCAGGGCAACACTATTCCCATAGTTATGATGGTGCTATGATTTAAGTGCTCAAGTTTTCAAAAAGCAAAACTCTGCATGCTCTTTTTTATTTCTTTTTAGTATCTGGATTAGCAAAGTTTTCTCTCTCTTGCTTCAACATCATAGCAGTTGTAAGGCACTGATGGCAGTTGGGTTGAGAAGAGGCACGTTAATTGTGTACTTCAACTGAGGTATACACACAACTATCTAAACCACACACGCAACTCACACATACTTCAGAAAGGTAATTAAGTCCAAAAGGTCTAAAATTACCTAGCTGCACCATTCGCCAATGCAGCATTACCTTCAAAGGAAGAGTTATAAGATAAGAGATATAATGGAAGAAGTAGGATAGGTATGACATATCCAACATTCTTGATGGCACTAACAGCCTGAGAAAGCGACACCTGGATTTGAATGTGTGTGACCCCATTTGGGGTTGGCCAGAATGGTAATTGACACCAGAGATCAGAACAAAATCCTGAACTTGCCAAGTCCTCTCTTCATAGCATCCAGCATTATTATGTAACCATGGTCAGCTTTCCCAGTGGACACCTCTGCCGCACTAAGCTGGCTTCCCAGTGATAATCAAGGCCTAAGACTGACAGGTCTGAGAGAGCATTAGTTCCATCATCACTCCTCAAAAGCAGATACACAGAACCCCTCCCACGCCTGGCTGTAGCTACCTAAATTGTTCAACTAATACTGTACTAAATTATCGTTAATATGTACATCAATATAACACGCTGCTTTACAGAGTAATAAAAGTAGAGGCGCACCCTTGACCAAAGTATTTCCCCAGCCCCATCATAGTAAATTGAGGGCTGAGGGTTGAAAAGCTTCATGAAAAAGGCAGGTCTTTTTAAAAACAAAAACAAAAAACGAGGGATTGGGAGGAAGGAAGGTGGCTCCCTTTCATGTTTTGAAAGGGAGTCCTATGCACCCAGGGCAAAGGCGAGGCTATTCCACTGCCCATAGGGTAGACTGCCATGTCAGTATTGCTAAATCCAACTCCCATTCAGTACAACAATAACATTGCCTGCTACAGATTATTGCTGGGCAAGCCGGCTCCTCTGCAAGGTAACAGGACTTTGGAATGCCAACCCCAGCAGCAGGGTCGTCCAACTGCTCTGGCATTTGTTGGCATATAAAGAGCCAGCCTTTGCAAATTATTATTATTATTAATTTCATTTCTATACCGCTTTATATTTTAAAGAAAAATCTCAAAGTGGTTTACAGACTATTAAAGCATCAATAAAACAATCTGAAGAAAGTCAAATATAGAGTATACAGTCAAAGCAACGTAATTAACAGAAAACTAAAATATTATCTTAAAAGATTTCAAAATAAAACATTACAAATCTGGCTGCCCTAAATTGGGCCTGGAGGTCGCGCCTCGTGAGAGTTTAGGAGACGACTGAGGAGCAAGTGAGCGGGGGGGGGGGGGCGACGGCTAGCAGCCGCCCGCTACGAGCCCAGGCCGGCTCCCGCTGCTCCCGCTGTCGGGGGCGCTGGCCCTGCTCGCTTTCTCCCGCCCCCGCCCCCTGCAGAGTGGTAGCCCGGGTCACGGACGATCCTCTTCCTGGGGCTGGCAGAGAGAGGGCGGAGTGGAGGCCGGGCTCCTGCCGCCGAGTCACATGCTCACCTGGAGAAGGAGGAGGAGCGCGAAGTGTCTCCCAGGGCCGGGGGATCCTCCCCGGCTCAGATCCCCAGCTCTTCGCGGAGTAGCGGCTGCAGCGGCGGCGGCGACGGCGGAGGCAGGCATTGGAGCCGCTGGGCCGGCCTGGGCTGGATCCAACCTGAGAGGGCAGCAGACCTTAATTGGCGCCTCCCGTTCCGCAAGACTCCAAAGCCCCGTCTGGAGGGAGGCGGAGGCGGCAGCCGCGCCGCACAAAGTTTGCGTGCTCGTCCGGAGGGCGGATTGGGGATCCGGCTCCATGCGGAGCGGCAGAGCCCGGAGCCGGGCTCAGGCGGGTAGATCCATCGCAATCGCAGCCTGGGGTTGTCGCCATGGGCAGCTGCGTGGGGAGGCAACACCGAGAGCGGCCGACCACCCCGGGGCACCCGCGCAAGAGAGCAGGTGAGCGCCGCCGGTCAGGCACCCTCTCGGTGCCGTGGCAGCCGGAACTGGCAAGGGAATCTGGGCCGCTGGAAACACAACCGGGGTTGGGCCCTTGCAGACACTCCCCTGGGGGCCCTTTGCTGGAGAATTAACTTGTCTCAGATCCCCCACTCCCAACTCCCACCATAATCGGGCACCGAGACCACTGCCAAGACTGGGAATAGGGTGCCACTCTATGATTGTCTTGAGTGGGCATCGGATCTTTCAGGATTGGGCCCAGATGAGGGCATAGCGGAGCGGACGGTAGTCTATGTGCTTCCCCTCCTGTTAGCGATGGGAAGATTCGGTTTGGGAGGATTTTTAAATGGCCTGGATCTACTGGGCGGTCTGTGCTTCCTCGGGGAAGCGTGTGGGATGTGTGTTAGTAAATGTATTGGTGGAGTAAGGCTCCCTGGAGCAATTTGGGTTTCTACTGATCCCTTAACTCCGTGTTTAGGAAGAGTGTGTGGGATGTCCCAGAAACTCGCCTACCGGATTTATGTAAGAGCCAGTCCGGCCCGTCTCACCAGATGGGTTGGAAGTGCAAACTACTGTTTCCCCACTGGCTCAGAAGTACAAGTTTGGGCTTGGGGCTGCTCTGAGGTCAGTGGGCTGCCACCTCAGGTTTCAAATCAGAGTAATTTTATTTATTATTGCAGATTTACTAAAAGCACTTTTATGCAGCTTTATGTGTTGTTGCGGAAACAAGTAGTGCACAAATCGTAAAAAGATGCATTGTAAGTCATACAAAAATAAAAGAGCAATATAAAATCCAAATGATACAGTGTGCATAGATGTGTGGCTAGGTCCTAGCAAGAACATTTCCTTTGCCCTTGCTGCTTGATTGGAAACTTGTCCTGCAAACCATCATCAGGTACTCTGGTCCATGTGTGGGCTCCAGGACAGATACCTTCACAGCATGTGCTAAGGCCACATTTGCTGCTAGAGAGATTGCAGTCTTCTCTGAACCTAGGTGCGGAAATTCATGTTCATTTCCAGGTTCAAGGGCCCTCCCTGCTAAGTCTCCTGCAAAATGATAAGAATTGAGCTAGCTTAGGCTTTGCTGCCAGAGTCTGTGCATGTGACCCTGTGTGGTGTGTGCCCATGTGCGCAAGACCTGCCCTGACTTTTCTTAGTCCAGGTCAGTCAAGAGCACAATTGGTTCCCACCCCAGACAGCTCAGATCAGCCTCACTCTGCTGGAGCTGCATTAGTTGGATCAATAGCAGAAACTGCTTTAACTCAACAAGCTCATCAGCAGTATTTGGCATCTGCGGCGGTGCACACACACATTGATGCAGGGTTTCTGGAGACAGAACAGTCGACTTCTCAGCAAGAGAGAGGCCTTTGTGGACATGAGAGCATCTAAGGTACAGTCTCTGTGTACGGCTGCTTCAGGTTGATTATGGTTTTTCATAAACTTGCCGATTATTGGTGGTGCTAGAGCCCTGATTAAAACCATGCCCTTGCACTGCCAAAGTGATAGGTGACACCTCCTCACATGCTTCCTATAAATGGGTATTTTGGGAGGTGTTGTTTAGGGGCTCCCAGGCAGCCACTCTGCAGTTGCTACTCTGATTTCACAAAGAATTGTGTCCTGAGGTGTCCCTCCACGATGCCGTGAGACTGGATTTAACTTTGCTGAGCCCTGCACATACATCAAGACCGAACCCCACCAGCAGCACACACTGTCTGCTCTGATCTATAGTCCATGGTGGTCTGAACAGGGTATGCATCTCTGCATGTTCCCGCTGGAGAACTTTACCCACTCTAATAGAGATTGGGCTAATAGGACTCCTTGGCAGAAACCCTGAAATGCTTTGGCACCATAGTGGCTATTTCACTGTGTGGCACGAAGGTTTATACTTGACACCCTGCTTTATATGATACTTGAAGTGCTCACTTCATGCCTCGGGTATAGGAAGCTGTTGTCTATGAAAGCACAATAAACTAGTCTTGAAAGTGCCATGGCACTTTAAATATATATATATATATTGGTGCTACTGACCTAAATGCTTCCAACTACACTTCTGGAATTTATTTTTTGGAAGACCTGAGCATGTACTTTAAAACCAAAAGTAAACACTTGGCACAGTTTGTAAGTCTTTCTTGGCAAATCGCTCTGGGCAGGAATGCCTAGCTTTTGCTTGTGGGGAGCACTGGCTGGAATCTCTATTGCTGTTGGGCTGGGTTGTGAGAAACAGGAAACACTAGCTTCCTTGTAGAGCTCATGTTTGGCATGTAGAAGGTCCCAGGATCAATCCCTGCTATCTCCACAAAGAGCTGGGAAAGCCCTCTGCATGAAATCATGGAGAACATCTGACAGTAAGTGTAGATAATAGTGAACTTGATGGAGCAGTGCCTTGACTTAATACTTAGTTCCATGCTGGGAAAAGGATTTAAGATTTTGTTAGTCTAATATCTTATACAGCAGGGAGCTGGCACCAAGAAGCAGGATCTTCTGGGAAAGGATACACTACTCAAAAAGAATAAAGTTTACCCTAATGCATTTAGTCCTTTTGTTTAACTGTTTTTGCAAGCATGTCGGACTCCTGATTTTGTTGGGCTGCAGTCCTACCCACTCTTACCAGGGAGTAATCCATATTGAGCACACATTGGGACTTGCTTTGAAGCGAAAATGCATAAAATTGTGTTCGTTAGGGAGCAGGCTATCTCCCTGCCGCAGAAATCTTGAGCTGCTCTGAGGCTTTGTGGTGGTGTTTACCTTAAGTGCTTATGAAAAGTTGGGCTGGCACTCCTGGTGATGTATTGCTGGCATTTTGCAAACGCAGGCAGTGTGAGCTGAGCTGAGTCTTCAAGAAACAGCAAAAACATGTCCCTGATCTACTCATCCAAGAGTGTGAACTGGAAACTGTGCAGTCAAGTGCAATGCAAGCGTTTTGGCTGATGGGATCTGCTGAGTTCTGGACTAAGCAAGTGTGGACTTTAAAAATATTTGGGGGTGTGAGTTGCACCAGAAGCTTAGAGACCAACAAAGGGAAGCTCTTACAGACAGACTCTTCTTTCACTAGGGAAAAATAAAAGGAAAAAGCCCTGATTGGGTTAAGGGCATTGCAGATCCCATGGAACTATGAAAATAATTTGGAGCACTGATACCATTGCTGAACTCCAGCACAAGAATGACTTTTTGCCTCCAATTATGACATAGTGTCAACTTAAAGGCTATTATCTTGGCTTCCGGTCCTAAATTATGGGTCCGTTACTATAAGTCACTGCACTTCATCCCAACAATGGGCTGGGTGGAATGATACTTAAGTTACCCTATCCCAACTCTCTGAGGCTCAGGCTGTTTTGGACACTATGTTCTTGCAGCTTCAGGGTTGTTTCTTGTGTCTGCATGCATGGGTAAACATAATATGTAAATTGCTAACACATGGACCTGCTTTACTGATAGGCCTATGAAATCCCATGATGGTTTGGGAATTCTGGTTTTCACAGGTCTTTTGATGAGTCAGACCCATATGTTACCAATTTACACATTCAGTTTGCCCATGCATGCACATGACGTCACTGAAATGATTCCTACATATGCCACGCAAGTGTAGCGTGTGAACCTATCCTGGAAGAAACTCATCAGCTGGTTTGGGTGTTGTGCAATGTGCAGTTGCCTGGCATGCTTCTTTCTCCGAATACACCCTATCATAATCAGAAACTGGCCCCACCAAGGGACTGCAGGACTGACTCATGGCTTTGCTCTGCTCATGCAGCCATGGATTGCAACTGCCTGCGTGTTGCTCCCTGCAATAATTACTGTTTTGTAGGAGGCAGAGAAAGGGAAACAGGAAATGGGGAGGGCTGGGTAAGTGGGCTGAGAGCAACACTTGTAAGTTACACCTTCCCAAAGAGGAGGCTGACTGCAGCTGATCCATAAAGAACAAGCAGGGGCGTTGGATATCATATGTAGAGGGAGAGAGTTCAGAGAATCATAGGGCTGGAGGAGAGGTGGGCTTATAGGCCACCAGGTGTAATCCCTGCTTGAAGAGACCACCACCACCACCACCTTCCTTGATAAGAATTCTTCCTTCTGTCACCACAAGCGTATTGCTGTTGAGTCTCTTTCTTTTTGCTGGTCCCTGCTTGCCCTGCCTCTGTCGATGTTATTGACTGATTTGCTTTGATGCTGTAGGCAGGCAGGGAGTTGACCTGTGCAGTCCAGGAGGTCATACCTACCTTGGCAGCTGTTGGCTTACCTACTCTGATGTCACAATGAGGCTTGCCTGGCTTGATTGTTTGCCGAGGCCTTGGAATCTGTTGGGTTCTGTGGACTGCAAGCGTCCTACGTGAGACCAAACTGCTCTTCTGTGGCGAGATGGTCTTTCACGTGATACCATGTGGGTGCTGAGTGAGATCTGTTGAGCCATCCTGGGGCTTTTGAGAAAGAGGGACTTGTGGTTTCTAAGGTAAGGGAAAGCTAGAATGTTAAATACAGTGGTACGTCAGGTTACATACGCTTCAGGTTACATACGCTTCAGGTTACAGACTCCACTAACCCGGAAATAGTGCTTCAGGTTAAGAACTTTGCTTCAGGATGAGAACAGAAATCGTGCTCCGGCGGCACGGCAGCAGCAGGAGGCCCCATTAGCTAAAGTGGTGCTTCAGGTTAAGAACAGTTTCAGGTTAAGAACGGACCTCTGGAACAAATTAAGTACTTAACCTGAGGTACCACTCTACATGTGATTGACTCGCGTGCAACCGCATATATGTGTGGTGCCGGGAAATAATTAAATCGTTCAATTCAAACTTGGAAATGGTGGGAGAGCTGGAGAGTCCTCGTGGCTCATGAGGATACCCTCCCTGGAGCCTGAAAAGGACGACAGTGAAGGCGGAGGAAGCCCCAAAGAGACTGGAGGTGCAGTGGCGCTTTGTTTACACTGCTCAACCTCCCCACCTAACAGCTGATGTGTGGAGTAGCGCAGCAGCAGCAGCTTTCCCGCATGTCCTCCAGCCTCCTGCCAGTCCCAGAGCTTCAATTCTAGTTGTGGATATTTCTGGTATGAATTGAAGAAAGAGTGGCAGAGAGGTTGTTTAGAGGGTGCTCCCCACTTTATGCGATTTCACTTATGCACACGAGGGCCCAGAACGTAACCCACACATAAATGAGGGGGATGCCTGTACTGAACTATGCTATGGTGGTACAGTATTTTAGAATAAATGGCACTGTAACGACCCTACCAGCCCTGCTGGGGTAAGACTAGTAGACTGGAAATTTTTCCAAACTGGCTGAAATTATGATAGTGGTACCAACTTAGTGTGAGCTGACCATTGTGTTCTGATAGGGCCCAGCCCCCGGGTAAGCAGGTATTCTAGATTACTGTCTGCCTTCTGCCCTTTTTCATTTGTGTCATTAAATTCCCTGTTTTGGATTGAGCTTTGGCTTGGATTTATTGCCTGGTTCAGTTGAAGGATGGGTGCAGGCCCATGATCCTGGTTATCTTTGTGTCCCACAGGTCAGATTTTAACCCCCTGGTTATTTAGTGGAAGTCCCACCTGTCTGTCTCTGTTACTACAAGAACATCTTGCAAGGTTGGAAACTATGCGTCTCCCACCCTCTTTCTTCTTTGCATGGTTCAGGTTTTCAGTAAGCTAGTCCTGTTACCTTGCATGCAACAGTTCCTCTGACAGGTTTTAATCTGTGCCCAGCACCCAGCTCCCAGGCCTGATTGTTTGCTTAGCTCAGAAGGTGTTGCCCAGATGCCTCCCTGCAGAGCAGCTTAGGCAGGAATTCACACCTGGGAGCCTAAGTTTACACTTACTGCTGCTTGAGGGTGTGGCATCGCCAGTGGCCTTCAGAACCGGCAGGGAACAGGTGTGCACAGGCTGTCAATTTAAAGGGGCAGATTCAGGGTATCTTATTGCAATGCCCCCTGCCTTGAGATTCATTCCTGTCCTGCTGCATCCTCAGTGTTGGTGAAAGACAAGATTGCCTGCAGCTGAGCCCATTCTGTGTTGACCAGATCAAAATAGGACAGGATTTCTGCACCTTTAATAGTTGTGTAGAGGAGGAAATTTTGATGGCTACAGCTTGTCACATTGCAGAGCTGAGAGAAACTGCACCCAGTAGAATTCTCCTGTCTGCTCAACTGTTTTGGGGCCATATCCTGAGCTGCGTTTGGTTAGCCTAGCTGACTCACAAAGCTGGGGTCCTTATTTGCTGACAGGCTGGCGCGCCACTGCCTGTTCATTGTATTCGTAACCCCCCCCCCTCTTCTGCACCATGTGGCGCTTCCCTAGAGTGCACAAGGAAGAGCAATGCCAACATGACTTCAGTTAATGTGGCTTTTTCAGCAGACTTCTTTATTTCTTCTTCTGTTTGGGCCCTGGAGTCAATTTTGAAGGCTGGTGCTGGGAGACCACTCTAGCTTTGTCCAGTCGAAACCAGAATACAGTTCTCAGGGAAAGAAATGCCCTTTGCGACATAACCCAGCATGGCTCATAAGAACATAAGAAGAGCCTGCTAGATCAGGCCAACAGTCCATCCAGCGCCCTGTTCTCACAGTGGTCAAACAGATCACTGTGGGAAACACACTAGCAAGACCTGAGCACACCAGCACCCTCCCCACCTGCAGTCCCCAACAACTGGTATTCAGAGACTTACTGCTTCTGGCAAAGGAGGTGCTACATAGTTACTGTGGCTAAAAAAGGTAAAGGTAAAGGGACCCCTGACAATTAAGTCCAGTCGTGAACGACTCTTGGGTTGTGGGGCTCATCTCACTTTACTGGCCAAGGGAGCTGGCGTTTGTCAGCAGACAGCTTCCGGGTCATGTGGGCAGCATGACTAAGCTGCTTCTGGGGAAACAAGAGCAGCGCATGGAAGCGCCGTTTACCTTCCAGTTGGAGCTGTACCTATTTATCTACTTGCACTTTGACGTGCTTTCGAACTGCTAGGTTGCCAGGAGCAGGGACCGAACAACGGGAGCTTACCTCGTCGCGGGGATTCGAACCGCCGACCTTCCGATCGGCAAGCCCAGGGCTTAGTGGTTTACACCACAGCGCCACCCACTTCCCTAGTTACTGTGGATAGTAGTCATCATCAATTTACCGTCTCCTCCATGAATTTGTCTAATCCTCTTTTAAAACCATCCAAGTTGGTGACCATCACTGCCTCCTGCGGAAATGAGTTCCACCGTTTAACTATGTGCTGCTTGAAGAAGTACTTTCTGTCCTGAATCTTTCAATATTAATTGTATGCCAATGAGTTCTAGTGTTGTGAGAGAGGGCGAAAAATCTTTTCTCCATCCACCTTCTCCACACTGTGCATAATTCTATGTCACCTCCCACTTACCTTTCTCTAAACAAAAAGTTCTGGATGGCCTCATTAAAGAAAGAAAAATCTTGGATGATCCCGCAGCCAGCTCTGACATTTTCCAGCACCATGTAACATAATTCAGTGGGCAGGACTGTCCTTGGCTAATGCATCATTCATTTACCAATCCTGGTGGTGGTTCCCTTCAGAAAATGCTGATCCCTTCTGTTTTCTTGCAGAATGCCTCTTTTGTGCACAGGCAATTTGTCATCCAAGGGCTCATGCAGGGCAGAAGGGAAGAAAGAGAGTGGGCACAGCTGTGTCTGAAGGGCATGTCCAGGCAAGAAACGACGGAGCTGTGTTAACACAGTGCATGGGAGCATCTTGCTTCCAGCAACACAAAAAACAAAATGCTTATGCCCTATGTGTATCCCCTTCTGTGACCACAGATGCTACGTTTATGCTGTGTTGTCCCCAAATGACTTCTGGATGTGCAGGATTCCAGCCTCCTCTGTTCCTGTCAGGGTGCTTATTAATGTGTGTTGCTAAGGAGCAGTTCCTGCCCACCGGCAGAATCCCAATGATGGGCAGTTGAGGAGTTGCGATTTACTGCATTCACACAAAACAGACAACACTTGACTTGTAGGGAGAGATGTTCGGGATCCTGAGGCTTAGTCGTCATCTTCTGTTCCTGGTTCTCTGCCTTGTCCTGGCAGGAACTCTTTCATACCCAACTCATTTCCATATTAGCCACATGTGGTTTTATGAGGCTCCTAAATCATCCCTCCCTCTCCGTGTTTCTCTGTGAAACCTCTTCACTGGGGCTTAACAGACTGTTACTGATTGCAGGCTGCACACCAGTCTTCAAGTCCATTGGGCTTTCTCCCTGCCTTCTGCTTTTGGTGCAGGAATTGCTCTCTTGTTTCCTTGTGTGAGGGCACACATGAAGCATTTTGAAAACAGTAGCATGCTATATGGAAACCATTGCTGTTATGCATATTTTCAGCTCAGGAATATCGCTGGCTTAAGAATGGCAGGAGCATTAATGTTCAATGTGTGTTATCACATGCAGTCTCTACCTTCATAAGGACCTAATAAGAGCCCTGCTAAGTCAGACCTAAGGCATCTTTAGCCCAGCATCTGTTTCCCACACTGGCCAACCAGATGCTTATGGGAAGGAATCCCACAAGAACTTGAGAACAATACAGTGGTACCTTGGGTTAAGTACTTAATTCATTCCGGAGGTCTGTTCTTAACCTGAAACTGTTATTAACCTGAAGCACCACTTTAGCTAATGAGGCCTCCTGCTGCCGCCGGGCCACCGGAGCACGATTTCTGTTCTCATCCTGAAGCAAAGTTCTTAACCTGAGGTACTATTTTTGGGTTAGCGGAGTCTGTAACCTGAAGCGTATGTAACCCGAGGTACCACTGTAGTCCTTTCCCACTGTTGTTTCCCTGCAACTGGTGTTCAGAGGAACCAGAAGCACTATATCCTGGTGTAGCAAGCAGCCATCACGACTGGTAAACTGTGAGAAGCCATGAATTTATTAACACCCCTTTTAAAGATTTTCAGCTAGTAACCATCACCACAAGCACCAGGAAACGAGAGTTTCTTAGGTTCTGCCAGTGGCATCCACAAGGGATCCTAACATTGGCTTTGAGGGTTTTGGCAATGATATATGGTACATCCTGAAGCAGTAGAGAGCATGTTGCATGATAATGGCCCACTGGGTTGAGCATAAATCCTGAGCTCAGCCTTGCCTGTCCTCTCCTTACTCCCTGTCCTGCCCACATCTTTGTGGCCTTGGTGTTAAACAGCTGGTTCCTATTCTGTGCTGCCACCTTCCTGATTCAGATATTTCAGTTGGATCCAGCATGTATACATTCCCTTTAATAGTTTGCTCTGTTTTGCTTCTGGGTACTTGGTTTCCAAAGGAATTAAGAACCACATATTCCTACATTGAAGCAGATGCCACCCGACTCAGGAGAGGCAATGGCAGAAAGACCACCATAAGTTGTCTTATGTTTTTTCAGACTGGCTACATGGTTCCTTCTTTTTTCAGCTTGCCTGATTTAGAGTGAGATTTATATCCCACATTGCCAATGCTCAGTTTCAGAGGGGTAGTCAGGTCAGTCTATATTGTAGCAAAAGCAGCAAATAGTCCTTTTTGTGGCTGTTGCCTACATATTTGGTAAGAGTCTGCCTCAGTTGTGTGCATTTTATGGTTACAATAGCAGGTACATGACTATTTAAATATTTTCTGACCCGAGATCCTTAGTCCAGCAGACCACAAACATTCATTTCTTCCCAGGGACACTTGTTTCTTGATTCACCTGCACAGAGGAAGAAAGACTTTTAAAACAGCCTGTGGGGGGGCGGGTGTGGTGTGGGTGTCCATGTCCCCAGCATGAACTTAGTGTAGCTTATCTCTTTCCTGTGTGCCATTTCACACAGGGATTCCATAAATCTAATATAATGGTTGTCTTGATATACGATCAAATGTTTTAATTCTTCTTTGTGAGGCTAGCGTAGGAGAGTCACTTTATCAAGTCATGAGCTGTTCCTTCCTGTCTCAAAAAGGTAGCTGAAATCATTTTTTAAATGCCATAGTAAAACCAGTCTAGCAACTTGAAACCTGGCTTCCCCTCACCCACAGAGGAACACCTTGCTTCTGTAGTCAGCTACTGAACCTGCCTTCTGATTCCTTTGTCTAATGATTAAGAGTCCATTGCTACCTAAGACAGTCCTAAAGACTGTCATGTACTGTATACGTTTTACATTTGGCTCCCTCCTTCACACAGCCTTTGGGATCACACCCTCCCATAATCTGAGTAACGTTAGACATGCCATCATTTGTTTTGCACTAACAGGATGAACCATTTTAATATCATACCCCCAAGTAACCCAGAAATCAACATGTTTTCTTTGTAGCTTATAATTATTTCCGTAATTTTGGTCTTGTTTGCTGCAGAAATGACTGGGCCAGGTGCAAACATAAGTCCGGGGTGCTCTAGGTATAAAGCAGGACTGTCAGGCTTGAGGGTGCTGAGTTTAAAACATGGCAGATTAGAGATCTTGCCTGATTCCCTTCTGGCATGTTGCAAACACAGTGCATGTGCTGCCTGTACAGGTGAGCTCCTGACGGTAGAGCTAGAGATTGTGTTTCTGGGGAATAAAGAAGAAAGTATATTGAAGTGGAGATGGGGGGGGGCGTTTAAGGTTAGGCTTGGCAGAGCAGGAGGGGAGCTCAGCCCATTGTTCTCTGAAGAGGGAGACAGCTGGGGAGTGGGAGGCAGCCCATCCCCACTTAAGCTGGGGAGAGGGAAGTTTGGGGGGGGTGCAGACTCAGGTCAACATGTGATAATGTGTCACTTATCTGAAAACACCCGATCAGGAGTTGGTGCGAAGGCCATGTGTGTGTGTGTGTGCAGTCAGTGCCCTTCTGCCTTGGTGAAGGAGCCCCAGTTCCTTTGAGACTTGATAGTGATAGACAAGCAGGCTCCGCTGTGGGGAATCGAAGCTTGTTACAGGGCACAGACAGAGAGAATCTGACCCACTGCTGGCAATTTCAGTTATCAGCTTGGCGAACTTGATCCTTCCACACTGCACGAGTGCTGGCTGGGCCTAGCAGCATCCCTAGTCTTAAAAAATGTGGTTAGTTTTGCAGTACAACAGGTTCTGCAGAGTGACGATTCCTTAGCATGTTTTTTATACCTGTTGTCTGTTGATCTCCTCGGATGCCTCCCAGCTCTTATGATTATGATTATGAGATAATAATAGTTGCCTCCACAGGGCTGATTGCAAGTGGAAGTTAGGTAATGCGGGGGGGGGGGGGGGTAGGCAGATCTTGTTGTCTCTTCACCTGGGTTTGAAAAGTACCTAAATATTTCATTAAAGAAAACCAATAAAAGGCTGCTGGCACAGATGGGACGAGGCTTTTTCCTGAGAGTCTCTAGGTTCCCAAGAAGTTGAGGGTAGTGCCTATGCACTTGCACTTCTGCTGGAAATGGTGATGAAATATTTGGCTGGCCGGATCCGTAACCTGATACAATAAGGCTTTGGATATACTCCTCTCTGTAGTGTTGCTGCAACAGCCATGACTCAGTGGTAGAGCACTTCTTTTGCATGTTAGAAAGTCCCATTCCCTGGCATCTCCACACAGGGCCGGGTTTGTTCTCTGTCTGAAACCCTGGACAGCCAGCAGACAATGCTGAGCTTGATGGTCCAGTAGTGTGACACTGAATAAGGCAGCCGTTTCCTGTGTCCTTGTGCCTTCTAGGAGGAGACACCCCAGGCAGGATATTTTCTCCCCAGACTCATCAAATCTGGTACTTGGGGAAAGGAGGAAGGAGATTTCACACCACCTTCCACACACAACTGCAGTGTCAGGAATGAGTGGTCTGTATTGAGTTATTGTGGGATTTTGGGGGAGCAAAAATCTACACAACACAAAAGGAACATCTTGCAGCAGGGTAAGGTGTCTAGAACCTGTGGCTGAACTGGCTGGACTTTGGTGGCAGTGTCATTAAATAGCAGCAGCTTTGGGCTTGCTACCTGAGGTTGGTAGTGGCTGCTGCTCACTACTTCCCTCTCTGCTTTCTCATCATGGATTGAGAGGCTGAAAACAGTTGTTTGAGATGGATTCCTGTGCACCTTCTGCCTGGTTCTTGAGCTGAGCACCGACTTCATGAAAGACAAAGCAGGGGTCCTGGGTTTGGAAGTAAACTGGATGTCTCCTAGCTCCTTCTCTGAACCAGAGAAGGGCAGACCCAACCTTTCTTAATTTTGAAGCTCCTTCCGATAGGGACCACAAAGCTGCCTATCACTTTAAGAGCTGAGAGAAAGCAAGAGAGCCTGTGCCAGGCAGTGACAGTGCTTCCTGGGCAGAGGAACCATAGCTGCACACTCTCACTGCCTTCTGTCTTTTAAAGTAGCAGGCGGAATGGCCAGAGTTGTTCTGATCAGTGCCTGATTGGCAGGTAGACCTAGAAGCTGTCTCAGGGTTGTCCAATGGGGACCAAGCCTGCTCTGAAAGCAGCCTTTGTACCTCTTCAGTCAAAGACCATTTCCTCTGTGTGCTGAGTTGCCTGGAGCCAAAGGAATGGTGTCTCTTGTCTATGGAGGTGGCTGCTGCCTGCCTCTTCCTCTGCCTACTACTGAGCTAATTGTTCCCAAGCTACTGGTAATCTCCTTGAGAAGCTTAACTTAGCTGGGGGCTGGGAGAAGCCAGGAGACTCTACCTATGGCCTGGTAATGCCAGCGGCTTGCTGTGGAAAGCAGGTGGCCAAAATAAGTTCTGATTTTGCGGCGCAAGTAGAAGTTATTTCCCTTTGCTCCTGTATTGCAAGGTGCATAAAGGAAACTGTTTGCCCTTGGAGTTCAATAAGCTCCAGCAGGGGGCCTTGCTAGCTCCCCCATCCTTCATTGCAGAAGTTGTCTGCTAAAGATGCCACATAACTCATTTTAAACAGGCCTGACCTGTTTTTACTTGCCATCTGCCCAGGTTTTTGTTTTAATTCAGCTTTAATGCCAGGCACCAGGCCATTTAAAAAGCAATTTGCGTATTAAAATGGCGCAACTACAATAGTTCATATGCAAATAAGCCACAGCTCCTTTTGACTGTGTAAATGTGGGAACCCTATTGCCAGGCCTGCCTCAGGTGCCCCTCCTCCTCCTCCTCCTCTGCAGGTAAAGGACCTCTAACCAAAGTATCCTGGTCCCTTAGTCATGATGGCAACTCCCCCTTCCTATCCAGGGCAGCCATAAAAGGTTGCTACCACCTGTAAGGTATTGGTGGCACCATCCTCAATGATGCAATGACCATGTTTGGGGACAAGGGAAGGGCCACCCAAGTTTGGGACTTGACTTGTCTCTTGCTTTTTCCAGCTTTGTTCTCTCTTTCTGAGAACATGTCTTGCCCCTGGCTTTTCTCTTCATCTACCCACCCTAATTAGACTTAAACCTGCAGCACAAGCTTCTTATACAGCTGACTTGAAGCTAAATCCCCTTGCAGAGCCAGCCTGGGCAGGGTCAGCTCAGGAAGCTGGCCTTCTGCTTCCTCCACAGAGAGCGCTGAGCAATGCACCTCTGTGAAATGCATGAGGGGCGAGTGGTGTGGGGAGGCCTCCCCTCTGCGCGCCCCTTGAATCTGGAGGACATTTTCCTGGGGAATGAAAGGGCCACAACAGCATTGGGGGCAGGGTAAGAATTATTGTCTGGAAAACGATGTTTACTCTGTGTGCCTATGATTTCATCTTGCTTGCACTCATGGAATCCGTCACAGAATTTGGCACCCATAAATTCTCCATTTTCCTGTTAAAACCACACATCTGTTGCTGTTACGGCTGTGAACAAAAGCTGGGACACGTGGGCAGTGTTGGGCGAATTCCTTGACGCCAGAGGACCCTGTGCAAGACTTCCAGCTTCAGGGGCGGGTGTGGGGAACAGGGACAGGAAGGTGTTTGGGTCTTCCCTTGGGTGTGTTGTTCCCAACTCCCTTGCGTCTGACCATTCCCCAGATCAACTCATTTGAACGTTTCAATCTTGGAAGCAGAAGACAGTATGCGCACACACAAAAAGCAAAATACGTGCATATTTTGCATGATTTCCATAATTTATTCAGGTCACCGAATTTGAACCTCCTTGGTGCAGAAATATACACAGCCCTCATTGTTCGTCTTTCCTCCTAAGTACCAAGGAGAGGTTGTTGCGAGATAAGAGTCAAACAATATTGCATTGATTTTTCCAAAACAATTAGTCTCTATGATCTCTTCTGCTGCAGATAGTGACCCCACAACCCATGAGCAGCTGCTCCATAAAACCTACTTCCTGGTAACCTAGTCGTTACAGATTCTGTGCTGTGGTGCTTTTGTGGTGGGTGGGAGAAGTCAGCTGGGAATGAGATGGCAGCAGAGAGTCAGTATTTGACTTTGTCCCAATGGGATCCATGCAGGACTTGCTCCCTTTGGAAACTGCTAACGTGGCACTTTTACCCAGGATGGGAGGGGGTAGCTTTTACTTTCCCAGCTATTTAGTGGTCTTATGAATATTGCATGAGAATTACAGGCTCCTAAGAAGGGGAATGGCTCTATATTTCGCTCCCTGTTCCTTGGGAGCCAGGCTAGTGGCTAGCTGTCCGTTCTGGGATTCAAGGGCAGCCATTTCCCCCAGCAGTGTGTGTGACTTTCTGACCTGTTCCAAGGTTGTCATTGGCTAGCAAACTCTCCGTACAGGTTTTATTTCTGCAAATGGTACTGAAGCACTGCTCTTTCTCACTGCTCCCATTAAACTGCAGCTACTTACCCCAATCAATCTCTTCCTGGCCATCTCTAGTACCCCTAGAGATTGTGGCTGGTTAATTACATCCTGGCGGCAGGTATTCCAGTCACCGCATCTCGTGGGGTTGGGCTGGATCAGAGTGCTTGCTTCCCGCACATCTCCCCCTCTCCCCCCACTTTCTCCAGACTGAACATGGCAAGGAGGCTGAAATCTACAGTGAAAAGGACACCAAAGTCTACAGCAAGCAGCAGCATTCTGAGGGGCTGCTTGGGAAGCAGAGGAAGCCTTGCAGTGAAATCAAACCTTTGGTCCATCTGGCTCAGAATTACAGAGGCTGATTAGCAGCGACTCTCCAGGATTTGAGAGCCAAACTGCACATGGCACTGAATGTGTCGCTTGGAATCGTGTCAGGGGTGGTGTTGTTGTTTATTTAATATTGGTGCAGGGCCCTAGTTTTCATCAGGACCACAGTGCAAGGGGTGAGGAGGTTGAACCCAGTTCACACCCCCACACACCCCACTGTTGTTAGCCTAGTAACAACCAATAGTTGGGGGGGGGGTTCGTTGGGAATGTGGGGAGGGAAGGAGCCTTCTTGCACTTTACAGTCCTGATAAAATCAGGCCTCCTTGTGCCTGCTTTAAAAAAAAAAACAACAACCACCACAAAGTGTTTCCAAGCGATACATTTGGCATCACATGCAGTTTGGCCCTTTGACAAGGAATGTTTCCCAGCCCTTCCTGCAGATGCCAGGGGCTGAACCTGGGACCTCCTGCAGGAAAAGCATGGGCTCTGCAACTTGAGCTGCAGCTCATCTGAGGTCCTGTGCCAAAGAAAACCTCAGGAGACCTTGCTCAGGGCTGCCCTCTGGTTGTATCTAAGATCCTATTCCTGCTGCTCCTTGGGACCCATTATGGACATGACGTCTGACTGTTCACCCATGAGTGTAAGATTCCTAAAGACATGGCAAGGCAGGCCTGCTCAGTTGGATCTTGTATTGTGCTCAGCCTTTGACCCCCTGGTCTTATTTGTCATCCATAAACTTTGGTCTCCAGCTGTTTGGGACTACAACTCCCATCATCCCTAGCTACCAGGACCAGTGGTCAGGGATGATGGGAGTTGTAGTCCAAAACAGCTTGCGCCCCAAGTTTGGGAAACTCTGATACTCACTATTGCAGGCATGAGGAACATAGGATACTGTCTTGCACTCAGTCAGACAAATGGTCTATACAGCTTAGTATTGTCTTGTTTTTGTTTGTTTGTACCCTGCCCACCTGACTGGGTTGCCCCAGCCACTCTGGGTGGCTTCCAAAATATGTATAAAAACAAGATAAGACATTAAACCTTAAACAGCTTCACTATACAAGGCTGCCTTCAGATGTCTTCTAAAGGTTATATAGTTACTGCTCCTGGATTAACATCTTCCCAATTAAAGCTTTTATAACCCACTTTTTTCTCCAAGGAGCTTAAGGTTCTCTCCCTCCTCAGTTAATCTCCACAACAACCCTGTGAGGTAGGTTAAGCAGAGAGGCAGTGACTGGCTCAAAGTTACCCAGTGAGCTTCCTGGCCAAGTGGGGATCTGAACCCAGATCTCCCAAGTCTTAGTCTGACACTCTAACCCAGCCTTTCTCAACCTTGGGTCCCCGGATGTTCTTGTACCACAACTCCTATCATCCCTGAGCACTGGCCATGCTGGCTAGGAATGATGGGAGTTGTAGTCCAACAACATCCAGTGAACTAAGTTTGAGAAAGGCTGCTCTAACCACTACACCACACTGACTTAAAAATAAAAATCAGCATTTTAAAATTCTGCATTTTTTAAACTATTCCCCTCTCCTTTTCTCACCCTCCTGTCCTGCCCCACTCCATTCTCTCATGTGCCCATTTATTTGAATGGTTAAATCAGACAGCTTTAGAATGGGATTGTACTTGTGAGCCACTGTGGCAACTGTAGCCAAAAAGGTGGGTGCAAATATCATCATCATCATTATCCACACTCTGAGGCACACTTGAGTTGGGGACTTTGTCTGAATGCACTGCCATGTGAGAGATTGTCATGTGACTTGGCATTTTCAAAGGTTCTCTCTATATTCCCCCTCATACTCTGGAGCTGAGAACATGACTCACAGTTCCATCTCTCCCCCCACTAATTACGCTCTTAATGTTAGTGCTCCTTGGCCCCATCATTATACTCAGTGGCGGGTGACATTCACTGGATTGTTTTGCAGAGCACCAGTTATATCTTGAGTCTCCAATGTAGTATTCTTATTTGTGGTTTCTGTGTAGACCCACCCTTGGGCTATGTGCCTCTGCTCATGAGAGCTGTGGAAGTCTGTAGAGCAGGGGATTCCCAAACAGGGGGCCATGGTCCGCAAGCTTCATTCAGGGAGCTCACGGTGTGTCTGTGGATTTGGGCTGGAGACAGGAGCTGGCCCACCCATCCCATAAAACATTGGCATTGGTTTTTAATTGTATGTTCTTGCTTTTTTATTGCAGTGGTTCCCAATTAGCTAAGTACTGCAGGCCCCCTGTATTTCAAAAGCCAAGCCACGGACCCCCTACTTTTAAAAATGTTGATATCTCTATGGTAGTTTTTGTTATGTGCATGTTGCCATGGATCCCATGGGTGGGTTACGAACCACCAACTGGGAATCACTGTTTTATTGCATTATCTTTTGAATTCTATGGAATTCTAATTGAAACACTGTCGACTCGCAACTCACGTGCATTTAACTTGTGCGATCCCAGCTTTAACTGGTTGACTCCCAAAAGGCAGGGGGGCGGCAGAGGGGGGGGGACCTTTGGCAAGCCCACCTCCCATTGCACACACCTTGGGAGAGCCATTCAGAGGTGCAGGGAGAGTCTGTAGCTGCCTTGGAAGAGAGGTGCAGGGAGAATGCTGCGCTGTACTTTTTATGGTTTTAAAATGTTGTTTTGACTATACACAATTTTGGCTTTATGCACTATCCCCCAGAATGTAACCCCCGCATAAATTGAGAGTCAACTGTACAATAAAATGCTACGTATAAGAGATTAACCTTCAACATTGCACTGTTATCCTCCATCAGTGCAACCATTTCTGGATAATCTTCCCTCTCTTCCTCCTTTCTCCAATTCTCCAGAGCAGATTTAGGGGAGGTGCAGGGGGCCTGTGGAAGGAGGAAGGAATACCCCATCCTGCTCGTGGGATCGTTTGCGTTGGCTTCCGCTAGCACACCAGGTTAATTGAATTTGGGCTAGAGGGTTGCATTCAACTAAGTCTTACTCAAAGTTGAGCCACTGAAACGAATGAACCTAAGTTAGTCATGTCCATTAACTTCAATGTGTCTGCTGTGAGTAGGACTAGTATTGAATACAACCCAAAAGAAGAAATAAAAACCATACAGCATCTAGCACAGCACATTTGCTGCAACGGGCGAAAATAATAATTTAAGTGCTGTGCCGTGACCCTCAGCAATTTCGAAGTGGTCCCTGGGGGTTGGAGTTTGGGGACATAAGATGAGCCTTCCGGATCAGACCAATGGCTCTTGTAGTCTAGCATCCTGTTTTCACAGTGGCCAAACAGATGCCTGTGGGAAGCCTGCAAGATGGACTGTTCCAGAAAATGAGCTGAGGAAGGGATGTGCCTGCCTCTTGGAACATGCTCCAAGGGGTGTAGCAAACACCTTCCTGTGTAGCCCAGAACATTCCTGACAATTTCACATCTAGCCCAGTAATTAGGCTCGTAATGTTGGTATTGCTTGCCACATCATTATCCCCAATAGTAGGTTGCAATCCCGTATTATTTTGCAGAGCAACAGTTATGACCTTCCTGAGCTTGGATATGTTTGTTAATATCTCACACGGCATTAGCTTTTTGTGCCAAATCATCTCAAAAGGTGGCTCATGCTTGTTATTCTGTACACACACACCAAGACTATCCACACAATGCTGCGTCTGCAGGTTCTCTCTTCTTTATAGATGTACATTCTTGCAATCTTTCCCGTGTTATGCTCCGTATGTATCCTATTAAATTTCTTCTTTTTTTTATAAGATATTTATTAAAGTTTAAACATTACAAAGAAAAGAAAAGAGGAACAAAAGAAAAATACAAGCAATAAACAATTACAAAACCTCAAAAACAAAAATAAATACAGTAATACAAAACATCAACAATACAAAAAAGGGAAAAAACAAAAAAACAAAAGCATTTAAAAAACCCAAAAAAGAACAAACAAAAATAAAAAGAACCCCGTATTTTCATATCCTTATCTTTCATTTGCTTATTTCCTCGACTTCCTCACACCTCCTTTTTTGTATTCTAGTTCAATTAATTATTCCAGCAAGTCCTTTCCCTCTTTCTCAAATTTAGTTCCATAATTTATCTTAACACAATTTAGCCTTAAATTTACACCTTTACCCAATGTCAATCTATTCATACTTAATTCTTTATAATATTTCTACTAAAGTCATATAGCTTCTTTCCAGCATCCTTCTAACAGTATCCTATTAAATTTCATCAGTTTGTGTTCTCGGCACAGATCTGCCGTGTATCGAGAGCAAAAAGAAAGTTTGTCCTCTCCTCCATGGGGCTTTTAGCCCCCTCCAGTTCTATACTCAATTAAAAGAAAACGTTTCATAGCCTTCTCTGTTTAATGCTGAGTTATTATTTCCCGAGACAGCTTTCCACTCAAATTGTGAGGCTCCCTGCTTTGTATTAACTGTTCCTCAACTTGGTTGCGTGCACAGTTTTTGGATGACACATTTAGAAAATATTTGGAAGGCCAAAACAAAGCTAAGATGGAGAATGCAAGATTTTGTGCAGAGATAAAAACAGAGGAAATGTGTCTGTTCGGAGTGGGAGATTGAGGAGAGACATGGGAAGTATTGAAATGTCCCCCTTTTAAAACACTGTTAATAAAAACGCGTTTCCTTTAGAAGGGAGGTATAGGGGTGTTTGTCGGCAGATATGCACCTGCTGGCTTTGTTTTGGGGTGCCTCATGGATCCTGCATCTGGTAAAGGAGCAGAACTTGAAGAAGACACTCAAGAATCCATGCCACAATTAGGAAGAGAACCCCGATGAACTGAACTTTTCTCAGAGGAGCCCCTGCCTTGCTGTAGCTCATCCTTTGCCAGCCTTGCAACTCACCAGACTCCAGCTCCCTGGCTTATTCTCTGGCTAATTCCCCGTGCTATAAATACTGCCTGGGGCTCCGGTCAGGGCGGTGGCCGTGCAGGAAAAGCTCTGCCAGTGGCTACGTGACTCGTGCTAAGCTGTGAAAAGGGCGGGGCAATGGCTGGCAGAGGAAAGGGTCTGGCTAGGGTGAATCACTTGCTTTGGGACCCCCCCCCCCCCATTTGAAGCCTCCCTCTCCCTCTGCAGGTCGCAATGAACCTTTGAAGAAAGACCGTCCCAAGTGGAAGAGCGACTACCCCATGACCGATGGGCAGCTGCGGAGCAAACGGGACGAGTTCTGGGACACGGCACCGGCCTTCGAGGGCCGCAAGGAGATCTGGGATGCGCTCAAGGCTGCTGCCTATGCAGTGGAGGCGAATGACCACGGGCTAGCACAGGCCATTATTGACGGTGCTGGAGTGACCTTGCCCCACGGTATGTGATGCGGGGCGGGAAGGGGGCAAGAGAAGAAGTGGCACAGGGCTAGTTCTTTCTGCCTTATCTCTTGCCAGAGGTAGAAATCATGCCCTGTGCTGTGAGCGTAAAATGGGAAGTTCTATCCAGGCAAAAATCATAAAGATGGAATAGGCAATCGGTGCTCCTCTCCAGGTTCGTTGGACTGCAATCCCATAATCCTTGCATGGCTGTTGGCCATGTTGGCTGGGCTGATAGGAGCTGGGAGCTGCAGGGCCAGAGATTCTCCCATCCCTGTCTTTAGGGCCTGAAATCCCTGTTTGAACCCCTTGCCTGCCTGCCACAGTACAAGCACACATGTGCACATGCAAGCCCAAGATAGCAGCAAATGTGTGTTTCTCACCATGCATATTATGCAGGTTAGACACACACGGAAGTAATAATTGGCCATGCCTCCCTGCTACTTGTCTCCACTGTGAGAAATGTGTTTACTGCCACAAAATATATGAAGTGTCCTCAGAGCTGGTACTTCCAGGATTCTTGAGCTCCTTTTATCCCTTCTGTACACATTTGTTCCTGGAATAAGGACAACATTCTCCCAAGACCTGAACAAACTGAGACAGCTTTGCACTGTACCTGCCACTTCACCTTCAGGAGGAAAGAGGAAAAGTGCCAACTTCATCCTTGTTACCCTGTGTTAGTCTCCGTATGGATGAAGCATTTATTTGTTTATTTATTAACATTGTATCCTACTCTTCCTCCCAAAGGGGCAAACATCAAAATGTTAAAACAATACAATCTTAAAAACAGAAAAAAACATGTACAACTTTTTGAAACAATTTAAAACTGTCTAAACACATTTAAAAGCAGTCACATACCCTCACAGCTACTATTTTCAATGTTGTCATGTCCAGTACCCATCAAATGCCTGTGTAGTGGCACCTGCCCTGTGAAACACCCTCCCACCAGATGTCAAAGAGAAAAACAACTACCAGACTTTTAGAAGACATCTGAAGGCAGCCCTGTTTAGGGAAGCTTTTAATGTTTAACAGACTATTGTATTTTAATATTTTGTTGGAAGCTGCCCAGAGTGGCTGGGGTATAAATAATAAATTATTATTATTATTATTATTATTATTATTATTATTTATTAAACAGGGAAGTTTTAAATTTCTCCTGAAAGCCAATAATGAGGGAGACAGATTCACTTAATCCTGGAGGGGCGTTCTACAAATGGGGAGCCACGAACAAGAAGGCCCTGCCATGGGTCAAAATACCAACTGGGCAGCAGCCAGAGTTAGTATGACTTACAGGGCCTCACCTGCCAATCATAGGGCCTGGGGTGCTTAATGTTGCGGGAGATGCGCCTTTAAATACTTGTTTCCCAAGCCATTTAGGGCTTTGTACACCAGCACTCACATCTTGAATTGGGCTCAGTAACTTGCTGGCAGCTCACTGGCAGCTGGGGTGTGATAGGTGGCTGGGCAAGGTTGTTTGGTTAGAGAGTTGGACTAGGACCTGGGAGACTAGGGTTCAAATCCCCGCTTGACCATGAACTCACTGAGTGAGCTTGGGCCAGTCACTTCTCTCAGCCTAGCCTACCTCACAGGGTTGCTGTGCAGATTGAATGAGGAGGTGGAGAACCATGTACACCACCTTGAGCTCCTTGGAGAGGAAAAAAAGGAAATATAAATAAATTAAATAAGGAGAGGAAATGGAAAGCTTACATTTAGTTTGGTTAAGAACCGAGGGGAAGAGACTGGGTTCCGTTCCCCCCTGTAAGCCTCTCACGCCCCCTGCTGGCGCTTTCTTTCTCCTGCAGGCTCCCTCACCGAGTGCTATGACGAACTGGGTAACCGCTACCAGCTTCCAGTCTACTGCCTGGCCCCCCCTGTCAACCTGATCATGGAGCGGAGCGAGGAGGAGGGCGTGGAGCCCCCCGAGCCAACGCCCAACACCCGGCGCGAATTCCCCCTCAAAGTCCGCCTCTCCACGGGCAAGGACCTGCGCCTGAGCGCCAGCATGACAGACACTATCGGGCAGCTGAAGAAGCAGCTGTACGCCCAGGAAGGACTGGAGCCCACCTGGCAGCGCTGGTTTTTCTCGGGCAAGCTCCTGACGGACAGGAGCCGCCTGCAGGAGACCAAGATCCAGAAGGACTTTGTCATCCAAGTCATCATCAACCAGCCGCCTGCACCGAGGAACTGAGCTGGAGGCGGGTGGTGCGGCGCCTGGCCTTCAACCCAGGGACTGAGATTGCAGGAGGCTGCTCTTGCGCCTGGAGGGGGGCCAGCAGGTGGCGCCCTCGGAACCAGAGCCAGAAGGTTCCCCAGCGGCCCCTGAGAAATTGCACAAACTCACTCACTGCAAGAGGCAGCAGACTGCGTTGACAGCGCAGATGGGCAACATTGAAAGTGGTTTATCCCCGTGGTTTGTCTCTCGGGGCCCTTTGGGGCCAATTTTTTTAAACTTCCCGGAACCACAAGGATCGGACCTCCCCCCTCTTCCCAAATTATCCAGGCTCTGGGCTCGGCTGGCACCGAAACACATGCCTCCCCCCCCCCCTTGCTCAGCTCCAGTCCGGGCTGAGCTGCCTGCGCTTGAGCCTATATGACGGATTGTGGACGCTGTCTCCTGGGCACAGCTCTTGTCGTTTGGGCACTGAGAAGCTGGAGACCAAAGCGTCCCTGACACGAGGGACCAGGCTGGGCCTAGGGCTGCACTACGTGGGTCAGAAGACCCTGCCGGTTCTGGCTCCCCATTTCCAGGCCACTGAATGAGACCTTGAGTAATGCTGCGGTTGGCCCTCTTTGCACAATTTCATGGGATGAGCCCAGCGAGGCAGCTGCTGCTCATCCTGGTTTTATGGGCAGCCCCTCAACCAGATAAGGTGCGATACGGGGGAAGATGGTTTGTATGTATAGGTATCAGTGTAATTTATCAATAAAGCCTTTTCCAACTAGCCTGGAGCCTGATTTCAGCCGGGAACTTGCTTTGGGTGCCTTCGCTTTCTGCAAGCGTCAAACGACTTAAAGAACCGGCCTTATGAACTTGGTAAGCTGGATTTGCTTTTGAAGGAAGAGGTTGTCAGACTGACCTTTGCAATGCAATGCCTGAGCATCTCCAGAAGGGCAATGGGCAATTTGCATGAGGCAAACCAGGTAGGAAAGGCTGTCGCTCAGTGGTAGAGCAATTGCCTTCATGCGGAAGGTCCCAGGATTAACCCCAAGTGGGGCTGGGAGGGATTACTCCCTGAAGCCGTGGAGAGCCTGTCAGTGTAGACAAGGCTAAGTGAAGTAGACCAATGGTCTGTCTCAGTATAAGGCACCTTCCTGTCTCCCTAGGAACCTGAAACTCAAGTGAAATCCAAATTTTAATGTGGAACTAGAAGTTGCCTGGAGTAATGTGGCTGTTAACCAGAAGGTTGGTGGTTCAAGCCCACCCAGGGATAGCTGTGGACAGGATTCCTGCATTGCAGGGAGGGGGATGGACTAGATGGCCCTCAGGGTCCCTTCCAACTTACAATTATGTGATTCTGTGAACTACATAGTGGCCACTATAACAAAAATGGGGGGCTGATGCAACATGTGGTGAACCCTCTGCAGATGAGAGGAATGGCTGCCTATTTCCTCCTGTACTTCTCCGTTCCAGGCCTTTTTCTTTCCTTCTTACCTTCAGCCGGTCTTGTTTCCCTTTTCACAGCCTGGCTGGAAAGGGGAGAAATACACACTGCCTGCACAGAGGCATTTGCACAGAAAAGGACCAGGGAGCGAAGTTTGTGCACCACTTGTGCCCTTAGCAAGGGGAGGGAAATGTGGGTTGGGAGCCCCTAGGCTCCCCTTGTAAGATCTAGCTTGGCCTTCTGATCCAAGCTCTCTGGCCACATCTAGTCAAGAGGTTTTTGAGACAACACACCAGACGAATACGTTGAAAAATGGTACCACTAACACGTCTTAAGCTTATCTTATTGCTACAGTGGTCTTTCTGTTTTTAAAAAGGATGCACACTCTCTGTGTGCAAGTGCTAATTGCCCACCTGCAAAGCACAAAGGAGAGAGGGGAGGGCAAGGGAAATGAAAAAAGCAGAACCCGTGTGGAAGATCCACTTGGACAATCTCTGCTTGATGGAAGTTCAAGCATGGACAGAAGTGCTCAGCAGTTCACATGACATGTGTACAGCACTGCTTCTGAACATTTACACATGTAGTCTTCTGCATTACTATTTAATACTATTATTACTATAATCTGTAGATCTCAGGACAATTTACATCATCAAAATCTTCATTATTATTATTTGTATACTGCCCTATACCTGCAGGTCTCAGGGCGGTTCACAACATAAATATAAAGAATACAGAATGCATAATAAAAATAGGAACAACAATGAATCCCAAATCCCCCCTGTTATTCAAAGGCAAAGGTAGTGATGGCCACCAACGTGAATGACTTTGGAAGAGGATTAGACAAATTCGTAGAGGATGAGACCATTATAGCCACTAGCCCTGGCGGCTTTGTTCTCCCTTCACTGCCAGAGAAAGCATGCCTCAATACCAGTACTTACCAGTTTCTCCAAAGCAGCATACAAGATTTTGTGTGAACCAGCATCCACATCTAGTTATTAAGCGACCATCAGTTCCCATCAGATTCATACATTGGTTTTGTTCCGTGGCACTCGTACAGCTGCCATTCTTTAAAAACAACATGTGACTTAAATAATATGCATACTTGCTCTCCTTATAGGTTGGTTTGGGGTCAGGACTGTCTAGTGCAGGGGTCTGCAACCTTTAAGACAAAAAGAGCCACTTGGACCCGTTTCCGAAGAAAAAAAAACTGGGAGCCGCAAAACCATTGCGACATTTAAAGCATGCGCGCCGCTGCCCTCCGATCTGACAGCGGGCGGGAAGGTGACGTCGGGACGGTGTGTGACTAACGCACGCACCGCCCCCATGCGACGTCACAGCCAGTACAGCGCCCGCCACAGTGGAGAGTGTTGGGGCACACAATGCGCCTCCTCCCCTCGCTAGTATCCACCCCGGAGCCGCGGCAAAGGTGTAAAAGAGCCACATGCGGCTCCGGAGCCGCGGGTTGCAGACCCCTGGTCTAGTGAAACAGGGCTGGTGACAAAAAGAGCACCCACGGATTTGTAAGATGGGCCAGGATATATTTGGACAGGTCCTCCTCCCCGCTGCTTGACTGCTGTGGCTCATCCTGGCCTCTTATCACCTCGGAAGCTGCCTTGCAGGCTTGGAAGGCGTCCCACGTCATTAATTCTCAGACTGGTTATTGGGAAATGGGATGTTATCTCCATCCTGTTGTGCAGAAGAGCACCCTGGAGCTCAGGAACGACTTAAGTAGCACTGCTGTCACGGTACAATTGGGGGCTATGAGACTGAGAGAGATAGACTGATGTGTCTGTTGCCATAAATAACTTCCAGCTCATCCCTTCCTGGTGTCCTCTCACCTGCCCCCACCCTCCCCAGTTCACCCGATGTTATTCATCCTGTTCCACCACACTTTCTGTTCCAGGCTTTGTGCCTATGTTAGCTGCTTGGCAGGTTGGTAAGTTGTTTCCTGGCAGAGACTAGTGGCTTGGGCTAGTGCCCTCGTGAGCCGGCCCCTCTGGAGATTTTGGCACCCACAGCAGAGGGCAAAAATGCCCTTTGGGTATCATGTGTCTCATCACAGAGGCAGGAGTTCTATGCTGGGGGAGCAGCAGCCACTAAGGCTAGTGATGGAAGCCTTTTAGAAGAAGGTTGGTTGGTTGACTTAGTTGATTTACCTGCTGCCTTCACACAATGAGCTGTGCACAAAGTGACTTACAAGTTACAACAAACGTTCACTTATCAAAATACAAAGCACTGGGGTGGGAGTGGGGAGAAAGGCCAGTTTACAATATGTATTGATAAATTCAGATACCTCTATTCCCAGGTAGCACTTTAAAAAAGGAGTGGTCCTTGATTCCAGAAGCTCATAGTCATCGCAGGATGGAAACCCCTAATTTTCACACTGGAATATTGATCATTTATTACATTTATATACCTTTATCTTCCAGGGATTTCAAGGGGGTGTACATGGTTCTCATCCTCACAATAACCCTGTGAGGTAGGTTAGGCTAAGAGATGGTGACTGGCCCAGGTTCACCCAGTGAGCTTCATGGCTGAGCAGGGATTTGAACCCTGTTCTCCTAAGTCCCAGTCCAACACTCTAACCATTACGCCACACTGAACCAAAGGTGGTGGACTCGCCTCTGCTAGAAGTTTTAAAGCAGTGGCTGGATTTTCAGGGATGTTGCTGGAGTGGTTTTCCTGCATTGACAGGTGGCTGAACTAGAGGAACTTTGGAGATCCCTCCCAACCTGAAGGTTTTATTACGGCCATATTTCAGATGCTACAGCTTTTGAAATTATGATCGGCAGCTCTGTGCAGGGACCACCACTTTTGGAAACTCCATGTGTATGTGGAGTTTCTGGGATGCATGTGCGCATGACAATACAAATCTCCCAGGAGTGACTCATAGGACAACTCGGGAAGCTTGAGCTGGGCAGAGAGCCACAATCCCTGTCCCCAATGTATCCAGGAGAAGGACATCAGCCTATATGGAATGGACAAATCTTCCCCGGGAGTCAAGCGGGAAACTCAGTGCTCACCTCCCGATTGGGAGGGGGTGTCTGGCTACTAATGGGTCGTTTTTAGGAAGGTGAGCTGTGTGCAGTTGGAAAAGGAGAGGTTGCGACAAGCTGAGCTCACGGCAAAGGCCTTTGGGGTGGGGAATGTGAACAGGGTCACTTGGGCAGGACACACATCAGGTCTTTTAAGTCAGCGGCTGTGAGCGGACAGGAGCAGGTCCACAGAGTCCTGCATAAAGCTTGGGAAGAGAGCAGAACCAGGATCAGGGGAAGTGTTGGGGAGGACTCACAACTCCAGGATAATGGCAGAGAAGACGGCTGTGGACCAGGGGGTGAAATGGGCAACAGACCTGATTGAACAGAAGCTGGCACTGGAGGAGGAGGAAGAACAGGTGAGTCTTGGGGATGCATTCCTGGGACTCAGGAGGCAGACCCAGTGGCTGTACTGGATGGGGCCTGGATATCCATGGGAGGGAGACTTGACCCACGGAGAAGGATCTCATGTTCTTGCCAACCACAGGAGATGGGACAGCTTTACTATGAAGTGGTGTGAAATGGTTGTTTCGAAGCAGCCGATTTATTTCCTGTAACCTCCTTTCCATGTAATTAGCAACTAATATATTGGAAAGGGGGTCACCATTTTGACTGTTCGAGTAAGGGATGTTTAAGGCTGGCGCTGCTATCTCTGCCCCAAACGAAAATGTAATAGAAAAAAGAAGGTCACGGAACTGAGAAATTGTACAAAACAAATGAAATACCATGAAAATCCCTGAAACGAGAAGTAATTGACTATAAATATTATCTTGTGGAAATCAACTAAATAATAAAAAAAATCAAAAAGCTTAAGGAAAAAAATTAGAAAAACCTAAAATAGAACAAAGCCTTAACGGGATGCCGGCTACAAACCTCGTTTCACTGAACTATTCAGTTTCCTCAGAAGGAAATAGAAAAATCATAAACTTTAAATGACCAAAATTCAAACAAGGGTAGAACCCCAACAATTCTGACGTATTTATAATTCCTAGCTCGACCTAGGTAAAATAAAGCGCAGTAATAAAGGATTGAGGACTCAAAAGTACAGTTTCTAATACTGAATTTACAAAAAAGGTTTGAAAACCTAAATAGCAAGTTTTAAACAAAGCTCACTTGAAGAGTGGCTTATTTATTTGGTTGCATTTATTTCATGTGCTTTAGACAGTTTGTTGTAGGCAGCCTAGTAATTATGCAGTGCTTATTCTGGGCAGCTTCAGAGAGATGCCCCACCAGAGACCATGGGGAGAAGAAGAGGGAAATAAGGATAACAATGATAAACTACCTCTAGAGACTGCGATCTACTCCCACTGTAAAAAAACTGGCAGTGATCTACCCATTCGATTTACCAAAGTTGTTGAGCTTTTTTTTAGGGAGCAAAGTTGTTGAAGCCAAAGTTGTTGAACTGTGTGTGTTTTTTGGGGGGGGAGATCATGTGATCAACCGCAATCAACCACGCCCCCCCCGCGATCGACCAGTAAATCGCGATCGACCTGTTGGACATCCCTGCTCTAGGGCCTCAAAAGAGACTGATGTGGAGAGACCATTTTGAGGCTGACAGCAATTTTCAGGAAAAGGGTCTCTCATGAAAACCAGTCTGCTTATCACTGTGATCATAGAATACATCTAATTTTTAAAAATGCGTGGAAAGAGAAGCCACAGCTCACTACACGGTCAAAAGAAAAGAGGTTCGGGATGCTGCAATGCTTTTCCTGTCTCCTGTTTGCTTCACCCAGAAACACCGTTCCTGCCCCCCCGCAGAACCGCCAGTCGTGGGCCGGCTAGATACTCCACTTCTGGAGGATGAGAAGAAGCACGGGCCTCTCAACAAAGGTCTTGAGGGGCTTAAGGTGAGAGAGGCTGCAGCCCTCAGAGAGGCTCCTGTATCCTACTCTGTTGGACACAAAGCTTTATAATGTATGAATTTATAATACTCCTGGGGGTATCATCCAGGATCTCTCAATCCAGTAGTCACAAGGATCCAGTGGAAGCGTCTTAAGTTGTCTTTCCTGGCATTATAAGCCATGCCATGTTAACGGCCTTTCCAGTGTAGTGTAATGGTTAGAGTAAAGCAGCAAGGTTGGGTGAGGCCTGGGTTCAAATCCCCGCTTAGCTCACTGAGTGACTCTTTGGCCAGTCACTCACTCTGAGCCTAATCTGCCTCCTCGCAGGGCTCTTGTGAGGATAAGGTGGAAAGGAAAGAGACAGCCTAAGCTCCTTGGGGGAAAGGTGGAATAAAACAATACTAACAGATATTACACAGTCAGGAAAGACCAATTACGGAGTATGCCTGCTTATGGTTTCTCTTCCTTTCCCTGGGCGTACATTCCAGATGAATTCCCAAGTGCCTTTTCTGCCCTCTAGTGGCTAAATACTTCCACCGTTCCCTAATATTGGTGTGATATCAGTGTCCCCCCCCCAAAAGACAATATTTAGGGATAGTCTCATTTTCCTACTCATATTGAAATACTGCCTCTCAATGAGGCCAAAGTTAGAGTCACAAAATGTTTAGGGGTATGTGTACCCCTGTGTCCCCCCCAGAAAAAAAGCACTGATAATAATAGCCTTCCCAGGTACAATGCCCCTATCCTGACTCTAGCCAGTGCTGGCCCATCTGTGAGGTAAAAGCCGGTGACCGCCTTGGGAAGCAGGATCTACAAGGGTGGCAGATCCAGCCTCTAATGGGTTATCTAGATCAGTACAGTCTACACCAGGCATAGGCGAACTCGCCCTCCAGATGTTTTGGGACAACAACTCCCATCATCCCTGACCACTGGTCCTGTTAGCTAGGGATAATGGGAGTTGTAGTCCCAAAACATCTGGAGGGCTGAGTTTAACTATGCCTGGTCTACACTGACTGGCAGAGGCTCACCAGGATTTCAGAGAGGATGAATCTCTCCCAGCCCTACCTAGAGAGGCCAGGCATTGAACTGGGGCTTTCTGGGTGCAAAGCAAAACACCCTTCCACCCAGCTATGGTCCTTCCATAAATCTCTGTATCAGTAGGACTTGGGTTCCTTCAAGCTCAAGTCGGACCACCAGCCATATATTGCAGCCTGCCCACCAAGTGCTTGACAGCCCCCCTCCTTGATTTCTGCCGTTCCCTGACAGGCAGCCAAGCCAGGAGATTTACAGAGCCCCGGTGGGCTGTCATTCAAGATCGATGGACGGCCAGCATGCAGCTTGGCAGGCCACAAGCTACGCTGAGTGTGTTTTTTCAGTGCAGTACTAAAAATAAACCCAACACGGTAATATAGTAAAACAGTACATAAAAGTAACGTCGTTTTATCTAGCACCAGAGCAGGAAAGTTAATGTTCTGATAGCTACATAGGAAGTTCTGGGCGACATGTGCTGTTATTAGGTACAAATTCTGCACACACCACCAGCAAGGCCCACATGGTAAGAGAAAAGTCGTGGATATTCCTTTTATAATCTCCATTTCCTGCAGGAAGTTTCATTTCATAATGAGACAGCTGGGACTCTAGTTGGCCTGGGAACCCAGTTCTCTCATGCCTTTGGGGGACAAAAGAAACACACTCTGCATATGCTCAGATATGCTCCTGCATGCTCTAGGGCTGAGCTCTCTTTTTAAAAAGGGCTGAACCCATTGGCTCCATTGCAGAATGCTGCTGTTCCCAGACTCTGCTGAACTCTGCTCCACTGTCCTCAGCCTAGCAGGATATCTTGCTTGGAATCTGGAACAGTCCAACCACCTCCCCCCACCCCCACCCCCTTCGAGGATCTTTCAGGCAAGCATTCAAAGGAAGTTGCTCTCTTGGCGAGTGAAAGGGGAGAAGCCAACATGAGTCAGCAGGACTTTACGTTGCTCATCACACTGCCAATTTTAAATGTGAGGACTGGAGTAAACAAAGACAAAAATAATCCATTTGATCAGCAAGCCCTTGGTTACAATTAGCTGGCCGAGCCCGGCCCTGCCATTAGGCAAAGGGAGCATTGTTGCCTTGGACAGGAAGCAGTGGAAGGCAGAGCTGTGTTGATGACATTGCCTACCCTGCACCTCCTAAGCTCCTTGGCTGTGTTGGGAGCAAGATCAAACTTCCCATCCACTTAGCAGCTGCACATGGAAAGAGGGGCACCATCTCATCCTTCGCCTCTGGGCAGGGCCTCTTGGGCCAGCCCTAACAGGAAAGCAAAAGAAAGGGGTGGGGGAGAGTGGATTTGCTGCTAAGGGGGGAAATAAAAGCAGGGATTTAGTCCTAAGCAAGAGTTTTTCTGTATAAATCTCTCTCCTCCCACAGGGCCAGGAAAGGGTGCGGAAGAGCTCTGTGGACCTGAGACGAGAGATCATCCAAGTTGGAGGCACACAATACCTCTTCGAGCTGCGCAAAAAGCCTAAGAAGAAAAAAGAGGAGAAGAAACCAGAGCCTGAGCCAGAGGAGATTGTAAGGGGTGGTGGGAGCTTCTATAAGTGGGAGGGGGGAAAGGGGCTACGGAGGCGGCAGCAGGGAGAGCCTGAGATTCACCCAGGAGCAGCAGAAGCAAGATGGCATAGCTCCAGTACAAGGGAGTTGCCTTATACTGAGTGGGCTTCTTGGTCCACCTAGTTCAGTATCACGCACTCTGACTGGCAGCATCCTCCCCAAGTTTCAGACAGGGGGACGTTCCTGGTCCTGCTTGGAGATACCAGGGGCTCAACAGCTCTTCCCCCAGGGAGGAGTCCTCGGGCAAGGTCCCATGAGTGGGGCCCACTTTGCTGTCGCCGTTGTTGCCTCTGCCCACTTGATTGCCCTCTCCCTTTGGCTACCATCTATCCAGCTGTCTGGAGGGAGAGGGCAGAGTGTGGTGGGCCTCCTGCTCTCTCCTCCTTGCTCTTATCCCTGCTCATTGCGTACTGGCAGCGTCAGTAAGGAGGAAGAGCAACAACAGCCAGAGCCCAGGGGCTTCAGCGGTCGCGGGTTGTTAGTACTGAGATGAATAGGATCCAAAATGCAGCAGTCTGATTGGTCCTAGAACAATAGGATTCAGAATGCAGCAGTCTGATTGGTCCGCAGGAGCCACCCAATCCAGCTCCAGGTGGAAATGAATCCACAACCTGATTGGCTTACAGGAGAATCCCGGAATTAGCCAATCACGTGGGGCCCATTGTGTAAACAATGTATCTAAAGCAAACAGTTTGGGGGATCTTCCATTCCTCTCTACTATGAGCTGAATAAAGAGTATGAAATCCACACTCGACTCCCGAGTATATTTCATGGGTGGTGGAGGAAACCCTGCTGGGGGGTGGGCAGGTGCCCAAGGACCCTGATCTCCAACACTCACCCTGCAGAGAGCTAATCGTGCTTCCGGGGCCCTCTCAAAATGCATACCCCATCCCATGTGCGTGGGGGATCAGGAATGGCTTTGCCCCTGCTCCTTTTTCCAGAAAAGCCTTTGTGATGAAATTTTATTCATTTTTATGATTCGTTTCCTACAATTTATATGCCGCTTGATTGTTTTTTTAAAAAAGAAGCTTCTAAAGTGGTCCAAGCCCCTCGCCGTGGGCTTTCAGAGCTTTTGCAACACCCATTGCAGCGTCGACCCTTTCCCCTGCAGACGGGCCCTGTGACGGAAGAGGACTTCTTGAAAGCAGCTGTGCAAGGCAAGGTGCATGTGGTGGACAAGTTCCTGGCAGACGGGGGATCCCCAAACGCCTGTGATGAGGTACGACGCAGGGAGCAGAGCTTGTTCTTTTCATGAAATGCCTTCAAATGCCATCACCCTGTTCGGAGAACCAACCATCTCCACCCTTGGGATAAGGCTCACAGCAGAGCATTGGTGTGTGTGTGGCTTCTGCAAGCAATTCAGGATAATAATAATAATATTATAATAATTTATTATTTATACCCCGCCCATCTCGCTGGGTTTCCCCAGCTACTCTGGGCGGCTTCCAACGGAATATTAAAAACAATACAGCGTCAGACATTAAAAACTTCCCTAAACAGGGCCGCCTTCAGTTGTCTTTTAAAAGTAAAATAGTTGTTTATTGCCTTGACATCTGCTGGGAGGGCATTCCACAGGGCAGGTGCCGCTACCGAGAAGGCCCTCTGCCTGGTTCCCTGTAACCTCACTTCTCGCAGTGAGGGAACCACCAGAAGGCCTTCAGCACTGGACCTCAGTGTCCGGGCTGAATGATGGGGGAGGAGACACTCCTTCGGGTATACAGGACCGAGGCCGTTTAGGGCTTTAAAGGTCAGCACCAACACTACTCAATCACTATGTCATGTGAAGAAGCCCTAATTCTGTCCTTCACTTAGTTCCGCAGGACAGCATTGCACCGTGCCTCACTTGAGGGGTACGTGGAGATTGCAGAGAAGCTTTTGGCCCATGGAGCCACTGTCGACTTCAGAGATCGAGTAAGATAACCCTTCATTGCATCATTCTGTATCTATGCCCGCTCATTCCCCACCACCACTACCCTGCTATCTCCATCTATGCCCATATATGCTTCTTCTAAGCTACTACTATCAGTTTTCTCTCTCTGGTACAGGGGTAGCATTTACTGGGTGCTCCAGGTAAAAAAAAAAAAAGACTGGCATTGTGTTGCGTTCTGAAAGCAAAGGAAGGACTGGACCTTGAGTAATACAATAGACACGAGGCTTGACCAGCAAGACCCTGGGAGAAAGTGCGCATCCCACTGCCTGGCCCAGGTCATTTTTAGTCACAAAAGAACTTTAACACAGCATTTGTAAGAACCAATCAGATTTCCTCTGAGCATTTCAAAAAATCCCTACGTGGGGACAAATTCAGATCAGAGGAAGCCTCTTAACTACAAAGAACTATTTACTATATGAGCATGCATACATGTTTAGGCTAAATAAACAGGAACCAAGGAGGAATGCATTTAGCAAACCTCAGAAGTAATAACCCACAGTAAAAGGAAATGCAGGCATTTTACCACCTCCATGTGAATTCTGTTCCTGGCCCTATGATCTACCTAAAGATTAACAAAAGCTACATCAAAGCTACCTCCTTCAAAGCTGCCTCCTTATTTTTATGTGCCCAGGATGCCTGGTAAGCAACTGGTCTGTGCAGAATGCTTTACACGTGACTGTCAGGCATAGAGAAAATGGGGCAGAGATGCAGAGGCTTGTGGGATTGATCAGAAATCATGTTGATGACCCAAACCCAGTCAAAGCGATGCTTTCGCCGCTGACACAATGGCTTGCTTCATTTTTCATAATTCCTCATAGCAATCCTACATGACCACTACAGCTTTGTTATTTTAAGTAATGCTAGGAGATGGAGTTGCATGAATCTCAAAAGGGTTTGGGGCAGGGAAGGAAGGGGGTGAACACAGGTGCAGGAGGGAGAGGTTCTCCTCTTCTGATGGATGTGTACTGCTTGCCAACAGCTGGACTCCACAGCCATGCACTGGGCCTGCCGAGGAGGACATCTGGACGTGGTGAAGCTGCTGCAGGAGAAAGGATCCAATCTCAATGTCAAGGACAAGGTGAGGAAAGTGGGGAGTCCAGGATTTGGTTCATGGTGGGAAAACAGCACTGTGGGAGGAACTCGGCAAGCAGACAATGGTGGGGGAAGGAGATTGCGCAGGAGGAGTGGAAAGAAGGAGGTTTTAAGGGACTGTGGGATCTTGCAGCTATTCTGGGTTAACAGGAAGGTGGTTCTGTTCTGGAGCAATGCAAGGTCCTTCCAATAAGAACATGATGAAGCACAGGATGGAAGCAGGGGCACTAACATGAAATCATGTTTCCCCTTTCTCGCTCCTGTCTTCACCACCTGCCCAAATCCAGCTTCTCAGCACTCCTCTGCATGTGGCCACCCGTACTGGCATGGCGGAGATTGTGGAGCACCTGATAAACAATGGGGTGGATGTCAATTCCCGTGACCGGGTAAGAGGCACGTTGTGTGGTTGCTTATTGCAGTGCACCCTGCTCATTTAATTCCAGAAACTTAATGTGAGTCTAGGCAGTAGACTCACATCTAATTCCAGAAACTTAATGTGAGTCTAGGCAGTAATTGTACACACGCACAGGGTTGTGTAGGAATCACACCAATCCGTGGAAGGGCAGGTTATAAATATAATACACAATACATGGATATACAAAGTCCTTTCTATAGGGAGGTGCGTGCATGCACACAAAACAAGAAAAGGTAAAAGGGAAAGATCAAGTTTTAAAAGGTGGTATATTAACTTAATAATGTCAATAATATCCCCTTCCTTACTGCCTTCAGTTCCTGAGTCCTAGTCCTTGTTTCTCTTCTTTTCATCGAAAGCTGAGCTGCCCTGTATACCAGCAGCTCTATACCTCTCTAGTAATTTTTAGCTAGGGATGCACAAACCGAGAGATCATCCATGGATATTCCCTAATCCCCAGAGTTAGTACCTTCCATCCATTAGAATGGGGAAATTGCAGCCTACTCTGTCGATGGCACGCAGAAAGGCTTTACGTTCAGCTGGCTTAAGTCTTTTGTGGTACAGTATTTGCCATGCTCTTCTCTCATTAGCTCACCAACTGATCTCTGTCCACAAAGCTATCTATACTCAGTGCACCCAGACTCTCGTTTCGAAACACTTGATCGATCTGAACTGGAAGAGCAGGCGGGTAAACTAACACTTTCTGCTAGTCTTATGAGCAGTGAGCATAAGTGTTCTGGTGGCTGCCTGTCCTTGCCTTACACATAATGGTGCTGCCATGTCTGTTGCAGGAGGGAGACAGTGCCCTGCACGATGCTGTGCGCCTCAATCGCTACAAGATCATTAAGATGCTGATTCTGCATGGGGCAGACATGATGGCCAAAAACCTGGTGAGTGTTTCCCCCTTGTGGCTTATGCATGGAATAACAATGCAAAGTACTAGATTCAGGTAGGCAGCCGTGTTGGACTGATATAGTCAAAGGAAATAAAAAAATTAAAAAATTGTCCAGTGGCACCTTAGAGACCAACTAAGTTTGTTCTGATCTCTAAGGTGCTACTGGACAATTTTTTAATTTTTTTTTAATTTAATGCAAAGTACATCTGCTTCTTAAGGGACATGGGTGGAGCTGTGGGTTAAACCACAGAGCTTAGGGCTTGCCAATCAGAAGGTCAGCGGTTCGAATCCCCGCGACGGGGTGAGCTCCCGTTGTTCAGTCCCTGCTCCTGCCAACCTAGCAGTTCGAAAGCACGTCAAAGTGCAAGTAGATAAATAGGTATCGCTCCGGCGGGAAGGTAAACAGCGTTTCCGTGCTCTGCTCTGGTTCACCAGAAGCAGCTTAGTCATGCTGGCCACATGACCCGGAAGCTGTACGCCGGCTCCCTCAGCCAATAAAGCGAGATGAGCGCCGCAACCCCAGAGTCGGCCACGACTGGACCTAATGGTCAGGGGTCCCTTTACCTTTACATCTGCTTCCCAATATGTCCTTTTGATTCATCATGGTTTGTGTCCTGGCATAGGCAAACTCAGCCCTCCAGATGTTCTGGGACTACAACTCCCACCATCCCTAGCTAACAGGACCAGTGGTCAGGGATGATGGGAGTTGTAGTCCCAAAACATCTGGAGGGCCAAGTTTGCCTATGCCTGGTTTGTGCTCTTTGATGTCACTTTCAATTCTGCTTTTGCCTGCAGAAGTTTTGGGACAGTCATATGGCTTTGTTTCCAGTTGGTGCATGTCTCATGGTCTCCTGCCATACCCCAGATGCTCTTGGTTTAGGGCTTCCCCCTGCTTTCGTTGTGCTATAGTGCAAGGGTGCCCTCCCAGTGGCAATGTGATATCATTGTGGAAGCATGGCAGAACAACTACAGTAATAAAGTGGAATGATGTGGATGCTTCAGAATAAATCCACCACTAAGGCACTATTATTGTATCAATGACATGTTTCAGACTACATTTGCAAAAAAATTAAAATAAAATAAAAATCTGTCTGGAGGAGACCCCAGAAGCATGCTTTCTTAATTTCAGGTGCTGCCTGTGTCAGTTTTTTTGCAGTCTGTTGGTTAGAAGCTGCAGTTTTGTAACCCAAGGATGCTGGTCTTTCCACAGGCTGGGAAGACACCCACCGACCTGGTGCAGCTGTGGCAGGCAGACACGCGGGAAGTGCTGGAGAAGCGAGAGCCCGAGGCAACAGAGTTGCCAGCATGAGCAAACGGACAAAAGATGGAAGTCCAAGCAAGGACGGTTCTGGACTTGGGAGAGGCTGTGCCATTAACACTCAATAAAGAACCAAGCAAACGAAAAACCCGTGGGAGTCTGATGTCCTCTTTGGGTTGCTGTGAAACAGGAGGTGACTAACTTGTGGCTCTGCACATACTGTGGGGCTCCAAGGCCCATCAACCCCAGACAGCATAACTATGGGAAGTGGAGTTCAACAACTTCTGGAGGGATGTAGGTGACCCACTCCTTTAGAAGTGCATAATGGGCAGAAATTCAGCAAGTCATTGCTCCTATCAGCCTCATGTGTGACATTTTTGCCAGCCCCACAGCTGTTACAGGAGCAGGGACTTTCTTAGGTAAACAAGTGCTAATTTTATATCCACTAGGTCCAACTGAGCTGAGCTATTCACAATGCCTGTTTGATCCAGCTCCATATTATTCAGATAGGTGCACGATGGCAATTTTGCCCATGAGATGCTACAGTCCAAAACTGTTTGCACTCTGTTGCATGGGGGTGGGCATATGTGGAAGTCAAGATTCAAAGCATCTCCTAGGGATTCTAATGTAACAGTGCATCTTTCCTCAAGTAGTGGGAAAGGCTCGGAGCCTGAGCAGCAGCAAAAATCTCAGCGTGGGCCTGATCTGAGCTGCTATGATTGAATGACTGGAGATGAAAACTGGCTGCAAATCAAAAGCTATTCCAGCAAGGAAGGAATGGTGAAAGAATCAATGGAGGCCCAGCAGGCTCATATAACCATCTGCATGCAGATCTTTGCAGAGTCTTTCATTGTCTATACCCAGAACCTCCATCCTGTGTATCTACTCACTAACTACAGTAGCTGGCAATAATATATCTGCCCCAGACCCCATCTCCTCTACCTGGCACACATGCAATACAAACATGTGGCACATTAAATACCAACTTCTAGGGGATCTGGGGTGAACAGGGCAACTAATGCCAAACTGGCTCAGCAAATGGAGATAAGATCTGCTGTTCAAGGTATAGAAATTCCTGGTTCCTAATATTAGGACAGCAAACTCCTCTAAGGTATGTTCCACACACATACATAATAGATATAACACCACATTTCATAAAGCTGAAACAGCTCATTAACGACGTAGTCCTATGCATGTCTACTCAGAAGTCTTAGAGTGTATAATGAGGCTTTCTCCCTAATAAGTATTTTTAGGCTTGGAATCTAAAACGTTCAAACAGATGGATCAATTACCAAAACCAGAATTCCCAACAAACCCACAGGCCCCGCCCCCAATCCTTCACCTCTGCTAGCTGAAAGAAAAGCAGATTGGCAGGGGGGATTTGGAGCCCCTCCAAACATCCTCTTATTATGCATTTATGCTCAGGGTGGCATGGGGCAGTCATGAACAATTCCACTCTCCATACTGTCTGCACCTGCAAAGTTTGGGAACAGGGCATACGACTTGGCTTCCTATCAGGATCCAGCTGACGAAGCCGCTTCCACTCCTCTCTTCGAGTTTGATAAGGGTTTCATGGTGCGGCGAGGCCGATCTGCTTGGACTCCCACCCCACGCCGACGGGGCGGACTTCGCCAACTCTCCCCGCCCCCGATCAAGCCTTGTGCAGCTCCCACAGGGCGCAGCGCTACGCCGCGAGAGGGCCATGGTGCGGGTGGCTGTGGCTGCGCGGCTCCTGCGCCTGCAGTGGCAGAAAGGCCCTGGCCTGCGCCCCGCGGGGATTGGGGCGGGCAGCGCGCCCAGGAGGTTTGCCGCGGGGGCCTCGGCAGCAACACCCCCCCGGCGCCTCGACCTGCGGGGCATCTACCCGCCCCTGGCCACCCCGTTCACCTCGCAGGGAGAGGTAGATTACAGCCGGCTGGAGGAGAACCTGCGCCTCTACTCCGGGATTCCCTTCCGAGGTAGGGTCGCCAGGCGGGGCAGAGCACAGAGTGGAAAGGGCGGATGGTGCAGCCACTTTGTACTTTCTGGAGACGGATGTGGGTCGCAGTTTGTTCCTGTGGGGTTCCGGGGGCGTTGGCAACGCTGTTGACTACGCATCCACACCATTCACTTAAAGCGCTATGATGCCACTTGGAACAGTCATCGTTCCCCCCAAATAATCCTGAGAGCTGTCGTTGGCTAGAGGTGCAGTGAGTGACGGGCAGCGCCTCCCGTTTAGTCATTTGGGGCGAAAGGAGACATGCTGCCCTACCCCACTGGCACCGATTTTGGGCAAAGCCGTGCCAATTTCCAGCAAGATCTGGCACAAATTGTATGAGATCTCACACAATTTCAGCGAGATCTTGCCTGAAATCTGTGCAATCTCCTCCAAAGTCTGCACTGGTGTTGGTGCCACTTCACTGACAGATGGTGGTGGGACAGACCCACAAAGATGCTGCCTCGGGGCTTTCACCGCCTGAGGCAGTGACCTCACCCTACCCAATGGCTGTGCAGGTCTTCCTAAGAGTACTTAGGAGACCCCTGTTCTCCTCCCAGAGCTACTACAGTGGTACCTCGGGTTACAGACGCTTCAGGTTACAGACTCCGCTAACCCAGAAATAGTACCTCGGGTTAAGAACTTTGCTTCAGGATGAGAACAGAAATCGCGTGGCAGCAGTGAAAGGTCCCATTAGCTAAAGTGGTACCTCAGGTTAAGAATAGTTTCAGGTTAAGAACGGACCTCCAGAACAAATTATGTTCTTAACCCGAGGTACCACTGTATTTCCAGAATGGTTTAAGACAAATCCCTCTTCATGGGGGAACTCTGCAAAGTGTAGCTCTTTGAGAGGAATTGCTCTTCATACAGTGGTAAGGTAGCTAGGGATAAGGACCCCATTCTTGCAATATCCTCTCCAAACAGATTTGTGGGGGTCTTGTTGCATCCTGGAAGGCAGATTCACAGTGAACTAGGGCCACCTTCTCTATAACTCTGAAAAGAGAAACAAAAAAAATCTCAATCCCTTTAAGAGCTATCTGATACACAGAAATGCAACGTGTCTTGCTAGACCTTCTGCCCTGAAGCTGATAAAGGCAAAGAACATTTTGCAGGAAAAATGGATAAGCAAGTGGTTTCACTGTATTGTAGGCACAGTTATTCGCAGCCAGCTGGAGGGTGTGTGCGCGCTGGATGCACCTACTGTGCTGAAACGTCCTTCAGAGCTAGCACTGCTACTTCTCCAGTGGTGACAATTTAACAGAGCAAAACCAAGCCTTCCATTTACTTGTTTCATCCACCGGGACCTTTTCCAGTAAATAGGAAAGGGGTACACAGCTGAATTGTCAACTACGCTATTTCTTCAAAGACACACATGGCTGCCTGCACGAACTTTGGCCTTCGTCCGCCGCTCTGCTGGAGATGGGGGAGGAACCTGCATTTTTTGCGTATTTTTCCTTCCCCTCCCCCCAATGATGCTATCCTAGTCTTCACTAGCAGAGGACAACTTTGCATGGATACCCTACCAGTAACCTGCTGCCATACGTCCTGGATTCCACATGCCCAGGCATTCTTTCCTAAAAGGTCTTGGTTTACCACCTATCCAATTACAGTGACTGCCCTTTTCCAAGTGTAGTTACTATGCTGCTGACAGTTCCCCATCCCTGCTTTTATAGTCTTACCTGTTGGATTTCTGTCTGAAATGCAGCTGCTAAAGGCACGGGAGCCCTGCCAGGAAGAAGTCAGTAATGCTGCCCAGCATGATTTTCTTCTCCTGGGGGTTTGGACATGGCTTGGCAGGCAAGAGTAGAAAGCTTCTGTAACTCAACTGTTGTTATAGCTGTGAGACAGGAGTCTTCATTTGGTTGGCTACTTACCACCTTCTTGACTTTGTGGCCAAGCCCACTCTTAGATCACCAGACTGCAGCTATTGGTGCTCCGATAACATCCTGGTTAGACTACTGTCATGTGCTCGATGTGGGGCTGTCTTTGAAGACTTCATCAAATCTTCAATAGGCTCAAATTACAGCAGCTAGGAGGAAGCAGTTACGAGTTACCAGTCTCTGCAGCCACAGCAGGCGCTGTGATTCTTCAGTGGTTTGACTTTACCCCCAGAGGCACACTTCAAGAGCTAGACTGATGCCTGGAACATGTTCCTATGAACATACCTTGCCCATTTTAAAAGTTCAGCACTGGCTACCAGGAAAATTCCAGGCACAATTCCCTGTCATGAGGGTATTGACATTTAAAGCTGTAAATAGCCTGGGACCAGGGTGCTGGATAATACGTGATTTTAATATTGGCTGCATGGGACTTTCTCTGGGTGCCCTTGCCATTAGAGGTACAGCAGCTGGGGAGAGAGACCTCAGTGTTGGCACCCTCCCCAAGCAGATTTATGGAGTCCATTTTTGCGCAATTATTGTTTAGATTACAGGTTAACATTTTTAAAAAAAACATCAGGGTTCCTACTCCACTCCTAGTTCGTCTAGTTTTATTCACTCCTGCTTTATTGTTTTCTACTGCTATTTGGGCTTGTTTTGTTCATGCTCATTTGTTTTACATTTCATCATGTTATATCTCTCTCTATATATAGCTATATAGCTATATCACTATCTACACACACACACACACACACACACACAGCGCTTTTTTTCAGCCAGAACTCGCCAGAACTCAGTTGGGTGCCATTGCCATTATAAGAGAACAAGGGAGACGTTCATGGTGAGTTCTGGCACCTTTCTTTCACACACACACACACACACACACACAATTTTACTGTTTTTAGGTTTTGGTGTTTCTCTGTTTCTTTGGGGTCCTTCTGTTTAAAAGCAAAACATAAACTCTTCAAATGAAAATGGCTGTTCCCACTGCCAACTCTCTCTCTCTCTTTTTGCAGGTTTTGTGGTGCAGGGTTCCAATGGGGAATTTCCCTACCTGACTCAACAAGAACGCCTGGAAGTGGTGAGACGTGTGCGCCAAGCTATGCCCAAGGATAAGCTCCTGCTGGCTGGGACCGGATGTGAATGTGAGCAGCATGCAGGGGATGGGGCCAGAGGATGCCATTCTCCAGCTGCACCACATCCTGAATTAAGATGCTAGAGCTGAACAATGATCTTATATAGGCACTTTCTATCCCCTGCTTCCATCTCTGGTTCTCGGAGCCTCTTAATCTCACTGAGCCCATCCTTTGGTCCCACAGGCCTCTTAAAACCCTTTTATTATTTTTGTCCATTTATCCTCTTTGTCCTCCTTCCTTTAGCAACTCGGGGCACCATTGAGATGACAGCACAAATGGCTGATAAGGGCGCAGACGCTGCCCTCGTGGTGACGCCTTGTTACTTCCGGGGAAGCATGACCAGTGCAGCCTTGATTCATCATTACAAACAGGTGAAGGATGGGGCGCAGGCATCTCCCTGGTCAGAGCCGCAGGGACTGGGGGGAAGGCTGAGATGGTACCAAGATGGTGGTAGCTTGTATTACAGGTTGGTTGATGTTGCAGGCATGAGTGGATTTTCAATAGAAATGCAATTAAAATAAATACCTTGAATTCTGAATTCAAGTGCAACTTCTCCCTAAGGTGCTTAGGGTTTTTATTGCAGGCACCAGTGTTTGCCTGGGTTAAAAAGTATTTATTCAGAAAGTAAAAAGCTTATTTGAGAAAGTAAAAGATGTGGGTTTGAAAAGAGAGTGCATTTGGTCTCTAGCTACCTTGAATTTTAGAACAAAGATCTGTATATTAAATAATTATTGTGTCTAATTCAGATCAGTGATGATTCATTTGCAGGGTTCGGTGTAGTATGAAACATGTGCTGTATCACCACAGCTACTGAGCAGGGTACCCATAAATCAGAATGAATAAACACTTGACTTGCTTCTTCCAGGTCCTGTTCCCTTTCATTATCACGATGTTCTTCCTTGGCATGAGACTGACCTATGAGTACTAGTTATTTCGCTTGTGTATAAGAAGTTATTTATTTATTTCATAAAAATTTATACACCACTTGATTGTAAAAAACAAAAAAATCGGTTTCCAAAAAGATATTTTTTTTTTAAAAAAGGAAAGGTTTACAGCTATGCTTTAAAACATACAAGAGTTAAAATACTAAAGCAGATTAAAATTACCTCACCTTTCTAAGCACCTGGGTAGACTTGTCTAAACAAGAATGTTTTTAGCAGGTGCTGAAAAGAGTTAAATGGTTCCCCAAGTCAAAAGATGCTGGCAGACGCTTAGGACTGCCTGGGAGCCATTGGCTGCCATATTAGGGCTGCAAGTCTTGTTGAACATTGCTGTGTTGGAAGAGTGGAGAAAGATAGTCCAGAAAAATGAGCATTTTGTTGTAGGGATGATGAAACCTATGTCGCCACTACAACTCCCATCATCCCCAGCCAGCATGGCCCAAGGGTCAGGGATGATGGGAGTTGTAGTCCTGCATCATCTGCATGGCCGCAGGTTTGTTGTATTGCTTCACACTGAGAATTTAAAAAACCCAGACCTGTCCAGTCCCAGTGAAAACATTGGCTAGTAAGTGTAACAGCACACACAGTAAGTGTATCTATACAAGATCTAGCACCGCAAAGGGATGACTGGGGTTGACATGGATTTTACTGTGTGAAAGGAAGCATGTGAACTAGTCTTTGAAGGGTAACCTGCTGTGTGGAGGCTTCTCGCGGTCTGCATGTGGGTTTCCCCATGTGCCACGATCATGCTATTTTGTGTCCTCAGGTAGCTGAAGCATCTCCAATCCCTGTGATACTCTACAGCGTCCCGGCCAATACGAATCTGGAGCTGCCCACCGATGTGGTGCTCAGCCTAGCACAGCACCCCAACATTGTGGGGATCAAGGACAGTGGTGGCAATGTGAGTGAAGGGGGGAAGGCCGGGTGCTGAGACAAAGTGGGTTGCGATTTCATCTTGGGGTGCTGGCAAGAATCTGAGTTGGAGGGCCTGTCAGTATTGGCCCTCTTAAGCAAGCTAATGGCTCACAGGGGGATTTGTGGACCTGCCAGCAGGCCCCCTCCTCCTAGAGTACTGAAAGATTACCGTATTTTTCGCTCTATAAGACGCACCAGACCACAAGACGCACCTAGTTTTTGGAGGCGGAAAACAAGAAAAAAATTATTCTGAATCTCAGAAGCCAGAACAGCAAGAGGGATCGCTGCGCAGTGAAAGCAGCAATCCCTCTTGCTGTTCTGGCTTCTGGGATAGCTGTGCAGCCTGCATTCGCTCCATAAGACGCACACACATTTCCCCTTACTTTTTGGGAGGGAAAAAGTGAGTCTTATAGAGCAAAAAATACGGTAACTTAGAAGTACTGTAATCATTTCCCACAGCTTAAGGCTGTTTTCCACGTCAGGACACGGCCAGGTGGCAGTTTCCTCACACTCTTACTTTTCATTAGCTTCGTTAATGTGTAACCCCAAAAATTTGGATCCCCTCCAAACTGATGCGAAGGTTTTGTGCTCTCTTTAATAACCCTAAACGCTTAAGCACTCACACGCAGACACTTTCAAACTGTGATCCATCCTGCCAGTGGAGCTAAGGAATCAGCAGTAATAAAATAGCTCCATTTGCTTATCCCAACAAATCCATCAGGAGGTTTGTGACTGGAAAGCGGCTGTGATCTCTGTCGAACCCAGACCTTCAGTGGTGACTCTACCAGTGTATTTCACCTCCTTTTGGTATTACACTATCTCTGTTTCCCACAAGTTCAACGCCACTTTTGTGGGCCTCTCATCTACCCAGGAATTCGGCAGGCTGTGCGTTAACGTGACAGCACCACGTGACCTTAGACTACCACCCTTTGCTTAGTAGCATTGTCCATCCATCCCTCCCTGCTTGATGTTGCGATCGCCCATTGTAGGTAGAGCATTAGATTAGTGAAGCAAAAAGAGGGGAGTTGCTGTAGGGGCTGACACTCTTCTTTCAAAGACCAGGAGCTGCCTGGTAGCTTAAAGGGGACATGAATAAAGCAATGGCAGAGCAGCGATTTCATTGTCAGCGTCAACTGCTGCCCCCACATTTTGATGGATGCCTACTGCTGTCCTCCCCTATCAAGCGATCCCCTCTCTTGCCAGATCACCCGCCTCGGACTGCTTGTCCACAGGACCGAACATGAGGACTTCCAGGTACTGGCAGGATCAGCTGGTTTTCTGCTGGCCAGTTACATTGTAGGTAGGTGATATTGGGAGCTGATGTCCATACGGGGCAGTTCTGGAGAGAGTGGCTGGCTGGCTGTTTCAGGACATGGGGAAGGGTTACAAAGTCGCCTAGGGTGTGCATTATAACATTTGTCAAGAGATTAAAAAAGCATTTTCCAACTTGGTTACCCTTGAGCAGAGTATGATCGATCTTCCTTCCTTCCTTTTCTTTCTTTCTTGTAGAAGTTGGAAGCTGCTATAGGAAGCCCAACATTTGGTCCAGGCTTTGCTAGTTTGACATGAGCAGAGAGCGAAAGCATGCTGGGGGAGTGGTGTATCATGCAAAAATGCCTGTTTCACTGCCTAGGTGCTCTATTCTTTTTTTGATGGAACTATGCTCCTTGCTCCAGGTGCTGCTGGAGGGATTTGTGCCCTTGCCAACGTGCTTGGCTCTCCAGTCTGTCAGCTTGAGCAACTGTGCTGTGCTGGAAGCTGGGATGAGGCCCGTGCACTGCAGCACCGACTCATTGAGCCTAACATTGCGGTAAGAGGCAGAAAACGGGAGGAAAGTGGGACGTAAGAAGTGGAAACACCCCACTTCCTTGGGAATGTATGGGGAGGAAAAGGCCCAACTGGAAAAGAGGTAATGCTTTGGTGGAGCTCCCAACAGAACAACATACAGTTGTTGCTCATGGTCTGGAACACAGGCTGTGGGTCAAGTCCTATCCTTCCCCATCCTTTGCAAACTTGATCAGCCGTATGACCAAGCAATTGTGTTTTATTGCTTGCCCTTTAGTCTTACATTTCTCCCACTTTGCCCTATCCTATTCTGCGTGAGCGTCAGTGTTCTGAGCCATCTCAGCATTCCATTTTTATTTCTGTGACAATTTTGGGAACGTCAGCCATGCTTTGGATTTTTCTTGGCAAAACCTGTGACTTATTCACACTACAATCTTCTGGATTTTGCAAAAGCATGATATGCAACTGTGAATTTTTATTTTATTTTTTGGCAGTTTCTTTTCGGCTCCATTTAATAATTTCAGAAACGTATCTGGGGCTTGTAATTCTAGTACTAATCCTCTGGAGCCCTTGCACCTCCCTCCCAAAGCTTGATAAGCAAAGAAAACCTGCTGGGTGTACAGGTGGGGAAAATAAATAAATAAATAAATGAAGAGCAGAGAACAGTTTCCCCAGTTCTCCATGTATTAACTTATTCCCCCCACCTGTGTAAGATTGCAATCGCATAAGTAAAGTGAGCGCAAGTTGTAAGCTTACCGTATATCCTTGTACTAGTAGTACTTTATTAGACCTCATGTAGTCTAAGAATTAACCAACCACTTCTTCAAATGCACATACACTGTTGACTTCAAACGTTCACGCTTAGTATGATCTGCACCAGTACCTCCTTGCCTGAATTGATTAAGTGTCAAACAGGAATTCCTGGGTCATAACACTTGCCCATGTCTAATGTTCTGGACATTCTGTGACCACAGACAAGTCCTTGATGGTGCAATTCTTCAGTTTCTGCAGGCTTAGAGCTGAGTGATGCTTGTAGGAAAAGGGGGTTCACGTACACCTCTGCCACACTGTTGGCCACAGAGCAGTTCTGAGTGCCCCACACTGTTTCTCTTTCCACAGGTAACAAGCAAGTTTGGAGTCCCAGGCCTGAAACAGGCCATGGAATGGTTTGGTTTAAATGGGGGCTTCTGTCGCTCTCCCTTGCTCCCGCTAAGTGAGGCACAAGTGAGGGAGCTGCGCCAGGATTTCAGCTCCAACGGATGGCTCTGAAAGATGAAGCTGTTCCAGGCAATGGTCGGAACCTTGAAATGGGCAGCAGGCATATTGCCAGTTAAGCCTCAAATTTCATATCCTGCAGCATACTAAAATACAGCTTATTCAACTTATACTGTTCATTGGCATGTTTGAAAACCAAAGTATTATCACAAGTGAAACAGCATAATGAAGATGCCAGAAAGGTTTTCAAATGGGCAAGTAAGCACTTTTCATGGCAGTAGCTCTGAATTCCTTTTCTCATAGAGGTTCTAACCCTTTCTGCTTGGAATCGCCAAATTTGTCCTTAGCTGGGGTACTTATCTATTGTATCAAATTGTCCATTTGAGGCCCATTTAACATTTGAGTGCCCGAGGCACTATCCTTTCAGGTTGACTTCCTTCCCCCTGCTCCCCAGCTGACGAGAAAGAAAAAAGACCCCATGTCCTTTGCTTTTCCAAGAGGGGGTCTGGATAACAGCTGGAGCCAGCAAAATTAAAACTGCCATGGCCTGCCAATAGACAGAGTTGCAGTCCAACAATTTCTGGAAGGAAATAGGTGCCTCGTCTGCCTATTCCCCATCAGTACAATCTTCCAAGGTGATGTCAAAGGAGTTTGCTGCATGACTACATGGCCTACTTCCATAAGTCAGTAGATGTTGACCAGCTGCAAATTCACAAGGTGTGTAAGAATGAAAGAGGGTGGAGCCATATTTGTTTGATCCATAGATTCATGGTACTGACTGGTGTTAGCTCACCAACTAGGAAGCACCTTTTAACAGGGAAGATGCTTTATTTGCAAGATACTGCTTCCTGGGGCTGAGTCTCTTGCCCTCAGTGACAAAGATAGCATGGGGTGGAATTAATCTTTAGAAAAGTATGTTTTCCAGGTAAAAATGCTTTGCCCCGTCTACTATCTCAGTAATGGTACACTCTGCTTGCAAAGGGGAAATAGAGTGACTGAATAGATGATGAAACCAGCACAATTTCAGGCCAGAGCTGTGCACTGAACCAAAGGAGGGAAGCATGGATTGTCTGCACAAAACAAAAGCAGCATACAGAGCTGAGTGTGCCTGCTGCTGTATTCCCCACATAAAGATGATTAGAAAGGCTATTACAGCATGCACACAGCCCATCCTTGCTGATACGTTACATCCTTCCAATAGGGGAAAAAAGACATGGAGGCAGAGATTCAGCAACTCTTTATTTGGCCAAGGCCCTTACATGGGCAGAGACACAAAAGGCACGAGGGTGGCATTGACACGCAGACATTCAGTGTGGAGGTGGGCTGGTAACAAGAGGCTCCAGCATGGCACTTAGGGACACACACCATGCAGGTCAATGCTTGGCTAAGAACACCCCCCAATCTCAAAACAATCCCATGTTTACTTTCAGTGCACAGAAACACAAAGTGGCTGGGTAGAAACTAAGTCGCTCTTCAAAGGCCACTCAGTCCCAACTCAACCCCCCAGCCCATAATTTCACAGGCTGATATCCCACAGCTAGCTTTCCCCTTCTGCTAGCCCAGCCCTATATTTCCATTCAGCCTGCGAGGACCCTCCCAGGAGCTGTTTCTTTTCTTCCATGTCATTGCCCCAGCTTAGCATGCAAATGTATTAGGGATGCCCTGCGCACTCTCTAGTTTTTGAAGGCTCCAGTGCTCACTTACTTCCCCTACCAAAATGCTCCTAAAGAGCTACACAGCATTACCAGATCTCAGTGCAACCACCTCTTTGGACCTAGTGGACAAAATGGGGATGGACACCACTTCTTTTGGGTATCTACAGGGCTGTGTGTATGTCATTTCTCTGTGACTGCATTCAACAATATTGGACACAGCAGTCAGCATCATGAGACTCGGTTGTATATTTTAAAGCAAATTTCTAGCCATTAAGGCAGCAAAACATAGGCTTAAAAGCATTCAGGCAATGCCTGATAAAATCTGAGAAACTGGAAGAGAGGGGTGCAAAAGTGTTCAAGAGATACGGCATTAGTGCTCTCCAAAGCACTTTTGCCTTTTCCTATTACTAGCAAAAGCAGAAATCATGCAAAATAAATAATTATATGCCAATTGTTTCTGCGTAATTTATACATGTTGCAGAATCCAGCTTTTCTTTGTACAGAATTGTCATTTTGAAGGGCAGAATACACGCAGCCCTGTGTCTATGGCACTATGGTGCATGGATGCCATGCAACAGCTCTGGAAGATCTCTTCCTCCGGGTCAAGGAGCACAGACCTTATATAAGGGAGAAAAGCTGACTTTCACCCAAGAGGCAACCCAAATACTCACAGTGAGAATGGCCCAAGTGGATAAAGCATCAGAAAGCAGTGGCAGAAAGCAGTGGCAGTGTGTCCCAGATATACTCTAGGGCCTAAAGGATGGCAGGCATTGCAGCTCAGGTCTCCTTCTTTGGGCTGATGTACAACATCGGGGAAAGGCACATTCAGAAGGTCTAGAATTCTGCAGTATATAAATTTTCCATTTTCGCATTAAAAATAAATAAATAAATAAATAAATAAAAGGAACGAAGAACCCCATTGAAGTGACATGAGAGAGAACCAGAGGTTTAGGGCTGTGGAGGGCGACAGGAAGCTGTGCTAAATGCAAGTTCCAACTTCTCCCTTGAACACTGAAGACCAACCCATCTAATCTCATGAACTCTCAGCTGCACTAGTCTCAAGCTAAGAAAAAGGTAAAATGATGTCTAAGCATTAGTCACTCCTTGTGCCTTTAAGGTGGTGGTGGGAGCACCCCCTCCCCCCGCTGTTCTCACCACAAATGGGGCACTAGAAGACTGTCCTATGGAGAATGCTCTTGACAAAGGAATGCCACAGCCTCAGGAGTGACAGACTCTCTGTTTGGCAGGGGACAGTGGCTGTATAAGTTGAGGTTTGGCACTGGATTACACTATGGGGGCCAGGCTGTTTTAAGGAAGTGACTCAGGTAGGCTGCCCACCTGATCAGGGCTGATTTGGGATCATCTACCTCCTAGAGATGGTGTCTGTCTCTGTGACTCCTGCACTCCACACTCCTGCCAACCCCCAGGCTGAGCTGCAGTTTCATGGGAGAGTCCTGGGGTAGGGTGCTTTAGAGCTTGCACCCATCATGCTGTGAGGCCATGCGCCAATTTAGAGGCACTCTGAGCGCGCTGGACCACTGCCTGGCACTTCTCTCGTCGCAAGAGTTTGTTGTTCTCAAAGAAGCCTTCATTGCGGGGGATTCCGTGAGAGCCATCAGGAAAAGTCAGAAGCCCTTTGGAAGAAAACAAAATTTTATTATTCAGCAGGTCTCAAGGCGGAGGATCAGACTTGCAAGACTTCAGCTCAGGAGAGCTGAGAATGCAGAGCTGTGAATCAAGACGAGGCACTGGGGTATATGTCAGCCTATACTGTGCTTTGGAGGATAGTGTTTGCCCAGTTCTCACTTCTCCCCATCCCACACTGCAGCCGTCCTTCCAAAATAGATTTAGCCCTAGAAGATCAGTGTTGCTGCTTGGCTACTCTAAACAAGGAGTTTGCAGTACTCACCAAAACCATCAACACGTCCACCCTTGAATTCTCCCTCAAAGGTCATGTTGTCATACCGTGTGAAGACTCCAACGCCGTTGAATTTTCCCTGTACAAACTCCCCTTCATACCTGCGTCAATAATAGGATTGTGTAAGGATAACGTACTATGGCATACAGCCAAAAACTGAAAACACCAGGAGGAACACAGTATTCTGGACAGAAGGCAAAGAGCCAAAGAGGCATCACTAAGGAGCTCTTTAAACATGAGTCTGTAGTAATCGCAGTGACTACAGAGAACCTAGGATGAGGATGGTGTCACAGCCAAGACAAAGAAGTGCTTGCTTATGGTTCTGAATCACAGAGGCATGCTCACATACAAAAAGGTCTTCATGCTAGGCATAGCAAGGCATAGACATTCTTCCAAGTTCAACAACACAGCAGAGCAGCCTGCTCCACAGAGCACTCTTTTACTCTTATTTTCTTGGGGCTGCTTAGGTCATGCACATGCACCAAATGCAAGCCTAGAACAGTGTGTGCCCCCAGCCCTGTACCCACCTGGAGCCATCTGCAAAAGTGAGCACCCCACAGCCATTGAAGAGACCATTCTCAAAGTGTCCCAGGTAAATGCTGCCATCAGCAAATGTCAACTGCCCAACACCATGCCGGCGCCCTAGGCAGGGAGAACAAGCAGTATTGCTCTTTTGTCAGTTGTCAAAAAGGGAACCATGGTGCCCATTAAGCAACAAATCAATGAAATCTATGGTGGCACTTTTAATTTCAAAAAAGGGACAAAAGGAATAGGATGTGGGCAGTGGTAGAGGTCATGCTGGCTAATATGTCTTACAGAGAAAGAATGTAACAGACCCCTGCTGTTGCTTGTTCCTTCTACCATCCACAAGGCATGCTGGAGCTTAGTATGCATTCATACAGAGACTCACAGTGCAGACACAATACCTTTCCTAAAGGGCTTTGTGGACCTCAAGGTTGCTAAGTTTGATTGTGCAGCCAGTGAAGGATCTCAGAGTCTCCGATGTATCACATGCATGTTCCCAAAGAACAAGTTTTGCCATCCACCACCACACATAACTGCCAGCCAATGGGATACAGTGGCCAAGAAGAGGTTCCTTGTTCTCTCCATATCTTGATTGGAGCACTTGTGGGACCAGAGCAGAGACCACTACCTGGGAGAGGAGGTTGGGACCACAACAGGATATAAGGAGCTGTAGTTCCTTCCCCACATGCTGTGGTCCCAGTCCAGATAAAGGCCCCTGCACTTAAAGGTACAGCCACACAGGTAATGTAATGTGCAGTTTGGCCCCTAGAGAGGAAGTTATATGCAGTCCGCCAAGAACAGACCCCGTCCCCTGTACTTGGCTCAATGAGGGGACCCCACTCTGCACTTGGCCAGCCTCACTCACCTTCCTTCCACTCCCCACAATATTCCTCCCCGCTGGAGTAGGTGAAGGAGCCCTTGGTCAAGGTCATGGTGCCAGCTTTCAAGAAGGCAAGACAACAGCTGCAAGAGAAGATGCAGGAGTTTGAAAGCAGGATAAGATGCCCATGGGGAGGAAGAGCACTTCAGAAACTAGGGAGAAGTACAGCAAGCTGAGGAGACAGGAAAGCCAAATCCACCAGTTTTGGATCCATGCAGTATGAGCAACATGCATGTGAAAAACCTTCTGACAGTAAGAGCTGTTTGACAGTGGAATGGTCTCCCTAGGGAGGTTGTGGACTCTCCTTCCTTGGCCACCAGTATGAACTCTGAACAGTCTATACTGTACTGGCATATTTATTACAAGGTAGTATAATTCCATTTTGTTATCCCCAATCCAATAAGGAACTCTTTAAGTTTTTATCCCGCCTTTCCTGCAAGGGACTTGGGACAGCATGTCTCCTGCCCCCCCCTTCTGAATACTCACAACAATCCTGTAAGGTAGGTTAAACAGAGAGAGAGAGAGAGAGAGAAATTAATGGGCTGAAGTCACCCAATGAGTTTCATGGGCTGAGCCAAGATTGGAATTTAGGTATTCCTAGTCCTTGTCTGATACTCTAACTACTACACAACACACTCAGTATGCAGGAGCAAAACTCTCAAACACATGTTCGCCCCAAAATAGGGTATCCTACCTTAGGAGGGAAAGACACACAAGGCTTAAGTCACAGGAGTTCAGCTCCCAGAGCTGACCTGGCATATATGTGTTTTGCAGACTCCTGCCCTATTTCTCCACATCAGTGCCACACAGAGCAATTTCCTGCCTCCACCAGACAAACGTATCCATTCTTTCCACAGGAAATTCAAGCCTTATGGCTCATGTTGCTATTTCTTCTTGGGTTTTTTTCACCAGACTAGACTCAAATGCAGGTCCAGCACAAAGGGCTCTACCTCCATGAAACATTCATGTGTGGAGCCCAGATGGGGACCCAGCCTGGTGCTTCCTCTCTCAGAGGCTTATTCAGGCAGTTTTCAGCATTAAACGCTGCTATCTCCTACTATCAGCAAGGGACTAGTAGAACTGCAAAGTGCCCAGGCCCCTTTGTACTACATGTTTACTATATGCGGATGGATGGTGCGTATTTTGATGTATGTCATCTCCCCCATTTATTTACTGTTTGACAGATCCTAAAGCAACTAGCAGAACCGACATGTTGAATTCCCTGCTTAGTATTCCAAACACCCGCCTAGAACTCTCCATGGCTTGGCAAGGGCAGAAACCTTTGTGCCAGGCTAAGCAAGGATAGCCAGAAGGAAAGTTTACTGTTCAAATCCATCTACACTTGGCTCTGTCCAGGAAGACAAGTTACATTTAGAAAAATGTAAGGAGCTTTCAAGGGCAGATCAAGGGAAGGGGAGGGGCTGAATAATAAAATAATTACCATGTTGTTCTAAACTGCCTTGAGGGTGGTTTTTGTTTTGGTTTTTTTGCAATCAAGTGGTGAATAAATTTTATGAAACAAAGTAAGAAATATATAAAATGACATTGTTATTATCATCCTTGATTTATTAATCTTCATCTAAACAACAATCTCAAAGTCCTAAAAACCCTTATCTGAGTTACGGCGCAGCAGGCTTCTGAAATCTTTGGAACTTACAGAAGACCTTTCACCGACCACAGCAACGTACTGGGTGTGTAAGGGATGAGGTGGTTGCTTAAGTAACCTGGTCCTGAGACACATAGGGCCTTGTACATAAGAAGCAATACCTTGAACTTGGTTCAACAGCAGACTGGCATCCAAAGCAAATTGCACAAGTAGGGAGTTATATGGAGGTGGTAGTTTGCCCCAGCAATCTAGCTGTCTCATTATGCCTCAGCTGCAGCCTCTGAAGCAACCCCAAGGGTAGCCCCACATAGAATGCATTGCAGTAATCTAGCTGTGACATTACCAATGCATGGACAACTGTGGTCAAGGTACCCTGGTACAGGAATGGCACTACTGACCTGCAGACACCTGCACCTCCAGAGACAGAGCTGGATCGATGAGAATTCCCAAACCACACCCCTCCTCCTTCAGGAAGACGTGAAATTTTGAAACATTGGAGGTTGTGCTGCTGGCTATCATACATTGTAAACCCAAACAGACAGAACCTTTCTTTCTTTCTTTTTATTTCTTTAGAGGCATGCAAGCTAGTGGGCATTACAGAATCCTGTGGCAATGAATTCCATATTGTATAGAGCTAGTCTTAAATCAAAAGTGTTGCCTATCAATTTCAACCAAATCATAACTCTGAGGACTCCACACAGACAACATTCAGAACAATGGACAAAACAGCTGTATATCAGCATCTTTGTAATTGGAATATACAACTGGCAAGCGAAAGAGAAAGGAGCCCCTTGAGCAAGGAAGGATGTACACTACATCAATGAGCTCACAGCAGGCAATGACATGAGCTGCCTGGAAGCTCTGTGGGAAAGAGGAAAGCAATGAGAAACGGGAAACGTGTGTAATTTGTATTACTGGAAGACAGAAAGGCAACCACCTAAGATAATGCCTACCTTTTGGGAGACAGCAAATAGGGGTGGTATTCAACTTGGGTTTACTCAGAGTTGGTACATTGAAGTTAATAGACTCAACTTAGTCATGTTCATTAATTTCATTGGGTCTTTCGGTTAATTTCATTGAGTAAAACTTACGTTTGATTTTAGATGAAAAGGGAGATGCTGCAGCGCTAGAACCCAGACCTCTCCAAATAGAAACACCCTACCCTAGCAGGGGCAGCAGATAGGTGGAATCTAGAGTCAACTAATTTTAGTTTTGTCCCCATCCTCCTCCCTGCTGAATACTACAGGGGCAACACTGAGACCAGGGAGGAGGAAGCTGATGGCCCTGTACAGGTGGTAAGTAGGAAGGCAGGCAGGTGGGACCTGGCTGAGGGCAGATAGAGGTTGGTGGGGCAGTGCCCCATTAGACCCAATGGACTAGCACCTAGTTCTGGAAATAAAGAATGGTTAATTTATTTTCAAAGTCTACAGTGAATGATAGCAAATCAATACATGGTAGTGCTCACCTACCAAACTGCTGCTGTAGTAGAACAGCAGGGAAACTAGCATCACTACAATCGGAGCCCAGATTTGAGGCTAGCCTTAGACTTGAAGTCATGTAATAGTGCAGTTAACCTGTTACAAGTCCAGGAGACAGAAGAAGATATAAGAGGTTCAAGGTGCATTAAATGTCAAGATGTAAATAATCACTACTCTTTTTACCACAAATTACCAAGACACTCAAACCAACAAAATAACTGGAGCAAAAAGTCATCCTTATGAAAATACAACTTTAATCTGTTCACGTTTGGAAGGCAAGATATACTTAAGAATTTTCTTGTTATTGACCAACGCTGGCTGGAGGGCTACAGAGGAGGCGATGAGGTTCGCCTAGTCTCCGAGGGACCACGCGATGGCTGTTGCTTCCCTGGAAACAATTACAACAGATTGCTGGAGCAGAGCGATCCCAGCTGCTCTGCAGCAGCAGCAAACCAGGCGTGTGTAACAGTTTCTCAAGCTGTCAAGAGGGACACCCCAACCCACTCGGAAACCAGCAGAATTTGGCAGTAACCATCAGGTCGTCTTACCGGGCAGCCGGAGCCTGGCATGAGTCAATTAAAACAGAAAGGCAGCTACAAAGAGAGAAGTGTGTCGCTATTATGTCTCTGCTCCAGCTCTTCAAGCCGCGGCAAAATGCCTTTCAGGCAGCCTCAACACTCCCGAGTCACCACGGTGCAAAATCATAATCGCCAAACAAACGAAACAAAACCCCCCAACTCTCACAGCGTCGCCCCTGAATTCGGGTCCTTGCAGGATGCTGAAGTCACGCCATGCCGCCCGGCGAAGCCACGCCCATGCCCTAGTGCCACTCCGGCTACTCCAGCCACCCGATCATAGGTACCAGACTCCCTAGGGCCCTGGGTGCCCGAGCAGTACCCACAAAATTCCCCAGGAAGGGGCCGGGCACCCACAAATTTTAGCGCCGGCGTCATGCACGGTGCATGGCACCCACGGTCGCGGGGCCCAGCTGGCTCTCGTGCACCCGCGGCAGGCAGCCCCCCGCTACCACCCTTCGCCACGCAGCCCTTGTGGGCGCTCTCGTCCGCCGCGGCACCCCAAAGCCCTCGTAGCCCACCCACCTCCGCAGCCTTCGCACAGCGGCTCCCAGCCCAGGCACCGCTTCCCCTCAGCCCTTCTGGGCGGCATCCCCGACGGCCGCGCCCCTCACCTGCGCTCCGAGCTTCTCCGCAGCTGCCACCAGCCCCACACCCCTTCGGTCTCCCCCCATCGGCCGCCGCCTCCTCCTCCTCCCTCCTCTCCTTTCGCTCCGTCAGTTATGCCAGGCTTCCCTCACACCCACCACCCAGGGCAACCGCCCACCAGGAACCATCCGCGCACGCCGTTGGCTGTTGCCCTGGCAACCCGCAGTAACGCGCCTCTTCATTGCCCAGCCTCCCTGCTGAGCTCCCCCGCCCTTCCCACAGCAGCCTTCTTTGTGAAGGGCGAGGAGGGTTTCCCCCCTCCTTTTTCTATTTTTTTTACAGGGCGGCCATCTTTGTGAGGGGCAAGAGTTCTCTCTTTCCTTCCTACCACAGGCTAGGAGCTGCCATGTTGAGGCCTTCCTGTACTCGTTTCGTTTGAGGGCAAGTTCCTGTTGCTGTCCTCAAAATACATAATTCATGGTTAAAAAAGGGAAAATGTGAAGAAGCGGATGCTACTTTGAAAAGAAAAAGACATTTCTGAAATCAGGGGAGTGTGTGTTGTTTGTGTATCATTTGTTTATTGTAATGTAACAAAGAATGACATAATTTAAAATGTTTGTTTGGTGGGGTGTTTTTTTGCTGTTTCACAATTTTATTTACTTGGAATGTGTCATCTCTAAATGTATGGTGCTGCTTTCGCAGATCAGGTACTCTTGATCTGTCTGTTCAAGTGGGAGCTTAATATCCACTCCCACAGCAGACAATAAACCACAACTCTTAGTATTAAAACAAGTAGAATTTTATTTTAAGCGTATATGTTTGATGCAATTCCATAAAAGGGGATAGTAAAGCAGTCCAACAAAGTAATTTATAAAGGTTAAGTGGATGAGATGTCCTATTTCAACCCTTGCCCTCTCTGTCCTACAAAATTTGTTTTCAATAGCATAAGAACTTAATGACAGCTGTGCTGAATCAGGTCATCTAGTCCCTCATCCTGTTCTCACAGCAGCCAACCAGATGCCTACATAAAGCTCACAAGCAGGACCTGAATGCAACAGCACTGACGTAACCTTTCTTTTTTCTCTTCTTCCAAAAGGATTTGACTAAAAAAAAAAAGGAAAAAGATGCTGACATTGCTTGTGTGTTCCACCTTAGGTTGTGACATGACCTAGTTGTGGGTCACAACTCACCAGGTGGACTAAAGGAAACTTACTATGATTGCTGGTACTGGAGGAGCCTGAGATTTGTTACTACTGGAAAACTTATTGCACAGGTCAGGCAAATATGGTGAGAGATCAAAACAAGTCTTAAACTCATCTTCAGCTTCCTATTGACCTAGAAATTCTAGGCTAGACTTAACAGTATAGGTAGCCAGACTGACAAGCTATGGGTCACTTCTGTCTGTACCACACAATCCAGGGATCAGCCAGCAGTGTAAGAATAAGCAAGGGGACCAATCTTCTGTCCCATTCATCTCAAATTCAATAAGTCACTTTGTTTTGCTCTCCATATAAATACTGCTTTTCCATGCTGGGTGTGTGAGACTTGGAATTATGGAATGCGTGCTGCCCAGATTAGTTCTGTCTGTTTTTCTGTTCAGTGCATTATACCTACCATACTGGCCACAAAGGCTAAAAGGAATAAAATATAAAATGGATACAAAGTATTGGAATAACTGTTAGTTGAATAATTATTTGAAGCTGTTAAGCTTTCATATAGCTAAACCAACCTAGCTTGGTAAAAGAAAATACATTTCTTCCATTCTATAACTCCTTATTTTAGTTATACAACCAGACAAGGATAAGTGACACTACCCTATCCCCATGTGTTACTAAGTTTTTATGTTAAATATCTTAGATAATTAGAATGCAAAGGCTCTATCTTTTCACACTTTCTCCGAAGAACAGCTTGATACACCACCACTGTTGCTCTATTGTTCACACAAAGAGAAAAAGAGAGGGCGAGAGAGAGCAGTATACAGCCCATAACTTCATTGTTGTAATGTCAAATTAACACAGATTGTTGAGAAGTCAGCAGACTACATACTTATGCAAAGGCATCCAAACTGTACAAAAACCCTGTTTTTCTTTTTTAAAGACACAGCCATTCTATTTTCATGTTTAAACATCAGAAAAGCATTAAGAAGAACCTGCTGGATCAGGCCAATGGCCCACTTGGTTCACCATCATGTTCTCACAGTGGGCAACTAGTTGCGTTTGGGAAGCCTGCAAGCAGGATCTGAGTGCAATGCAGTGTCCAGTAACTGGTATTGAGAAGCATACTGCCTTTGACAGTATAGGTAGTTTTTACCTCCCCAGATGGTGGTGGTTCAAATGGTGTTTGGCAGATGGTGATAGCCATTCTTTCCCAACATTTCAGAATGGCAGGTGTCATTGTTAAAATGATGCACTCTGCCATTCTCTCAACTTTGGAATATCTTAAAACAGGAAGGGCAGCAGAGGATTACAACAGTCAGGTGACCCAAGGGACCACTTCAGCGGGTCAGGACAAATTCTTAAAGCTGCTCCCGCCTTACAATTGGAGTTAGTCATTTGTCATTTGTCTATTTTACATCCGAATAAAGTGAGCTGGGTGAATTCACAGAGACCATGAATATACAGATGATGCAATACCATTTTTATGCATCCATTTAGCTTCCCATTGTGAAGATGGTTTGCTAGGTTTTAATGAGTTTTCACATAACTTGAAAGTACCCCTTTGTGGTTACCAGGAATTATAAATCTGTTTGTCTTCAAAGGCCATAAGATATCACTGGGTTTGTTTTTGTTTGTTTGTTTTGCTGCAAGTCAACACGACGAATCTCCCAGGATCTGTGCAGTCCACCTGGGACTACTGGAGTGACAGGGTCGTTTATAGAGCATACAGTGGGACGTGCATTGTTTTCTCGATTGAAGGGACAGGTTACTAAGAGGCGTATACTGTAATGAGAGCACCCGATATGGCAAACCTTTCTTCGTGTGCTTTTTTAAAAAGTCACGGATTGAAATATACACGGACTGAAATATGGTGACAATGCAGTGAAAGGAGTCAACAGACCGCTAAGGGATGGTCAGTGCAGTGCACGTGGGCGTGTCTTTGCAATGGAGGAGTGGGACGGACGAGATCCTTTCACCACAATGAAAGGCGACCCTTACAAATGTTATGCGGTGTGCCATGTGGGCTGTGCTTGGGGAACCAGCGTCGATGACGGCAGGCAGGAGCCTAAAGGAAAAGCACGGATCTGAAAGGCAAGGAGGAGTGGGAAGAGCGGCTCATCATCTCCACGCACACTCTCCATTCCGAACGCATGACTTAGCTATGCGGTGGGAGGGAGCGAGCGAGCGCGAGACACAATGAAGGGGCGGGGCCTCGCGAGCCACGGGGCGGGGCTTCCGCGAGCTGGGCGGGCCTAGCTCTGCGAATGGACGGCGGCTTCTTTAGTGGGCGAGGCTTCCGGGCGCCCTGTAAACAGGGGGCGTGATTGGCTGGTGCCGCTCTGGCGGAAACGGCGGTGGCCGCGGGGCCGGTGTCAGGTGATCCGAACTGAGCGGCGCTGAGTCGCAGAGCACGGCGGTGCCCTGGTCTGTGCGCGCAAGTGCCCGGAGTTGCATCCGCGCCTCGCTCGGGCTCGGCCTCTATGGATGAGACGAGCCCCTTGGTGTCTCCGGAGCGCGGGCCGGCCGCAGGGTATGGGGTGCCCGGAGGGGCCGTGCGCTCCCCGCCCTGCCCCGCCGCCCCCAGCGCCCCCTCCGCGCCGCCGCCCTGCCCCTCGCCGCCCGGCTCTCCCGCAGGTGGCCGCGACCGGGAGCGCCAGCCCCTCCTGGATCGGGGCGCGGGCGCAGAGCGTGGGGCGCGCGGGGCGGTAGGGTCGGCCGGGGCGGCGCAGGTCCAGGCTCCAGTTGGGTTGGGGGCAGCGGCTGCCGCGGCCCGCGGAGAGCGGGAGCCCCGGAATGAATTCCCCGACGACCCAGAATTCGCCGAGGTGGTGCGGCAGTCGGAGCTGGCGAGCGAGCGCGGCATCTACCCGGAGCGCATCTACCAGGGCTCTAGCGGCAGCTATTTCGTCAAGGACCCGCAGGGGGTGAGAGGATTAGGGCTGGGGTGGGTGTGTGGAGACTATTCAGCCCGGGGTGTGGGGGAGCGAGGGGGTCTGGGTGGCCGAAAGGTGGTTACTTGATCTTGGCAAGTGGTCGCCCTGCCTTGTACTAAGATACCAGGGGCCGGGGAGTCTCAGCTGGGAACTCGCTAGCTGGCCTTTGACTGACTTTACAAGGGTCATAATAATGTATGTGAAGTGCTCTGAACACTTGAAAGCGCTAAACAAGTTTAAGAATTAGTATCATAGGTAAGGTTAAGAAGATGATGGTAGGATCCTTTGCCACATCCTTGACCAGTTCTCTTAAGTGTAGGGTGGTCTTTCTTTGTTCCAAGACACTCCTGCTTGCTAGTAAAGGTAAAGGGACCCCTGACCATTAGGTCCAGTCCTGACCGACTCGGGGGTTGCGGCGCTCATCTCACTTAATTGGCCGAGGGAGCCAGCGTTTGTCCGCAGACAGCTTTCAGGTCATGTGGACTAAGCATGACTAAGCTGTGAACCAGAGCAGGGCATGGAAACGCTGTTTACTTTCCCGCTGGAGCAGTACCTATTTATCTACTTGCACTTTGACGTGCTTTCGAACTGCTAGGTTGGCAGGAGAAGGGCCCGAGCAACAGGAGCTCACCCCGTCACGGGGATTCGAACCGCAGACCTTCTGATCGGCAAGTTCTAGGCTCTGTGGTTTAACCCACAGCGCCACCCGCGTCCCCCCTGCCTTCTAGTAGGTGCCCTCTAATCTCTATCTCCCTACCTTTCCTCATTTCTGCTGTTGCTTGCACTCTCTTTTCCCCTTCGCTGGAGTAGATGTGGCCAAAGGACAGTGCTCAGTATAACCCATCAAGTACAGCTGATTTGTCAGCTGTGCCCTTCTCCCCTAGGAGGAACAGCCAAGTGTAGGCCTTATTCTTAAACAGAACCAGTTTTATTATTGTAAATATAATACAAACAGGTATGGTCTTGCTCTTTAGCATCTCACAGTTCCAATGTTTGTTTCATAGTGTTGCTGTCAGTGTAATACTATGGTTATTGGGGAATAATACAAAAAATAAAGCTGGAAGCTTTAGGCCTTCTTACCCAATGAGGAGGCACAGTACTGCTTGACATGCTGAGGTGTTTTGTTGTAATTGGGTAAAGTTATCTTGGACTTGGAGTGTATCGGTTGGCTGTTTCCAGAGGCCAGCATAGCCTTGTCCAGTTAAAGGCTTTAGTAGCTGGTATTCTGGTTTCAATTGCTGTCCTGGATTATTAGTTCAGTTCGGTTGTCTGGGTAGGGGAGGATACCTGTTGTTTGTTACCCATTCTTGGCATTTAGTTTGGCCTTATCTTCATAATGTGTTTCTTTAGTTGGATCTGTCTCTTTCTGATCTTGAATAAGGAGGCAGGTGGCCCAACTGCCCTAGGCGGTATTACTGGAGGCGGTATTACTGGCACAGGATTCTTCTTAGTAAGCTTTTAGAGCATGGGCAGGCATACTAAGGCCCGGGGGCTGGATCCGGCCCAATCACCTTCTAAATCCGGCCCACAGATGGTACGGGAATCAGCATGTTTTTACATAAGTAGAATGTGTGCTTTTATTTAAAATGCATCTCTGGGTTATTTGTGGGGCATAGGAATTTGTTCATTCCCCCCCCCCCAAATATATAGTTCGGCCCCCCCACAAGGTCTGAGGGACAGTGGACCGGCCCCCTGCTGAAAAGGTTTGCTGACCCGTGCTAGAGTATACCATACAGTTCTTGTACTTGGGGGCATATGGATAGGAATTAGATTGACATAGATACTTTGGTAACAATAACTTTAGTGTGGCAAGGGGTGCCAACTTAAATAAAATATTGTGGGGGATGTAAGCTCTGCCCCACATAATTGATCACATGACACAACACGCACATACTCCACACCATTTGAATGGCAATGCCCATCAACTTTGGGGAGCCCTGGCCCCTCAAATATTTTATTGGGGGGGGGGGCAAAGGTACCTTGGTCCCTAGGAGTTGGCTCCTATGAATGTGGTTGGACATTGTAAACTCCCTGCTGATTTCCCCAGTGTTCAGATGGGTTTGGAGCAGGGGTTATATGGTATTGTTTTGTTAGTGTGAGTGTGCAGTTTAACCAAAAGTTACTCAACTAATACTGCTTCCAGCTCGCAGCTCCGCTTTACAAGTGGCTCAAGAAACCTAGCTCATTTGAATATGACCCCATTAGAGGGAGAGCTGAACAAATTCACTTGAAGTTCTTGTGTGCTTGCTGATGCAACAGCTGTATGCTTGTAAGGCAGATAGTCCCTTTTGCAGAGAATGATGGTTGGTGTCTGGGAGCAGCTCATGGATGTAGTTGGGGGGGCAGGAAGGGGCTACTGTCCCCCCCATAAATAAATAAATAAATAAATATCAATAAAAATACATCGTTAACTGAGGTTCTGCCTCTCCCCCCCCAATTCTAGCTATGCCCATGGAGCAGCTGATCAGCTTCCCTTCCTGATTGTGTGCTTCCTGAACTTTTTGACCTTTTGGATAAAACTGGCATTGAAATTTCTGTACTTTAAGCTCATCTCTGCATTTTAAATATCTGTAGGAGCTGGCTGAGATATCAAGATGGTGCGGGTTTTATTTTGGGAGGAAAATCGAAAGAACTTTACATGCCTAATTTGTAGAAGAATATTCAGACTGGCCTCTTTCAAATTTCAGGTTATGTACTCTACTCATTGCCCTTTGCTATGAAGAATTCCAGGTCACCACTGCTAATATTTACCCAGTCTACTTTCTAATCTTTGAATACCATATGTTGCTTTGGGTATTCCCCCATTAGCAGACATCAATGACTGTTTATCTAGTGACTTAATTCTTCTCGTTTGAAACCCAGATTTGTCAAGAGGGTATAAAAAATTCTATAAAGAATGGTAGATCAACTACTTTGTGCCTATTTTAGATGGCAAACTCCTTGAAACAAGATTTTCTTTCTTGTTGCACTATAAAATGGCATGCCTGCTAGTAGCAGTGCTATGTAAATAGTGAAATTAAGGGCACAATAATGGGTTTTAAATGTGTTAAACCTTCCATGCAGTAAACATACTTGGGCTGTCCTGGGAAACACTGATATTCATGTCATTGGAAGTTTTTAAAAAGCAGATTGAGTCCTCTTATTCAGTTTGTTAATTCTAGTAATGGAGAGGTAAGATTGCCTGCAACTCATACTTCGTCGTGGCCTGAGGTCCTCATCAGATGAGTTAGGTAGGTGTGGGTGTGTGAATGGTGTACGATGAAATCTGATCTTTTATTGTTTTGTATCAGACATTTCTGTTACTGCTGTTAACAGCATGTGTATTTTTTTAAAGCAATACTACTGTTGTTTTTTTCCAAGCAGATTTGGGTAAGCAGGTATTGAATGAAAGCAAGATGTATGCATTCATGCTTGACCATGCCTTAAGAGAGGAGGTCTGGTAGATTCAATAGCATTACCCTTTTTAAGTTCTAGCCCATTATTTTCTTGTTTGCTCCACTCCCTTGCCTGCTTCTAGGAAGGGAAGACTGCTTCTATCATGGACTGAGTGAGATCCAGCTTCTGAGCCCTACTCCCTTGCCTTAGGATTTCCATGGGAGCTGCTGCTTGGTATGACACTTGATAAGAACATGAAAAAGGCAGGGAACATTGAATAATCATGGATATATACGGGCACCATGTCATTTCTGTTCCTGTACTAGAATTGAGTGTGATTTTATTTTCCATAAGCCATCTTGAGAGCCTTTGAGACTATAAAGCAGGCTATAAGTATTGTAAATGAATAAATCTAAGCAGAGAATAATCCTGAGGCTTTGCTTTCTCCTCTGGCTTGCTATATCACTGTACTTACAAGGAATTGGGCATATCTGTCTTGTGTTGGGATCTGTGGGCTGAGTTTTCGAATAACTGATCCTACTATGTAAATGGATTAGCATGAGCTGTGGTTCCGGTCAGCTGCAGTGTATTCTTCATGCCTATGTGAGGACTGACTGTGTGCATGGCCATGTGGCTCTCCTTGTGACCCGTCATAACTAACCAGATTAATTTAGTTTCCTCTTTCTGAGTTGCATGTGTTGATTGTATGAAAAGCATGACTTATTTGCTGGCCATGTCAGTTTTTGTTATAGTGATCCAGCTTCTTCTTCCTGTCTGGTGTGGGTTTTGGAATCACTTCCCTTTTAGCTGAGTTTGTGGGAGATTCCGCCGGGATGAGTCAGCCTGGTCTTTGTGCTGCTGCTCTAGGTGGATGGAAGGCAAATGGATCGATGCAGCGCTACTTCCTTCAGTTTTTGTTCATTAGAAAGGAGCCATTTCAGCCAGAGCTTTGTGGGGGAGGCTATGGTTTCTGGGTTAGTTGCTGCCAATTAGACCTGACCTCTTTATATGTGTGTATGTGTGTGCCATTGGTAGATGGTTGGATATAACTGTTGTATGTGTGATTGGAGATACGCTGTTGCCTGCCTTTCTGCTAACTGTGATGGCAACTCTGTGTCCTCTCCAGCCCATGGTTTAAAAAGTCATCTCTTGGTACATGGCTGGGAGAGAGATTTATCTAACATCTAGTATGGAACTGACCAGCTAGAAGACATGGCTTCCTCAGCAGTGCAGCTGCCTAGAGAGGGAAAGTGAGAGCAGCCAGCATACATGATAATCAGGGGTGTCAGGAATGAGGAATTTTGATTCTGGTAGATTGCCAGGGTTTCCCCACCCAGGTAAACAGACATGTTTAATTGCATCTTCCAAAGCATAGGCCTGGCCCAGCTCTATGTGGCATTGGAATATATAGTATCCAGGAGCCTGGCTGGCTTATTACATATTACATTTTTTTTCCTGGTTTCTATGCCAGCCACAATGCTCCCATTCTTTTTAACTCTTAGCTCCCCTTTACTACTAAGAGCCTTGAATGTATTTGGTATATCTAGAATTGTGTGCTGAAGCTCCAACTTTCTGTTACTATACAATCCAGAACTCAGGAAAAAGCCATGCCAATTTTGCTTTTGCGTCGCATGTGTTTCGTGTGCACATCTGTCCTTTTTTTGGTCACAAATTGGAAGATTCTGATGACAGAGCTGTATGAGTGAAAAGGCCGTGGGTGGGAGGGAGCTGCTGACTGAAGGAACCCTACTCCTTGTATTTGATTTTCAAACTTTTAGTAGAAATACCCATTGTATCTTCAGAGGCTTCACCTGCAGTCGTGAGGCCTAGTATGTTCTGTTAAAAAACAAATGCTCATAAATTGTTTTAATGAAGCATCTTCTGTGGAAGGCAGCCTCCTATGTTGAATTATGTCATGCAGTTTCAGCTACCCAGAATCCAGGACCGGCTGGTGGTGCATTCGTGGAATAGGCCAGGCTATAGTGTAGGCAGCAAATGGCCTGGTGCTTGTAAGTACCGTATTTTTTGCTCTATAAGACTCACTTTTTCCCTCCTAAAAAGTAAGGGGAAGCGTGTGTGCGTCTTATGGAGCGAATGCAGGCTGCGCAGCTATCCCAGAAGCCAGAACAGCAAGAATGATTGCTGCTTTCACTGTGCAGCAATCCCTCTTGCTGTTCTAGCTTCTGAGATTCAGAATATTTTTTTTCTTGTTTTCCTCCTCCAAAAACTAGGTGCGTCTTGTCTGATGCGTCTTATAGAGCGAAAAATACGGTAATAAGTAATCAACTAGAGCCCCATCTAGTGGTTGCACACATGCATCTGCTCCTTCCTTAAATCAGTGCTCTAGGCTGGAACTAGACACATCAAAGAAACGTTTCAAACTTTGTATGAGACACATCAAAGAAGCGTTGCAAACTTTGTATGAGAAATCGGGTTAGCAAAAACGGAATTCCACAGCGCCATCTGGTGTCACAGTGTTAGAATGCATAAACAAAGCATAAGTGTTTTTTCTTTGCCGAAGCCAAGTCCCCAGCTCTTTCTAGCTGAGTCCCCAGAAGCTGTTCCAGAGTTCTCAGTGTGGACCTTTCCTAAGCTGTGTGCCTGTCGCTTTGGTAACCTTGTATGGGATGCTAGTATTGTTGTTGGTGTGGGGACAGAGAAGGGGAGTGGAGAACCTGTAGCCCTCCAGTGGCTGCCTGACTACAGATTTTCATATTATTGGCCGTGCCAACTGGGGCTGCTGGGTGTTGTAGTCCAACATCTTAGAGGGCCACAGATTCTCTATCTGTGGAGCACAGTCTACCAGGCTTACAAAGTATCAGGAGGGGCGGGAAGAGTCTTTGGCAACATGTGGCACTCTGTACACTTTACTTCCTCTCCGGAGTTCCCCAGGATCTTTGTCTCCTGACTGAGCGTCATCCTGCTAGAGTCATCCTGAGATGAGAAGCGGCAGCTGCTTGACTTGTCTGCATCTCACTGTTGTAAAAAATGACATGGCAATCTTTCTCTGAGGCCCATGGGTGGGGCTCTAGAGAGAACCCAAAAGGACTTGTAGTAGGCAAGGCTGGATATTTGTGCCACAGTAACTTCTCTGTGCGCTCCGTAGCTAAAGAGAGCAGCGACAATGAGGTTGAGTGGGCTTAGAAGGCGGGGTGGGGGTGGGGGAGTAAGTTTTAGAAGGGAACCAGAACTCAAAAGGTTTGAAACATTGCTTTACGGTGGAAGGCCCCATTCCCCCGCTGAAAATGCAGCAGCTAATTGTAGCGCTCAACATACAATTTAAAGCACTGGGACTATGTGGACAGGGAAGTGAAACCTCCTAGTAAATTTCCCAACTAGAGATGCCATAAACTTCGTTATACCTACCTAATTAGCGAGGTGTAGCCGATCAGTCCCAGGAGGTGGAACTGATCAGTCTGCTTATTTAGGTCATTGTGCACCTGGATTATAGAATCAGAGAACTGTAGAGTTGGAAGGGACCCCAAGGATCATCTAGTCCAACCCCCTGCAATGCAGGAATCTTAGCTAAAGTGTCTATGACAGATGGTCATCCAACCTCTGCTTAAAAACCTCCAAGGAAGGAGAGCCTACCACCTCTCATGGAAATCTGTTCCACTGTTGAACAACTCTTACTGTCAGAAGATTCTTCCTGAGGTTTAGTCAGAATCTCCTGACTTGTAACTTGAATTCATTAGTTCGAATTCTAGCCTCTGGAGCAGGCAAAAACAAGGTTCCTCCATCTTCCATGTGGCAGCCCTTTAGATATTGGAAGATGGCTATCATATGTCCTCTCAGTCTCCTCTTTTCCAGGCTAAAGAGATTACCGGTAATTTTACCAGTTTTTAATTTTGGAATTATTTGATTAAGGCAGGGTAGCGAACCTGTAGCCTTCCATATGTTGTTGGACTCCAACTCCCATCATTCCTGATCACTGGCCATGCTGGCTGAGGCTGATAGGAGTTGGGTCCAACAACCCCTGGAGGGTCACAGATTTCCCCACTGCAGTTAAGAACTGTTGTCCTAGGTAATATGTTTGTTCAGAGAATGCGCACTCAGCCTGGCTGCCTGAACTCTTGGGAGTGAAAAATGAGAACTATTGGTTGAAGGTCTGCTCTTGAAAAGTGGGGCACCAGGTCCCTTTGTGACGGATGTGTATGTTTTAACTGGAAGCATTCTTGTAAATGTGTAGCTCTTAGCAAAGAAGACCTCTAACCCCTTCTCTTTCTACAATATTGATCTGTTTGGCAAGAGCCTGGTACTTTGCCATATGTTGTGGGGGTTGGCTGCCCTTGCCTTGCCCAGCTTGAATTAACCAACTTCCCATTTCTGTCCGTCTCAGAAAATCATCGGCGTATTCAAACCCAAGAATGAGGAACCTTATGGGCAGCTGAACCCTAAGTGGACAAAGTGGCTGCAGAAACTGTGCTGCCCCTGTTGTTTTGGAAGGGACTGCCTTGTTCTTAACCAGGGATACTTATCTGAGGCTGGTGCTAGCCTTGTTGACCAGAAGCTGGAACTGAACATTGTTCCCCGCACAAAGGTGAGCCTGGGACAGAGGAGGAAGCAGACTGCAGGATTTAATAGTGGATAGGATGCCTGGATAGAGACCTGTGTGTTTCTGTGTGGGATCCCCAGTGCCTACTTCCTAAATAATAAAATCCTGCCTTTCATCCAGCTCCCACTTCTGTCTCTTATCTTAATAGTTTGTTCCTATATATCTATTGATATTTCTCACTCCTAGCCCAGTGAGGACTTCTGGCTTTGGATTAGAAGCGGGGAGAACAGCAATTGAGGGAAGAAGCAACTGGGAGTAGTCCCAGAATTATTATATTCCATTCATTCATTCTTTTAAAAAATTGCCCTTTGCCAAGTGTGGTGAGTTGCTGGTTTTTGCATTAATTAGGTTAATTTGGTTACTGCATTCTTGAGTTTGATCTCCATATTTGAGTTTTGGGATAGGAACTACATGTAGAAGTAGATAGAAGAACCTGACTACAGATGAAGAAAAGTTGTAACCATAAGCATGGAATGTTTATATCACTTTTAAAGTACTATATACTTTTATTTACTTTTTAACAAAGCTGCTAGAAGGTATGGGGTTTTACTCTCCCCACCCCATTGTAATTTTTCAGGTCAATAAATTATGCTCAGAATTTGAGATGTGTAGGTTTTGTTTTTAATAAAGTAGGCAGACCTGTATATGCCTAGATTTTTACCATGTTCTGTAAATAGCAGTGTGTGGCATTTATGGATTATGCTTTTTAAAAGTCACCTCTTTTCCATGCCCACAGGTGGTGTACTTGGCCAGTGAAACATTTAACTACAGCGCCATTGACCGAGTGAAGTCCCGGGGCAAACGCCTGGCCCTGGAGAAAGTGCCAAAAGTGGGGCAGAGGTTTCACCGAATTGGGCTTCCTCCAAAGGTAGGGGAGGTTTAAGGTGCCCAGAAATGTTTTGTGCCACTGAGCCTTGTTCCCTTAACCCACCTGCCTCTTGCTCTCAGGTGGGCTCCTTCCAGCTCTTTGTGGAAGGCTACAAGGATGCAGATTACTGGCTACGGCGCTTTGAGGCTGAGCCCCTCCCAGAGAATACGAACCGCCAATTGCTGCTGCAGTTTGAGAGGCTGGTGGTGCTGGACTACATCATTCGCAATACAGGTAGGTTCTGTGTCAGCTCTTGGCCCATAGGGTGGGAGCACTGCCGACTGAGGAATCTGATGGGAGAGATATTACTTGTTGGAAAGCCTTGTGAAGAGGGAAGTATATTTTGCTCTGCTATTCTGAATGTAGCCCTTGCTCAATGCACATATTCCCTGGTATGCTACTTCCGAAACTCCTTGGCCCTCTGATGTCCCACAACGTTGTCTATAGGTACGATCGTAAGAAAATGAAATGACAATCATTCTCCAATTTGTTTTTGAAGAGGTATGCAACATGATACAGTCCTGGAGATCTCATCAATTACTATTTATAGTAATTGGAGGGAAATTCCTTGTTTTCTACACAGTGCTGCTGTGTTCTGCACACATATACTTGCACATGTTTATATTCATGTTTCAATAATTTATATTCTATTGTCATTTGGGTTCCTGTGACCTTGTCTCCTTGTCATTTATATTTGGGGACTTCCTCCTGTATTTGAGGGGAATAATAGGAAACTGCCTTTTACTAAGTCAGATGGTTGGTTCACTTTAACTCAGTATTCTCTACATTGATTGTTCAAAAGCCTTTTCCGGCCCTATCTGTAGATGTCAGGGACTGAGCCTGGAAATTCCTACATATGGAGCACGTGCCATTCCACTAACCTAAAGCCCTACATAGCTGTGTGCTGGTGCTCCTTGGCTCTTGAGGCAAACCATTGTGTCGAAGACGTGATGGATAGCCTGCAAGTGATTTATGCAGAGTTCCAACCTGGAGCCCTGCTGTAGCCATAGGTAGTCTTATTGTCCTAAAATCCTCGTAGAGTTGGGATACTCTTACCTGAAGGCTGTACAGCATCTTCCCAAGCCTAGGATGCAGGCTCTGCAGCTTCCACTTCCCCTGAAGGAAGGATAGTAGGGGATTGCCTTGCTGTTTTGCATGGGAAATTCTTCTGTGGCTTGACAAACCATGAGCAGTAATGACAAGGCTGGAATAAGGTTGCCTTCTCCAAATAATAGGGGACGAACGACTGAAAGATTGTAAGCTGCCAGATTACACAGTTTGATGATGTGTCTTACTTCTTCTCCCCCCACCGCCACTTTTTAATACTACAATGTGGATCTTGCTATCTGTGGTGAGATTTCTCTGTCTTATCAATGTGTTTTCCTTCTTCCACAGACCGGGGAAATGACAACTGGCTTATCAAGTATGACTGTCCTCTGGACAGCACAAGCGTGCGGGTGAGTAGGGCCCATGCTGCTCTGATGGTTCCACTTGGGGATCTATCTTGTGTTCTACAGCAGCAGGCAGTATGGGACTAGAAGGAATTGGTATGCAGTGTTGAGGAAGGGCCAAATTTAAGGGAATGTCTCTAATCAGGTGCCGTAACTGCTGAACACATCTTAGGCACAGGTAGACTAGCTGACAACTTGCTGCTTGTGGAGTGACAGCCCTTAGTTCCGAGTGATATAAAAAGTTGGTCTTCAGTGTATAGCCTGGCACCAAGACATGGGAGAGTCCAGAAGTTGCTGAGCCCTTTCCAGTGAGTGCCAGAAAAGAGAAAGCTGGCATCATGGCTCTAGCAAGCTTGCAGAGGAGCAAAATTGGGAGGGAGAAGGTCGTGTCAAAGGAGTGCTAGACTCACTTTTCCCATTAGCAATGCTTGGACTCCCTTTGGGCCTGGGGGGGGGAAGGGGGGGCAGAGAGGATTTGAGGTAGGGCTTGGTCAGAACTTTTGGTAGTATAAGCAGTGCCCATTGTGTTGCTTTTGCGGTGCTGAAAATGAGGACAAAGCGGAGCTGCAGAATGGAAGAGACAAGTGGCTTCAAAAATTAGTTTGGGAAGGTAAAAAGGGGATTAAGTGGATGCATGGGGTGGGAAGGGGAATCTGTAGAGCGTTAATGTGGGAAGAGAAGTGGAGTTGCGGTTGGTAAACAGTGAGCAGTGGGGCAGAGCACCCCGTGTGTGTGTGGACGAACATTTTAGATATTGTTTTACTCTTGTTCTTATATTTGGTTTTAAACATTTTCCTGTAAAAAGTAACAAATACAACAGTACCCTTTTCTGGTTCAACATTCTTCCCTCTCTGTAGGACTCAGAATGGGTAGTGGTGAAGGAGCCTATAATTAAACTGGCTGCCATTGACAATGGCCTGGCTTTCCCTCTCAAGCATCCAGATTCTTGGAGAGCATGTAAGTAGTCCCAAGCCCTAGAACCCAAGCAGATTCCCAGTAAGCAAGTGTTTCTGGCTGGTCCAGGGTGCTCTTTAAGGGCTGACTGCCTTGTGTTTCCATGTGGAGTCCAGGATGTTCAGGGCCTCCAGTGCTAAGATTGAGTCATCTTCAGTGTCCTTTATGGGATGTTGCCCTCATAACAAGCCTGTTAACATTTGCTTTTTGTTTCTCCCCCCCTCTCCAAAGACCCTTTCTACTGGGCATGGCTGCCCCAGGCCAAGGTGCCCTTTTCCCAGGAGATCAAGGATCTGATACTGCCAAAGATTTCAGACCCTAATTTTATCAAGGATTTAGAAGAAGACCTCTATGAACTCTTCAAGGTAACCACAGGCACCGGGGCAAGTACACCTGTGATTCTACTCATTCTGCTCATGAGCAAATAATTTGTGTGGATGCTGTGGGAGGGTAACTGCACCTATTCCGCTCCATAAGAACAGAAGACAAGAAGAGATTTGTACACAGCACCCACCCTAATCGTGTCTGTCTATTTGTTGCCGTCTCTTTTGTAGAAAGATCCAGGTTTTGACAGGGGCCAGTTCCACAAGCAGATTGCCGTCATGCGTGGCCAGGTATGCTCCTTGCTCCCATTGGAGGAATGGGATCTGTGCTGGGCACTGGGCTGTCTTGGCTTCCCTTTACAATTGGGTTCCTGCTGACTCCGGGCACTCAAGTTCCCCCCCTCTTCTCTTCCTAGATCCTGAATTTGACCCAGGCCTTGAAAGATGGGAAGAGCCCCCTTCACCTGGTCCAGATGCCCCCTGTAATTGTAGAGACAGCTCGCTCCCACCAGCGCTCTGCCAGTGAGTCGTACACGCAAAGCTTCCAGAGCCGCAAGCCCTTCTTTTCCTGGTGGTAGCAGAGGTCTCTGCGACTCATCGAGGAACCCGTTATCACTTGACAGCGGGCAGCCAATCCTCCAGACTGAGGCTGCTGTGCTGCTGCCGGTGGGAGATGTAAGCAGGCGCTACCAGCCAGCCTCAACTCTGCACATTCCCAGCAGGAAGGGAGGCCCTTCCTTAGACCTGACTGCTCCCCACCCCCCTTGCTGCGGGCTGGAAATGCCCGCCCGCTCCCCAGCCTGAGCATGGCAGCATCTCCCAGCAGGTGCCTGCATGCAGCATCCTTTGGTTTCAAGCCGTCCCTCTAATGTCCACCTGGGTGGAGAACACCCCAGGGTCCTCTGCCTGGGAAGGCTGGCGATGAAGGGGGATGATCTGAGTTGGATAGAGGTCTCCTGCTGTGTACAACTCCCAGCCTTGATATTCCTCCCTCCTTCCCTGCACCCTGTTTTATCCTGCAGCGGAGGGGGAGGACCCTGCTCCACTAGGCTTGCTCTGTTATCCGTGGTCCTACAGAGCTCCTCCTAGTGCTGTAGGCACCAGTCATGTCTTGGGGCCATCCATAAGGAGCACAGCTGCCACCGACTGCTCCTGGGAGGATGCAAGTTGGGATAGAGAGGAAAGAAGAACTTAAGGGTCGGACTAGAGTCTGTTGGTGCAGCTTTTGTCTGCCTGGGGTAATATTAGCAGGTAGGTCCTGCAAGAGTATAACTGCTGTGCTTCCTTCCCTTCCTTCTGCAAGGGAGTAAATGCCTCAAATAGTAGATTTTAACATTGGTTTTAAATAATTGAACCCAAGTGAACACACTTGTTCTCCATGTAGTGCCGGAGCAACTGAGAGGATGCCTATATCCTAGCACTGTTAGCCTTGGGCTAGTATTTCACACCCATCTAGTCTGATCCCTAGAGGAAGTAATAGCTGTGCCTCTTCTCTGCCGATGCTGGGGTGAGCGGGAGGCAGAAAAGAGGCCACTGCCAGAGGCAGAATCCTCCCTTGGGCTGCGTTTGGGCATTGACAATCGGAAGGGGGGAGGAGGTTCTCTGGGTGGGGTTGCCTGCTGCCATGGGGGAAATGTCCTCACTTGCATCCTCATAAGGGGAAGCACTCACATTAGGATCACTACCATACCGAGGCCCAGTACACCCCGTGTGCAATGGAATGGTACAGTGAATGCTGCTTTCCTGAAAGCTACTGTGCTAAATCCCTGGCATCAAGTTTCCCTCTGAAATTGTCCATATAAGTGTCCTGAATTCTCCTTGGGTGTTGCTGATTTGGCTGCCACCCAGGCCTGCGAGGAGAAGCCTTGCATTGAGTCCAGCTTCTCTGCTGTTCAGAGCAGTCGCCTGGTACCCTGTATGTGGGGGGGTCTGCCTCTTTCTCACTTGGGGGACAATTCCCTGCTGTATGCCTGAGGTGCCAGGCTGAAGCTGATGTACTTGATGCCAGGCACGGGTTCTTTTCCTTTTTGCCAGCCTGAACTGAAATGTATCGTTCTTATGCACTGTAGAAATGTATGTAATATATTTAAATCAATGCAAGTATCTTCATAACAGGTCTGCAGTTGCAGAGCCAGTCTCTTGCGTGGGTTTTTTTTTTTTTTTTGTCTGCTTGTGTTAATGGGAACTGAATTTTCTCCCTGCTCTCCTCCTTGCAATAGTGCTGCCGCTTGCAATTGTGTCATGGCTCACACTTGCTCTCTCCTTCCCCTGCAGTATGAATATTCCCCACTAGGTGAAGCTTACACTGCATACATCATTGGAAAGTCCTTCCTTGTGTCTGACTTTTTTGTATTGCAAAGCATGGGATGGGAAGCTGTCCTGAACTCATGGGGTTGGGAAGTTGTGGCCTGCCTGCCTGATGTTCCAGGCTATAAATTCCACTTTCCTCAGTTACTGGCCATGCTAAGTGGGGCTGACTGGAGTTAAGAGTCTAAAAACATCTGAAGGACCACATATTCTCTACCCCTTTACCACCTGCAAAAAAACCCTTCCTGATCCTTTTATAGCCTTTAGGAGAAATAATCATGCATTTCATCCTGTTAGCTTGGATGGCCCTGGCTCGAAGTGATATTTAACACAACATATACCCTTTCATCGCCTTAATGTGCTAGTATTCACTTCTATTTTGGTAATATAAAATCTGTACAGTTAAAAGAAAAAACAAGTTGCCCAACTTCTGCACCAAGTATGACGCTGATTGTGCACAAGACCTTCTTGCCTTGAGAGAGCTATTATAGCTAGGCACCCAAATGGGCAGACCTCTGGTTGTTCAACAGGGGTATGTGAGTACATAAAGGCAGAAAACTATTTAAACATAATGCAGCCTTAGTTCCTGTTCTCTTTTGGAATTATCAGGACTGTGTATGTCCCTACACTCCATCTCATAACTTTTCCGAACACTTAGTTTTTCAAAGGACTGACCTCCTGTATAATAGCAGTAAGGGAACTACTCCCCAGTCAACATGATCACACCTACAAAGTGAAAGAGCATTATACTTGCCCTGCCCCGTGATTATTCTTTGTATAGGATGGAGTGACCACCCTCACAACTAGGTGGGCGAAGAGAACTTATGAAGACAGCTAGTCTTGCAGAAAGTGAGACTTTCTAAGGCTGTCACTGTAGACGGTGCTTTTGGTGCAAACCCAGACCCTTGATAATCCATTCCTCAACCCCAACACTTGACTCGCCTCAGATTTAGAAGAGGCAGTTGACACACTGGCATAATTAGGAAATCCACTTCAAGATGTGACTCTAGCTGATATTAAAAGGCAGCTAGACAAACCCGTGAGGGACAGCCCTGCCTCCAGCTACTTACATGAAGGTGCCACATAGTTTTCATGCAGTTGGGGCAGCCTGCCTCCAAATACAAATTACTGAGTGGGAGCCAACAAGAAAGCTGTTACCTTCATGCAGCCTCCTTGTGGACTTCTCAGAGCATCTGATTATGCAAAATACAGTGCTGAACTAGAGACATTGGTGCAATTTAAGCAATTACTACTTGCTTTCATAGAGGGGACTGTATAATAAGCTTTATTAAATATGACCAGGTACATTCAGTCTGTAGTGTTTGTGCTTTGTCATAGCCAGGTGTGGTCTGAGAACCAGAACAGGTAGTGCTTGAAAGAGGAGGGTTGGTTTCAAGTTTCTCCACCATTTTTGCCAGTGTGAAGCACAGAGGATATTATATGAAAACATTTTACTATGAGAGAAGTGCATCTTCCATATGAACCCCTTTGGGTTCAGGCTACTCCTGTTCCGTACAGTGACATTTAACTACAACTGTTGCCATCAGGTTCAGTTGCTCACCGGCGGAGCTGGTGCAGGTAGTCTGCAGTTCCCATTCCACTTTTTTTCTTCCTGTAGTGGGAAGCAGTGTAGTGGCTGGTTTGATCAGCTGCATCTATCTCCTTATCGCTGTTGCTGCAGCCATCAACATCAGCACATGATGTGGTGCGGTCTTCAATCCTATAGGAGAACAAAGGCACCCATTAAGAAATGGAGTAGTATGTTATCTCTTCTGGAGAAGTAAGCAATATGTACAGGCAATAAGAGAATTGCCATGGTGTCTTTCTACAAGTAAAGGAGGAAAGAATTTACAGGAGTGGCTACTCTTGCACTTGAAGATTCTCTTGCTAGTTTGTGAGAAGCACACTTGCCCTCCTTTTCCTCTAGATCAGCAGTAGCAAAACTGACGTGCCCAATTCTCAGCCCCAGCCATATGAGCAAAGATCTGAGATGATGAAAGCTATACAGTGGTACCTTGGGTTACATGCGCTTCAGGTTACAGACTCCGCTAACCCAGAATTAGTACCTTGGATTAAGAACTTTGCTTCAGGATGAGAACAGAAATCATGCGGCAGCAGCAGGAGACCCCATTAGCTAAAGTGGTGCTTCAGGTTAAGAACAGTTTCAGGTCAAGAACTGACCTCCAGAACGAATTAAGTACTTAACCCAAGGTACCACTGTAGTCTAGCAACATCTGGTTGGCCACAGGTTCCCAAACCCTGCTGATCTAGCTGTCTTTGTATCCTCCATGTTTAAAGAATTTAAAATTCTGTTCAAAGGGAGAATAAATTGTGTGAACAGTACAAATAATGCAAATGAATTACATTTACATGTTTACTTACTCTGCATACAGTGGTGCCTCGCAAGACGAAATTAATCCGTTCCGCGAGTATCTTCGTCTAGCGGTTTTTTCGTCTTGCGAAGCAACCCTATTAGCGGCTTAGCGCTATTAGCGGCTTAGCGGCTATTAAAGGCTTAGCGGCTTAGAAAAAGGGGGGGGAGCGAAAAAAAATCTCAAGACTCGCAAGACATTTTCGTCTTGCGAAGCAAGCCCATAGGGAAATTCGTCCTGCGAAGCGCATTGAAAAACGGAAAACCCTTTCGTCCAGCGGGTTTTCCGTCTTGCGAGGCATTCGTCTTGTGGGGCACCACTGTACATAAATTCTGCTTCTGTTACTGATGAGTAGAGGGCATGAACTAGAGAAAGCTTTGCCCCTCTGGTTTCTGAAACTGCACATTACCCACATACCTTTGCATCTATATTTTCAGCTGTAACAGCTACAACTTACATAAGCTGAAAGCTGAGGTTGGTAAGAGGCTAAACTCTGTACCTGTCAGCAGATTCTGTTTACATGCTATGCCTGAGTACAATACAAAGCACATTTGCTCCAGTTCTGAACACACTGCAATATAACCAATGAACACAGTTTTAAGCAAAGGATGCTCTAAGCCGTGGCTTTATTAAGAGACCACTGTTGATGACATATGGCCATAATTATTATACATCTGCACAACAGCATTAGGAGCAGGTAACACCAGTTGGTTAGCAGGAGCTCTGAGGCTGAGGCTGCATATGCACACTATAAAATGGAATCTTAGTGCTTTAAATGTAAAGTCATGTCTTCCCCCCAAACTGCACTTTACTAAGGATGCTGAGAGTTGTAAGGAAGTCCCTGTGTTCCCCCCAGAGCAGTTTAACAACAATCCCTTGTCACAGGGAACTCCTGAAAACTATAGTTCTGTAAAGGGAACAGGGACCTCTAACAACTCTCAGCATCCTTAAACTACAACTCCCAGAATTCTTTGGCGGAAGCCATGACTGTTTATTTTATTTTTTTTATAAGATATTTATCAAGATTTTTTTTAAATGTTACAATAAAAATGAAAAAAATATATATGACAAAAATACAAAATAAAAATAGTTAAAAACACACAGATTTTCCATTACTTATTTTCCTTTGACTTATTTCCCGGACCTCCTCATACCTCCCTTTTTTGTATTCCACTTCAATCTGTTGGTTCAGCAAATCCTTTAAAAGTAATAATATTAAATTTTTACCTATTTATAACCCCTTTTTCATATTCCCTTAAAGCATTACAGCTGGAAACCACTTAATTACTATCCAACATCATTCTAACATTCATTAATTTTACAATATTTCTGTAGATAATCTTTGAATTTCTTCCAATCTTCTTCCACTGTTTAAAGTAGTACCATAGGGTTTAAACTAGTACCATAGGGCTTTATGGTGTGAACGTGACCTGACTTGAGGTACAGCAGCTGGTCAAAAGTATGCAAACCAGCAATTTATAGAATAGATCTGTAAAGGTGGGTAGGTAGGAAGTTACTGGTTTTAGGTAGAGATCTGCTTACTCCAGGAGTTGAGAACCTGAAGTCCTCCAGATGTTGCTGAAGAACACCCGTTATCTCTTATCATTGGCCATGCTAGCTAAGACAAATAGAAATTAAGAGTCCAATGAGATTTGAAGGGCCATTGCTGGCCTACAACCTGCTGTTGCAGAAACAGCAGAGGAGAGGGGATCTTTGTGGCTTTATTGTTAGATGGTGAATGCAAGAGCTGTAGAAGCAGGGTGGCATGAACATGGAGACCATACCGTAAGCGGCTGAAGTGTTGAAGCTCTAGGAGTCTGGTGGCACCACTCATTTCTGAAGGAGGTCTCAGGTGTGATCTCAGCCTCAGCTTTCTCTGCCTCCTTCGGAGCTGTTGCAAGGCGTGAGCAATGCAACGGCTCCCTGCACATTCCCAGACCAGCTGGGCCCTCTCCTCGGCTTGGGCATCCCCACTGCTGTGGAAGAGGCGGCGCAACTGCAACAGCCCCACCCCCTGAAAGATGTTGGCAGATGCTCTCTTGCGAGTGCAGGCTTTGGGGGTCTGATGCTGTGGCAAGTCACAGGCAATAGAGGCTGGGGTACCCATGATGCTAGGGTCCCTCCACTCCGTAGCTGAAGGTGGTTCTGTGAAAGAGAGAGGAAATAGGGTGAAACAGCAGAATGACTAATCCTGCCAGCCATTGCTATTCCCCTGCTGCCCTCAACTTCACCTATGCCTGCCTAGCTGGGAGCAGATGTGTAAGACACAACCTTTCCACAGCCATGCCTCAAGGCATCCATCCTTTTTGCCAACCCAACTTGTCTGCCACCACTTCCTACAGAAGGAATTGGGATTCCTATTCTGCAGCTGACTCCTGGCCCTTGGGGATGTGTAGGCCATCAGAAAGAGAGCACCTCCATTTTCCTAAGCAAGCCTCTGAGCTCCCTCAACACCATCCAGATGGTGGTTTAATTCTCTGGCAGCAGAGTATTAAGCCAGGCCTCTGCTTGCTCAGTACAGGTGTGCTAAAGTTGGGAGGAGCTACATACCAAAAAACAGCTCCAGGCTAAAAGCCGGTTTGCATGCACTGAAATTCCACAGAAGCTGGGACGAGTGCCAGGGTGGGGCCATATGGGTCACATTCTTGCACTCAAGCGGAAGGGCTGGCATTTGTCTTCTAGCAGCCTCTTTGATGTCTCTTATGGTAGAGAAAGCCTAGGGACAGCAGTTAATTCCCAAAGAGAGCCTGATGACCCTCTTGCCCAAATATGAGCTACAGGTTAACTCTGGAAAGCTTAGACGATGCAAGCTAACCCGGCAGTGTCCTCTCCTCACAGCTGGAGCCTCGCTTGCCAGCTCGCCAGATGATCCCAATGAATCATGGTGTCCAAGCCATGAGATGGGCACGCGGGAGCCGAAGAGACGAGCCAATACGTCAGTTCCCGGGAGCTAAGGGTGCACTTTTATATTGCTCCGAAAATGGCATTATACATACGCAGCATGCATATTTGTCCCTCAGCCCGGTTGCTGTGCAGGAACCGATATTGGGACTGGATGGAAAGAGAGAGCTGATGTTGACTTGAACCACGGGGAGACGCAGAATTAAGTCTCCGTGCTCAGCATGGAGATAACTGCGTGACAACGGGCCAGGGTCTCAGCCTACTCTACCTTACCGGGATGTTGGGAGGATAACTCCCAAGTATGCACCCCTCAGCTCGTTTGCATTACAGTATTATTATCCCCAAATAATAATTCACGCGGGGCCCTGGGAGATCTAGGGCAAGTTACACTGTCCATCTAACCTTCCCCACGGAGTCGTTCTGAACTTCTTCGAGCAAAAGCATGATGTCAAGGGAACAAAAAGGAGCCCAGCAAAAAATTATTCTGGTTTGTGCTGCCCCGAGATACTGGCAAGGATTGTTCCCTCTCCAGCGGAGCGAGGAACCACGTCCCTTCCCCCACTCGGGGGAATCTGGCATTTTACAGCAACAGATCGAGGCCGATGCCCAGACCTGAGTGGATTCGGGCTCCTCGGACAGGTAAGTCACAGACCTGGCGGCTGCTGTCGTCCTTGAGGCCACGGGTCTCTCGAAGGCTCCTGGAGACCCGCCAGGGCGGGCGGTTCCCCTGCTCTCGCTTTGCCTCTCCCCAAGCCGATTCCCGTCATTCGCAGGCTCACGCGGCGAAGATTCCTTTGTCCATTGATGAGCGCAGGCAACCTGCATCTCAGCCAATCGGCTTCATCTGCCTCTTAACTCCAAGGTTCTAAATCCGAACTCCGAAGATAACCAAGGCAGCCAATCGGGTGGGGAGGAGGCGGGGCTCCGCTGTCCCTGCTGGTAACGCGTGACAGGCGGCGTTCTTGACGTCACCGGGAAGGGCGTTAGCCTGCAAGGAGAAAGAGGGGCGTTGCTTTTTCCTGCTGTGGTTGACTGACAGGGACGGCGGGGTGTGTTTGTGTGTTTTGTCCACAGGCACAGAGGCGTCTGCCTTTCCTTAGTCTGAACCTAATTCCAGCAAAGAGTTAATTGGCCTTCTGAGAAACCCGATCGTGCCATGTCACCGGCGTGGAGGCTTAATCTTTATCCTCTCCTCTTCCCAGCCCCACTTTATTTTTGCTTGTTTTCCTTCAGTGGCTCGCGCCGAATTCTCTCTTTGCAAATAAAGGGTCAGGGCGGAGTATCTGGTTCTGGCAGGGCAGGGAGTGGAGGTCCGCAGGGGAGCGAAGCACGATCGGCCTCCCTGACAGCAACCTGAAAAATAGGACTTGCTGCTGGAAAGGATCGCTAGCCTGACCCGGTAACGTCTGGCTTCTCAGACCACTTCGGCAACCTGCTCGCCTTTGCCTGTCAGGGCAATTACGGGCCTGTCTGGGAAGGCAGCAGGCGAGAAAGGGTTTGGAGCGTGCCCATGGGCGTAGCCAGGATTTTTGTTTGGGGGGGGGGTAGAACCTAAGTTAGCTAGGTATTTTTATTTAAGGGGGGGAGCTGCTCTTCCCTGCCCTCCCCGGCTACGCCCTTCAACGTGCCTATTCCGCTCTACTGAGCCACGCAAAGTAGTCGCAGCCAGACACGTGCTAAGGGTCGACGTGGAGGGAAGGCACGGGCTCCCCAGCCAGCTCCTGCTGCGTGCCAGGAAGCCAGAACCCTCAGGCATGAATTTTTGCCGCCGTGTTCTCTGGAAAGTATGTAGAAAGATGCCATGAGATTTGACTTGCCCTTTGATCCCCAAGAAGACGCACACTGAGATGTAATTTTGCAAACTTGCCATAGAGAAAAAAGGGATCAGGGTTAAATGAATGCCCTATTTTCATTTAGACCTCTGCACCCCTTTCCAGGGACAGTCGCATCCACTCAGGATACAATGTCACATGGGAACATTGCACAAGTGTGTATCTTGCTGTAGTTCCAAGCTGAAGAATGCGTAAGCACAAGCAAGAGCTTCCAAATGTGCAATAGTGGAAAAAGACATATTTAAAAAACAAATAACTGAGTGCAATGTAAACTTTTTTTCTGGAGAATACCATGTGAGAAGTGGTGCCGTGAAACTTAAAATCCTGCACGTCACACAGAAATCATTGCCTGCAGCATCTTATGAAAGTCAAGAGACCCACTAAGATCAAAATTAGAGTGATTTCAAGAATGGATCCTTTATATGCGAGTTGTCAACGTTCCTTTTGGAACATTCAACCCTGCTACAGGACAAGCTGGTTTGAACCTGTTTAGGAGAGGTTTTGACTTATTGATTCATTCATGTACGACATATCTTGGTCACCTATTCATCCTGTCCTCTGGGCAGCTCACAGCAGTTTTAAAATAAAGCCATGTCTCTAAAGGCAGAGAGTGAAGTTTACAGGCAGAGGCACCAGATAAGGAAACAGCTTATCCATTTAAAGCCTCCTAAGCTTTTTATTTTTATATTCACAAGTGAAATCAGAAGTGTGGAAAAAAATACCACTGTTTTTTTCCTGGTCTCCTCTGCCTCTTTAGAACATAGAAAGAAAATTGACCTGAGTTCTGACATCCAAGATGAGAGCAGGCTGGAGTTTGTTTGTACCATCTAGTGGTGCTGGCCAGGACCTGGGCTACCAGAAGAGTCAATACAATGCAAAGTTTTGAGGCTGTGTATGTGCCATACACTTCAAGCACTTTACCCCCTTCTGAATCCTGGGAACTGTGGCTGAGAATGGGAACTAAGGATCCTGAGAATTGTAGCTCTGTGAGGGGCAAACTATAGTTCCCAATCACCTTATTGGGGGAGAAAGGAAATGTGCTTTAAACGTATGGTGTGCTTTAAATGTATGATGCCTATGCAGCCAATGTGTCCAAACCCTTCTCCTGCAAGGGAGAGGCAAAACTCTGTGCCTGCAGGGCCCACATGCTGAGGCAACCTTTCTGCTTAGGAAGAACTGTAGGCTGAAACAGGAACTGTGATGCTAAAGCAGCCAGTTTTAATGGGTGTTTTGAGAGCTCTTGGCTTGGGACTGCAGGGGCGTGAAGGAGAGAGGAGTGAGGAGTTAGCAGAAGGATGGAGAAAGAGAACCACCCAGAGAAGAGGAGGGGCAAGGGGGGAATAGGGAGGGACAGAGCCGGGAAACTGAGAGGCCCCTGCACAGGAAAGTCCATTGAGCTGCAGATGTTTGGCAGCTGCAGACAGAGGAAGTGCCTGAGAGGGGGGTGAAGTTCGCTGGGCTCCAGAAGGCAGAACTGGACGGGACAGAAGCGCCTGGAGGCCGCAGTCTTGCAGCATGGCTCTTCCACCACCTCCGTCCTCCCCTCCACCGCCTTGCCCGCAGTCGAGAGAGACTCTGAGCCTGAACAGGCCCTTCTTGAGAAGTCTGCTGGGAGTGCTGCGCATTGCCCAGCTGCTGACGGGGGCTGTCTGCTGGGTGACTTTAGCAGCGCACAAGTATGAAGGAGCCACCTACTTTGCGGTCTTTGCAGCGGTCCTGTTGTGGTTGCTCACCTTGGCGCTCTTTGGGCTCAGCCTGCTGGGCCGCTGGTCTCTGGTGCCGGTGCTGGGGACCCGCTGGCTTATGACGAACCTAATGCACGATCTGTTGCTTGGGGTTATTCTCTCTGCAGCTGCTGCAGGCATCCTGAGCCAGAAGGCACAGAGTTTCAGCTACTGCAACCTGCCAGGCTACATGTGGCCCTGCAGTTACAAAGCCTACCTGACTGCTGCCGTCTTTGCAGGTATCACTGCCTTCTTTTACCTAATTTCAGGACTCTACTGCCTGGTACGACATTTCCAGGGGCACAAGGATATCTGAGAGATGCAAGAAGGTAGGCTGATGGGCAGGGATGGACAGACCCTTCTTCAACCAGATGGACAAGCCTTGTACACATACAGTCCCCACAGACTACTCCTTGTTCCAGATTCATCGTTGCCTTCCTGATGGAGAGAAGAAAACTTCAATAGACTTTATTGGGAGAGGGGGAATAATCCCCTATGTCCATGGTACTGATGGATGCTCTATACCCTTCATCAACGGATGGACGCATGCTTTCATGACCCAGAAGCTAGAAATGGTATATCCTTCAGATTAAACGTGGGAGCCAGATTGTGGGTCTTCCCCGTTTCTTTTCTTCCTTCACTTGGCAGGTGGGTCTCTGGGGGTCCAGAAAGGTTTGGCCTGATCTATGATTCCAGAATATGTGGTTGACATAAGGTGCCCTGGAAGCCCTTGATCATTCAGTGTTATTCATAATCCTTATAGGAGCAGATTTAATTTAGTTTGTAGTGTTTGTCCATATGTTTTTATGCCATATACATAAGATCTCATCCTCTCACATTTAATTAATGTTTAGTAATACTGAATATCCACCCTTTAGGGTGCTCTGTTGGTATATTATTAATATTATCCCATTTCAGAAGTTATATAAGCATAAGCTTAGAAACCACCCCCAAAAGCTTCCATTGCATTCTTTTCTTCCTCCATAGCATTCTGTTTTTAATCAGATATTTATAAATGATGGTTCTTAGTAACTTTTTATTTTAGATATGACCCTGATGTGGACATTGTGACATTTATAGCATAGCATAACTCCAGTAACCAGTTTTTACTTTTTAAAAATGGATGTGTTGAGGCTCATGTCTTTTGGATATTTGCACTCCCTAACCTGTATTTCCTAAATGTGGGGCATTGGCTTTGCTGATTAAAGCAAGAGGCACATTCTCTTTGCTTTTGCTCAGATGAAGTTTCTTTGTTCTTACTATTAGATATGTAAGCTAAATACTGACACCAACAATGGGATCCAGAGCTGAGCTCATGAGTCCATTTCTGAGGCCTGGCAATCCCTAGCTCAAATTACACACACTGTGCCCATAAATGTCACTCTTGTAACTTCCTGAATTAATTAATGCTTCAGTTCCTTGAAATCTTCTTGAGCCATTGCCTCATATTTGAGCAAGCCACCCCACAAACCAATTGGTCATAAATAATAGGAAACATTGGAGAGTTCTGCAACAGGTTATGTAGTGAAGAAACAAAAGAGGCCAGAGAGCAGGGCCCTCTCACAGAAATTGGAGTGAGGTGCTGGTCATCATCTGAGGCCAGGATTGGAATCCAGGTGGATCATAGATGTGAATCTACCCAGTGTGGCTCTAGATGAGGTTGGGGCCAAACCTTGATATTTGGTATCTTTAGGAGGCAAGTACTTGGTTATTACCATAGTTCTGTGATCTGCAAAGACTTCCTAAAGATACCCAAATTCAGGTTCCTGCTGAAGAAGACTAATAGTGAGTGTGTGTGTGTGAGAGAGAGAGAGAGAGAGAGCTACCAGATTCCAGACTGTTCTTAGCCCCTTTTATGGCAGGGTCTGTATCCTCCTGCTCCCATCATATTCCAGAGAAGGAGGCATATTTTATTCTGCATGAAACATCAAGATAAATCCTACCCTGGATGGGAGAAAGAATTGAAAGAGAACCCCAGGGTAAAAATTTGCAGACAGGCACTGCAGCTGAATGGTCGACCGTGGAGGAAATGTAATTACTGCAAAAGCTGGCTCTGGGCCGGAAAAGGGGAGGAAAATATTCCTATGGCAACTGTGAAGAGAAACAGTTACATCACATGGAAGACTTCTAAGAGGGTCAGGGTGCAGAGTGCCCGAATTCCCCGTGCTTAGCAGGGAAACAGGATCCAGTGCTGTCGGGTACTACTCCCGCATGTCTCATGACTTTACATGAAATATAAGAATGTGACAGCACTAACCATACAAACCTTGGAACTAGGATCAACCCCCAGTTGCTACCATGTAAACTGAAGGTTTCATCATGCTCACGGATTGTCACACATTGGATTTCACCACCACTGGATTTCTCTGAAATATAGAAGTGCCTTGGATAAGAGACCCCTGCACCCCTTTGACTTCTACTGTTTGTCTAATTGTGCTAAACTCCCAGAGCAGCTACCACAGCTATCTTTTGCTAAGATGCTACATCTAATGTGCCTATATATCCCTACCTTTTTTCAAATGGTAGGAATAGGATCATTCTTGTTGGAGCCTCTTTTCCCTGTGATAAATGGACCCTATTCCAGCAACACCAAATGAAAAAGCCCACTTCAACCATGCTTAAGAAATCATATCTCAGAGTGGACCGCAGGAGTTTCCCAAAAACCCTTGGCCTCCAACCTCTGGACATTCCTGACTTTCTTCCTTCTATTCTACATGTAATAAAAACCTTGCTCCCCAGCTGTTTTCATCTTCATTAATGTACTCTGCCAAGGGTATTTACTGAACATTTATTTACTTGCACAGAGATTACACAGAGGTTATACATTTCCAAATTTGTTTGTAGGAAGGTCACGACAATGAGCATCCTATCTGTTTTGGTTGCATGGAAATTATGTGTGGTATTCAATGAAGTTTTATGCGGAGTAGACCCATTGGAATTAATGGACCTACTTTTCCATGTTCATTATTTTTATTGGGTCTACTCTGAGTAAAACTTAAATAACACCCCATATGTCTTCTCATCAGTCATCATCTCACACTTTTTAATGCATTTTCCTGTTGCTTTCCCAGCCATAGAAGTTTTGTTTTTTAAAGTGAATTTGTTGTGCCAGGTCCCTTTAATTGCACAAATCTAAATTTATGGTGTGTATTTTTCTCCAAAATAGTGACACCAATGCTTTATCTAGCTCAGCATTCAATCTGACAAAAGTGGCTAATGAATACCATAGGGACATTCATAAACAAAGCATAACTGTGATATCCATCACCTATTTTATTGCTCCCTGCAGCATCAGAATAGAAAAGATCCCCTGTATCTTCCCCCTTTTCCTATTCTCTCTCTCTGGATTTGAAGGTTGTAGGTTTTTCTCCTGGGCCAGACCCTTTTTACTTCTCACTGCTGATCCTTGCTCACTCAACCTTACACCTATCACATGCCCTGCCCTTTGACTGTGTGTTCCAGGCACCACAAGATACCAATTTCATTGTCACCAACCCAGCTATGTGTGTGTGTGTTTTAAGAAAGCCGTCAGAGCAAACCTGGAGATGTGCTGCAGTGTATTTCACAACTCTCTTGCTACTAATTTACTCAGAGATATTGATTTTCTTATCTCTGTTACTCCATTTTAAGCAAGCAAAGGGCAATTATTCCACTGATGCTGTGCTATCGTCATCTATCAAGATGACGTCAGGGACCTTTTGAATATGAAACGGTCACATAATATGTAAGTTATAGGTACAGTACCAGGGCCCTGGCTGCTAGCCAGTCATGAACATGGAAGGTTATTCTATGTATCTAAAGCAGGGATGTGTGGACAGATGTTGTTGGACTTGTGTCCCATCAGTGCCAGCCAAAGTATGGCTGATGGTCAGGGTTGATAGCTTGGTAGTTCAGCAACAGCCACAGATTCTCCAGCCTTGATCTAAAGGGTTGATAAAGTATGTGGTTTCCTACAAATTCAGGGCATTCATTACTCTTGAAATGATTTATTTTAAGTAGGCGGAAGTTTGGAATCCCTATCTCACTCCCTATCTCCCACTCAATCTGAACCCTATCTCTCAACTCAAATCAAGCCTTATCTCTCATCTCAAATCAAGCCCTGTCTCTCCCTCAGAAACTGCTCCTTTTATTCTCCCTCCAAAGTGCTGCTCCTCTCCCCTCTGTGGCTAGCTGACTCTGTGGCTAGCTGTCAATCAGCGAGAGGCTCCAGCACTCTGGTGGAATTTCCGAGGGACTGCATCACCAGACTCTGGTCTGGCTCTGCTGTCCGTCACAGAGAGGAACAGCTTACTGGAGCCACATTGAGGCATTATTTGGTTCCATACTCCAGTTGCTATATTGGGATATGAGACTGGACAAGCAGATAATGGAACAGCAGCCCTGGTTTGGATTATCTATCCACTTCACAGTCAGCCATCATGTCTGGCAAAAGGTGCTCTCTGTATTGGGAGTTCTCTGAATCACACCAGCCTATGCTGCTGCAGCGGCAGAAGTCCATGATGTAAGACCCCTCATCATCTCAAAACAAGCACAAGCTGGTTATGAGCCAATATGAGGTTTAAATCCTGGCCCTTCCAGGAATCCACAAACCCGTAATGACTCTGCTGATTACCTGCCAGCCAGTTTAAAGAAGAATGGGGAATTTTTGAATTTGAGAATAGAGAAGCAGGGCAGCCTGCGAGTCAAAACAGACAGAGAATGAGTAGTCCTAAATACAGGGCACTGTATCTCCCTCAGCTGTTTGATACTCAAGAGGTCATTGCATCCCTTTTGGGGGTAGATAGAGGTGAAGGGGTATAAGGCAGGAAAGGTGTTGGCTGTTTATTGGATCAATTTTTGGAGCGGTGTCTCCCTTCAGGAGTCTCAAAGCGGCTAACATTCTCCTTTCCCTTCCTCCCCCACAACAAACACTCTGTGAGGTGAGTGGGGCTGAGAGACTTCAGAGAAGTGTAACTGGCCCAAGGTCACCAAGCAGCTGCATGTGGAGGAGCGGAGACGTGAACCCGGTTCCCCAGATTATGAGACTACCGCTCTTAACCACTACACCACACTGGTGTAGTAAGCCTTAGAGATGCTTTAGAGAGCCTTAGAGATCAGGTTTCTGGAGTCAAAGTCATTCTCTGAATAAAATTCTGTGAACACTGGAACAAGAGGTTGCAGTCAGGGTAAAAGCCTTATTAAAGAAATCACTCAATTGTCAGCCACCAAGGTTGTATCCACAATCCTCTATACTCCCAGTAGCAAAGCAGAAAACAAAACAGTAACACAAAGAGTAACACAAAACAGAAACCAAAGGTAGCACAGCAAAAGCAATTCATCAATCACAGCATTGTGCACCAATGCCTCACATTACTCACACATGGAAGGCACCAATCAACACATGACAATGGCAGAACAATTTCATGGCATTGCCCTAATCATTGTACACTCCCACTACTTATACAACACCTTAGTCGTCCACTAGGTCGCTGCTACCTCATCAGGTACTGTGGCACAATTAAGAGGAGTGTAGAGTCAAATACATACAGCCACAAGCTTCAGACTTCCCCCCCAGAGAGCAGTTTGCATCCTACTCACAGTAACCCGTCTTTTGCTAGGCAAACAGACAGGCCCAGACATGGAAAGGCTGACATTCCGATCCCAACAGTCAGCCAGTTCCCTGGCCAATTCAGTAGGAAGCATGCATTGAGAACCCACAGGCGCCCCAGGAAAAGGGATTTCAGTCTCACAGACAGCAAATTGCTCCCACCTAGAGAATCATCAGAACACTCTGGATAGCATAGTTTGAAGAGGAGAAGCCAGGACCCATGGTGTTTTGTTTGGGAACCATAGCGCGACTCCCAAACAACATGGGTTTCTCATGTGTAAGTTCAAACCCTGGACGAAGTATCTCAACTTTTAAGTGCCAACTTTTAAATGCCTGCTGATTTTTTTTTTATTCTCCCAGGCCTATGCAGGCAATTAATAATACACCTTTCAACAAAGGTTAACTTTTGTCTCTTGTTAACTTGTTAAAATGGTTTTTATTGTTTAGTTTTACGTAGTTTTATTGCATCTTCTAAGATAGTGCATGCCACCCCTGGTATTATATGTAACATTAGTACAAATAACCACAATGAGTTTATTTGTTTCGTTTAAAAAATTGCTACCCAATTAATCAGGGGCACATTTTAACTGATTACTGCATTTTTATAAGTTAAACTAACTAATCTACCAAACCTGGCAGCATTTAGTGTGATGCTCTTCTGATGGTAAACACACCCACTGCTACTGAAAACTGGCTATGTTACAAGGTAAGCTGGCAATCCAATCCCTGATTCTGACACCCATTATACACCAAGATTGTTCTTCCAAGAGCTGCCACCTACCTACCTACCTACCTATGGGAAGTGCCAACTGGCTAAAGGCCAGATCCAACTCCTTTTCCAAGCACTTCAAAACTTGTGCCTGTGCTGATCAGTTCCTGTTGCTAGACAGCAAGAACATTTTCCACACAAAGCAACAAGTTTGCTTCAGATCAATAACATTCCTTAGCCACACAGCACTTTAGTTCAACTGTGACAAAACATATTCATACTGCAAATGTAAAGTGCTTAGAACCAGTTCCCTCAAAGAACAGGAGTTCCTAGGTTCGATACAAAAAAGTGAAACCAGCTTTAAATTTGTGGTGCAGGCATATTTTGCTTCTCTTCTAGTTGCAGAAGGAAGCCTGAGAAGCCCCACCCCGAACCACTGGAAATCCTTCTGAGATTTCACCAGACTTGTTTTCAAGCCTACTTTGTGAACTTCAAGTCTAAAATGTCCTTTTTACAATGGCCATTGTGCTCCTCAAGATGCTAAATTCTACAGTCAAAGCCATTTCTGTACTTGTGCAATGGTAATCATGCAGTAACACATGCTCATAAATGTCTGCCTCTAGTTTAATAGTAGAGCCATGTTGGATAAATGCACACAGTGAATACAAAACCAAAAAGCACTGTGGGGAAAAAGCAGTAGCAGACTGGCATTAGTGTGTGTGTGTGTGTGTGTGTGTGTGTGTGTGAGAGAGAGAGAGAGAGAGCGCATTGTAAAGAAATAACTTGAGGGAGGCAGTGTATTCTTAGGTAGTTTCAGATGCTCTCAGCTCAAAGTTGTACAGTGGTACCTCAGGTTACATACGCTTCAGGTTACAGACTCTGCTAACCCAGAAATAGTGCTTCAGGTTAAGAACTTTGCTTCAGGATGAGAACAGAAATCGTGCTCTGGCGGCGCAGCAGCAGCGGGAGGCACCATTAGCTAAAGTGGTGCTTCAGGTTAAGAACAGTTTCAGGTTAAGTATGGACCTCCGGAACGAATTAAGTACTTAACCTGAGGTACCACTGTACATAGGTTATTTTTGCAGAAGCAGAATCCCACTGAGGTGCGAGCAGCTGCCTATTCCTGTTGTTGTCATCTTAGCAGAGATCAGTTATTGGATCTGGACAGCCACCTTGTGGGTTTTGAGTGAAATTGCAGTTGAGAATGAGCATTAATTTGAGTTCCTTTTGTCCCCGTTTTGCACCTAAAGCATAATGTATGAATGGGACCATTATATGCAACTTTATAGAATTTGTGTACATATAAAATTAGAAGATAAAGAGTAATAACCAGCCTGAAGAATTTGCCTGAATGAAATTTCATAGGACTCCATACATATGTTGCATTAGTTTTTATTCAAGGTAGCCACTTATTTCACTTGATAAAAAAGAATGGATGGGATGTATTGTCAAAGTATTTTAGCAGCAGCTTTATGCAGAGAATTAATCAGGTTTCTTTTTGGTGTATGGTACTGCTCCTGCAGGTCCTTAATAGCTGGCTTGAGGCTACCCAATTTTACAAGTGTTTAATCCATTTCCATTCTTTTGCTGGTGCAGATCTTTGCTTTTAGCTTCATATTTGAATTTGCAGTTCCTCCCTCCTGGAATCTCCCCTTGGACCATGAGTGTAGCTGGGGTGGGACAGCTGCCCCCCTAAATCAAATAAATCAATAAAAATACTTAACTGAGGTTCTGCCTCCCCTAACATAAAGCCTTCCCTCCCTAACATAAATCCTGTCTACGGCCATGTCTTGGACCACTGAAGCCTACTTTGTGCCCCACAAGTCTGACCACAAAAATCACACCCTGTCACTGCACCATCTCCCAGGAGCATGTACAAAGCCATGCCATAGGCTCCCTGGGATACCATAACCTTCAGTGAATATTATGAGCTACTGAAGCTCTGTTGAGACTTCAGGGCTGGTTAGTGCTAGTTTCTGGACTTCAGCGAGTTCCTCTGGGAAGATTCAGGTCAGCCCAAGACATTTTGCTGTCTGAGGTGGAACAGCAATTGACCCGCACACCCAGGTCAAAGTGCATAGCATCCAAGGCAGGTCAAATTACAGAAGGGCCGTAGCTCAGTGGATGCATGCAGAAAGACAGGTTCAGTCCCTGGCATCTCAAGGTAGGGCTGGGCAAAGCTCCCTGCCTCAAAGCCTAGAAAGTCAGTGCCAATCAGTGTGGGCAGAACGACTGGCGGAAAAAGCGGTTCAGAGACGGGGAAGGGACGAATCACTGAGCTTATAAAAAGCGGCCCGCGGCGAATAAGAAGTACGAAGGCTCCCATAGGCTGGCGGTGGGAGGCTCTTGCCCAATAGGAGCTGCAGCTTTTCCAGCCGAGGACGCGCGCGGCGGCGGCCGCTTCCCGCGCTTCTGATTGGCCGGCTGCCTCAGGTGGGCGGGTCAGGTGGCCGCTTCCCCGAAGCGTGCGCTGCGCAGCGGAGCTGAGGCACAGCCGGGTCCTTCTGCCCAGGAAGTGTCGGCGGTCGCGGCGGTGTTGGCGAGACGGGTGAGGTCGAGGTTGGACGTGGAAGGGGAGGCTCCGCCCTTTCGCCCTATTTGGGGCCGTAGGGCTTGTGGGCCGCTTGTGTAGAGGTAGGTGGGACGAGCCGGCGGCGCCTCCTCCTCCTCCGGCGGAGCTCTGTGGCTGCCCCGCAAGCTGAGCGCTGGTTCCGCCGGAGCCTCCGGGGTGCAGCTCGTCAAGGGCTGAATTCCCGTTTTTCTTTTCTTTTCCGGGAAGGGGCTGCTGTGCCGCGATGTGCGGAAGTGCAGCAGATGAAGCTTACCCGGCGCTGGGAGGATCTGATAGAGAGCGCTTCACCTGCTGGATTTCTGCCTGCCATGGCGCAGGAGCCCCTCGGGGGAAGAGAGAAGAGGCTGGTCATTTTAACCTCCTTGTCTGGAGGAGGACATTTTGCCTGCCTCCCAAGTACTGAGCTAGCAGGCAGGAGCATCCCATGCTGTCCTGTTTTGCCCCTTTTGATTCACCCGGAGTGACCCAGGTAGTGACATTGCCAATATCAAATAAGTTGCAGAATATGATCTGGTCATTCCTCTCTCCACCTGAACGTGTTCCTCTCGTGTCGCAGATGCACCCCACATTCTTGGATGCTGTATTTTGAGTATCACTTAATGTGGGCTGCTTGTCCCTTGTCACCCTGGACCTATCCTGCTAGATTAGCTAAAGAGGATTACAAGAATGGATTCTCTCTGTGCCTTTGATGAATGTTTATGGATATATATTTTAATATGTGCTTGCAATTGTGGGTGTATAAAATAAATTATTAGGCCAGATTAATTAGTACAGACTGTCTGCATGCCTTTTGGTATACAGTATATGGCATAGGGTTACAGGGGATGTTTCCCCACCCTGACTCCCAGGTGGCTGCAGTTGTTGTTTGCAAAAGGAGGAGATGCTTTTGAGGAGCTTCCCCATGGCTCTGCAGCTCTTGGGACAATTTTTGTGTTGGCTCTCCCTATCATGCAGGTTCTGGGGCCTCAGTGGGGCAAAAGTGACACCTGTTGTAGGTATCTGTTTCTCATGACTTGCCCAGTCATAGTGAATGCAGTTCCTTTGCATGGGGGGATGTGGGCCCTGCCCTTCCCAAAGGTCATCTCTGTTGTTTCCTTCACACTAGGGGTGGGGAAGAGTTGACTATTTTTATTGTTCTTTTTTGTGTTCCTCTCAACCTTCACATCTACAGTATGCAGGTTCCAGAGCGTGAGAGTGGAGCAACCACAGGGAATGGACTGGACAGCCCCACGGCTTCCGATTCCCAACCAGTTTCTCCTTTGCCACCCAAGCCCCCTTCCTTGGATCTCTTCAATCTAGTAGTATCCTACAAGCGACTGGAGCTGTACTTGGAACCACTGCAGGATATTGCGGAAGGGGTGTGGTTCCTCCTCAGGTTGGTGCCCAACTACTTAGTTGCACCTTGTGGGTGATGGTTGTGGTGGAGCTAGAGAAATTTTTGTTGTTGTCTCCTGCCATGTTGGAGGGCAGAAAAGCACAGGCTCTTTGGGAGTCTCACTTTTGCAAGTGGGAGAAAAAAGAGAGAAGACGAAGAGTCCTGGCCAAATACTTAATTCCACTTGTTCTAAGAGACACCAAGCATTCAGCATGGGAAACGCTGTGTGCAGTTGGGCGTAAACAAGATATGCTGCTGCATTTGTGACTTGGCTAGTGTCTGTGGCTGATTACAACATTCCCCCATTTTAAAAAATACCCTACCCTTACCTTGCTTTTGTCTTCATTCAATCTAATTTGATTTCTTATTTATATACCGTTTTTCTGTGCTCAAGGCAAGTTAATGTACTCCATGACCCGAGACTTAAACTTAGGCTTGCCCTTTCCATCTCCACCATTCTCATGTTCATACCTCATTTGTACAGCTAAATATCCTTTTGGCGTGGCAATAAATGCTTGATCATGTATGTTTCACAGCTGGCAGATGCCTCTCTGCTCCCTCCTTACTTGCCTGGGCCTCAACTTTCTGCTGCTGACTCTTAGTGAAGGTGAGAAATGTTGGACCTTTGTGCTGGGGCCCCAATAGGCCTCCTTTCAGGTATGGTGTGAGCCTTGGGGGATTGATCCTGTGGGGAATAGAATATGTTATTGGGGGCAGATTATGAGGGCTAGCAGAACCAATTGTGAGAGGTAGTAAGGAAATGGAGTGACTGGCAGGCACATGGGCCTCCTTTCAGGTGGTTTATGGGGTAGTACATAGGAAGCTGCCTTATATCAAGTCAGACCATTGGTATGTCACGCTCATTATTGTTGACAGTGACTGGCAGCAGTTTTCCAGGTGTTGAGAAAGAAGACATTCCCTCTCCTACCTGGAGATACCAGGGATTGAAACTGGGACCTTCTCTGTTCAAAGCAAACGCTCTACCACTGAGCTATAGGTGCTAGTGGTACAGGTGTGTTGTGACTGGCCAAACAGTGGGGTGGTAAAATGATCTCTGCATCTATTCCACCTTTCATTCCAGCTGCGTGGTATGGGCTTTGCGTCCTGCTGGTCTCGGTGCCAGCCTTGCTGGGTTACCTGCAGGAGACATGCCGCATCCGTCTGAGTGAAGAAGAGCTGGCACGTCGTAGGTACCACAGTGTGCGGCGTGAGGATGTGAGGAAAGTTCAGCTTGCACGACATGAGGCTGTGGCTGAAGTGAAGGGCTTGTAAGTGCTCTTAGGGAAGGATGGAGAAAATGCGTTGACCCGTAGGTGGGTCCCTTTGAAGTATGTGATTGGAAGGATGCTTCTTGGGCTTCTTGTTCACACTACACATTTTTTTCCTGATGGTGAATATTGCAGTCGTTCTGAATCCACTGGGCTTAATAGTCAACCCGTTGCAAGATCGAGATTTCTACCTCGTCATTGTGTTTTTCTCTTGTTTGATTTTTGTAACCATTTTTCTGTATTTTGTGTGGATATTTCCATTGTAGATAAGTAATGTGCAATTGTTACCTTGAATAATGGGAGCAATTTAGCCTGCAGAACTAATTTAGTGACCTTTCTGTGTCACAATTTGTGTGGTATTCCACCATTCCCCTTCTTTTGTCTTCTATGATTTCAGCCTCTTCACTAACAATGTCTTTTTCATTTATTTTTGACCAGCTGATTTTTCCTTTTGAGTTTTTATTTCTCCCAATCATTTGTGTGTGTTTTTTAACACAAGGATATTTCAGGTGCACAACTACATAGCTCTGAAGCTGTGCCCAGTAGGGCACAATAATCCGTTTCTTCTTCTGCTTCTTCTTCAACCATGCACTTGTGCACTTGAAGAGCTGTGCACAACTGCACAGAGTTGATCTTTTAATGTTTAAGTAAACAGCTGCACAGGCACTAGCACAGGCCAGTGTGTGTCATGGAGGCTTTTTTGGGGGTGGGCAGACAGTGTCTTCCCAAATGGACCCTATCACGGATACTGCCCACAGCATTCTAACAAATGCATTACGCAGTTGGCCAGCAACACAGGCATTTGTGTCAAATCTTAGTGGTTGAGGGGGAAGGTTGGGACTATATTTCAGGATAGTCTATATGCTATTGCAGGTGCTAACCATTTCATCATTGCTGTGGGGCAAGAATTGTGTCATGACTGGGGGGAATATAATTGCACAGTAACGTTGCGTGTGTGGAACATGGTGGTGACCCCACTTTTAAGAAACTCTGGGAGAGCAGTGCTGACTCCTCCTCTAGATTAGCTACCTTCCAAGGTGCTTTACTGCACTACTGCCGTTCACCCTTTGGGGGCATTGCACACCCTTGCTAGTTGGGAGTGTGGCTCTAGGAGGAAGAGTTACTAAGCATTTACATGACTCTCCTGCCCATGCCACAAAGTATGCATCCTCCTTCCAGGACAGTGGATCGATTTCAATCACCAGGCAAGAAGCCTCATTTTTAAATCATTGATTTTAATCAACTTTTCCATTTGTACAGTTATTTTCCCCAAGAAATGGGTGTTTTTGCTGCTCGATAGAGCTATTAAAACATATTGATTTACAGCTAAATGTAACCGTTACTTCAGATTTACTACATTTATTACCTACTTATGAGGAAGACACACTACTGGTGCATCCTTTTGTTTAAGAAATAATGGATTTTGATTATTATTATTCTTTAAAAATATGTTTTTTTATTAACATGTTGTATTACTTCAGCATGTCTGTACAGCCAAGGATTTGCAAGTCAAATTTTAGAAGACGTCAGAATTTTCCTATGCCAAGGACTGACGGTTAACTGCTCTGATAGCTGTTTTATCAGGACATAACACTTTATCAGAGTGCTGTGAATTCAGAAAGCGGCTCAGTTTTTGAAACCTGCAACTTAGGGAGAAGTAGCTGGAATCCAAGGGCAAGTTCTCCTTTTCCCCGTTACTTCCCTACCCAAAGCTGACCATGCCAGTAGGCACTTTGTCAGCATTTTGCACAAGGCACTGGAGCCTGATAGCCAACCCATCCATCATATGACTCGCTGAGTTGTAGCCAGTGAACTCAAATCTCTTTCTTTATGGGAGTCTGCATTCTTTCATCTAAAAGTTAAGAGCAGAGGTGCCCTGTTACTACATGCCCCTTTAGTATATAGGGTCCAGGCAAGCCGTGGTTAGGATTGCACTGTTAGTTTTGCGGCAACTCTTAAGTTAGTTGTCATTATTCAGATTTGTAGCTATAGGAAAGAGATGCCCAAGATTGCCTCAGCAGTGGATGTGAACCCAGGGTCTCCTATACTCCACAGACAAGAGTGCTGGACTCCAAATCATGCTGGCTGTTATCCCTCTTGTTAAACTTAGACAGTTGCTTTCTGTATCCAACTTGCCTGCCTGCCTGGAGCTAGCTGGCATAGGAGGTTCATCCTATGCAGGGCTCATCCTAACTATGCCCTGTGTGGATGAGGGAATCTTCTTTTGCACTTCAACCCTTGTCTTGAACTGAATGAGGGGCTGGGGATCACTTTTCTCCATTTGTGAAGCAGCTTGGGCATAGGTTGATGCAGTGGCTGTGAGGTTGTGCGCAAAGGGGCCTGAGGAACATGTTTAAATCTGCTGTGATCTCCTTTTCCAGCTTAATCCAATTAGAGGCCCTATTGAGCCGGCTGTGTGGCAGATGTGAGGCTGTCTATCGCGTCATCTACTGGGAGAACCCTTCTCTTTCTTCACAGTGAGTGTTGCCTTAGGACTACTTCGTGGAAGCTAGGTGTCATGGGCTGGTTGGATGTAGAGGAATAGTGGGAGGAACCAGCTGGGGAACCCCCAAGGGAAGAAGGCTCAGAGCCCTGGGATTGGTGGTGTGGTGATGATGATGATGATGATGTTGATGAGTGGTCGGAGGGAGGAGGAGATGTCGGAAGCTGAACAGGTAACAGGGCTTAGTGAGCTGGGAGAGTCTGTGACAGACAGACATCCAGAATCAGGGGCAGAAGCTGAAACAGGAGAGGAGGGAAGCCAAGAGGCAGAGAGAGTCTGGCTGGGGAAGGTGGCAGGGTGTCTCCCCCTCCTGCTGCGACAGACTCCCCTCCCTCCAGGTCTCCCAGAAAGAGGTGTGAAAAAGGTGGAGGAGAAGTTAGTTTTGTGCTGGTGCAGTCTCAGATTGCTTGGGGAAAACCCTGGAGAGGAGGGAACTAAGGCAGCTGTGAGCAGATGGGGACCTTCAGCCTTAGCAACTGCTTCATAGGGGCAAGACCTGCCGGAGATGAGATGCATTGCTCATTAGGCAGATCCTGCTTTTGCTAATAAGGAGTTAACTCCAACTTGTTTGGTGTTATTTACTGCCAGCTCGTTCCTGTCACTGGGACATTGCTGCCTTGCTGCTTTGGGGGGTTTGCAGGCTTGTTTACTGGGTCACTTTATAGGGGTACGGGGTCCCTTCCTTCTCCCTCATATTGGGCAGGTGTCCATGCCCATATATATCATGGCTGGTGTTCATGGGGAAGCTATCTGGCTGAACAGGTTTGTCCAGATTGAGGGGAGGTTATTTGCTTGAAAGGTAGGCAAAGGGAGGTGATGTCATCATCATCATCATCATTTTATATGTAAGCCGTCTGTCCACAGTTAAAACAATGCTCAAGGCGGCTTACAGTATGAAAAGATTTACACATTACAAACATAGCAAAGGAGTCATAAAAATAAACAAAACACATCAAAAACCACATAACCAAACTGAACAATTTCCACATAAAAATAAAGATACAAAAAATTCATATCAATAACAGTAAAAACTCCCGACAAAACTTTCCCCAAAATACCCCAGTCCTTTCTGGGCAGCAGCAGCAGCCTGTTAGAGCCGCCCTAGGACAGGTGGAGAGAGGCAGGAACAAGGCTCTCAGGCTCCCCCTAGATGCTCTCTGTTCCATATCCAAGAATAATGGGGGGCTGGACAGGCTTGAGGTGCTCTCAAGGCACCTGGCTGTCATCCTGATGCCCAGATGTGTCATGCTCCTTCTGCTCCTTTTTTTGCCCAGGTTTTATGGGATGCTGATGGCTTCCGTTTGTGCTCTCTACCTGCTGCCCTTATGTTGGGTCTTTGTGCTGCTCAATAATGCCCTTTTCTTGGGTAACGTGGCATTTTATCAAGGTAAGAGATTGCTCTTCTCTCCTGTACCATTTTGTTCCATGAGAACCTTGGGGAAGTAAGCTGCAGCAGCTGACTGGAGACAGGGTGCCCAGGGTCAAGGCTTTCTTTGCTGTAGATCTGTGCACCCCTGCTGCAGCCCTATCTTATTCCAAATGCCAGTGTGAAGCTGCTAGCAAATTTTGATGAGAGAGGAAAAAATGCATCTCTTCTGTGCTGCCCCAGTCCCATAAACAAGCTCTTTAGCATTCAAGAGACCTGAGTAGTCACTCTGTTCCTTGGGCACAGCTTAGTAGTGGAAGATTTTTCCATTTAGAGGTGTCCCAGTGGGGAAGCACATCTTGGGATGCTAAGGATAAACTGCCTGTTGCAGAAAACGGGGGGTTATCACAAGGGAACAGTCCTTTGCTGGAAAACAGATTTGGTGTGTGTTGTGAACATTTGCCCTCTGAATGCATCTCATTCTGGAATTTTGTTTGTGTGGGATGGTGGCAGGGAAGAGTGAAAACAGGCATGAACCTATTCAGAGCACAGCTCTTTTCACAGTGCCCACTCAGAGTGAAGGCACTGCTTCCTGGCCTCACTTTGAATAGGTTTTGTGAGGATGCTGGAGCAGTGGCCAAGGGGCTGTGAATATCAGCAACCAGTTGCAACCCACCCCCAAACAACACAAATACCGTAAGTGGTGGAGAATATTTACTGTAGTGGTAGATAGCCTTTTCCCCTGTCTACTGAGGAGCTATGGGGTTATAGACAGTTCTGTCTGGGAGTGAGATTAGTGCTAGAAAACTGTGGGGTATTCAGGTAGTCCTACTAGTGTTTTAAATACCATTAGCTACATTGAACATTGGTTGCTTGTGTGCCAGTATCTACTTCTTGGGTGTTTGGGTTGGAGATAGGCTTGAATCCCATGCTGTTCCTCCAGTGCTGAAAGCCTGTGCTGTTTACTGCAACCATTACCCTTTTCCTCTCCCTCCCTAGTCTTGCTGGAGCTGAAGTCTGCTGTAGAGCAGCGTTTGGGCCTCAAGCCCGTTGCTAGGACTCCAGAGCCAGTGGAGCTGGATGCTGGAGAAGTTGGGTCTGGATCCCTGCTGGACCGGACACCTACGCCCACTAGTACTGAGGTAAGGCATGGTAGAAGAATAGATGGGTCTGTGTTGCCCACTTCCAAGTAGAATGAGAATTGATATGCTCATCCAATGTGCCCAGAGAGTGTTGCTTTATCTTTTGGAAATGCCTGAGGTCATAGATCATCCTGCCCTGCATAACAGTCTTATTAGCTGGTGGCTTTGTAGTTGATTCCAGATATACAGTCCTAGGAAATGTGTCCCAGGCCGGAGCACAGAAGACAAACTTCCATCTTGCTTCTGTTGGTTGTGGTTCCATATATCTCTCCGCCACCCTTCCCAATCTTCTATAGGATATGGAATGATGGAAACTGCGGCCCTCCATATGTTGTTGGACTCCGATCCCCACCAGCTCCAGCTGGTCTGGTCAGTGATGCCGTCCAACAACACTTGGAGGACCACAAGCCATAGTGTGCAAAGTAAGGTCCCGATGGGAGTGGCAGAAAATTTTTGAAAGGGGCAAAGCTATGCATCGTGGATGAAAACCTCCCAGACCCTGTTCCCAGTCTTGGCCCTGGAGAAGTAGGGCCTCAGTTTTGCCTACACAGGTACGTCTCTTTAGGGCAGCTGCCATCCTTGTTCTGTCCCCTTCTTGCTACTTTTCAGAGTTCCGAAACTTTTTAGTTGCAGCTGGTTATGGGGAGGTGCACCTGGAACCTACTGTTGAAATGTGGAGCCTCAAAAATTGTGCCTGGCTTAATTTTCTCCAGTTGGTGCTTAAAAGTATAGTAATGTTTTCAGCTTGTCCCTGTCTCTTTTTTTTTAACAACTTAGCTAAGTTTACATGAAAATTTCAAAGGGCGATGCCCTTCTCTCCCTTCACACAGCTCTTCAGGCAGTCTTCACTGCTTGTTCCTGTGTTTTCCCTTTGTGCTGCCCATTAAGGCATTTCAGGATCTGCATACCAGCATTGTTTGGGGTCTTGTGTATTACAAACTACCATAGTAATAAACAGCTGTGTCTAGGCAGGAGGGGAAATGCATCCTCGTAGCTTCCATGTTACTCTTGCATTGGGGTAGCTGGAATGGGATGGGGCCATCTGTGTAGCACCCCTCTTGGATTCATTTACCACTGTTGCAAGGACTGGTGGGCCTTGCTTCCTTAGTCTTGTAACATCAGAACAGCCAATGGCCCATCTAGTCCGGCATCCTGTTCTCACAGTGGCCAACCAGATGACTGTGGGAGGCCAGCAAGCAGGATTTGAGCAGAAGAGCACCTGCCCCTCCTGTGGTTTCCAGCAACTTTCATTCGGAAGCCTTGCTGCCTCCAGTTGTAATGTTGTTTGCTTTCCCCGTAGGATCTGACCCCTGGCAGTGTGGAGGAAGCAGAGGAGGCAGAGCCTGATGATGAGTTCAAGGATGCTATTGAGGTATGTGCCCTGAGAGAGCCGCCTAGGGCTTGGACTGATCTGTGCTGTGGTGGAGTCAGGTGATGCTGCTAGGCCAGCAAGTTTAAGGGGACACCCTTCATCCTGTCACTGAAGGGCCATGAGTGGCAGCACATCAGAGTCCATGTCTGTGATGCAGTGAACATGTTGGTATGGGGAAGAGAGAGAAATAAGGGACTTTAGACAGTGCACTTTTCTGGAAATGGGTACACCATAAAAGGTGAAGGCTAGCTTGGGCTGGGCTCTTCTGGACATCATCTCTTGTCTTTTCTCTTTGCTGCGGGAGCAGGAGACCCAGCTGCTAGTAATGGTGAGTGCGGGAGCTGGGCCACCCTGCCTTTGAGCCAAAACTCACTTCAGTTGCTCATGCAGAGTTGATGTCTTTGCTGTGTTCTTTGCCCTGATTGTGCCCACCTTCCCAAGCTGGAAAACCTGGCTGCAACCCTTCCACCAGCTTGGCATTTTGTGTGTTGCCCATGGTTAGCCCAGCCTTTCCTTGTCTTCAGCACTTTGTCAGTGGGCGGTGCCCCCCAGTACGGCCTTGTCCTCCTGCCCCAGAGTAGGCACTGTGTGAACCAGCCGCTCCTTGACAAGCTTCCCTCTCCACCTGCCCAGGAGGATGACGATGTCTCCCACTGCTCAGCGGAATTCGACATGGGCCTTCCTGACAACCCCTTCATGATGAGCAAGAACGAGGTGATTCGCAGCAGGGTGTCACGGCTGACGGAGCGGCTGCGGAAGCGCTACCCAACCAACAATCTCGGTACAGGATTTGGGAGGGTGTGTGGAAGTGGCAAGAGTGGATGGTGCCGTGGGACATGTTGTCTTGTTGGGACTGAAGCGGGACTGTGTAGATGAGCTTTCCTCAACCTGGTGAGGAAACCTGGTGCCCTTCAGATGCTTTAGCCTGCAGCTCCAACCAGCATGGTCTTGTTGGTTTGGGCTAATGGGGCTGTAATCCAAAACATCGGGGGGGGGGGCACCAGGTTGTGGAAGGGGGGTGGAGAAGATTGGCAGAATGGGAAGACTCTGACCCAGTTGCTGCCACAGAGGCGGCCTGCCTGATGTTAGATGCCAGAAACATGCCATTGTTCTTGGTGCTTTAAAAATATGTGTGCTGAGGTCGCTTCTGATGGTGAAATACTGTTGCAGATGAATCATTTTACAGGCAAGGTGTGGGTGGGGTGGGGTTAAGTACTAACATTTTTACAAAAAGCCCCTTAACTCCCCTTTTTTCATTACCTCCGGAAACTGGGCTTGTGAGTTCCTACTTGCCAGTGTAACATGTCATTCTGCCCTGAGAGAGAGGTATGAGCAAGCCTGCTTAGTGGAGCTGAGTGGTTATTTGTATCAGGCCCAAGTCTTTGTTCCTATTCCAAGTCTAGCACTTGATCACTTATGCCACACTGGAATCTCATCCTGATGATGCCAAATTCCACATTTATATGGGTTACGGCCATCTCTGCTCTTGGCACAACTTTGTGGAGTGGAGGATTGACATCACCTGGGAGGTGCAGTGTGCAGACCCATTTCAAATCTCCTCGGATCAAGGGTCCTGAAGACAGCCCTCAGTGGGATGCCCTCTTGGCACGTGGTCCCACCTGGATGAGCCTCCTGGACTGCCTAGTGGGGCAGTAGGTTATGCTGGGGCTTTTAGTAGGAAAGGACTGTGGGCAGACGTTGGGGGCAGGGCAATATTTCTATGCAGTTTGGTGGAAGAAGAGGCACCAGGTTTGACCGATACATGTTTCTTTTCTGATTTTCCACAGGGAACTGTGCAAGCTGTTCAGCCACTTTCTCTGTGTTAAAGAAGAGGGTGAGTCTCTGGCCCAGCATGCCCCCAACTACTCATTTCCCATTTCCTGCTCCCCACCTTGTGGATCTCAAGCCTGACCTCTGGTCAGCAGTGAATGACCTTCTTGAATCCTTGCATTTGAAGCAATGGCTTCCTGGGACCTTGTTCCTATAGCTGTGTTTGTCTCTTTCCTTCCCTCCAGCGGAGCTGCAGCAACTGTGGGAACAGTTTCTGCTCCAGGTGCTGTTCCTTCAAAGTTCCCAAGAGCTACATGGGGGCTACAGGTGAGTGAGGAGTGGGAGAGCGAGAGATGGCCTTTCTGGCAGGCAGCTTGGGAGGCGACTCCTCCTCCTTTGTGCGCTTGCTGTTTCCCTTCTGGGGGAATCGCTGGGTGTAATTCTCACTGTTTCTAATTAATGCTACAGTGGGGAGGTAGCAGAGGACAGAGGCTTTCTCTCTCTTGGGGGGTGTGTGTGTCTGAGAGCTAATGAAACGCTTGTTGGGTTCTGTGGGTGGAAAGCTGCACAGTCCTTGGCCGAGTCTCTGACCAGTGCTTTCTACCGCAGCCCCTGATGCCCAGCGGGAGACCGTCTTTGTCTGCGGGCAGTGCAACCAAGCGCTCGTCAAGTGAGAAGCCGATCTGGAGCCCTGCCCTCTGCGGAATTCGCTCTGCGTCTCACCCCGTATTTGCTGATACTTGCGGGGAGCGAAGCAACAGCACTGTGCACTCCTTCCACTCTTCCCTGTACATCTAATAGGAAAGGGGCTGGTGCAGCTGCCACGTGTGCCCCCTCCCTCTGTGAGCAGCTGGCGAGAGGTCCTGCACTCATGATTAACTGCATAGTAGGAGACTCGTGCACTAGACTACTGTAGGCTCTCCCTCCTTCCACGACCTTGAAGCAAAAAAGTCATTTGCCCCCATTTTCCCTAGCAGGAAGCTGGCCTTCCCCACCTCGCAAGGTGGCTCATGGTATCTGGACTGCCAGATGTGTCTGTGTCTTGTGTTTCACTACTGAGCGAGGTGCTGCGTGTTTGGAAGGGGAAGCTGGGTCTTCCTCTGGGTGGCATCTGTAAGTTGGCTCTGCTGTGTAAAGAAGGCAGACGTGTGATTGTGTTATGCAGCTGGACCTGTTTCCTATCCCTGTGTCAGATACGGACGGCATCTCTTCCCTCCCCACCATTGACTTTGCTCTTTCTAGATAGCTTTTAGCCAAAGCTCTTCAGTCTGGCCCAACCTGGACCTGGCATTCTCCTTCCCTTTGACACTTTGCTGTGTTGGAGGGAGCAGAAGCTGCTACAGCCAACGGGAGTTCATCACAAAGCTCAGCTGGAGGATTGAGGCAATTGCCTTGTGATGTGGATCTTTTCTACAGGAGAGGAGAGGTTTTTTTTTGTTCTTATTTTTGCTGCTCTCTTGCAGATTTACCCACACGCACACATGCATATATATAAATATATATATATATGACCAATAAATAGCGTCCTTGGAAAGTGGAGCCAGTGCTCCTAGTGTCTGAAATGGCTTTTGATGTGATGAAGGCGGAATGGGCAACAGGGGTCCTAGTTATGCATAAAGCTTGCTGCGGAGCCTTAGGAGTGTATCTGCAAGGTGAAATAATCAAACCTGGGGGTGCTAGATAGAGCAAATTAAACAAGGCATCTGGGGGCAGCAGGGCAGAAGAAGGGAGACTGGAGCAGACCACTGTGTTTTGAGAAATAGAGGCTATAGTCTATTGAGGCAGGCGGGATGGAGAGCTGTAGAGGAGGCATGGATGTTGGCCTAGTTCCCGTACAATGTGTAAAGATGGACTGATGTTGCAAACTGGACCACAGTAAGTGGGGAGGTGTACTGGGAGTGCATGGCGACTCATTTTCCAGCTCTTTGGGGTGAAGCATTTTTAATTGGGGGTGGGGGGCACGAACACACACAAGATACAAAACCAGACTGGAAATGGATTCAGGCCAAACAAAAGGTACTTTTTCACATGATACAGAATACAGCTCCTGGAATTAATCACTAAGAGAGATGATGGCTGGTAGCTTAAATAGCTTTAAAATTGTGCAGGAAGGCTCTGCAAGTACAGGGGTCTCCCCACATCAGATGTTCACCCTCCGTGTGAGTGATGGGCCTTGGCTCACTTTCTTCCCACTTGCTAGGGATGGAAGAGGAGTTCAGTTCCATATGTATCTGAAGCCAAATGGTATCAAATACACACTTTCCAAAACAATTCATGAACTGAAAGACAGCGATCCTTTGAAATTCACACTTAGCCAAATTTTGTGATGCAGTTCTCCAGCCAAGCAATGTTTACAGAAATGCACATATTTGTGTGTGTGTGTGTGTGAAAAATGAAGTTATTTGTGAAAATAGCATACAAAATCATGTTAGGGGAAATTGCTTGCAAAAATGTGTACATAAGTCAAAATTGCATATAACAACACGTCTATTGAGAGAAGTGTGCGCTAAAAGGCTGATGAATTTTCATGAGGATTTTAAAAAATTGCAAATGGCTGCAATGCGAAGAACTGAATATAAGATAGGAAAAAAGAGAAACGGGGAGAATGAAATTGACAGATCCTTCACTCTGTACTGCTTGCTGGTTGGTTTTATGTGTAAGTAGAGTACCTGTAGGGAACTATGGTGCTTCTTTCAGGTAATCTGTAAAAGGAGGTTAAAACAACATTCTCTTGCAGATGGTTTTGAATATTGAGTTGTGGTGTAGCCTCTGCTTTCCCCTCAACCATCTTAGCAGGAAAAAGCATGGGCAGACTCCTCAGTGCCATGTCACAGCTTGCTGGTGCTTGAATCTGGGGCTGAAATGTCACTGATGATTTATTTGAATTCTAGTATGAAATAAACCATCCTTGGCAAACGAACACAGTCGCTGCTCTTGGAAATAACCTTAGGGAAAAGGTCAGGTTCTGTCACGGGTACAATGAATGAGGAGAAAGGATTATAGAAAGAAAGAACAAGGCTGCCTTGTTAGCTAAAGTTCACACAATGTTCCCTGTGTTTAGAATCGCATCCTCCTCGGTTCCCTTCTGGTACTTACAGCAAGGCTTGAGATTCTATAGCTTACTCCCAAAGGCCAGATCTCGGCGACATTTTACACAGGTATAACACGGATTGGGATGACTTGTTTTATTTTATATTTTGGTACGGCGGCTCCTTGTAGAGTTACAAAGTGCAGCCACATGGAGAGCTGGTCCTCCATGTTGCCTGGTTGTAGCATGTGGCCGCCACCTCCCCGTCATAAGGTTGGAAATGTGCAAGAGGACAAAGTGCCACATGGCAGGATGCTAGCAGCTCGTTCACTCTTGCACAACTGAGAAGCCACCCTCCTGCAACTGGTGAACTTGGTCTTCAGCCGGTTGGTAAACACTCATGAGCAGGATGATTCCTCAGGAGCAATTAGCCTACCTGGTGCAGCTGTAGTATTAACTTTATAAGTTGCTTCTTACATGTATCTCAAGGCAGCTCACAGACATACAGTAAAAACAGCTGAAATAGTTCTTTAAGCAGTACAAAAAACCCAACTCGGGTCCAAAATACTACATTGTGGAGATGGTACTCCCAATACTCGCTCAATAAACAGTATTTCTTAAATTTTCCTGTACTGCTAGCGCAGTATGACATTTTAAGCTTCGCTGGATGGCGGTTTTCATACAGAACTGAGCATATGATAAAGAGTGCAGCGGCTGTGGCTCAATATGCAGCTTCCGGTATATTGAGAGATCTTGGCAGACTCTCCCGCTAAGATAATGCAAAAGCTTTTGTTCTATTTATTGCCGTGTGATCGCAGATGTAAGGAAGTGGCAGTGCTGCAAGCTAGACCCAAGAACCACTGTGCTGCTGTGGGGGAACTCTTAACAGGGCCTGTATGGATATGGCAATGAGGGAAGTGAAGAGTGGAGTTTAGTGCTGCAATGAAATCAGACGCTAAAGTTGCAGGTAATTTCCTGTGGCTTATTAGTATTTCTGCATCAAAAAGAAGTGTCATTTCAAATTAAATTATGAAGGATGCTTCTGAAAAAAATTAATATTAATTTGATAAACCCAGTGCCTTTTTAAAAAATCCACAAGTATCCATAAATAATAATGTTGAGATAAAAGTCAAATGAGTGGAATGTATAAGTTGGCTTTTGCAAGCAAATTTGAGGCAGAAGAACTTGCTTAGCTTTCTCATTGATTATCTGTTGATTAGGGGAACTGAAAATGGAGTGCTACATTCATGATTAAAGCCTGCTGTTACCAGAATGATAATGGCAGTACTCTAAACACAACAATGATGCCAGAATTCAGTGTCCCTGATGACCTTGACATGAAATAAATGCAGCATGAATACAGCATATGACTCAAAACATTGGGGCTGGGCCAGACCTAATTCCCACTGAAATCAATGGGGCAAGTTAGTTATGATATCAATGGGAATTAATTTTGAATTTGGATCTGCCATAAGCAGAAAATAAATATTTTATGAATACTTGGCTGAGCTGGAAATGCTATGCAGATGCCACAACATGAGTGCTCCAGCTTCATTTTGTGAAAGATTCATTTTTTATTTTTTTTAAAAAGCACCTCATAAAATGAAGCTGGAACACTTTTTAAATGAAAGACTTGGAATTAATAAAAATAATGAAAAAATCCTGAATGATAGAGAACACAGCAAGAGCAAGAGTTGTCTTAAGATCTGCATGCATGTCCCCGAGATGAAACGAGGGTCAATGAAAATTTCAGCAAAATGGTGGCAAAACCAAGCAGGCAAGATGGTGATCAGGATAAGTTCTATGGGATTTATTAGAGTGGATATTGGAAAACTGAAGCTGTCAGGTGCCATGAGAATCTGTCAGTGTCCAAGTGATGTGCAGGCCATATAAATCAAAATGTAAGAACAGTGGGGAATGACCTAGCTTGTAAATATATCCCAGTTCACAATCTGAAGGGGACTGAAGTCCTAGGGGGAACAAAATAGCTCACATTTTTGAGGGGACTGTGTGTGAGACATTACCAGCCCAGTCGTTTTCCCTCAGCACCCTCCAGCAGGACGGCAAGTTTGCCATGACAAAAGGCAAGGCTAGCCAAAGACACTTAGCGGTTTGAGGCAAAGGACAAGATGGCAACACCCGACCACCACCACTTCAGTGTACAAAAACTGATCGAACTGGTGGTTGAATCTTCAACAACATCCTCTCAGTAGTGTGCAGGGAAAAGTGAGTCATGACACGCAGTTGTGGCCAAAAACCATGAACTCAACAGTAAGTTGTGTGTGTGACATGCTGTATGATTTGCGAAGCAGCTCATCTGGAAAATCTGAGGGCGGAGGATTCCCTGAGTGGAAGAGAGGTTCTTTCAAGAGCTCCTCAGCTACCACCCTCTCTTCCTCAGCAAACTTTGGCTGGGAATGAGCCCCAGTGAAAAACCCCTCTGTGTGTGGGAGCCAGACTCAATTCCTACAGCTTGCTTTGTGTTGGGCAGCCCCCACTCCCCCACAGCTGGTGTGGGGAGCGGTGAAACTGGCAGTGCTGATGCTATAAATATTCGCTCCAGGGTTAACTTGCCAGCTGGTCTTGACCATTCAGGAGTCTGGAAAACTGCCAGATGGAAGGGCCCCAGGGAGACACATTCGTCCTGTGTTTGCCATCTGTCGGGCAGGCTCAGTTGGTGGTCTGGCATCCTGTGTGGTGGACACAGCCACCCGGCAGGCCCAGTTGGTGGTTTGGTTCCTCACTGGTGCATGCACAGGTCTGATGTGCTCCTCTGGGGTTGGCGCACTAACCTACTTGGTATAGTCATGATATTTCTACAGGCCCATAGGCAAGTAAACATGGAGAGGGGAAGGAGGCAGAATTGGTGACGGGCATATTTTTCAGTGAAACTTCACATAAACGGTTTCATATAGCAAAGTGATCCGTCCATCCCCAATTACAAATGGTCTTGAATAATTAAACCTATAGACCACTTGATGTCTATTACTCTGTAAGGGACCATGAAGGCCTCAGGCAGAGTGTTTGTGTTAAGAACAGTTCCAAGTCACTGCCTCATACCTCGCTTGGTATTGCCACACACAGATCCCTACCATACATTCAAAGCACATTCGGTGCACATTTAAATCACATGACCTCCCCTGAATAATCATGGGAATCATTGTTTCACCCTCATACAGCTGCAATTCCCAATCCCCTTACCAAACTACAGTTCCCAGGATTATTATTTTTTTTGAGGGGGGGGGAAGGAAGTCATGGGCTTTAGATGTGTGTTGAATGCGTTCAAAATCTATGGGGTGGATCTGCCCCATGATGTTTAAGGATGCTGTACAGATCTGTGCCTCAAAAGATGCCGATGCAATGATGACCATGTCATGACAGAAGACCTGGACTTTTTAGTTGAGGGGTGTCATCCGCCTTCAAGCATCACAATCATATAACAGGCCAGCAGCCTCCTGCAACCTGGACAACAACTTTCATCACTCCCAGCCAGAGTAGTAGCCAATGGTCATGCCACTGTATTCTGCTCTGGTCAGACCTCACCTGGAGTACTGTGTCCAGTTCTGGGCACCACAGTTCAAGAAGGACACTGACAAACTGGAACGTGTCCAGAGGAGGGCAACCAAAATGGTCAAAGGCCTGGAAATGATGCCTTATGAGGTACGGCTGAGGGAGCTGGGCATGTTTAGCCTGGAGAAGAGGAGGTTAAGGGGTTAAGGTTAAGGGGTGATATGATAGCCATGTTCAAATATATAAAAGGATGTCACATAGAGGAGGGAGAAAGGTTGTTTTCTGCTGCTCCAGAGAAGCGGACACGGAGCAATGGATCCAAACTTCAAGAAAGAAGATTCCACCTAAACATTAGGAAGAACTTCCTGACAGTAAGAGCTGTTCGACGTGGAATTTGCTGCCAAGGAGTGTGGTGGAGTCTCCTTCTTTGGAGGTCTTTAAGCAGAGGCTTGACAACCATATGTCAGGAGTGCTCTGATGGTGTTTCCTGCTTGGCAGGGGGTTGGACTCGATGGCCCTTGTGGTCTCTTCCAACTCTATGATTCTATGATTCTATGAGCTGAAAATTGGGGGAGGCTTCTAGGGAGGCCTTGCTTAGTGTCTGCTTAAGGTTCTACATGGCTTGAGAAGATGCTATGCAGAACCTAGGAGAGGAGGCCAGAACTGGGGATTGTCAGTCCAGTGAAGTATTAGTTGGGACATTGTAGCTTGTACAACGCATCTGGTGTCTGGCAGTCTGAGATGTTTAGAGCTTCATACTGCGCCTGGCCAACTCCTACTAAGTCAGGGATGGGATGGGGATGTTAGACTCTCCAGATGTTGCTGGACCACAGCACTCAATATCCCTGCCCATTAGGTTTGCTAGCTGGGAATGTGGGATTTGGAGTCTGACAATATCTAGTGGGCCGCAGGTTTCCCATCCCTGTAACTAAGTAGTTCAATGCACTATGAAAATGAAAGGTTGCGACTGGAAAGCATTGGTTGCCCTGCTCATAATGTTTCAAAATCTTTGGCTTCTCACTAGTAGGAATTAAGAATGGACTGGGATTTTCCTTAAATGTTCCACTAAAGGTTGCAACTAAAATTCTGTGTGATTCAGCCTCTATTGGAGCTTGGGTGTACTGGGATTGATAAGAGATGTTTGCTTGCAGGTGCTAAGACTTATTCTTCTAGTGAAGGTGTGTTGGGAATGAGGTGGATTTCTGCATGTTCTCCAAAGCTTCCAAGATGGGCAGAACTCTGATCTGGAACTTAATGGAGCTGGTCCTAATGGAGTTTGTGCTTTAGAAGAAAGAGTCCTGTTGCAGGGATGGGCTCCCAACAGTATGTGGCTTTCTGTAGGTCACCCCATATAAAAAAGGGTATTCTGTGGGCTATGAGTGGGGAACCAAAAAGTGTGGGGAGTGCTGTGAAGAAGAGTGAGCAGGGTTCTTGGAATGAGTGGGGATTCAGTGGGGGTCTGCCCCATAGAAGAAGGGGTAGTGCATGGAACAAGGGTAGGAGAACATGAATTTGACAGCAAATTTCATCTCCTTATTCTTCTTCTCCCAGCGGTAAATGGCCAAGACTAGCAACCGCCCACCCACCTTTCGCCCCATCACCAGAAAGCTGCCACTGAGGTCATCAAGCTGGGGGCAGGGGCAGGCACCTGCGTTCTTCATGTGCAGCATCAGCTTCTTGGTGTCCTTGCGCTTCAATGGCCCCACTTTGAGGAGCTTTTTCTTCTTCTGCGCAGCCACCAATCGCCTCTCCCCATTCTCTTTCTTGATCTCCTTGATGCGCATCTTCACCACTGTAGGGGTAAATGGGAAGCAGATTGTGTTAGGAGCTTACAGGCAGTTGGGTAAAGTCAAAGTGAAGGAACAAGAAGAGGGGGTGTGAGTTCATAAGGACAGGGATTAGGAGGACTGACTTGTTTGACAGCTAAGTATTTGGCCCTGTTAAAAAAAAGTCACCAAGGGGAGATGAGGAGTAGGTAATAGAGTGGGGTCACACAGACTGTCAGGATCTGCTTTGTCTCCTCTGACTGAATGAGAGGTCATGGAATTCCTCTTCAACTTCCTATTGAGTATATTTGTTTGTAAATGATAGATTTGTATTTGACAAAAAGACAAGCCACCATCTATTAAGCTTTTAAACCCATCACAGGTTCATTGGAGTAAGGTTCCTCAACAGGTGCAAGTCGTCCAGGTTTTTGTCCTTAGTCCAGGAGTGGAGCGGTGAATGCTCCAGCCTACTCCTACAAAAACCAGAAATGAAAGAAAATATCTGACTGCATGCCAGAAATAAACAACACAAAAATCAAGGTTAAAAAAGCTATAAATAAATAATACACAGTAGTGTATTTTCCACCTTTCTATAATGTCAACGTAATAACTATAGGGCCAAAAAACGCATTTACAATATTTATGCAAGCCTGTGATAATAATAGAATTTGACCTTATAAAAGATTTGAAAACAAGGTTACAATCTAAAAGCTTAGGAAGCACAACCTTGCACAGAACCTATGCAATTAAAAAACTTCAGATGGCTGAATCCACGACTGTAGTAAGAGTCATATGGCAACAACATGTAGAAAAACATGGGGAAACTCAGTGCAATCAATAAAATATAATCAATATTATTTAGTGAAGTTCTGTGACCCCCTTGAATCCCAGATGCTTCTCAACTTTGTCAGATGCAGTGACATATTCTTGTACAGAAGTTCCTTATGCAGGAGTTCTAAATACCATTTAAAAATAAATAAAAATCTAACCATATGTCTTGGATTGCTATGAATTGGTTGGTGTTATTTTATAAGCTTTTAGGTATTTTTTTTGCGTCCTTGTTTTCAATCTGTATGTTTAGGATAAGGTGAAATTCTGTTCTCATCACATGCGTGTATACATATAGTGCCAATAATGCATTTCCAATGGCAAGTAGGTTGGCTTCATAAAAGTATGGAAAATGCAGTATATCTTAATAGCTTTGTTTTTGGAAGTACAGGGTTAGTTACCTCAAGGATCAATTTTGTTGACTATAGCAGGACTTTGCAGCCGCTGCATAATTGTGGAAATCACTGTGATTGTATCCATGCACTGATTTTCTATGTGAAGAGGATCCTATAGATGGCTGGCAGCCATATCATGTGTGGGGGAAATATCTCATGTGAAGTGGTTCTCGGCCTCCCACACATCATGCCCAAGATGCATAATCAACAGCTGATGATCCAAATTGCCTGGTCTTGTGTGTTGAGAAAAAGTGGTGTTCTACCCTGGAACCAGCTTGTATGATGTGTGTCAAGGAAAGAAGGTAAAGGTGTTGATTTCTGACCACTTTCTGGATGGGTCTCTCCTGTGTATATCTTGTTAGCACCAGTATAAACTGCCTTACTGGTCATGCTGAAATCTGAAGCAAAAAGAGCTTCTGGGTGGATACTGCACTGCTTTGTTTTAACTTTTTTTTTTTAACCACACTGTGTCAGCCTGAACCCTCTTTGCCATGGTCAACTGGGAACATCGCTGTTGAAGCCAAAAGTTCATCAAAGAGATGGATGCCTCAAAGGGGAGTTGCTGGGAGACAGATCTGACAAACCTCTCTGATCCTTGCCTACTATTTTCAGCGTTTAACTGTTTTTCTGGGATTATCATCTGAAGTAGCGGGCCGGCCTCCTTTCTTCTGGAATGAGGCACATCACGTTTTATTTTTATGATGATTTGTTTTAAAAATGTGTATGTTGATTTTCCAGTATAAACAGTCTTCAGGGCAATGAACGAATTCTGCATGGTGTTAAGCCTAATTAAGACCAAATTAACATAGATTAAAAAATACAGATGATATAAAAAACACCAGCAGAAATAATACTGATGAAATAGTTACAACTAGTTAATAGCTTAAGCAAACAGACAAGCAGGCCTGACATGCTTTCTTTGCTTATTTTGCATGTTTATCCTTGTTTCCTACTAGGAACGCAAGTCCATGCGTATGTCTCTCTCCCTTCCCCCAACCTCCTGTCCTCACAATAACCCTATAAAGTTAGTTGGACTAGGCTAAGGTTACCCAGTGAGTTCTATGGCCAAGTGGGGATTTGCATCTTGGTCATAGCTGTCAATGTTTCCCTTTTTAAAAGGGAAATTCCCTTATTCTGAATAGGATTCCTTGCAAGAAAAGGGAAAAGTTGACAGCTATGGTCTTGGTTTCTTCAGATCTGGAGCCGTGCCTCCAGAATGCTGGTCTTAACTTTTATTTATATATTTCTGCAACATGTCATTCGCACAATAATTGTGCATTAATTATGGGTTTAGACCGGACCACTCACACATAGTTCCGCTTTACTAATGGTTCTGCAATGCTTCCCTGATATTACCACATTATTGCCATCTGCAGGGATACCTTGCACTATAGTGCAAAACAAACCAACCAACATTTGAAGATTTGCAGCATGGAAAGTTACAGGAGCTCAGCAGGAAGCTACAGGACATTCATGGATTGGCAAGTAAACTGTAAAAAGGTAAAGGTAAAGGGACCTTTGACCATAGGCGCCTTAAAAACTTTGTATGAACAGGTACTATTGAAAGTGGGATCCACCATAACCACCCGAATAATGTAATGAGAACAAATCAAGATTGCACAATTAAATAGATGTTTGGGGGTCCTAGTTCAACACTCTAATCACAGGCCTACCGTCTAAAAGATATTGTTTGTGCCAAGCTAATCTATGTGGGGAGGCAATCCACATCCGGGGTCTTTCCACCTAAAAGGGCCTCTTCCCTAATTTCCAGGTGTGGAAATACTCAAAGGGCCTTGCATAGCATGCAGGTTCAGAGGGTGGTTCTTCAGATACCTTGGACTCAGTCTGCTCCTAAACATAAGAAGCTGCCTTACACTGAGTCATACTAACAGTTCAATATTGTCTACACACCAGGGGTGACTAACCACGTGACCCTTCCGATGTTGGACTCAAACTCTCACCAGCCTTGGTTAGTTATCAGGGATGATGGAGTCCAACAATATCTGGAGCAACACGGGCCTTAGCCACTCTTGATTGACAGTGGTAGATAGTGACTCTGCAAAGCTTTGAACAGTGGTTTTTCCCATTCCACCTGGAATGCTGGGACCTTCTGCCAGCAAAATTGAGAGCCAGTGTGGTGTAGTGGTTAAGAGCGGTAATCACGTAATCTGGGAAACCGGGTTCGCGTCTCCGCTCCTCCACATGCAGCTGCTGGGTGACCTTGGGCCAGTCACGCTCTCTCAGCCCCACTCACCTCACAGAGTGTTTGTTGTGGGGGAGGAAGGGAAAGGAGAATGTTAGCCGCTTTGAGACTCCTGAAGGGGAGTGAAAGGCGGGAAAGCAAATCCAAAACTCTTCTTCTCTTCTTCTTCAAAATACAAGCTCTGTCCTAAGCAATGGAGTGGAGTTGTAAGGCTTTCTAGGTCAAAAACAGTACCTTGCTTTGGGCCAGAAACAAACTGGAAGTTGTTGGAGGTCTGATGGCAAAGGCTGGGGTTCAAAGGGAACCTTGAATCCCAGGAAGTTGTAGAAAATAGGGGAATGCAAGTAAAGAATTTGCAACACATTCTCAACAGTTGTTCTGCGGAGCTTCAGCTTTACTCTCAGATGCCCCAAGCGGAGACTCCCCAATCCCTGCTGCTTTGAACGGATGACTCACCAAAGTCACTGGAACACATTTGCTCCATGATGCCATCTGCCTTGTGCTCCATCTCGCATTGGGTGCAGATCTTTGACACTGCAAGATGGAAAAAAAGTGAGTCCTCACCTGCCAAATGTTTGGGATATTGCTCACAGCTCTGGCCCTGCAACTTCCTGGCTGGATTCTCATGGGCAGCCCACATCTAATAATGATTATTCTCAATCCCAGATCATCTGCCTTGTCACGAACTTTCTTTGGCCTGTCATGTAGTATCTTGAACTAACAGAAGGTTTGGGAGTTTGGCTCACCCAAACAGGAAGCCCGTAATCCTTATTGGAAAGCCTTTTGAACAGCTGGATAAGGCTTCTTTTTTTTTTTTTTTTGAGGGGGGAATATTTGTTTCTCGTTTAACTGATTCTTTATCCACCTCTTAATTTCCCCCGTTATACAAACCCCTATATTTGCCCCAGTTAAATAACATTCCATTTAATTTTACTATCTTCCAGCCCCCTAAAAGTGCATGCATGAGGGTTAAAATGATATAAATCAAAGGAGATATTTGATGGGAGAGGATGAGGGAAACCAAGGCTCTGTGCTGTATGACGCAAACCTGTCAGTCAAGGGCAAAACGACATTCTGGTGGTCTGGGCTGACTGAAGGGAATAGCCTGAAGTGTAGGCTAAGCCAGTGATATTCAAATGTTTCTCCCCATGGACCACTTGAAAATTGCTGAGGGTCTTGGCGGACCAGTTAATGATTTTTCTGCTTGTTGTAAGAATTGTAATGTGCTGGGCTATACACTGCATGGTTTTGTATAGTATTTTGTATTGCTTCTTTTTTATATCTTGTGCTACAATTTGAATTCTATGGAATAATAAGTATAATAACTTACAAGACAATAAAAGAAGCAATAAAAAATACAGTTAAAAATTGCTGTGAGCATTTAATATGAACATGCCATGGATCACCTGAATGAATCTTGGGGGCCTCTGATGATCCATGAGCCACAGTTGGGGATCCCCTGGGCTAAGAATGGTCATGTCATCATGTCATGACTACAGCAGTGATAAATGAAGCTGAGGACCAGCCTTCCTCTTGGACTTATAGCTATGTATTGAGGGGAATGCTTACTATTAATCCAGGCAGGTGAAATGCTCCATGGTAAGCTATGGAGCCTCTTTTGGCTATCCATCCTGGTGGAATGCGTGAGGACATGGTGGGACCCACCCCTGGGCCATTCTGTGTCCTAGGTAAAGGTAAAGGGACCCCTGACCATTAGGTCCAGTCGTGACCGACTCTGGGGTTGCGGCGCTCATCTCGCTTTATTGACCGAGGAAGCCAGCGTTTGTCCGCAGACAGCTTCCAGGTCATGTGGCCAGCATAACTAAGCCACTTCTGGAGAACCAGAGCCGCGCATGGAAACGCCGTTTACCTTCCTGCCGGAGTGGTACCTATTTATCTACTTGCACTTTGACGTGCTTTTGAACTGCTAGGTTGGCAGAAGCAGGGACTGAGCAACAGGAGCTCACCCCGTCACGGGGATTCGAACCGCCGACCTTCTGATCGGCAAGTCCTAGGCTCTGTGGTTTAACCCACAGCGCCACCCGCGTCCCTATTCTGTGTCCTAGGGTGGGTTAAATGAGATGTAGCACCACTCTGCTTCTCTTCAGAGAAGAAGAAAGAAAAGCAGAGAGAAGGAGTAAGCAGACAAGGGTTGGCCTAGATGTAAAGAAGGACAAAGCTCCTTTATCTTTTAATAGGTAGAAAAGGTATTTAATGTGTGAAGCTGACCCTTATGAGGCTCCCAGCTTTATACCAACATTAAAAGTACAAGACCTCTGACATCCTTTGTCTACAGTTACCCCAGCATATATATATGCTACAAAAAACTAACAGTATGAAAGGTGAGTGTGACCTGACATTTGCATGAAGACATTGTTTCTTTAGCCTTTTCAAACTTGCCCCTAACTTTATAGGACACACAACCCAGCCATCTGCTCTATAGGTGAGCATGTTGAGATCCTTACTCTGATAGGAGAGTCTGTAAGTTGGGTCACTAATTTAATACTGGCATGAAACAAGGAAGAGAATAGGACATCTCTGGCACCCTCCTGAAGCCACACACAGAGAAATGTCATTATAACAAGTTGGTAGGTGTTCCTTAGCATCCCAGATCTGGTATGGATGATCAATCTTTGGGGGTGCCATCGCTCAGGGTATTCTACCTGGTGTGGGTGAGTGAGAGTTCATTTTCATTTCAACAAGTTATCGCTTATCCCTGTAATGTCTAACCAGTGTGTTGTGAAACTATAAAATGATAAAATTGTGAAAATTAACCATAAAACCAGCAAGTCAATAAAGTTCTTAAAATGCCTGCCTTAGGCTCTATTGCTGTTTTAGACTTTGCATCCCTTTTCCAGGGTCTCCCACCCCCGCCAGCTATCCTACAGTTTTGAGAGTCAATCCCATAGGACTTCCTTGGAGATCAGAGACAGGGTTGTTTAGGAGGGCAATTTTTCAACGGATGGTGTTAAGTTAGATGCTGGAAGTGATGACTAGGAAGAAGCAGGAAGTGTGCTTGGAGCTTGCTAGACTTTGGATTCCAAGGTCTGTGCTAACAGGCAATATTTGTGCTACTCCTGGTTCCCTGCCTGTTCATTTGTAAATAAACAGATTTTCACAGCCGCACCATAAATCTCTGCTGCTCACTCCTCCAAGCAGCGATCCTCCTAGGAAAATGATCCTGCAAAGGCTCCTCTGAATTTCCCACTTGTTTGGGGAATGAAATAATATACTGTGCTTCCAAGGATACTCCTGAATTCAAAATGAGCCTGGTGGAAACTCATCCATGAAAAATGTTGCTCATCAAATTAGGAGAGGAGTGTTGAAATATGTGACCATGGATTTTGGGAGATGCCCTCCACCTCACCCAGTGTGCACAAAACAAAGTTGCCATATGCACTTTAAGTGGGGGTTTGTAAGGTACCCTATTCCACTGACTAGTAGGATAAGCTATAGACAAGTCATGGATTCTGGCTCCTGTTTCCAATCTTACCAAGTGTCCTATGCTATACATCTCTTTGGATGTTCTCTGTTCAATTGGACACTGCCTCCCAGTGGTTGCTGAGCTAAAGAATTTGCTATTGATCACACGTAGGTAGATATGTGTGTTTGCTGAACTTGCTCTTCCATTCCATCTTTTAAGCCCTGTAACCTGCTTCTGCTTCTGACCGCCCAAATTAGGGTTCTAGCAGTGTGTTTTCAGGACCCACCCTATTCCCATGACTGTAACCTGGTTTAATCCAATTAAGGATTATTTTTTACAGATTTGAAATCTTCAGCAGAGGCTGTCCTAGAAACTGATAGGAAGCTGTCCCACTGGGAGTATGCAGTGTAGAAGGCTGTGCCTCTGCAAGGGAACAGATACAGGGCAAATGGTCAGATGGATTGTTTGCCCTGTGTTGGGATGCTGCTGCTGCTTTTGTAAAGATGCTTCTTATGAAAAGGGACTTTTGGAGGTGGTATCTCAAGGACAAGGAAAGCCCTATATAGAGCAGGGTGGGGAACCTGTGGCCCTTCAGGCGTTATTGGACTCCATCTCCCATCAGCCCCTACTCAGCAGAGCCAATGGGTAGAGATGATGGGAGTTGTAATTTAGGACCACAGGTTCCCTGTCCCTGCCATATAGCAGCATTCAAGCTAGCAGGAAGAATCAAAAGATCAACATATGCATCAAGCTCATCGTTGAGGTATGCTATTTCAACATAATGAAATGGGAAATTATGTAAACTTCACGAAAGGAGGGGGATAAACACCACAAATATTGTGAGTGTTGAGAAAGCCACTTATGACTCTCATTTCGCAACTGTGACAGGATATTTTCTCAGAGCCTCAAGTACTGTATAATGTCTCATAGCAAACGTAATGAGAAACTGCCTCGTCTTGGGACATGAAGAGAAAGGAGAGATGATTTTTAGCTTTGAAGCCACTTGCTACTACCATTTCAGGAAAAGGCTTGGATAAGCAATGAACATGGGGACAAACTCCAATTCTGGGCCTAGCCTACATGCTTTGTGCTCCATCCACCCTTCTGGACTATGCCCTGATAGACTGGCAGTCTCTTGCACACTTTGCAATACCAGCAGAGCTTTGAACGATAACCTGAGCCAGGAGCAGCGAGAGCAGAGCTGGATTACCCTAGGACCCAAGGTCTAATGGGCAGGATGAGTGTGGGGTTCTGTAAGAGAGACATTGCCTCCCAAACAATCTCTTAGCACAGGTCCTTTCCCCCCATCGCAGTCTCCCCATGCAGTTACCTGGTGGCTGAGTTGCCTGACTGTTTCCAAACTGCACAGCGATGCACAGGTCATTGTCGAAGGGGAACTTGTTGCAGTTGAGCATGTCAGGCCAAGGGAAGCCGTAGGATTCCATGACAGGAGCGCACGAGTCGCGCACCACCTCGCACAGCGACCTGCACGGGTAGATGGGCCGGTCCAGGCAGACAGGTGCAAAGAGGGAGCACAGGAAAAGCTGTGTGTCGGAGTGGCAGCGCTTGGCCAGCAGGGGCACCCAGCTGCTGGCTTGCTGCTTTACCTCTGGCATGGATTCGTGTTCCAGCAGGTTGGGGAGACGCATGCGCTTGTAGCCCACGTTGTGGCAGAGCTGCAGGTCGGCCGGGATGTCCACGCACTGGGGCTGCTTAGTGTAGAAGCGTCCATGCTGGAAGTTGTCGGATTGCCAGCTGTAGTAGTCGTACTCCTGACTCACGGACAGCGCCCAGCCCTGCACCAGAACCAGCAGCACAGTGCCCAGGGCATTCCATGGGCAGGGTGACATCATGGCTCAGAGACACTCCCCTCAGGGCTCCCTTGGCTGCAGGGGAGAGAGAGGGAGAGAACGTGGGACTCTGGTTGCCACGAGCGCCGATGGGAGCCAAGCTGAATGGAGGGCACTGCCTGGGCCAAGCCCAGCCAAGGAGCCAACACCTGCCTCTTAAAACGGGTGTGCCTGCGCCTAGGCAAGCAAAAGCATTCTCCCCCAAGGTTGTATCTGGCACTATCGGTGGGATGGAGTGAGCTGAAGCTAGATTAAGTTGAAGTCTCTGCTCTGGGCTGTTTAGCACCACCCCCTCTAGGTTTCCAAAGCAGCCTCTTGGGGGGAACCGGCAGCCAATCTTCACCAGGCATGCTCCCCCCCGCCTCCCAGGATTGAGTTGGGAGCCAGCCACAAGGATGTCCCCACCTCCCAGTCTGGGCCGCTCCTCCAGCCCTCTCTGTTTCTTCCTCCCCCTCCTGCTTTCCAGCTCGCTCGCTCTCCCTCCCCCCTTGTTCCCATTCCTTGCACACACAGGCATCAGGGCCCAGCTGGCAGGGCTATGAAATGCCATGAAGCAGTCGGCGTTGGGCAGTAGATTTCAGGAAGGGTGCAATTTTCTTGCCTCATATCTGAAGTGCTCTTAATAACGAACTCCTGTCCAGAGCAGGCTCTCAGCTATGTGGTGTGCATGTGTGTGCATGTTTTGCTTCAAGCATAAAAATATCTGTGGCCAGGACTGATAAACACATTTGCAATACCTGCTCATTGCATTCAATAGACTCTCTGAGATGGCTGAATAATATCCAACTCACCACTACTAACTAAATGTTTAAATGATCCTCTATACATGGATTTTGATGACCAGGTTATACAAATGAATGTTAGTGTGGAAGCCCAACAATCCCTTTTGCAATTATGGCTCGAGAGAAGGAAATGTCAGAAAAAGAAACTTGAATTTGCCATTGGGCTCTGGTACATTTGTGGAAGGGGATAGGTTTATATGGGAATATAGGGCATTACAAGGGCCAATGCTGGATACCAGGTGGGTGCCCAGTAAATGCCTGAAGTTTAATTGGAACATTATACTTACCACATTAAAGGAACATTATACTTACCACATTAAATCAACCAAATGCCACATTAAATTAAATAAAGTATTCTGGGATGGAGACTCAGAAGCTTCGGCAGAATGCTATCAATGATCCTAAGCTGACCAAGTGAGAAACTTGGATCACTGAAGACTGCCTAGCTATGAACCACATTCTACAACATCATTGGTTGCATGAAGGTTGCATACACCTGGGTACATTAACATTCAAAACCAAGTAAACAAGATTATGTCTAAAGCTAAAGGAAATTAGGGTTGTCAAATGTCAGGAACCCTCCCCCCATCCTTGTGAGTTATTGTTTCTTTAACAAAAACCTGATCTGCAGAAACCAGCATGAGAAGCTTATTACAGACAGGAGGTGAGGATTGGTACTGGCTAAACTCTAAAGATCAAAGTGCTGTTGAAAGCAGAGAACCAGGAGCAAGTACGGGTAATAAATTTGGTAGCTTTACATGTTGATTACAGGAACAGTATACATATTTGAATGCAGTACACATTCAAAAGACAGAGGCTTTGTGTATTCTAGTGCCAGAACAAACACCAAGTTCCGCTTCAAGCCTTAAGAAAAACGAAGCAGCAGCATTCCAGTATAGTCTGTGCTCACCCATCATGGTAAACCATAGTTAATTGTTTACCATGAATGTGCAGGTGTCTGTCACTTTTCTCCTCCCTAGAGAAAACAAAAATCCACAGTCCCTGGCTTAGCTCTGTGAGGGGTCATGGTTTGTTTTGCTCCAAACAAATAACCATGTAATGTCAAGGTTTGTTCTTGACTTCCTGAATGTGGTTTGTTTGAGCTGTAATCCCTCATAGGACTAAGCCAGGGATTGTGGTTTGTTGTTTCAACTAGTGGAGAAGCAAAGCAGGAAGCATATCCTTGTTCATGGTAAGCCAGTAACTATAGCAGCCTTCACCAACTTGATGCCTTCTAAATGTTATGGACTTCAGTCCCAGCTAGCATGTCCATGTGATGGGTGAATTGGGCTATGGAGCGAAGCACATTTGAGCTCACTGAAATCCATGAATTTAAACTCTGCCATATAAGCACCCTCCAGGATCTGAGATAGACAGTGAAATGCTTTTCTACTGGTCTATCTATGGCCCCCTCCACATGTCCTTTTTATTGTGCATGCATGATGATTCGTGCTCATGGTGCCATCCTGGGACGTGATCCCACTTTCATTACTGTTTGCCCCTTGAAGGCACCAGGGCACATACTGCTTCATTTCCATGTCCTGTAACTTCCTACAGAAATCCTGTAACTTTTTTTTGTCCAGCTTTTGTTGCGCTCTAGTGCAAGGTGCCCTTTCAGATGGCAATAATGCTCTAATATTGGAGAACACCATAGAATAATTAATACAACAGAATGATGTGTGGACGGTCCAGTAGAAATCCACCACTAATGCACTACTATTGCATCAAAGGCAATAGCACCCGCAGAGAAAACGCCCTGTTTTTCAGCTTGGATAAGGCAGGGCAGTTCACAAAAGGAGGAGTTATTCCTACCTCATTGTTTTCCTTGTAGTTCTGCAATGGTTGTACATGCCTTTGAGTCCCTGGAAACAGGCTCGGCTGCAGCAGGTGCCCCTCCTGAGGGCAGGCACCATTAGAAAGAGATTATTATCCAGGGTTTATCTGGGCTGTCAGTGGCCCAACCCTTGTGAGGGGACCTCTGCTAACTCTTGAGTATCAATTAGTCATTTCCCTCCTGCTGCGGACTTTGCCCTGTGTGGGGAGGGGAAGTCTCTAGCTGAGCTTGGAGGTGAGCACTCAGTGATGCTGGGCCTGCTTGGAGACTTAGGGAGGAGGAATTATTCTTGCTCATGATGCAGGTGTGAGGGTCTGGCTTAGCGGGACAAGAGGAAGCAGCCTGGCAGAAGTCCATTTTGATGGGATAGGCTGAGCCAATAATAACATGTGGAGAACATCAGGTTGGGGGAAAGCTGGGCCCATCTCTCATTCTTGGGGTCTTTTCTCTGTTTACTTGCAGAGATACATGGAAATGTTTAGTAAAAGTCAAAGGAAAAGCATCTCTTTTGACTTAATGTTACTACCAGCCTTCTGAACCTTTCCGATCAGTGGCCTTCCCAAGCACAGGGATGCAGTGAATAGGGATCATTTCACTTGCTGCATGTTTGCTTATTCCACATCTCCTGGGAAGGAAAGCATCTAGTTAAGAATAAATCAAACTGGACACTTGACCAGTATGTTTCCGAGCACAATTCAAAGTGTTGGTGCTGACCTTTAAAGCCCGCCCAGTATACTTGAAGGAGCATCTCCACCCTCAGACACTGAGATCCAGCTCTGAGGGCCTTCTGACAGTTCCCTCAGTGCAAGAAGCGAAGTTACAGGGAACCAGGCAGAGGGCCTTCTCGGTAGTAGTGCCCGCCCTGTGGAAGGCCCTCCCATCAGATGTCAAAGAAATAAACAACTATCTCATGTTTAGAAGACATCTGAAGGCAGCCCTGTTTAGGGAAGTTTTCAACGACTGATGTCTTAATGTATTTTTAATCTTTTGTTGGAAGCCACCCAGAGTGGCTGGGGAAACCCAGCCAGATGGGTGGGGTATAAATAATAATAATAATAATAATAATAATAATAATAATAATAATAAATTACTACTACTACTATCATCATCTAAAAGGCAGACTTTCAATAAAAAAAGAAAAAGATAAGAGAATCTCTGCTCCTGAGGCTCCCAGTGAATGAGGTAAAGCAAAGCCTTTGCTGTTCACTTAATCACTTAAAGTTAGATTCCTTTTAATCAATTTTAATGAGCTACCGCTGTTACAAATAAAATAGAGGCTTCCCTGTCTTTGAAGCAGTGTTACAGGTTACCCAGTAGCACCTCTTTGGGCTCAGACTGGGCTTTTCTTCTTTGGATTTCCACAGCCAGCTGAAGCCACAATTTATTTCTGGGGATACTGGAGGTTTTTCCTTTATGCTCAGTAATGTTTCCCTCCCTCATCCTTTAATTTTTTTTTGACTTAGTATCTAGTCTAATGAAGAATGTTTATGAAGTCCAAAATCTTATTTGCCTCTTTGTGATTTTTAATATTTGGTCCAAATAAAAGTGCTCTGCTACTCTTGCTCTTAGATGACCTATAACTCCTCATCCAATACTATTACCATCATTTTGAGGATGGGGTGCCACAGCAGCCTCCGACCCCTTTGTAGCCCCCTCCCAGCCACAGCAGCAGTGGCAGCTGCAGAGGAGGCCCCTCTGTGTGGTGACTGTGGCTGTGGAGGCACCGTTGACATCTCACATCACTACTTGTCACTGGATCAAGAGTGACAACTAGGCAATGGAAACGGGTTTCTGGACCCAGCCAAGGGATCCTGCCCCACCCATGAGGACAACATTCAGAAGCTCTCTATGCTCCAGATAACACCTTAGTTGGGGCATAACGTGACTCTTCTTTATAGTGGGGAAACATTTGTGACATACCTGGGAAGTGAATTGAGTAAATTTATTCTGCATTTCAAGTCAAACCACTTGCTGCTGTCCCCCTCTGAACACACTGCATGCTTGTCATCCAGTTGCTGTCACACGCAGTCCCTCACGTGAACATATCTCCGTCCACATTTAACTCAAGTGTAGACACGCGCCCAGCCTTGTCATTCCTAGCTGCACTGAAGAGACAAGTCGCTCTTTCTCCCTCAGCCCCATTAATCTGCGGCTGCCAATGCAGCTCAGATAAGATAAAGCCATGGCTTTATCAAGCCCACTGGAATGAGGGGAGGTGGCCTGAGGCCCCCAGGTATCACAGGTAGAAACAAGATAAGCTCAGCAGGCTCTGGGACTGACAGAAAATCACTGGCTCCTGATGAATGTGCTGGGATGAATCAGCGCAGTGTTCAGGGGGCGGGTGGAGAGAAGGGGAGACTGGCAGGCCTTGGGGTGTGAGTGTCACGAGGTGAGACTGTGCAAGAGGAATTTATAAGAGTGTGAAGGTGGACGTAAGTGTGTGCGAATCAGCATTGGGTGTGACTCGGAATAGATGGCTGATTCTCCCCCTTTTCTCTTCTGCTTGAGAAAGGAATCTGTCAGATATGTGGAAACACCAAACAGATAAGTAGGGGACCCACTCAGAGGTAGCAGGATTGTCCAGCTTGCTCTACCTCTTTGAGAACTCCAGAAAAACTTGGCATGCAAAGATTTTCAGGCAAAGATTTGTGTCAAGCTGAGCGCATGTTTCTGTGCAGGCCAAGTGCTCTCTGTGTGCAGCAGCACCTCCTATAGGCTTCACTTTCTCCCTCCTTCCTGTTTTCATGCCAA